GGTGGCCCTCTTCCGCCAGCAGGTCCACGCGACGCCCAACGCTGTCGCCGCCGAGGACGACGCCACCACGTGGACCTATGCCGAGCTCGACCGGGCCACCGACCTCGTGGCGGACCACCTGCGCTCCGTCTACGGCGTCGGCCGTGACGTGCTCGTCGGCGTCCTGATGGGCCACACCGTGCAGTACGTCGTGGCCTGCCTGGCCGCCCTCAAGGCCGGCGGCGCCTTTCTCGTCCTCGAGGTCGCCTATCCGCCGGGTCTGCTGGCCGACGTCATTGAGGATGCCCACCCGCCCGTCATCCTGACCTCGGCCGAGTATGCCGACAAGGTGCCCGCACACATCCCGCGCATCCTGCTCGAGCGGGCGACCACGCTGGCCGACCTGGCCGCGCTCACGACGCCGGAGCCCACATCCACATCCACATCCTCATCCACGGCCAAGTCCACATCCACTTCGACACAAGCAGCATCGCCCTCTCCCCTCCCTTCACCGACCGACCTCGACCGCCTCGCCTTCGTCTCCTACTCCTCCGGCTCCACCGGCCGCCCCAAGGGCATCTGCAACCCCCACAGTGCCCCCGTCCAGTCCTATGCCCTGCGTTTCCAGGTCAGCGACCTGGGCCCCGGTGACCGCGTTGCCTGCAACGTCTTCTTTGTCTGGGAGATTCTGCGCCCGCTGCTGCGCGGCGCCACCGTCCTCACCATCCCCGACGACGCCAGCTACGACCCCGTCGGCCTCGTCGCCTTTCTGGCCGAGAAGAAGGCCACCGAGACGCTCATGACCCCGACCCTGCTGGCCACCGTGCTCGGCCGCTACCCCGACCTGGCCACCCGCCTCCCGCACCTGCGCACGCTCTGGTTCAACGGCGAGGTCGTCTCCGTCGACCTGGCCCGCCGCGCCGCCACCGCCCTGGCCGGCGTGCGCCTGCTCAACTGCTACAGTGCCAGCGAGACCCACGAGATTGCCTGCGGCGACATCCGCACCACCCTGGCCACCCTGCCCGCCGACGCCACCGTGTGCCCCGTCGGCCCGCCGCTGCTGCCCGCACACACCTACGTCCTCGACGAGGACGGCCGGCCGGTGGCGCCCGGCGTCGGCGGCGAGCTGTACGTCGGCGGGCCCCTGCTGGCTCGCGGCTACCTCCACCGCCCTGAGACGACCGCCGACGTGTTTCTGCCCGACGTCTTTGCCGGCGAGGGCCGCATGTACCGCACCGGCGACAAGGCCCGCATCCTGCCGTCCTCGGGCGAGATTGAGATCAGCGGCCGCGTCGGCGGCATGATCAAGGTCCGCGGCTACACCGTGCATCCGGCCGCCGTCGAGAGCGCCATTGTCAAGCACCTGGCCGTGCGCAGCTGCGTCGTCCTGGCCGACAAGGAGGGCCTCGAGCGCCAGCTGGTCGCCTACGTCGTGCGCGAGGCCGAGGGCAGCCCCAACACAGGCGCCGACGGCACCCGTGCCGCCCTCGAGATCAACGCCGACGGCCACAGCCCGCTGGCCCGCCGCCTGCTGGCCGACCACCTGGCCCACTACATGATCCCCGTCTTCTGGGTCGAGCTCGACACGCTCCCGACCCACAAGGTGTCCGGCAAGGTCGACATCAAGGGCCTGCCCGCCCCCTCGCCCGCGCGCGCCGGCCCCAGCCCGCCCGTGACGCCGCCCGCCGAGAGCATGGCCCAGATCCTGTGGGCCGCGGGTGCTGCCGCCGCCGCGCCGCCCAACACCACGTTGGATGCCGCGGCGCGCATCGACCCCACCGACATTCGCCGCCACTGGGCCGCCTGCCTCGGCATGGAGAGCGACGAGACGCTGGTCGAGCTGGCCCGCACCCAGCCCCAGCACGACTTTGACTTTTTCGACCTCGGCGGCCACTCGCTGGCCCTGGCCGAGCTGTCGAACCGCCTGTCCGCCTCGTACGGCTGCAACGTGCCGCTTCTTGCCCTGATGCGCGCGCCCACCCTTGCCGGCCACGTGGCCGCCGTCACCGCGGCCGCGCGCGCCGCCCACGCCACCACAGCCGCGGCCGTCGACAACGGCCTGCTGCTGTCCATGCTGCGCGACGACAGCACCCTGCCGGAGGATCTGGCCGTGCCCGACGCGCCCAAGGCCGCCCAGTCGCTTACGGACCCCGCCACCACCGACATCTTCCTGACCGGCGCCACGGGCTTCCTCGGCGCGTTCCTGCTCGCCGAGCTCCTGGCCACCACCTCGGCCACCGTCCACTGCCTGGTGCGCCGCCCCGCGGCGTCCGCATCGCTCGCCTCCGCAGCCGGCATGCCCCGCGTGCGGAAGCATCTGCTGGGCCTCGGCCTCTGGCAGGACAGCATGGCCGACCGCATCCACATCGTGCCGGGCGACCTGGCCCTGCCCAGCCTGGGCCTCTCGGACGCCGACTTTGACAGCCTTGCCACCCGCGTCCAGGCCGTTGTCCATGCCGGTGCGCACGTCAACCTGGTCTACCCGTACGACGCCCTGCGGGACGCCAACGTCGGCGGCACCAAGGAGGTCCTGCGGCTCGTGGGCCGCGGCGGCGCCACCCTGCACTACATCTCGACCAACGGCGTCCTGCCCCCCGCCAAGACGGCCTGGACCGAGGACGACACGCCCATCGTGCTGGCCGCGGACGTCGTCGACAAGATTGCCGATGGCTACGGCCAGACCAAATGGGCGGCGGAACAGCTGGTCCTCCAGGCCGGCCGTCGCGGCCTGCCCACCCGCATCTACCGGCCCGGCACGCTCGGCGGCCACAGCGCCACGGGCGCCACGAACCCGCGCGACGTCGTCACGGCCCTGGTCGTGGAGAGCCTGCGCATTGGGTACGCGCCCAACGTGGACGGCTGGCGCGTGGAGATGACGCCGGTGGACGCGGCGTGTCGCACGATTGTGCAGCTGGCGTCGACGACGACGACGGCGGACAACACCATTCACCATGTGGGCGACCCCGACGCGCTTCTGGCCAAGGACCTCTTTGCCCGTCTCGCTGTCCTGGGCTACCCGACCGAGGCCGTGGACTGGGACGAGTGGGTGGCGCGGTGGAACGAGGACCAGAGCAACCACTCGCCGGCGGCCGCCCCGGCCGCGCGCCACGACGAGGACCTGTCGCCCATGGACGTCCTGCGGGCCGGCATGCCGTCGGTGGACTTTTTGAAGCTCGTGATTCTGCTCGACGACACAAAGACGCGTTCCCTGCTGTTGCCCCCGACCGACGAGAACGATAAGAACGACGAGACGGAGCTGAAGCAGACGACGACGCGGCCCCAGCTCGACCTCGGCCTGCTGGCCACGTACACCCGCCACTTCTACTCCCGCGGCTGGCTCGCCCACGGGCCCAAGGCGGTGCCCGCCGCCGCGGTGGCCCCGTCCGTCGACCGCGTCGTGCCCTTGCCCAAGGGCCCGCTGGCCGGCCGCGTCGCCGTGGTCGTCGGTGCCTCCTCGGGCATTGGCGCCGCCATTGCGACGGCCCTGGCCAGCGACGGCGCCCACGTGGCCCTCGGCGCCCGCCGTCTCGGCGAGCTCAAGACCCTGCAGGCGGCTCTGGAGGCGCAGTTTGCCGGCGTGCGCGTCGTCGCGCGCCCGACAGACGTCACCAGCGCCGCGCAGGTCCAGGCGCTGGTGGCGGCGGCCACGGACGCGCTCGGCCCCATTGACATTCTGGTCGTCTGTGCCGGCGTCATGTACTTTACCATGATGGCCAGCGTGCGCACCGACGAGTGGGAGCGCACCGTCGACGTCAACTGCAAGGGCCTGCTGCACTGCCTGGCCGCCACGGTGCCGGGCATGCTGTCGCGGGCCAAGCCGCACCCGCCCACGCCGGCCGAGCTAGCCGCCGGCGGTGGTGATGACCAACTGCGCGGCCGCTCGCCGCACATTGTGTGCATCTCGTCCGACGCCGGCCGCAAAGTGTTCCCCGGCCTCGGCGTCTACTCGGGCAGCAAGTTCTTTGTCGAGGCCGTGCTGCAGAGCCTGCGCCTCGAGACCGCCGGCACCGGCCTGCGCGTGACGTCCGTGCAGCCCGGCAACACGGCCACCGAGCTGCTCAGCCTGTCCACAGACCCAGAGGCCATGGACAAGTACGGCACGCCCACGGGCGCCGAGGTGCTGGCGCCGGCGGACGTGGCGTCGGCCGTGATGTATGCGCTGCGGCAGCCGGCGCACGTCGCGGTCAACGAAGTGATGATTGAGCCGCGGGACGAGCCGATTTAGGGCGACGGAGATGGGACGATCTGCAGCGATGATTTCATGTTTGTTTTGCGTTGTTTTGCTTTGTTTTACTTTTGTTTCGTTACTATTTACTTGCTTTACTTTGTTTTCAGCGTGGAAAATGGTTCAACACACAAGAGACACGGCATTTTAACATTTGGGCTGCCAGAATACAATGATTCACATTACCCATTACACCATGCAAATGAACGGGTCCGTGGCGGCAATCTCGTCGGGGTCCATGGCAAAGAGACGCTCCATGTTGGCGGACGAGATGGGGTTGATGGGGTTGATCTGGCCGTGCCAGATGCGGTGGTGTTCGCGCCAGTACACGTCCCGAACGCGTCGTCGACCTTGCCCTGATGGATTCCGGCCGTGGCGAGCAGGATGGTGTGCAGTTACGTGTTGACAACGTTGACAGCCTGCCTAAACGGATGATGCCCTCTCTACGAAGACGTTTACTATCGACCTCCATTCACATCACACCGACACACTGCCCTCTCCGCATTTTCTGATGTGTTTGGCAATGCTGATCTTGCACGCTGTTCGTTTTGTCTCTCCATCTGCAAGCGTCGAATGCATGTGAGCATCGCCAGAGTGGTTTGGGTCAGTCTCCCCGCTTGCCCCCAACTTGTGACTCGGCCTCTTCATTCCGGGTGAAGAGCCATTACGCAGGAACACGCGACAGTAGATAACGTGGGGGATGCAATTGATGTAGGCCGTAACTCTGTATTCCAACTAAGCATTCTGTCCAACTGGACGGTGGGAGGATGCTCCTTGCATCGCGCCTTCCAAGCACTCAGTCCCGCATGGCATCCGGGTCCTCCCCCTCCCAGTCCATGCCCGCGGCCAGATCCCACGCAAAGGCCAAGTAGTTGGTGGCGTCGTAGTACGGCATCGCCTGCCAGAGCTCAAAATTCCCCGGCGCGTCGTGGGGCTGCGTGTGGTCCGTGTTCGGGTCCAGGTTCGGGTCCGTGTCCTGAGCGACCGAGGCGACCGAGGCGAGCCAGTGGCGCACGTGAATCCTCACACCCTACGAGGACGACATGAGCACGTGGCGCAGCAGCGCGACGACGTGGTGCACCTCGACAAAGGTGTTGTACAGCGGCACCGGGGCGATGCGGATGACGTTGGGCTTGCGCATGTCCATGACGATGTCGGCGCGCTTCATGGCGGCGGCCCACTTGTCGAGAAAGTCGTCGTCGCGCATCAGAATGCTGATCTGCGCGCCGCGCTCGGCCGGGTTGGCCGGCGTGATGATGCGGAACGGCGGCGCGGCGTCCGCCGGGAAAGCGGCGTGGTCGTGGGCGCCCATCGCCTCGGCGGCCTCGGCGGCGTCGCGCGCGTCCTGCAGAATGTCGTTGAGCAGCTTCTCGGCGTAGGCGGTCAGGACGAGCGACTTGGTGCGCAGGTCGCGCATCGAGGTCTTGTCAAAGACGGACAGCGCGCCGCTCAGGCTGGCCAGGTCGACGGCCGACGGGTTGGACAGCTGGAAGCCCTGCGCGCCGGGCGTCGGCTGGAACGTCTTGGCCATGTTGAAGCGCACGCGGAGGTCGCTGCCGTACCACCCCGCGAGCCGCGGCCGGTATGTGAAGGCGTTGGTGCGCACGTCATAGTCGTCAGCGTTGCCGTCGTTGTTGTTCTTCTCGTACGACGACGACGACGCGTCCACGCCGCCGTGGCGCTCGTGCACAAAGGCGCCGGCAATGCTGCCCGGCCCCGCGTTGAGGTACTTGTACGTGCACCAGACGGCAAAGTCGACGTCCCAGTCGTGCAGCTGCAGCTCGACGTTGCCCACCGCGTGGGCCAGGTCCCAGCCGACCACGATGCCCTTGCTGCGGGCGTGGGCCGTGATGCGCGGCATGTCAAACAGCTGGCCCGTGTAGTACTGGATGCCGGGCAGCAGCAGCAGCGCCGTCTCCGCGGCGTGCTCGTCAATGGTGGCGAGGATGGCGTCCGTGGAGATGTACAAGTTGTCGTCCGGCTTCAGCTCGACGAGCGACTTGGCCACGTCGAGGCCGTGCCACACAATCTGGGACTCCAGCGCGTACTGCCGTTCTGTTAGCAATTAACAAACCAATCAAAAGGTCATGTGGGCCAGTTGCCACGCACGCTGTCACTGGGAAACGGCTTCCACTCGGCAATGATCTTGTGCCGGGTCGCCGTCGGCTTGTAGAAGCTCGCCATCATCAGGTGCAGGTTCACCGTCAGCGTGTTCATCGTGACAACCTCCTCGGGCGACGCGCCCACCAGCCGGGCCATCTGCTTCGAGCACTCGGCTGCCATCTCCTGCCACGGCTTCAGGGCGACTGGCGTCTCTTCGAGTTGTGCGTCGTCGTCCCTCGCATCTTTCGCATCCCTCGCCAGGGCATGGAAGTGCCCCTGGACGCCAATGGCAGCCCACGTGTCCAGGTACGCCTCGACGTACCGCCGCACCGCCTTCGGCTGCAGCCCCAGCGAGTTGCCGCAAAAGTACATGGCCAGGTGGCTGGACTCCGTGTGCGTCGGGTACATCATGGCCAGATGCTCGCCCTGGACACACGGCTTGGTCCCGGGCACCAGGTCGTAGAGGCCGCGCGTCGGCGGCTTCCCGTCCGCTCGTGCGCCCGCCATTTCCTCGAGCTGGGCCGTGGGTGCCGTCTCGGTTCTGTCCGCATGGCCGTTGCTCCCTGCCTCTTCTGCCGAGTCGTTGCCCTTGGCCGCTTTGGCCGGCGCCGCCCTGCGAATCATCTCCCGCGTCGGCCGCACAAACTCATCCTTGAACGTGCTGAGAAAGTCGTGCGCATCGAGCTCCTCGGCATAGTCGAGCGTGTGTGCATTGTCGGCGAACGTGACGGACGTGTAGTCGTCACGAAGCGCCGTGCTGAGCTGCGCAATGGTCATCATCTTGGGAGGGGCCCGGGGACGGGCTTGATGGGGCCGTTTAATAAGGTACTCTGTAAGTGTAAGGTCTCAAGAACATGCAACGTGTAAGCGGCTAGTGCAGGGCAGCTGGGAGGCGCACGAGTTTGTGTGTTGGGCCGTGCTATTCGATGGCCTCTCTCCGGGTTTCGTTGTCTGGACGCGCGAGACCACTTTGTAGTCAGCGTTGGGGGTCTCTGGCACGGCAATGGCGCGTGGCCCACGTCACCTGCTCCTGCCCTCTTACATGCCCGCGATTACCCAAAACGGCAGGTTTCGGCCTTGGCTCGCTATTTCGGGCACAATACAAAAGACCTAGAGCACAAGCCTGTATTTGCCCACTGTAGGGCACACTAGCGCGGTCATCCCAGCCCGCGGCCGCCTCTCCGCGCTCCACCTGCACCCCCTGCGCATTGTCTCCGCGGTGCGGGACAGTGCTTGAACCGCCGCTGCAGGGGTGTTTTGCCTCCCAGACGTCACTGCAAGGCCGCCGCCATCCGTGGGTAGCCGAAACCGTGAGGGAATATTTACCACCTGCTGGCTGCTCTTTCCTTGGAATTTGGTTTTCTCGACCATCTCCGTCGCGCCTTCCTCTGGATTACTCTGCACACGACTGTGCGTATCGTCATTTCACGTGCATTGACTGACTAGTTTTGCCCCAAACAGGCAGTTGCAAGAGCAAAGGACCGTCAGTCGGAGCGGCTTTGTTTTCATATCCTCGTAACGTTTTGGCCCCCGTCTCCAGTTCCGCGTTGATGGTTCCTCGTTCGTAGTTCTCCGCTTCCGTCTGATGACCCGCGGCCAAGACATACCAGCTTTGACCATGGCAGTCAATCTGGCCGGCCGTCTACTTCATGTCTTTGCGCTCCCTCTTCCCTCGGTTCCCTTGGCTGGTCGTGCCTTCCTGTTTTGTATGCCAACACTTGCCAACACCTGCCAACACCTGCCAACATAATCCACACCAAGTCTCATAGCACATAGCACATACAGCTAACCACACCAATCATTCCATTCATTCCATTTACTATTACTCCTTTTGCTCCGCTGTGCCCCAGAACGGCGCCTTGCTTGTTTGGGACTTAAGCTGAACCATCATCTACATCACTTAAGTGCAAACCCTCCCTCATGGACCCTGCATTTACACACCGGTACGGCCTGTCCGACAACGGCTTCCTGCCACCCCAGCTGCCACTGGCCACGCTGCCCGACCCGTACTACGCACCATGGGAGGCCATCATCCGCCAACTGCCGGCCCTGCTGCAGGCAAACCGTCTGCGGAACGAGGTCGACCGGCTGCCCATCCTGTCGGTGCATGCCCTGCGGTCCGAGCCTGAGTGGCGCCGGGCGTACGTGATCCTGGCCTTTCTGACGCACGCGTACATCTGGGGCGACGACGTCGTGGCGGACGTCCTGCCTCCATGCATTGCCGTGCCCCTGCTGGCCGTCGCCGACCACTTGGAACTGCCGCCCGTGGCCACCTATGCGGCGCTGAACCTGTGGAACTTTACCACTGAGGGGGCCGGCGACATTCCCTTTGACCAGCTCGACCGCCTGCGCGCCCTCCACACCTTCACGGGCACCGAGTCCGAGTCGTGGTTCTATGTTGTGTCGGTCGCCATGGAGTACCGTGCGGCCAAGATCGTGCCTGTCTTGCTGGACGCCCAGACTGCCAGCACAGACGACGACATCCCAAAAGTGACGGCCGCCCTCCGCCGGTTTGTCCCCTGCGTCCAGGACATCGGCCGCCTCCTCGACCGCATGCACGAGCGCTGCGACCCGTCCGTCTTCTTCTTTCAGATTCGGCCCTTTCTCGCGGGCAGCAAGCACATGGCCGCGCAAGGTCTGCCCCAGGGCGTGTTCTACGACGAGGGCGACGGCTGCGGCGCCTGGCGGCAGCTGCGCGGCGGCAGCAACGGCCAGAGCGCGCTTCTCCAGTTCTTTGACATTGTGCTGGGCGTCGAGCACACCTCGAATGGTTGTCACGGGCCCGGCGCCAACGACAACGCCCGAGAACAAGGCTTCCACGAAGAAGTTCGCGGTTACATGCCGGGCCCGCACCGGCGGTTCCTGGAACACGTCGCTGCGAGGCCGAGCATCCGACACTTTGTCATGCAGGCCACACAAGGTGCGGCGCTGACCGACGACCAGAGGCAGCTGGCCGCAGCATTCGAGGACACGACAAAGGCGTTGGCCGCGTTCCGCGACAAGCACCTGGCCATCGTCGCGCGGTACATCATCCTCCCGTCGCGCCAGAAGGCCGCCGTGGAGGCAAAGACCACAGCAGCCGACGAGTCTGCCCCCAAACTGAGAGGGTTGGCGCACATGCCCTCGAGAACAGACGGCGCCGAGATTCTCACGGGCACCGGTGGAACGGAGCTCATGCCGTTTTTGAAGCAGACGCGCGACGAAACGCTCCAGGCAGGGGTCTTGATGGCACCCATGTCACGAGACGACTAACGAAGTATGATGCTATGTTAATCAGCTAATAAAATCGTTTGCATAATGGACACCTTTCAAATACACGGCTTGTATTTTTTACATGCAAAGTAAACACGTTGCACTCCGTGGTTGTTGGTCATGTTACGTCCAAGAGGTCCGGCATCAAGTCGTGCCGCACGAGAATGGTCCTTCCGATGGAAAAGTCTCCGCCCACCGGTAAGTCTCCGCCCACCGGTAAGTCTCCGGATGCGCCGTCATTTGAACCACTGCCTGATTTTCGATGTCGGCCAAAATTCCCCGACCGCCGCATCCTTTAGTATCACCACAAAAGTGGACCACAAATACAGAGTAGCGGAGACAAAACAACGAGGAAAAGGAGGGTAATTGAAAATGTTCCTGACCTACTGTGCACATGTGCAATAGTATGGTGTGACCTGCTGCCTGAGCTTGGCAAGACGAAGTCGTAGCAAATACAAAACACGGACTTGCGCTCCCCAACGAAGCGCCTTTCGTCTGTCCTGCTTGCAGCATCACAGCCCAACATGGTTGCGGCAAACACACCCACACAACTCCCGCTCACAATGCGCGCCTGGGTCTACCAGACCGGCAAGGGCGGCATCGAAAACACGCTCAAACTGATTCCCGACTACCCTGTGCCCAGCCATTTCCGCACTCTGGAGGCCCCGCCGCCGGGCCAAAGCGACGCCGTGCTGGTGCGCATCCTGGCCGCCTCCCTCAACCCCGTCGACTACAAGCTCGTCGAGCTTCCCTTGGTGGGCGGCTTCCTCCAAAAGACACCGGCCACGCCCGCCGTCGACTTTTGCGGCCGCGTTGTGCGTGTCGGCACCAGTACCACCACCTTGAAAAAAGGCCAGCTCGTCGCTGGCAAGCTCCCGCCACAGCCCCAGCACGGCGCCTTGGCCGACTATGCCCTGGCGCACTCGGTGAACGTCGTGCCGGTTCCGGACGGCGTCTCGGTCGAGCAGGCCGCCACGATTGGCCTCGCCGGAGCGACGGCGTGGACCGCGCTGGTCCCGCAGATCGAGGCCGCCCAGGCACGCAACAACACGGCGACGGGGCGCGGGCGTGACCGTGACACACCTCTGCGCGTGTTTGTCAACGGCGGCAGCGGCGGCATCGGGAGCTTTGCCATCCCCCTCGCCAAAGCCCGCGGCTGCCACGTCACGGCGACCTGCTCGGCCGCCAGCGCCCACCTCGTCCGCGACGTCCTTGGCGCCGACGACGTCATTGACTACCGCACGACCGACGTGGCCGACGCCCTCGTCCAAAAGACAAACGAGGCCGGCCGCCCCTACGACGTGGCCGTCGACGTCGTCGGCATGCGCTTTGGCCTCTACAAAGCCGCCGACGCCTTCCTCGCGGCCGGCGCCGCGTTCCCGCGCATCGGCATGGAGCCCGGCACGATCAAAGACGCCGTCGCCATCGTGTACCGGCCGACCCTCCTGGGCGGCGGCCGCCATGCATCGCCGTTCGTGACCGGCCGCGCCACGCCCGACATCTTGCGCGGGCTCCTCGACCTGATGGCGCAGGGCCAGCTGACGGTGCCGCTGGACGGCGGAGCGGCCGTGCCCTTTGAAGATGTGCCGCGGGCCTATGCACGGCTCAAGACGCAGCGGACGCAGGGCAAAATTGTGGTGCGTGTGGCGGAGGATACTAGGGGATGACAGAGGTGAATTGGTCGGGGCGGCACGTTGTATAACCAGTGTGTCTATATTATTATTGCCGCCGGATGGACGGTTATCTAAGTGCACGTCGGATGTTTGCAGATGAATTGCTTTTCAGTGCTACACTTTTAGTATGGATAGGAACAAAGCAACAGAGGGTGTAATATCACAATTACTATCCTGATAATTACGTTTTTTTTTTTTTTTTTTTTTTAAGAAAACAAAACCCAGTTAAACCAAGTTGACATTAATAATAAGTTTCATTATAAACAGCAATTCACCTGTTATGTACTTTGACATAGCACTTTAGTAAATAACGGCTGTGTCGTTGTCAACCAAAAGTCCAAAAAAAATAAAAAATTAAGGTCCTACCCGGAATCGAACCGGGGCTACTGGAAATTCAGATTTTCGGAGAAATCAGAATCCAATGTCCTAACCGCTAGACTATAGGACCATTTGTTATTGGATATGAAGTTACACTTTCGCAACTATATATGGGCAGCTAGCTGTACGTGTCCCATATTAATCTCGGCAACATTCAACACTTTGACAGTCTTCCTCTGTCCAAACTAAGGACTACCAACGGATGCATGCGACAGTCTCGACAATTCAAGAAGAAGCCTCATAACGCGTTTGTCTCACAGCTGATCGTTCGCAACCAATATTTATAGTTTCTATTCCATCTGTAGTACAACTGTTGATGGTTTTTCGTGCCTCTCATTCTCTTGCTTGAGTTGAGCTGTGTCCTTTGCCTCACAAAACCGGCACAACGTGGTTTTACGTGGGGGATTAAAGTCGTCCCGCTAAACTGAATGAATCGGGATCAAACGAGCGAGGGAAATCGTGCAGTCGCATGTCGCACAGGAGGCACACTGAGGGCCAAGTGTCGTGCGTAGGTTGTTCCATGTCACGTCTCACTCCGGCCCTCCCTCTTCTTTTGTCCGTATCTCCAGAGGGCGCACTCGTGTATTTCCGACTGTCCTTTGTCTCCAAGTCCAAGAACGGCCAAGGCTGCTCACCTTATATGTCGTACTCGGGATCCCCATTTCTCCCCTCCTCCACCTCCGCGATCCCCACCGTCGCCTCCAATACAGCCGCCTTGGGTGGACGATAACTGCCGCCTTCTGTCTCCTTCCCCTCTTGCGGCCCAGATTCTTCCCCGGACGCTCGTCGCATCGCTCGCGGTTTGCTGGATTAACAAAGTACCTTGCGATTGTTTTATTTGAGACGTTGTGCACGCACTCGAACGTGTAGGAATTATTTGTGTTGGTTTAGTCTTTATCAATACGTGTACCGCGTGCCACTGCGTCATCACTGATTGAATTGTATTCTGCTGTACGACAACAGATCACTCTCGACTGCCCGACGTCCCGTATCCCCCGCCAATTGGCAAATCTTCTTCGGAGGCATTGGTATTGGCCCGCCACTCCAAGTCCGTTCCCTATTTTACTTTGTCGATTCTTGCACATATAGCCCAGGCGGGCCCGTCCTCAACCACTGTCACTTGACTCATCTGTCCCATTTTCCTTCACGAACCCGTCCCAGCGACGCCCTCGAGACGAACCCTCCTCAGAGTCTTTGGCTGACCTGCACTCTCGCCTTTCCCCTGTCCCGTGTCCATATTTCCGGCACGCTTAGTCTGCCCCATCTTTGGTTTGGAAGCCGATTCTTCTGTGCATGCTGTCTCTATGTATCCGTGGTTCCCTCGTTCCGTTTCTTAGGCGACTGGAGCGACATATAATCCTGTCGACAGCGGCACAAACAATTCGACGCCGCTAAAAGCTTCACCAGCTACACCGCACCCCACATACATTCGACACCACTTTCAACAAGTACACACGACACCGCGCACACCACCGAACACAATGGCAGCCGCCGACCAGCCGTTCCAGAAGATCAAGCTGGTGCGCATCGCGCACGTCTTCTACAAGCACAAGGACCCGAAGGCGGCCATCCAGTTTCTGCACGACTTTGGCTTCAGCCACGAGAAGACGGCCGGCCACCGCACGTACTTCCGGGGCTACGGCACGCAGCCGTTTGTCGTCTGCGTGGAGGCGGCCGACGAGACGGCCTGGGGCGGCGCCTGCTTCGAGGTCGAGACGGCCGAGGACCTGGAGCGCGCCGCGACGCAGCTGCCGGCCGCGGTCAGGGCCACCGCCGTGTACGACTTGGCCGACATTGATGCGCCGGGCGGCGGCCGGGGCGTGACGTTTTACGACCCGGTCGACGGGTTTCCGTTCCACCTGGTGCACGGCCAGACCAGGGTGGCGGCGCGCGACCCCAACTTCCCCATCGTGCACCTCAACTACCCGGCCGAGAAGAACCGGCCCGTCAACCGGTTCCAGCGGTTCGAGAAGCGGCCGGCGCCCGTGCACAAGCTGGGCCACTTTGGCATGTGCGTGACCGACTTTGCGCAGTCGTACGACTTTTACGCGACGCACTTTAACTTTTTCCCGTCGGAGCTGGTGCATGACGACAGCGGCACCAACCACACCGTCTTCTTCCGGCTCGACCGCGGCGACGAGCAGGTCGACCACCACACGTTCTTCTTGTTCCAGGGCCCCCGGTGGCACGTGCACCACACGTCGTACGAGACGCACGACTTTGACACGCAGGTGCTCGGCCACGACTGGCTGCGGGCCAAGGGCTACACGAACTGCTGGGGCGTCGGCCGCCACGTCATGGGCAGCCAGATCTTCGACTACTGGTTCGACCCGGCCCAGTTCATCCTCGAGCACTACGTGGATGGCGACCTGCTCGACATGTCGGAGCCGACACACGTCACGCTGGAAAAGGACGCACACTTGCACGTCTGGGGTGAGTGCGGGACGCAGATTATGGATACACTGATTGCTTTCTTCCTTGGTATGACTCCTTTTGTTAACAGTCAGCACAGGCCCCGACGTTCCGCCCACGTTCCTCGTTTAGAGCAGCAAAGCACAATACCTGTCCTTGCAGAAACAGGATATGCCCGCTCTGTACCGGAACGTTTCACAGCGAGACAGTTTGGAAAAAAGGAAAGGCGATACTTTTTATTCATGACGACAATAGGGACGCAGAAGCGGTGAAAGAGAGAGCCGGCCAAACACAATGTATTTTCGGCGTACTCCGCACGACTTGCTTCCAAAGCGTGTTACAAACATTGTGTCATGAAACGTTTATAACGTAGCTAATAGCCATGGAGAATGGCCAATAGTGTCAAATCCTCGTGATATTCGTCCTCCAGGGCGAACCGTGGACTCAAGCCAAATCCGCATTCGACTTCTCTGGGTGCCAGTGGGACCCCGGCAGTGGGATGTTGACGTCATGGTAGGACGGTATGAACCGATTCGGCCGGCGTTCCGTCGCCGGCGAATGCTGCCTCGACGTCGGCGTCGGCAAGGCCGCCCTTGTAGGGGTCGCGGTCGCCCAGGACCTGCCGCACCAGCCAGGGCGCCAGGTTGCAGTAGACGGTGCTGTGCATCCGGAAGCCCTTGAGGTCCTCGAGCGTGCACAGCACGGTGACCAGGTCCATGTACATGCAGCAGGCTTCGTGAAACGAAGCTTGCATTTAGTCCTCCTCCTCGCTCAGCACATAAAACTCGTACCGGTCCCAGATGCAGTCGCGCACGTCGAGGTGGAGCGTGAGGCGCGGGAGGTCCATGTTGTCGCGGATGAAGGCGATGAGCGGTGCCCATGCAGTGTCGCCGCGGCGGGGGTCGTAGGTCCACGCCCCGGAGGACACCACACGCTGTCCGTCTGCGTTGTCGTGGCGGGCGTAGAATGCGCGGCTCGATTTTCTCCACCAGGAAAACTGCTCTCCCGAGCGCTTCCAAGGTCATGGCAAACGTGTCGCTCTCGTAGGCAAAGGCGGTCTTGGCATACAAGACGTCGTGGGCGGCTTCGCGGTACATTTGGCGGCAAACCAGGAAGAGCTCGACGGGCAGGATGACACACGTGCAGTGCGTCGACACGGACGCATAGTAGCGCGGACAGCAGCACTCCATGCGCACGGCCGTGCAGTTGTTGCAGCAGGGGGCGCCGAGGACGATTGTGCTGCGGAACAGCGGGCGGCGGTCGCGGAACGTCACCTCTCCGACACGGCCGAGATCGGTGTACTGGAGGATCTTGATGCGGAGCTCGGCAGGTAGGCGGTAGAATGGGAAGATGTGTCTGGATTCCGTTTTCTGTGTGGCTGTCGCGTCCGTGGTGTCCGTGGTGTCCGTGGCAGTCGTTCTCGTATCGGCACCCGTCGTGAGAGCCAGGATGGCTTGCTGGGCTACTGCCCTGAGATCAAAATCCCGTCGCCGCCGGCCAAGTCGGATGGTGCACTCCCTCAATCGTGATGCAGGCAGAACGGCCCGCTTCAACGGAGCAACCACTCTCTCGGCCGTCTCGACGCTGCCCACGTCGCTGATGACTGTCAGGCCCAGGAGCGGCTTGTCTTGTGGGTACGTTTTGAGGGCCGCCCCCCAAACGTGCGCTGCTGCTACGGTCGAGTCGCCGGAGCCATCTGCCCGTCGGCACGGTCGGATCGCATGTTGCAGAACCGGCAGCAACCCATTGCCGCGCCGCCCTCCACATGTTCAAACGGGCTCGTGCGGTACCGATACGTGAAACCTGTCTCGTCATGGCCCAGCGGACACGGCCAGCAGTTGAGCCGCACCAAGAGCGAGCCCATGCTCGCCAGCCTCACTAGGCAACCCAACAACGCAGCCAGCGGAAGTTGCTTGTGGTTCCTGTTTCCTGCTTCCTGAGTCCGGGCTCCTTATATCAAATCATTTCCAGTGCGATCGTGCACATGTACTTCTGCTGATCGTAAAAAGTGGCGACGAGAGTAGTTGTTTTTATTGACCAATCGAGCTGGAAGAAATGTCTCTGTTTACGCCGGAGGTGCCAAGTAAGATCGCCGTAGATGGCTGTGAATGCAGTGTAGATAAATGAACTTATGCTAAATCTGCTATCTGCACTGTCCCGAGAGACACCCATCGCCTAATGTGAGCCACTTAACGCTAACTTTCATTTTGCAACCAACAACAACTTTAATTAACGTCGCCTCTCAACGTTCCGGTCAACCGTCACTACCATGAGCGACAGTACATCGACGCAGGCACAACCGCCGGCCTACCCGTTCCCGGCCGGCTCTGTATTTGCAGACGGGCACCCGCTGCCGCGCCTCGTCGTCTTCGACCTCGACTACACGCTGTGGCCGTTTTGGGTGGACACGCATGTCGTCGCGCCAATCAAGATCAAAGCAGCGGACGCGGCGGTCGACGAGGCCGTGGCTCGACGGCGGCGAGCAAGGAAGCTGCGCGACGCAATAGCCGCAGGCAAAGCAGGCGCGGGCGCTGACGTGTCTGCACCTGGATCTCCATCTGCTTCTGATTTTACGCCCGTGACCGTGGTCGACAAGTACGGCGAGTCGTTTGCCTTTTACCGCGACGTGCCGCACGTGCTGCACGCCCTGCCGACGGCAGGCATCCGCATGGGCGTGGCGAGCCGGACGTCGGCGCCGGAGCTGGGGCGGGCGATGCTGCAGCTGCTTCGGGTGCCGCAGGGGACGGGTGCGAACAAAAGCGATCGAGACGGAGGTGCAGACGACAACACCGGCGCCGGCGGGGTTGCGGCCATCACGCTGTTTGATGCCGGCCTCGAGATCTACCCGACCAACAAGCTGCGGCACATGGAGGCGCTGCAGACGCGCACCCAGATCGCCTACGAAGACTTTTTGTTCTTCGACGACGAGAGCCGCAACCGCAACGTGGAGACGCTGGGCGTCACCATGTTTCTCGTGCGCGACGGCGTGACGTGGGACGCCGTGGAAAAGGGCGTGCGCGCATGGCGGCGGCGGCACGGCCACAGTGGCGGCGAGCGGCCGGGCAAGGAAAAAAACGGAAAGGTGGGCGACGGCGAAGGAAGCGACTACGAGTACGCATACTAGAGAAGGCGGTACGATCTCACGACGTCGCATAGATGGTAAACATAGACGAAACACGAGACTAATTGATGCATGGCAAGCTCTACTTTGTGTATATATGTAGTGTAAGAGATGGCGCGCCGGCATAGACAACAAAGACAAGATCGCGTCCGATGGACCTCAGACAGTCCAATGTGGCCCCAATACATGGAAGATGCAACTAAAATAGCAAAGGAAAGCAAAATATTAGGTGTATCCAAGATGCGAAGACATAAAGAAATGGAAAAAGAGATCTGGGAATCAAAGTAGCGAGTGGCGTGGCGAGAGGTTCGACGAGACCGGCGAAACAGCCGTCCCCTACGACGCCGCCGTGGGCGCAACAGCCGCCGTCTCCGTCTTGGCGCCTGTGCTCTTTTCCGAGAGGGACAGGTTCTGGATGTCGGCCAGGGGCGCCGCAGCAGCGTCCTCGGCAGCCGCCACGGCGTGACCGTTGCCCTCGGCGGCCGGCTGGGGCGGGGGCGGCGCCTCGGCCGCTTCCTCAAAGGCGACTTGCTCGTCGTCGTTCTCGTCCTCGGCCTCGGCCGCCGCCTTCGTCTCCGGCTCGCCCTTGTAGTGTCGCGGCAGCGTGCACACGCGCACCTGCCGCTCGACCTGGTTCTCGCTGCCGACGGCAATGCACTCGACGCGGTCGTCGTCGTCGTCGGCGTTGTCGTTGCCATGGCCCGCCGCGCGGGGCAGGGGCCGCCAATACAGCGGCCCCTGGGGGAAGGTGTCGAAGCCGGGCGCCCAGGCGGCGCGCGCGCGGATGGCCGGGTCGAGGTTGGGCATCGCGCCCCAGCTAAAGTCGAGCTCGCCGCCGTAGGCCTTGGGGATGTTCTGGATGTCGATAAAGGTCAGGAGGGTCGGCAGGACCTCGTGGTGGCCGAGAATAAAAATCTTGGAGACGGTGACGGGGTCGAACCAGCGCTTGATCCAGCCCCAGACGGTCGAGAAGAACATGGGCGCGCCGATGATGAAGATGCGGTCCAGCGTCTCCGGGTAGTGCGCCGTCGCCAGCGTGCTGGCCGCCTGCATGTGGCCCTTGAGGTTCCAGAACTGCCGCAGGCTGACGCCCGACACGTCCACAATGTTGGTGCTCAGCGTGATGGGCGTCGTCGCCGCAAAGTCGCGGTCCGGCATCTGCGTGCACAGCGGCTGCGCAAACCGCGTCAGGTTCTCGTACAGCGCAAACAGCCGCAGCAGCTTGGCCGGCGTCTTGCCGTCGCCCGTCGCCTTCGAGTAGGTGTTGTGCGCCGTCTTCTCGTACGCCGCAATCGTCTTGCTGTCCAGGTGCCGAATCTCAAACAGGTACAGCGGAATGCCGCGCCGGTCTCGCCGGCCCGTCCACTGCGGGTACAGCCGCCGGCTCTGCTCGTACGCCTCCAGGTCGATCGTGTCGTAGAGCACGTCCAGGTGGTTGTCCGCGCGCCAGTCCTCCGTCTCCTGGAACTGCTTGTACGCGTCCGCCACCACCCACCGCCGCGCCCGCAGGAACCGCAGCAGCGTCGGGTCGTCGTGCGACGCCGGCGCCGTGTCCGTCCGCGGCGTGTAGGCGCCCTGCTCGGCCAGGTACGCCTTGAACTCGCCAAACGCCGCCGCCTCCGCCTCGCTCAGGTACCCGAGGTGGCCGTGCGGGTAGCCGTACTCGACCGCCGCCGCCGCGGCATTCTGCTGCTTGCTGTGCGACACATGGTTGCTGTGCTTCTGGCTGCGGTGCGAGTGCGCGTTGGACGGCGTCTTGGTGATGTGGCCGCCGTCGTCGGCCGAGACCGAATCGCGTGTCATTGTGAGGGGGAAAAGGGGGTGGGAAAGGAAGGGGGAGGTTGAGTCGGCCGGGAAACAGAGGAAGACGCTGTGAGAATGGCCGTAGCGGATGTGTCGGAAACGAGAGTCGGATGACGACCGAGTGGACAAGAGTAAATGCCGTCTGGAGTTGGAGGACAGAACGACGAGGGTGGAAGAAGAAAAGAGCGGTCGGGGAGGTCGGTGAGAATGGTGAGAAGTCCAGTTCAGCTGAGCAGTCGGCGGATGCAGGTTGTGGGGGCCCATATGAAAAAAAAAAAAAAAAAAAAGTCTAAATTACAGCGTGCTAGTGGCAGTGGCAACGGGGCTCGGGAGGTGAAACGACCCGAAATAGCGGGTTGGCGGGCAGACAGCGCTGTAATTACACTTCAAGGACCTGCCAAAACGTGTCAGGGGGGGTCCACCCAACCAGTTTTTGAAAAGCGGTGGCAGATATCATCCCTTTCATCACCTTCACGTTCCTTTGTATGTTCTTAGCTGGCCTGCATCTCTTGCTCCTCCGATTTCTCGGCCGTTGGTAGTGGAGAGCCCCTGTCAAGCCCAAGCGCCCTACATGCAGCCCCCGAATGCCCTGGAGTGTTGTCATGCGGGTCAGCTAGGGATGCCGTTACCGGCGCTAGTGTCACTGAGCAGTGATGTTACCTTTTTAAAAGTTTAAATATATATATACAGCAGAAGCTCCTTTTGTCGGCCTTGCGCGTGCCTGGTCGACCCTCTATTATAATTGATACAATAATCAATTTAGAACAGAAGGATAAATGTCGCAGATGCGAATATTTCTTTTTCCATAGACATTGTTTCCTGGTTTCATCTGGCTGCGTGATATACGGCATTTACTAACGCGCTGTTTGTTCACAGCATAGACTTAATTCAGCAGGTATTCGTCGTTTCCACGAGTCTATTCAGGACTATGTAACATAGCTGCTTTGTCGACACGGAACAGAGATGTTGTGTGGGCATATTTGTTTTGCCGGCACGACTCAAACGGAAACTGAATACACGGGTCGCTAAAGCATTCTCCTTCTATGCCTTCACCACCCGGTCAACAAACTTGACAATGGCCGTGTTCGTCTCCACGGGCCGCTCCCAATACACCGCGTGGCCCGCCTCCGGCACGCGCACCACATCCAGACGCGGGAACGTCTCCTGGAACATGGCAACCAAGGCGTCTGGCTTCACGACCTCTTCCTGGTCGCCGACGATGAAGAGGGCGTCGTAGTGGGGAATGGCGGCCAGCAGCTTGGCCGGGTTTTGGGCGTGCTTGGTCTGGCTGTGGAGGCGGACCGTGGTGGGCGTCGTGGTCACAGTGCCGATGAGCGCCGACCGGAGGGTGTAGGACATCGCTTCGCGGTTGGGCTTCCAGACGCAGAGGTCGAGAAAGTCGGCTATGATTTGGCCGTGTGTGTCGCCTGTGGAAGCTTCTTTGATCGGCTGATAATACTTGCCCACGGAGGGGAAGTTGACTTTGGGAAACTAGTTGTAGTCAGTAGACCGAGGACGAAGCAAGCGGGAAACGAAAAGCGACCGAAGACAGGTCAAAACAGAGCGTAAGCGTACCAGTTCCATATAGGGCACGCCGGCGAGATAGATCAGGCCGGCGATGAGATGGCCAAAGTCGTGCTCGAAGACGTCCGAAATAATGGTGCATCCGGCACTCCAGCCCGCAGCAAAGACCTTGGAGGCGCCGTAATAGGCGCAGACTGCAGCAAAGTCTTGGGCGTAGCACAACGACGTCCACTGCTCGTCTTTGGACGGCGAGTCGGACCGGCCCTGCCCACGGGGTTCGTAGGTGATCTGCGAAAGCGTGTAAATAATGACAGCGCAGTAGGCAGCCATGGTAAACATGCAAGGAATGCCTCACCAGACAGTACTTGGACAGCAACTCCTCGTCACGGAACTGGAGGTCAAAGAGAAGCGCCGAACTGGCAAAGCCGGGGATAAAGACAATGGCCGGTGCCTCCTTGGCAGAACGGCCGGCCTGGGCCGCCCAGATCTTTAGGCCATCGGCCGACTCGACCTGCGGTTCGTGCGTGTCGAGAGCGAACATGGTGTGTGCGTGTGCGTGTATAATCTATGACTATGAACTGACACTGAAACAATGACGTGCAGAAGAGGGCCATAAAAGAGTAAAGTATAACACGTTCGTCTGCTAATAAACAAAATCGTTTACCCAACGAACGGCATACCATTCGTGTATTTATATTTACTCATCTCGAATGCCTTGCCGAGGCTTAGCCCGAAGCTCTCCACATCTGGTTGTTCGTTTGTGGCATACAGCACAGCCGCCATGAGGGCGAACGCGGGAGGGGATTGCTGGATTGCTACCAATCCTGCGGTAACAGGCTTTTGGTCCACCGGAATACGACGTATTATATCATGTCGACCCTGAATTGTAAGCCACGGGAGCCGTAAAACTCGCACCACGCCGTTGGAGCAACCAACTTCATCCCCTGTCCAGATTTCCTGTCCCCTCCCCGTTCTGCTGCAGATCGCCGTATCCGCTTAACTCCGCCTTTCAATCCCCGAGCGCGAATGGCGTCGGAGAGATGATGTGCTCCCCACATCGTACGGGTTCCGTGTCGCTTGTGTGGAGTGTGCAGTTGTGTGGTGACGCAAAATACGTCGTATTGCGCAATGCACGCTCGGGCGGGATTGTACATGTACGCCAAAGTGACTACGTTTTGCGCTTTGGCCGACATGGCCAGGCCCTTGTAGAAATTTGTTGTGTTTTCTCGGTTTTTAAAAAAGACAACACAGATAGCTTACCGGTGCGATACGGACTCCGCTGGAGCCGCAATTTGTTCTCTGTTCTCGGGACGACAAAGAAACTGTTTTCGAATTGTACGAATCAACACGACGTAACAGAAATATCCAAAAAGGTGACATGTCCATAAAAGTAACAAAATTATTGACCCTCTGGTCACATAGAATGGCAAGTATGGCCTGCATGGAATTCCATACCGGAGATAAAATGAAGATAAGCTTAACATTTTGTCTCCGGCTGTCTCACGCTTTTACTCCGTGTTCCTCTCCAACAATTTATGCTGACACCAAGCGGGGGCAATCGTTTTCCCGGCGCCAACGGTGCTACGTTGACCCGGTGTAGCTGCAATATAGATGTTCCTGGAATCGACCATGATGTAATTTTCCACTTAAATTACTTGGAGAAGCTATACTTGACGCATATAAACCTTGCGTTTTCATATTCATTGCATTCTGTCCACGTTCCTGTTCAATGAAGCGTATCCCACTCTCAAAAAACAGACCAATTTCTGCTTTTAGGACAAGTTGGCAGGGTAGATCTCTGCAGCTGGATCGTGCGTGCGTGACTTGAAGCTGTGGCCTAATGCGTGGCCTCGGACGCTTCAGGTGCGATCGGGGGTGAACCATCTCTGCCGTGGTTGGAAAGTTGTACTTTCTTGGCTGGAATCGTACTGATGGTGCTATCGGACTTGACTGAGTCGCGGTCCTGGGCCTTATCCTCTACCTCTTCCTTTACCTCTTCCTTTGCCTCTTCCTTTGCCTCTTCCTTTACCTCACCCTTTACCTCATCCTTTACCTCATCCTTTACCTCATCCTTCACCTCATCCTTCACCTCATCCTCCACCTCATCCTTTGCCTTATCCTTTATTTTTTCCTTGATCTTGGCAGAGTACACTTGGCCGTCTGCAGAGATCACGGCTACAACGGTCATGATGTAATCAATTTCGTTGCTGTTGGGCTTTTTGACTCTGGGCCGGGCAGCGACTGCCTCAAGAATGGCACCCTGTTGCTGCCAAACCGTGCGACCCGCGAGCAGCAAACTCAGTCTGTCTCCTGCCTCGGTGCGCGTGTGGACGAGCAGGTCATCCCGCGTGCCGCTGATGCCAACAACGTAGTCATCATCCTCCCCGGCCCCATATACCTCTGTACATGTGAATTCGACATCGTCGACATGATCGAGACGGTAGATGGTCGGTTTCCGAGTCGATTGGGGGGTTGACGAAGAGGATGCCGCGTTGTTGTTGTTGTTGTTGTTGTTGTTGTTCGTACCGTGGCCAGCATCTTTAGACAGAATGTAGAGCGTCGTGCCCGCCCATGCAAGGTCGGCAATTTCAAACGGAAACGCATGATCATAAGGCTGTGTGGACAATGAGATGCGCTTCGGTTTCCGGTTGTCACCACCCAGCGAGATATATGATGTGGTCTGTGTAGGCTCTGTGTTGGTCTTGTCGTGACTCAGAAAAGCTACATCGCGGGTGTGGCCATCTTGCGGCGTGACAGGCTGCCCATACTTTCGGTTTGAGACCACTCGCGCCGCCACGGCCGTCACCAATCCGTGCCCGTGAATGGCACTACTATATCTACCCCCACCGGTGAACCGCTGATCCCAGGCATATGGTGCGTGCTGTGAAACAATGACGATTCGCCCGAAAGGGGTTAGGGTAAATTGAGTAAAGGGATAAGGGCACTCAAGGGCCGTTGGCAGCTCGTCGAGGTTAAGCCGATGGAGGTACACCGCGTACTTTTGATCTTCCGAGCGTAATGGACCCCGGTCCGACATGAACACAATGTAGCCTCCTTTTTCGGACCATTTCGGCGAGCGGTCGTCAAATGAACCGTCCGTAACGCGTCGCGCCGAGTGTTGTTTGCCCGCGTAGGCCATCCAGATGCTGGACGTGAAAGTCCACTCGCTGGTGTCAGCCTCCGTTGTTTCCGTTGTTTCCTCAATTTCCACTGCTTCCCCCGTTTCCGTTGCCCTGACTCTTCTTGCTCTTTTTCGAATCTGGTATGCCACCTTTCTGCCATTTGGGGCGATGCAGAGTCTTGTCGGCCGACCCAGATCGCCGCTGTCGTCCTGCTCCATATGCTTTAGCTCGTCTTGCTTCGTTGAGTTTGGCGATGGGTTTTGGGAGTTGCACAGTCTTGCACCTGTAGGTGCGATGTTGAAGAATGCTTTAATGCGTTCGTCCTTGAACCTCTCGACATCATTTGGATAATCTGTGCAACTGTCGAGAATACGCAATTGCGGCACAGCAAGGGATGCGATTGCACGTGGTACTCGGGCCACGCCGGGTATTCGCATGCCCACCCGCCACCAACATACAAATTGGTCGAACCAACAGCCATTGAATTTATCCTGAGACTCTTGGTCCAACGGTATCTTTTTGCATTTGCCCGCCCGAGATCGGGCTCCACACCGGTCTCTCATCGCGGCCCCTAGGGGCCAGAGCCTGAGAAATATCGGCATTTTGGGCCTTTCTACTACGACCCCGTGCCGTGTTGGCACGGTCCTCATTATTAAGGGGTCACGGTGCCTGAAAAGGCCAACGATTGTTTCTGCGGCCCGAATATATGGCCGACTGTTGGATCTCTGAGTGCACGACGGGAGAAACGGGTACATTGACTCTACTGCCACCTTTGTATCTACCAACAACACACTCCAAAAGCATTCTCATGTGCTAGCAGAGGGCGTTAGGTGGTTTTCTCCATAGGAAATAATTTTTAAATAGGAATATCTCCCGTAATACTGAGACACACATTAAATACCTCCGGCTATAGACTTCATGAATTTATAGAAGTATGCCATGTGTCTGTTGGATATACCACACATGCGCATGCAGTTCGTTGGTGTTTTATCAATGGAGCATACAAAATACCTTTGAATTCGAGAACGTTACTTGTCAATATATAAACAATGCTGTACAGCACCTACATTGAGGAATGTCGGCCATGGCACTCACCCAATGTCATAATTAAGACTCCGCCTATTCCGCACAACTGCAGAGAACAGTGACCGCCATGTTTTTTCGCCGCGCAACGACGCTCGTGCTGCTGTGCACATTGCCAACCAAGGCAGCGCGACTTGACACACGAAATCGAAAGTTTACCAATCAGACTGCGGAAGCCGAAATCTCCGTATTCAACCACTCTCTTGCGGTGCTGGCTGGTCAGTCCATTGGCGCTTCCACGCCCAACTCGCAGCCCGGGCCACTACTATGCCCCACGGGTATTTGTGCAGATGTATGTTTATAGTCGACAATAAACGAGGTGGACTACCATTCGACTGACTCTTTGAATAGGACTCCTGTATGTGTGCCCAAGCTCAATCATCATGGACTGTTGTCATATAAGTCATCTATACAGACTGGGTGCGTACTAACCATGTGCCTAAGGTTGTGGAAGCAATGGAAAGTGCGGCTTTGAAGAAGAGAATTGCGGTGCTGGATGTGTGAGCAACTGCAATGCCACCGCCATGTGCGGCCGCAAGAGTTTGGGCGGCAACTTGGCATGTGGCATGAATCTATGCTGTTCTTACTCGGGCTGGTGTGGTTATGAGGTATGACGGTTCCTCCGTAATCTCCATGCACACAACAACACATTTTTGCTGACATGGCTTTCTAGGACGTCCATTGTCAACACTCTGAGGGATTCGGGGCCGGAAAGGGGGACTGCCAAAAAGGCATAGGATATTGTGGTGATCCAGGTATGTTTCTATGACCATCGTGCCCATTGTACCTTCATCCTTCGTGCCTTCCATTCTAGTTCATTTGCTGCTGTCACCCTTATTTATTTGTTTGCGCTCATTCGCTCCTACCTGTTACCATTTCACCTTTTCTTGGCTCCTTCCTTGTTGTGTTCCATCGTATCATTGCCCCTTCCAATTTTGGTAATTTGCCTCTTTCCTTTCAAACTATTGTGTTGACGTCGAACAAGCTCCCAAAATGCCCAAGGCTGTCGGCGGCAACTCTGCATCCGGTCGCAAAATTGGCTACTGGCAAAGCTCCAACGTCCACAAGCGCCAGTATAAAGATGGCAAGTTCAAGTGCCCTCCCGTCCGACCAGGCGACATTCCTCTTGATACCAATATTCCCCTCGGTGGCCGTTGGACGCATTTATACTATGCTTTTGGTGCGATCAACCCGAAGACCTTTCATATCGTCGATGATCCAGCCAAGGCACCTTTGTACACGGAATTTACTGCCCTCAAATATCGACCAAATGGGCCACAGACTTGGATCGCCGTCGGTGGATTCGATTTCAGTGACCCCGGCGTAGATCCGGATGCAGAGACCGACACCGCACCGGATGTGTCCACACACAGCACCTGGAGCGACATGGCAATGACGACGGACCGTCGAACAGCATTCATACAATCGCTTATTGCCTTTATGGACAAATACGGCTTTCAGGGCATTGATCTCGATTGGGAGTATCCCGTCTCCGAGGATCGTGGTGGACGTCCAGAGGATACCGAAAATTTCGTGTCTCTAGTTCGCGAGATGCGACAGGTCTTCGGCACGAAATACGGCATCAGTGTGGCTTTGGCGCCCGATTTCTGGTACCTACGTTGTAAGTTGGGTGTAACCTTGACTCATTTGACTTCCTTCGGAGTGTTACCCTCTGACAGTGATAGACTTCGATGCTGTCGCCATGCAACCGTATGTCGACTGGTTCGGCTTTATGGCATACGATCTCCATGGTGTTTGTAAGTATCCAATGCTTCTTGCCCTTACACTCGGTCACTAGATTTTCGCTTACACAGGTATGTACAGGGGCATCGGACAGCAAAAGTAAACTCGTCAGAGGCCATACAGATGCCGACGAAATCTACAAAGACATAATCCCACTTTCCTTTGGCGGCCTGGATTTTAAGAAAATCAACTTTGGCATGGCAATCTACGGGCGAGGGTTTACGCTGGCAGACCCGAAATGCCGAGCCATGGACGGGGCCTGCTCATGGACAGGTGGAAACGAGGCTGGTATTTGCACCGACTTTTCTGGTGTCTTATCATACGATGAGATTCAGCAAAAGATCTTAGATGCCCAGCGCCAGAACCGGCCAGGCCCGACCCTGGACCCTACAACAATGATGAAATATCTCACATGGGGCGACAAGCAGCAAAATTGGATCGGATATGATGACCAAGAGACTTGGCAGCTCAAGAAGACAAATCTGGCCGACAAATTTGGATTTGGTGGGTTTGGCAGATTTTGTCATCTCTTGACGCTTTGATCGTCTTGGAAAGAAAATACTGACCAGGTCTTCATCCAGGTGGTACTATGTTTTGGTCAGTTGATTTCAGTAAGTACTAGCGATGAACCCTACCTGCAACCTTCGAGGCCTCACTATCCTAATAATTGATGCAGTGGGCCAGGGTATGAATATATCGGATGTGTACATTGATCCTGCACTGGTTTGCCAGGATGGAAACACTGGCAACCGCATCGCATCTTGCCATCAACCGTGTCGTTTGATTATGCCCCAATGTGCCATCCCCACGACAACCGTGACGGCCACATATACCATCACATTCGAGGTTTACCAGGGTCCGTCTTCGACTCCTACCGAGACAATGACCACGGAAGTCACAGTTACGACAGCCTCCATCTCGTTCTCGCCTGTTTACGTCGGCGGTGGCCGTAATGGAGGTGACACATTTACCCCCGTTCCCATCATTCCTATGCCATCCATGATTCTTTCTGTGACCCCAACTGCCGGTGGCACTGTGACAACCCGTACAGTCACCCTGCCTAACTGGCCTACGACAGGCCAGTGGCCACCCCCCGGCGGAGTCACTAACCAGGACCCTTGGCAAGCGCCCACGCACAGCGATGCAAGCAGCAGCACGTCAACACAAGAACCCTTTGCTCCTCCTCCGCCGCTATACCCGATAACGGGCCCTACAGACCCTCCAGTACCCAAGGAGACAGTTTTCAGAACGACCGAGAAGACCGAGACGACCAGCACGACAACAGCTGCGGCTGTCATCATGACATGGCCACCAGGTGTAATAGAACCTACAGACAACGACGATGACGATATCATACCATGCCATGCATGGTTCCTTACCGTATGTTTGAGTGACACTGCCGTTGACACGTATTGAACGGTACAACCACAAATAAGCTCTGTTTAACAAGTCAAGTTTTGCTTCTCCTGGCCCGGGTTCGATTTCAAGGGCTTTAAATTGAACTTTCCAATACCACCTGGTCTTTACATGTGAGTACAAATAAATCGCAAGTCGAGCTAATCTACACACTGATTACGTTGGCAGTTTTCCACCTCCCGATCCTCCTGCTATTAAACCACCCCCAGGCGTGAACATTGATCTGAAACCCGAGCCACACATCACTCTGACGTACGTCACTCGTATCTGCTGCCATGACTGGAGAAACAAATCATATTTGAGATATTTTTACTAGGCCGTGACTTGGCACTGGTTCACAGCTAAACAATGTCGATAGACGTGGCAAGGACAACAAATGGACCACGCCGCAGCGGAGTGACCAAACTAGTTCCTGCGCACACAGTACCACGGTGTATGATACGGCAATATCCGTGACGGCGACGGTAACAATTAGCGGAAAGAGCACATGGACATCGACAGCTACAGTGCGGTCAACGCAGATTCCTCGGACCGGTTGTCACTTACAGGCCACGGCCACAACCGGCCAAACATTTGTGACAAACACTAACTGCCCACATGCCAGAGGTATCGTAGCCTTTGAACGCAAAAACAGGGAAGATGACAGTAATTCAGATGGTAGTGATCCAGATGATAGTGATTCGGACAGTAGTGAGTGGGGCGACCATCAGCTCTATTCCGCTCAGAGACATGCCAACAATAAATCTCTTGGCCATGATGATAACCTTAGCCAATCAAGACCTGGTAAGAATATCAGAAAATCTACCAGCCGACGATATCCATCAGCACCGCAAGCTCCACACAGACGGGAAGAAAACAATGACATCGACATTGACTGTTGGTTTGGTCATTATGGTATACTGTTGCCAGCGGATCCCTTTAACGTCGTCGACATTGATCGGCTTCTAGATGACTACAAAGCAAATCGGAATCTCCAGTTCACCAAGATATGGGCACCATCGCATCGAGGGTTCACAGCAGGTTACTTTTTGGAGGATGCTACGATACGGCTCGAAAATGAATTAATAGCGCTTCGGAATAGTGGAATCGTAAGTACAGCGTCCCGACTTGTTTTATTGTCCCTGAAACCGAGGCCCAATCTCTCTGGATGACGGCCATACTAAACAGTCCCGTATTTTTGTCTAGCTACGACCTTTTTTTTTCGTAAATCACTACCAATTTAGTGACTCATCGGATGGATCACTGGGCGGATCGCTGCGACGACGAACCAGACCAGCGAAGTCATGCAATATCACAGAAACAAAAGCACAAAATAGAGAGCAGGAAGTAAGGCGCAGTACAAACGTCGTCGCCAAATCTGGTTCGTGGAGCGCATCTCAGGTCTCAGTTCCTAGAGGCGTTCGATGGCCAAACGACCAATCCCGCATAGGGAATGACTACAACTATTATTACCACCCATCCGCTGGCCAGGGTCAAAACATATATATTTGTGAGGTTGAAGATATTCCTTGGCACGCCCATACAGTAAGCATAAACGTCATCGCCGCCACTCTCTGTTCTCGATTAGTACACTCTGACCACGTTGGACAGGAATTTTCAAACGTCCAATTACGCAACTTGCCAGTACGTGCATACGGTGTCCGTGGGGGGCCAGTCTTCACCGGCGACGGTTACCACGAGCCCCTGGTTCACGAGGAACGCCATGCCTCACAAGTGGCGGCCATGGCTGTCGGTCAACAATTAGGCATCGCCAAACGCGCCAACTTGTGGACATCAACGGCTGGCGCAGAATCATTTATAGAAGGCGATGTTCTTGAAGGTGCATTCTGGTTGAATGACGCTTTAGTGGAAATCCTCGAAAGCATCGCTTCACAAAATAACGCCCGTACCGCCGTCCTCAGCATTTCCTTTGACTCCAAGTTGTCTGGAAACCCCGCGATGATAAGTCTTGATCTTATGGGAAGTAAGTCTATACTGCGGCAAAGATCGTTGTGTGTTGCATACTTTGCGTTGCCTTGACGCTGACAGTCATTTTCTGTTTTGTTTCGACCCTCCCTTACAGCTGCCATCTTGTTCGAGTTTTACAAGCTAAATATCCCCATTGTTATGTCATCGGGAAACATCTTTAATGAGGACCCGGCAATACTGTGGCCGCCCATCCTTGCATATGAAAATTATAGAGGATATAATAGCATTCCCGGAACGCCAAATAGGAACGAACTCAGAAACTTTGCAAACTCCATCATGTTGGTCGGTGCCACTACAAAAAACGGTCCCAAAGCCGATTTCAGCCAGTTCAGTTCCCTTGTTCAGCTACACGCGCCAGCGAAGGCGTTATGGGCTGTTCGAGCCCCGGAACATGGCAATGGTCTCATCGAGACAAACAACGCAGAAGTACGGGGGACGTCGTATGGTAAGACTGATGCAAATCGATAATGGCGCGCATATTGAATAGTGGCTCTATTCGTCATATCCTGAGTCCAGTGATCATGTAACACAAAATCTCTAACACCGTAGGCAGCCGCACCGCAGGTCGCTGGCCTGATTGCCTACTTCAGAGCACTTCCAAACGCAGATCTCCAAAAACGACTTAGTGACGTACGAACATTGGTATGTTTCTTTCTATTTATGTTTCAATTTTCTGACTGCATATGATTATTTGGGCGTACACCGTGACGTTGTATGTCTTTCTCTCCGACAAGAACAGCTCGTGTCAGCATTGAGCAGCTACATTAACGATTCACACCGTAGAAATATTTCCTGGGCAAATTGGCACGCGTCTTGAACGTCATGCCTGGCCTCCCAATGCCACCTAAGTACAAAGCGAGATTTCCCGAAACACTGATGGTCCGGACGATATGGAATGGCCAGCTGCCCGAAGACTTGTCATGTCTCGTACAAGAGGATATCGACAAAATGACACAGGCACAGAGGAACGTGTGTCCCGACATTAAAGACGACAGGTTCTGGAACGACGCAAAATACTGGAACGCCATCAGCACCACGGATGATAACGACAAGGGCCAGGCCATTGAGTGGCAACCAGGCGAACCTGGACCGCTATGCTCGGCAGCCGCCCCGTCAACTACTCCGTCGAAGGGCTCCGGGCGGGGAACTCTTCCTCCAGAGCTTAATGGTCGCGCACCGCAAATTGTCCTAGGACCAGGCCAGTGTGGTGCAGGCTGCAACAGTGACTGGTACTGCGACGATTCGCCAGACGGAGTGCCACCGTTTTACCGAGACCCCAAAGATCCGGTTTGTTTTGTTCTTTCTCCTTTTTTGTCTCTGCGATGCTGTGGCTGTCAGGAACGCTCAAGACACTTTCCCTATTTAGTTATTTCCCGTCCTGAATTTTGACAGCTAACACTCCGGCCTGATAGAACAAGGGCAACCCGTATTTGGGCATTCTTCCAGTGCCGATACCGATCCCGACTCCACTGCCGTCAACGGCGCCCCAAGTCCGGCATTGCCATTTCCATATCACAAAAATATTCACGTACACGACATTGATCGCACCTACGAGTCCAACATTGTCTCAGCTCAGCTGTACAAGCTATGACCCCAACAACGCCAACACTGTCCTCGGTACCAAAAATATCGGCACTGCGAGTGGGAATAAGCTGGTCTGGTCGGCTTCTCAGTCCAGGCTGCCCGCTGATATTCACTTTGCGCTATCCAGCTGCCTTGTTCCGCGGAGCATGAATTTCCGCCGCGGAGTGGACGGCACGGATGATACGGACAGTACAGACAGTGTGGACGGAGTTGACAGTGCGGACGGTACGGATGGTGTAGACGGTGTGGACGGCTCAGACGATACACCGTTAGAGTCCGACAACTGTGTAATCACGTTTACGACCAGCGGCCACACCTGGTCGACGGACGACCGCGATTCGTCAAAGGCAGCGTATTGCAACGTGGGCAAATACTCGGGTCATTTGGTACGTTCCTCTTTCCATAACACCCTTTCATTTCTTTGCTCGTGGTAGTAATGAGTACTGACCAGCCTTGCTTTTCGTTCTTGCAGACCCAGGACATGGACTGTTTTTACACATGCTAGATATGACGGCGGGCGAGAAACGGGCTCCGACGGCTGTGTGTCCGCGTGCAAGAATACCAAGAGAACCATCTGGTTTAGATACGACTAGGCTGGCTTTAATTGAACGCTGCCGTTGCTCCGTCGGCGATACCTGTGTCGTTATGTGGCCAACGCCCCGGACTTTTTTATCAAAGTGTTTATTTTGGAAGTGTTTGATATATTTTAGTTATGTTATTACGATAATTATATTTATATTCATAGGGATCTTATTTTTTCGTAAAAGAAGAATAACTACACATTTCTCATTAATGTAGCATCTTTAAATTACACAATTGTCTACATCAACGTCAAGTCATGGCTTGTTACAGTGTTAAAATCAAGGTCATTGTGATTTACAGCAGCGATATGTGTTGAATCCATGGGACAGTAGATTTGGCGTTGACTTTGTTTACCGATAAGAACAGTGTCAAAATCCAACAGAAATGGCGGGAGCCCCCAGCGATTAAGGTTAAAGTATGGGTCCCTCCGAACCTCTCACAAATCCCTCTGCACTGTGGTGCCCGTTTTCAGCCGTCAAGTGGCCAGTACATTGTGCAAGGTTAATGTCTGTTTGGTTGGATCGAACAGGCAACTACTACCATCGTTGTCGTGTGTGTGCCAAGACGCATCTGGCGGCTGTTTATGGTTAGTTTTGTAGCTGCCTAATCCTACCAAAAAGGCCTACAGCCTCCTCTTGCACTCGTCCGGAGTCTGTGTCTGTGCCTTGCCATTGGCTTTCTGGTGACCCTTCTCCGCGGGGTGTTTGCGTACTGCATGGTGGTGCTCTGTATAAAGACGCCACAGCCATGTTGCGGGGAAGTCGAAGGATGTCCTTGTCCACCCCGTTCAACTGTTGTTTGCTCATCGACAGATCGACCGCATCCACTTCTCATCATCGCCGCCTCACCATGTTTGGCCGCATCAACCCCAATCCTGCCGGGAACAGCCGTCGTTCTCGCCACGGCCCCACCTCTGGCTTGACCGCAGACGGCCCGGCATCCTCTGCCGCCGCCGCCAGACGTTCGCACGTCGCCTACGGCGGGGCAAGCTTTCTCGTCTTGCACGGCGTCTGTGATCAACGACATCTGGGCCATGCGCATGGCCTCGTCCCCGACGCCGGCGCTGGAATGCGCCGTGGTGGGCGACGGATTTGGGCTGGCCATGGCGGCGCTGTACCTGGGCGTGAACCACGACGACTACTCCTTGTTCAAAGTCCCCGTCGGCGAATACGCTTCGATGTACGGGGACGTCGTCTTGCTCCAGCTGGCCAAGGCGGCATTTGTGCTGGCGATTGTGGTCGGGGCGATGCGGCTGGTGTCCGGGGCGGTGACGCTGGTGCTGGCATGCACGCGGAAGCGGGGGCCTCGGCACCACCCGTATTAGAAGGCGATGGGTGCGTCAAGACAGCGACTCTTGCGGCGTTTGTTATCGACGATATCACAAGCCGGCAGTAAGCCATACCGAGTGGGGATGAGTTAAATACCAGATACCGATTGGTTGTGCGAACGATCCATAGCGGCACAGATTGAGCATCGGATGAAGTTATGTGAATAGCGTTTCAGACTCGCCGTCGCTGCTGCGTGAAAGTAAACCAAATGACTGTGAAAGCGACGGACAGCAAAACTGACGCGCTGCAGAACGTCATATCGATCCAACATGTACATTTACTAAACGTGTTGATTGCCGCACTGTCATTGTAGCCACGCCCGGCCTCCATGCGGCGCCACATCCGGCGTCGGTCTGGCTCGGACGAGCACGGTCGAGTCGGTCTCTCGTTCGGTCCCGACGTTCGTCCACCTATGACAGCTAACGGAAATTCCGTTGGCGCCTTGTGGATCTCGAAAGGGGCGAAATCCAGAGCGATCGACAGAACTGAAGGGATAACACAGACACGACAGACTGGAATTGCGGACAGATGAGAATGTGAAAAAACAGGTGGGATGGGTATTTGTCTACAAACCAGAGTAAGTGGTGTATGTTTGTCTGAGACGGAGGAAAGGACCGCATTTCTTTTCAAAGCATGTCCCACGCTACTAGACCAAGGAGGTCGACCTCGGACGATGGAGAGGAGCGTTTGCGAGAAAGTATTAATACCGGGCCCAGGGCCGACACGCTAAGCCTTAGGGACGTTACGCGCATTGGCGCATTGTCGCATTGTCCGCGGGCAGTCGCAAGTCGGACCTTGAAAGGGCCGACGTTTTGCAATGCGCCGTTCTCGACAGTTGAAAATGGAGGACTTCCCCAACCGCGTCCGACAGCTGCTGGATTTTATGCGTCGTTTTATCATTCGTACACTCCTCAGTTGATAATATTGACATCCACGTCCAATTGTGTGTTAAAGGCTCTCGTTGAACACCACTAACACCACTAAGCCACTAGCCAAACTGCCCACTAACACCGACAGCTGCGGGTTACTTCAGCACCACCAAGCCAAGGTGCACAACATCTCGTCCTCATCAAACAGCTTCATTTTGCACGTCAAGTTCACATCGTTTCCTCCCACGGTCCCCCAGTCCACCCACGCTTATCCCGCGTTGCACCTGCGTGCTGCGACTGCCCACCGACCCAGCTTTGCTTCCACAACAGCCATCTGGAGCGTCCCCCTCACACAACCATACAGGTGTCAGGTTCATTTATTGCTGTTATTATCCCGGCCGACACATATAGCCGCTGTGCTGTCCTCTTCTTCACCGCACCTCTTATTTTGATCTGCAGTCTTCTCCTCCCAATGGCGTTTCTCGCCTCGACTGCACGCATCGGCCTCCGTCCTCTTGCTCAACACCAAACTGTCCCGTCACGACACCTCGCCTCACAGACCAGAACCGCCATTCACAGCCATTCCCTGTCATCACCACCGCGCCCAACCGCCCCCATGAGCGCCTCTGTTCTCTTCGCTGCCGCGGCCGTCGCGGTCGGCGCCTACGTTGCGTACACGCGGACGTCGTCCACCGCCCAGGCCGAGGCGCCGGGGGGCAAGCCCCCGTTTGCCAGCTTCGGGTTCCGCACGCTGAGGCTCGCCAGCAGCGAGACGGTGAACCACAACGTCAAGCACCTGCGGTTCGACCTGCCGGACCCCAAGACGCCGAGCGGCCTGACCGTGACGTCGGCCCTGCTGTCCATTACCTTTCCCAACGGCCGGTGGCTGCCGGTCCTGCGGCCGTACACGCCCATCAACGACACCGGTGCGTGGCGGTCTTCCTCTACTTTTTCATCTTCTATCCCTTTTGCTAACACTGCATGCAGACGACCTCGGCCGCATTGACTTTTTGATCAAGAAATACCCCGACGGCAAGCAGTCCTCTCACCTGCACGGCCTCCAGCCGGGCGACGCCGTCACCTTCTTCCGCATTCCCGGCTACAGCTGGACCCCCAACGAGCAGCAGCACATTGCCGTCATCGCCGGCGGCCAGGGCATCACGCCCTGCTACCAGCTGCTGCGCGGCATCCTGCGCAACAGCAGCGACCGCACCAACGTGACGCTCGTCTGGGGCGTCAACACCGAGGCCGACCTGATCCTGGACAAGGAGCTGGCCGCCCTGCAGGCGCAGCACCCCGGCCGCCTGACGACGCAGTATGTCGTGAGCACGCCGTCCACGAGCGCTACATCGTCCACGGCCTTCAAGAGCGGCCACGTCACGAGCGCGGTGCTCAGGGCCGCGGGCGTCTCGGCGGCCGACGGCGTCGGCAAGGTGTTTTTGAGCGGCCCGCCCGCCATGGAAAAGGCACTGTTGGCGCGCGACGGAGCGCTGGCTGAGCTGGGCTTTGGCAAGAAGGAGGTGCACAAATTCTAGGCGGAAAAGAGCCAAGGGTGTGTCACAACGAGAAAGGTGGTTTCTTCAGGTTTTTTCTTTTCTTCTTGTTCTTATTTTCAACATTTCAATGTTGTTCATGGGGTGTAGTTTCACAGAAAAGACAACAATGCCTGTTGCCATACATTTATCTCGACCAGGTCGTTGGATCGATGATCATTTCTCATTGTCACGAGCTTTAAAATATCAAGCAAAGTTTGTCTGTACAATACTCGTTTGAACACGCTGGTGTCTTTCAAACCTTATTATTTTCTGCTCGTCTTCCAGTCACCGTTGCATATATAAACGGCCTGTTAAGTGGTTGTTTACCCGGACGCAAATTGGCCCCTGTCCAATTACAGATTGCGCCTCGGCGCGTTCATGCCATTGATTGTCGGCCCCATGCAATGCCTGGTCTTAAAACGCTACTGTATTCGGCATACAGTACTTCCCAATGACTCCAATTTGGCATTGGCTGTGTTCCGACGTCACTGATGCCAGCTTGTCAAGTACTGCACAGCACCTCCATTGCCGTTGCCGAGACCGCAGGCCAGATGACATCCAGGCAGGAAAATGGTCCTCTTCGGCTCGTCGTGAAATTCTCCGAGCTTCACAACTGGCTTGCCGTTCGTGTGCCATTCTCATCATCTCCAAGGTAAATCCAGTCTGTGGAACGACAGCGTGCTTGTAAACTGCCAACGACCATGGCCGGCCCGTCACGTTCGACCGCACCGGTCGTCCACACCCACAAAGCATCCATGCTCTTCTTCCTGGCGGCATCGTCCACCCTCGTCACAGCAGCATCCGCAGCCCGCGACTACAGCATGATCAAGTCGGACCTGCCACTGCCCCAGGTCGGCCAGTGCGCCTGGTCCAAGTATGGCTACCCCCTGCCCACCACCGGCCAGGACGTCTGCCCGCGGCCCGTCTCCGACCTCTCGAGCAGCTTTGCGCCCTGGTCGTACCCGCCGTACTGCATCCGCGCGCCCATGAACGCCACCGTCCCCGACCCCGAGGCGGGCGAGGCCCGCGTCAGTGCCGGCGGCCGCAAGTACTGCGTCTACACCGCCCGGACCTTCCGCGGCCGCGGCCTCAGCGTCATCTCGACGCCGCAGGGCGCGGCCAACCTGGTGGCGTCGCTCGACGACACGCGCGTGCTGCCGCGCCTGCGCGACCACCCGGCCAGCAGCATGGCCAGGCGGGACGCGCGGCGGGACGCGGGGCGACCGTACGTGATCAAGAACGTGGCGCCGGGCCGCGGCAAGGGGCTGGTGGCGCGGCGGCGCGTGCCCAAGTGGGGGGAGGCGCTCGTCGGGTTCCCCATCATGGTGGCCCGCACCGACTTTTTCGAGGCGCTGCCGGACGCGGACCGCCAGGCGCTCGAGGACCGCGCGCTGCAGCAGCTGCCGGCCATGGCGCAGGAGGCCATTCTGGCGCTGGCGCACGGCGGGGCGGGCGCCGGCGACAAGGAGCATCTGCTCGAGCACATCTTCCGGAGCAACATTTTTGGCATCGAGATTGCGGGCGTACACCACTTTTCGCTGCAAGTGGAGGGATCGGTACGTTGATGAGATGACCAAGTCCAAATATATATATATATATCTATATATATATATAAAAGGTACTTCGACCGCAGCTGACCTTGTCCTCCCACAGCGCATCAACCACGACTGCCGTCCCAACACCTTTTGGCGGTACTCGCCCAGCACCATGACCCACGAGGTCGTGGCCTTCCGGGAGATCTCCATCGGCGAGGAGTTTACCCACAGTTGTACGTTGCCGTGACCGGTTCCCATGCACCCAGTGTCCAACAGCAGAGACCCAACCGCTGACCCGCAGACCTGCCACTCGGCTTGCCCCTCAAGGACCGCCAAGAGTCCATCCGCCGCTGGGGCTTTTCCTGCCACTGCAGCCTCTGCATGGCGCCCAAGAACCTCGCCCTCGCCTCGGACATCCGCCGCACCCGCCTCGTCGAGATCTACACCACCATGGAGGACGAGGCGGCGCAGGGTCTGCTGACACGCGACACGATCGAGACGCTGCTGGCCGAGATGATGCTCTTGATCAACGGCGAGGACCTGGTGCCCCAGCTGTGCGAGTACTACGCCATGATCGCCCGCGCCTACTTGTCCATCGAGGCCTTTGACGACGCCCGCCACTACGCCCAGCAGTCTGAGGAGTACTGGATCCGGTACGGCACGGAGGAGCACGACAACATCGACGCGGTGCGCGCTCTGTGGAAGCAGATTGCGGCCAAGGAGACGGCCGTGGCCGAGCGCCGTCGCCGCCAGGATGCCGCACGGTCCAGCAAGCTGTAGAGAATGAGGGTCAAAAATACCAGCCGAGGAGGAATCAAATACAGGGCATGCCAAATACAGACTCGACCCAAAACGTAGCCGCAATAAACAAGACGCATATCAACTTTCATGTACTTGCCGTGTAGGGTATATTTGTCTATTGTTCGTAGGGCTAATATCTATTTCGTAGCATCGTAGACGTCGTCAAAGCCTCGCTGCGTGAATCTATGCTGTATGTCTTGCTCCCTGCCATGGTGCCTGCCTCATGCCTTCGTACACGCCGATGCGCCTCTCATTGCCATCAGGCATCCGGCGATGTCGCTGGTGGTGTTCTGAGTAAGCCAGGTGGAGGCGGCACGTCGGGCGGCGGCGTGCCCAGTTCTACTAATCCCTCAAGGGCCTACAAAACGAAACCGGTTAGCTATTTCGACGACATCATGTCAAATACAGATTCGATACAGCAGTTTGGGTAGGCAACGTACCTGCGCGGCCGTCAGCCTCTCTGTGCTCTGAAACTTGAGCATGCCCGCCACAAATCTCCGAATGTCCCGGTCCACGTCGGGTAGAAGTATGTTCCACGGCTTGCGCGGGAATACGTTGTACATGTCAAACGGCGGCGTCGGGAAATGCTCGGCTTCGGGCCACGTTTCGCGTGTCGGTGTGCCCAGTTTCTTGAATATGTCCAGGATCAACCCCAGCTGGTTGCCGTCCTCGTGTGCCGCCCGGGACCGAAACAGCGGCTCGCGTGGTGGCCGGCGAGCGCATTGACCGAGCAGGGCACCTGCCGCCCAAATGTCGACCGCCGTCCCGTAGGCCTCGTTGGTAAAGAGAGTCTCGGGTGCGCGGTAGGAGCCTGTGCCGATGTCGAGACACTTCTTGTCCGCAGGCTCGTCTGGCAGGGACAGCTCGGGGTGCCATGCGGTGCCAAAGTCGGACAGGAACACCGGCCCGTCCAGCCGCTCCAAGAGAATGGACGACGGCTTGATGTCGCGATGGATGATGCCGAGGCTGTGGACGTGTTTGAGGGCAGAGAAGAGGTCGGTAAAGTAGTTCAAAACACGGTCGCGGGTCAAATGGTGGTTGGTATTGCTCGGGCCCTTATCCCCTTCCAGGATACTCTCCAGTGAGAACCGCAAGTAGGGCATCACCAAAACAGGCCGTGAGTCGTACATCAACTTTCTGACCAGTGAGATGCAACGATTGTGGCCCCAGTTCAGGATGCGCATAATCTCGGCTTCGCGCTCAATACTATGCGGCTGCAAGTCGCCGTCGTGCCTCCAGACTTTGAGAGCATATAAATCGCTTCGGTAGACGTCGGCGGATGCACCTTGGCCAATGTGGATGCAGTCCTCGTATGGCCCGATGGTGATGCCTTCCGGATCGTCCATATCCGCATCGAATATTATCTCGGTGTCGCTTGGTGGACCGTCGGAATGGCCAACGGGGTAGGAGTTATTAGCGACTGCTTCCCGGTACTCTCTCTATTTGCGTCAGTGGAGAACAGTACAGAAAATAAAGTAGAGGTGCATAAACAAAGCGGCATGGTTCGTACAAGATTTAGGCTCTCGTTCCACAGTTCCTGCTCGAGGGCTGCTGCAGTCATCCTATCCAGCTCTGGCCGGTCAGTGAGGCCGCTGCGTACCACAGAATGGTCAGTATGTATTGGTACCGGGTCAACCGCAAAGGACAGAAAGGCAAAGACGGGCAGGAATCTTCGTCCACGGCAAAGGATCTCACATTATTCGGATGTTCTTATAACGCTCCTCGAAACCGACATGATTTCGCCAGTTCTCGTCTCCGTCGTCGGACAGGCTACACATTGCGGGTTGTGGTTGAACGTCTTGCCGTAGATCGATAAAATAGCTAGTTGGAAATACGATTAATGAGTGATGAAAAGCGATGTTTCGGCGCAGCGTGCTGCGTGTGATGCTGTGTTATGGATGCCACCGTTTTTGCTATGATGTTGTGATGTTGTGATGTTTTGATGCTGTGACGGTTGCAGCGTTCAAGCTCTGGTGGAGACCGCTAGAAAACCCACCAATCTGGTACGGTTTCAGTGGAGAGCTCCCGGAGAAACGCTTTCCCCGCAGCCGGCCGTCCAATGTCATCCACATGGGGAAGGCGCAACGACAACGCAACGTAAACAAACATAACGACATTGCCTCTTTTACATCGACTGCATAAATACGACGGTGTAGTAGTGTTGTCCTTGGAAACGGGCCTGCCGTAAAAATGGGTTGAAGCAGAGATGAAAGGGCTGACCAGGTGACTGCCGATCAATGTAGCGACACAGGTTGCGCTTTGTTTCAAGGGCGATAGATATCATGAGAAGCACCCTTCAAACGTCATCAGGGTCTCAGCTAGTTGGATGAAACGCATGTCTTTATAGTCTTAAGAATATGAGTGTGACCGGCGAGACCCTCGTGTCCAGAAACTCTTTGCTGGACGTTCCCAGCAAGCTGTTACTTACAGCTCCCGAAATGATTCCTTTAAACTGCGTGAATCCATGTTGCCCATGTCGAAAATGACTTTGTTCTTGAATGATCCTGGCTCACTACTGGCAATGAGGTCTGGTCAAAGGATCACATGTTCGGGTGTCCTTCCCCACACAAAGGAGACAAGGCCCCAGTCGTTGGGATGGCTACGTCATCGCACCTCTCTCCCTGAAAGAAGAGCGGAAAAGCGGGGTGCGCTGAGACAGTTCGCCTACTGTGGCGGAACACTGTATTTTCTCTTTTCAGGCGAAGTCTTAATGCCCTGGAAGACAGCCCTGGAAGACAAAGATAAGAGCGTTGCATGACCGTGTGCTGGAAATGAGTTTTAGCGAGAGATGCAGCGGCCAGCAACAAGACCGCTTCGGTGGAGCCCGTCCTGGGTCCATTGTCTGCAATAGACCAATACGACGAGATACCTTCGTATCCAGGCCGTCGTCTGCCGTGTCTTTTACTTCGTAGGTGATTTTTAGACCAGTGAGATCCGGAGCACTGTGCTGCTCCTCCGCTGTGGGTCTCTGTTTTCCCTTCTGAAGACGCTGTTTGGACAGGGGCTTTCAGTGTGAGTGGGCCCCCGCGTGTTATCTCGACTGAGCTGGTCTGCCTTCTGCGCCTTGATTTTTAGCCCGTGAGGCCCCTGTTACCCCCCGAGCCCCCGCACAAGCTGCATAATTACCCCATGCGGCAGGAAGGAGAAACCGACACGAAGTCGGCAAATCACGGGCGCGTTCATGGTGGTGATGCTGTCCACTGATGGTAGGACAGATACAAATACATCCAGTAACTCGCAGTGCGTCGAACCTTCCCTTATTCGATATCTCCCATTGTTCCTGTTGAGGCCTGGCTTGGTATGCATATGGGGCGATACAGGCGCGAACGACAAAACGGACCCTGTAACTCCTGCCGTGACTGCGCACATGTGTACTTGCCTGATCCGCTTCCGTACGTCCAGTTCAAAGGAAAGAGCGAGTGACGACAGCGCCAGGGCGCTTCTCCATGCCCTAGCATTGCGGGGTATCCACATGGGCTGGCGTAGGCCCTTTTCTCAGCAAACCCCATCACCCCATCTCATGCATCTGCGCGGAACCTTCTCCTTTCAGGGCCTTGGCGCCAGACAAAGCGGTTGTGACTTTGCTCTACTGTTACGTGTTTGACCCTTCCAACGAGCTACTTTGGACGGGCATCACACGTCTCCACGATTTGAAGCCTAGCGCTGGGGCCTACAGAGCGGCGGTGACCCTTCTTGCCCTTTATGGCACCTGCACTCTGTCTCGTCAAGTGTGTATCTTGGGGTACCTCCTGCCATCACAGAGATACGCAATTGCCTAACTAGGCCTGCCGAAGACATCCGTTACGCCCTCTTCGCCAATCGTGACCGATGCCTGGCGCCACTTGCGCCTTCCGTGAGCACAATAAGACAAATCCATCGTGTGCCACTTTCCATTTCCGTATTATCGTGCCTGCCTCGCCTGTTTCTTCTTTGCTCCTAAACTTCTTCCCTTCTTTATCTTCAGTCATCCCCTACTTTTATTCTTTGCTTCTCCAGAATTGTCAATGGCCATCACTGCCAGCGACGTTTCGCTCAACATCTCATTCTGCTCTTAACCCTGGCCTCTCTGCTTCGACAGCAGTGATTCATGGACCAGTCTCTTTCGTCTCGTCTCGGCGCTCTCCTTCACGTCCATCGTCGCCACTTGGCCCTTTCGTCCTCATAGTAAGCGACGCCGATGATTTTGTCACCAAAATTCCATTTCTTCGTTCTGTCGGAGACAATCTCCATTTCGCACAGCATGCTAACACGATACCCATCCAGACCCCATCTCAGCCCCCGCAAACGGCCCCGTAACATGGTCCTAGCCGCCTTTCATCCCCACACATCGCCATCATGTTAACGACATCTGCTGCCACTTTGGCGCCTCGCGTACGCCTGGCCCAGTCTCGCATTCTCGGCTCACGAACACTCGTTGCAGCCGGGACTGTCGCTGTCCTCACCCGGCACCGCCAGCTACAACAACAGACCCGTGGTTTTGGCTTCGGCTGGTGGGCCGACCACGTCGACCATGAGCAGCGCCGCGAGATGCGCCGCCGCTACAAGGCCTTGCACCACCGGTACTCGGATGCCGTGAACCGCAAGATGCTCTGGGAGCAGCAGCATGCCAACAATGCCGACACTCCAACAGCGTACCGGCGCTTTGCCCAGCATTACTGGCAGCCCAAGCGGTACTTTGCATTCGGCCGGTATCGCTCCAACAAGGACAACGTTTTCAAGTCGTCAGAGACGAGCAGCGGCAGCCGCACTTCGAAGAGCAATGCCACTGGCGCAGAGCCCACCATAGAAGACGTTGAGCGCAATGCGTGGGGCCACTTCTTGTTCCGCGACGGCGAGCGCACACATCCTTCCTGGTCGTCCTCGTTTGACGATATCCGAAGCTACATTACCAGACGCCAGGAAGACCTCCTCAATGAGACGCCATTTGGCACGCGGACGGCCAACGCGACGAAAACGACATCGTTAGCATCATCGTCTGCATCCGGTGCCTCTGCATCCACATCCTCGTCCTCCGGGACGCTTCATCCCGACGCCGACTATGTTATAGACCCGATTACGAACCGTAAAGTGTCCAAATCATCTGCCAAGTCCACACCCGATGAAGTTGTCTACGATATGGACCTGCCCCCAACACAAGCCGAGATGCGCGCGTACAAGAATGTGTCGGTCGACGACTCTGCCTTCCACAACCCCACAATTGGCGCCGCCGTCGCCGATTCTATCAGCTTCAAGAACCTTGGCGACGAGGAAGCACCCAAGTACGACGACTTGGACAAGTACAAGCCCGTCAAGCACAATGAACCAGACGGCAAGCCAACCGATGCGCCCGTCGAGATTGGCCATGAAGGTTACGACCAAGCAGAGGTCCAGCAGTACAAACCATTCAAGTGGAACGAGCCGGATGGCAAGCCTGTCGACAAGACGGTTGAACTTGGCCACGAGGGGTACGACCCCGAGGAGCTGGCCAAGTACAAGCCTTTCCTCTGGAACGAGCCAGACGGCAAACCGAACAGCGAACCGGCCGAGCTAGGCCATGCTGGCTACGATCCCGCTGAGGTGCAACAGTACCAGGCATTCCGGTGGAACGAGCCCCACGGTCAACCCAAGGATCAGCCCGTCGAGCTGGGCCACGCGGGCTACGATCAGGCTGAGGTTCAGCAGTACCAGCCATTTGGATACCATGAGCCTCACGGCCGGCCTCCTGTCGCCAACGAGGAGAAGGGCCGTCACGGATATGATGCCGCCGAGGTTCAGAGCTACAAGGCGTTCCGGTACAACGAGCCAGATGGCAAGCCCCTTATTACTACCGGCGAGCTTGGCCGTGAAGGTTACGACACCGCTGAGGTGCAGACCTGCCAAGCTGTCCGATACAACGAGCCCGACGGCAAGGCATCCGAGACCGCCGAGGATGTTACCGACTCATCAGAACTGTCATCGTACGGCGCGGTCCGATACCAGGAACCCGACGGAAAGCCATCCGTTAGCGCTGACTCGACAGCCGACAGCCTGAAGGAGTACGACACGAAGTCGGCCAATACGGAGCCATATGACGAGGCGTACTCCACTGTTTTGCGGGAATTGAGGGCGCTGTCTCACCACGACGCAGACGCGGCCGCATCGAGCAACGGCTCCTACGGCTTTGAGTCCGAATCCGGCGGGACCGGCACTGCTTCTGCTTCTGGAAAGCAGGCCAAAAATGACGGAGCTCGCCCTAGCCGATCTGCCCTTGAATCGTCCATGGACCGGATCAGTGCTGAGCACGATGTCATCGACAGGCTGGCCAGCGTCTCCATCAAGTCGCATAAGAGCCGCGCTCGGAAGCAGATGACCGATGCGGAACGCAGGCAAGCACAACTAGACCCGTACTGCACGAAGCCCCAGGGCCTCGAGACGGCCTTTGCCGAGGAGTGCGGTGGTGAGGGTACTGTACCAATCTTCGTTAAGACACACAAGCGTGTCGATCGTGATCCCCCTTCCCTGCCTGTGGCCGCGACCTCGACTTCCACGGAACCGTTCGTGTACAAAATTCTTGCCTACAACCCCGGTATGAACACAATCGACATTGCCGAGACATCATCGACCGTGCCTGACGCATCGTCGCCCATGCCGGCTGCGGACGTGCTGCTGCGTCTTTCTAATCCTGCAAAGTTCTTCCCCCATTTTGAGCCTCTCCGCGCCCAGGGCTTCGAGATTGTTTCCGGTAGCGGTGACGTCCTCATCTTCCGCAAGGTGCGCGAGCCGTCGGATGGAGAAGGCAGTGCGCCGTCCAAGACGCCAACGCCCAAGATCGCCCAGAAGACGGCGCGGCGCGCCATGTCTGCCACGACCGTCAATCCTATCGACATGACCGGCAAGCATAGCTACGTACCCCCGTCAACGGCGAACTTTGTCTCGCCCACCGGCTACGTCAACCTGGACCTCCCACCTCTGCACGAGGGGTCTGCCGCCTCATCTGCCGATTTGCCATCGCCCCCTCCTGCTTCGGCGAAAGCTTCGTCCACATCTTTCCAGTCCGGTATTGGCGTCCGCCGTGAAGAGCCCGTGTTCAGCGGGCCCAAAGACAGCAGCAGCAAAGCCGGCACGACTGCCGGTCCTGGTGTGGCCAAGCGGATGGTGGTCGGTGCCACCTGGGTTGCGGGTGTGTCGTATGTCATTGGGGTAGCGAGTGAATACGTCAAGGGCCGTTGAGAGCTAGTTACTCTCACTTGCCCGTCGGCAGGGCCGACACGAGGAAGTCATTCCTTTTATCCTTCGCTTCTACTTCCCGCATTCGTTCCATTTCCTATTCTTTTCCTTTCTCATACGTCATTTCCACTCGCTTTTTACACATAGTCGTTCTACCGGAGCATTACCTGGGTTTTTGCTTGTCATTCTGTTTCCTTTGTGGTGCTCATTGCTGAGAAGCCAGCCACTTGTACATTTCCTATCCCCATGTCCACCATCCCCCCAGTACCTATCTTTTGTGCCTACCTCAAAGCACCACTTCCCGGGCGTCTGACTATGTTGTGGGTTATACCCTACTTTACTGTCGATTTTTGGTTGCTCATTTTCATACTTATTATGTGGTATTGTTATCATCATTGGGTATCGCCAAGATGGATTGTTTTGATGTGTTGTTGGAATCGTTCTTGGCCATGTTGTCAACCCTTCTCATGGAGTTCATAGCTTTGTAGCTATAAATACCACACGATATTTACCGTACCTCATGCGAAAAGAATTAATAAAAACCGGCCAAAAGCAGTAGTTTCGTAATCCTCCCGCCCAATGCCAGGGCTTATTTGCCGCTTGCCATGCAATTTGCAACCTAGGACGAGCTCTTTGTACGCCTCAAGCTGACGTGTTGCAAGGTACTTTCCAAGTGATTTTTAAAACTCCGCAACGAAACAAAACAATACGTTACTTATGCACAATCTCACTAAACCCCCAGTCTGACTCGTAGAGGCCCCGCACCGAGACACCATCAGGCGAGTGAAGATGTTGGTGCTGACGATGTGGAGCGGTGGCTTCGTCGCCGCCACCCGTGTGCGGATGGCACCCACACTCCAGCCCCGTCGACTGCACCATCATCGCCCGCCGGTATTCCTGCTCGTCCCAGCTCTGCCGCCGGTCCGGGGCCGGTGTCCAGGCGGTGGTGGCAGCCATGCAGTGCTGGGCGGCTTGCGACGGTGCAGGGGACCGGGAGCAAGAGCGGGAGCGAGAGCGACTATGGCTGCCGCACACGCGCGGGGACGGTGGTGCCAGAAGGGCAGTCTTTCCTTGCAGCTGCTGGGCACGCGGTGGATGGGCACTCTGGCCGTGGGTGCGGTGGTGGTGGTGTCTGTGTGGGTGGGCGAGTAAGTGCCTCTCCAAGGCGGCCAAGGGATCCGAGGGATCCTGGCTGACGGCGGGCCTTGTGTGGTTGTTGTTGTTGGCACTGCCGGTGCCCACCGCGGTGGCCGCGTCGTAGCTGCTGCCGCCGCCGTCGCGGAAATGTAATGGGTCGGGGGGGAACATCGTGTTCAATGTACGGCAATGCGAATGTAATGCGTAGCTCAACGTACCGACTGTTCTTGTAAGGATGGTGATTAAGAATACTTTACAATGTAGATTGCTTCAATAGTATCGATATGGGTCCTGTAGGGTAAAGGGAAATAAGAATAGAAAGACGAAGGACAACATCACTCTATGATGCATTGAGGTGAAGGCACTCGCCAAATATATGTCACTGTTCATCCTAGGTACATCGTTCCTTCCCCATTGCCGGTCGCCTTTCTGTCAGTTGACAAAAGAAGCACGGTGAATCTCAACGAATGAATGAAACTGAATCTGTTTGTCCGGTTGTGTGCAGATTGTGGCGAGAGCGACTTCACAGAACGCAACCGTTGGAGCAGTCACCAATCAGGTTGTCGACACCATCTCACCATGTATGGCTGTGGCCTCCCAATGTATCACACACATCTCAGCCAGTGGCTGCAACAATTGTTGGAAGCAGGTGAAGAGATGTTTCATTTTCTTTGTTCCATGGATTTTGTCTCGTTACGTCGTTTATTAATTAGATTCCCCTCTTTATGACCCTCGTATCTCAAACGTGTCCTGCCAAAATTGCCACAGACCGTGGAGTGTCGCGTGTCATTTTAGCATGGAATTGAGAGTCACAGACAAATAGCAAGGGTTTGACCAAGGCCGCAGTTGTCACCACACAGCGCCAGAGTAAAAGCACACCATCTTTTCCGTACTTGGATCGAACAGCCCACATTACGGCCTCGACATTTTTATTTCGAAATGTTTTTATTTCATCATAGCATTTGGCAAGGCTTTCAGGACCTGCAAGCAAAATGACATCAAAATCATGCCAAGGCGACGGCTTTGCTGCCAAATACGTGAACTTATTTTTTTGCGAAACAAATAAATAAAATAAAAACCCAGTACTTCCGGTGGAATGTCGTGCGTCCCAAAGAAGTGAAAAAAAACTCGCCTTGTCTAGGTTGCTCTAGAACAGAAAACAAACAATTCATAAATGCGTGCGGGATAGGCTTCAAACGTCCAGGTTAGGCAGGGTCTCACATTAGCCCCAAAACGCGTCGATACAATGGAGAAGCTCCAGCAGATATGCATAAACAACACTCATTTTTCCAACCGTGACTCGCGTCTTTGGAATTTCCTCGTGCACTTTGTCCTCTGGGTCTGTTTCCAAGGCTGCCCAGGCTACTTTATCAGATGAACGCAAAGGGCAGTCTGTGAACCAAGAGTAAAATAAGCCGACAATAATACTGTTTGTATGAGCTGTTAGTTGTGTGATACAAGCCTTTCTAAGAAAAGACTTCTGTTCAAGCTTTCTTGCCTCGAGACTCGAGCCTTCCTGCCAAGGTAGCTAATCCCTTGGCTTATCTGGGCACGAGGACGCCACAATTCCCGACGACTCGGAACTTTTGCGACCGTAGAAGCGTCCTAACAGGAGTTTCTAAACTGCAACTTTTCGTATGATCCAGAAACACCTTACCCAGCATGACTCGACTGCCATTTCACTGCGCAAGCGAGACCACCTGACAAGGCAAGATACGATGGAGACGAAGGCGGGATACAGGAAATGAACAGCGTGATCATGGTCGATCTTTCAGTGGACCCAACCAGTCTGAGCCACACAATTTTACACGACAGGTACAGGGCCCATTCTCGCCCTGTCGCCGTTTGCCCTACTGCCCTGCTCGCTCCGGCCGTATGCAAAGTCCGCGCCTGCGGGGCGTGGGAAAGGGGAATCTTTCAATGGACAGACCCCGGTGCGGGAATCTTATGCACCTTGTCTCTTGTGAATACGAGGCGAGGGTTTGCTAGCGCGGCTCAACTCTAATAATAAGCTTGTCAGCGAGTTGCCGAGAGGTGCCGCAGAAGCGGAAGGGATAGACAAAAGACGACGAGATTGGCCGAACGCCGTTGTATTTTGGGTGAGACCCTGCGTCGGAAACCGGTATTCGATGCTTACGCCGTGTGATTGTTCTTTTATTTTCCCTACGTAATCTGCAATGTGCTGTTCGCAAGGTTTGGTACGCCCGACGAGCCAACACACTTGCCAAACCATCCGAGTTCCGTGGCCCCCTTTTCAATGCTGACTGCGCCGCGCTCTCTGGCCCTCGGACCAAAATGGTAGAAGAAGGCATACGCATCTTCTCGACGATGCATCACTTTTGTCGCGAATGAGGTGTTACGATGCGCTCCGAGACCGCCGGTGTCACTTTTTACACATTGTCCCCGACTACATTGCTGGCCAAGACGCGCCAGATTGAGAACGGCCCGGCGCGATGCGCATCTCGCGTGGCCGCGCCCGCATATGGCGGCGCGTGGCATTTGTCGTGGCCGCCATCGCCTTGGTCTACTTGATGCTGCCTCTCGACAGCCACACGCGACTGGCCGTCCGCCGACTGCTCCACACCCCGCTGCAGCGCACCTTTTCACGCCAACAGTTGCTAGCGACACCACCGCCGTACCCCGTCGACTTGGCGACGGACGTTGTGCTCGTCATCAAGACGGGATACGGGACGCGGGGCAGGCTACCGGGGACATTGGCATTTCTCGACGGCGGGAACAGCACGAACCCTGTCCCTGAGGGGCCTCTTTTCAGCAACATATTGCTGGTTGGTGATTTTGTGACGCAGCAAGGGCAGCACTACCGCTGCAACGGGGCGGAGCTGCCGATGAACGATGTGGTGGGCATGACGATCTCGCTTGCCGGGCCGCAGCCCAAGGAAAGGGAGCCCGCCCCAAAGGTCGGCTTCTACCACGATCTGCAGAATGCCATCCTCGCAGCAGACGAAGAAGCGGCCATGGCCTTGTCCAAAAAATTCGGCTGGGAACTCGATGCCTTGAAGGTAGGACGCCCCATCCCCCCTTTTTCTGTTTATCACTGTCTTCCCCACGCCCCAGCATGTACCACCATTTCTCACCATGCGCAGTTCATCTCCAGCCTTGAGCTCGCCTACCGCCGCTTCCCTGACAAGAAGTGGTACGTCCTCGCCGACGACGACACGTACCTCGTGCGGCCGGCGCTGCGCCAGTTCCTCGGCCAGTTCCACCCCGCCTGCGAGCACTACCTCGGAAATGGCGTCGGCGGCTGGGAGGGCCGCTTCGCCCACGGCGGGTCGTCCATTTTTCTGTCCCACGGCGCCCTGCGCCGCCTCTTTGATGGCCACCCCGAAATCGTCACGGCCGCGCACACGACGGCACTCACCACCGGCATGGGTGACTCCCTGCTGTCCAACACGCTCATGAAGGTCGGGCTCTACGTGGCGGAGGAGCACAACGTCCTGTTCAACGGCGAGACGCCCGAGACCGCCAAGATCCGGCCGGACCGCTTCTGCCTGCCGGTCCTGTCCTTCCACGGCCTGCGGGCGCCGGACCAAACCCTGGCCGTCGACCGCGTCCTCCAGACCAACTGGACCGCGCCGACGCCCCCGCTGTGGCGTGATATCTGGAGACTGTATGGCGGCCCATCGCTCGAATCGCTTGAAGCGACACCCCACCGCGTTGACTGGGACCATGTGGGCTCGCTGGACGAGCACACCACGACGGTACGGGATGTCAAGCGGGCCAGTGACTGTCAGATGCTGTGCGAAGCCCGTCGCGACCAGTGCATGGCATGGCGGTGGCAGCAGGAGATCGGTGAGTGCCACCAGAGCCCGTGGGTGATTGTGGGCGGCAAGGCGGAGGGAAAGACGTCGGGACTGAACCTGCGGCTCGTACGAAAACTGGACGAGTCCTGCAATATTTGAACCATGAAGGGTGCCGTGTGTAGAGCAAGATTCCCAATAAATAAATTAATTAGAAAAGGAAATATTGAGCGATGATACCCATCTTCTTTGGACTGCCATGGATTGTGCATGCATGACCAATAGACTACCCTGTCGATAGCTCTGCATTGTGGACTGTGATTACAATATATATAGGTATAATCGAAATGTTTACTCATAGAAGTAAGAACTCACCTAGTGTATTTATACGGTAGAATCTACACCACAGCAAGTTTAACCATTTGCAAGTGATGGGTGCGGCTCTCGACACTTCCCAGGAAGGAACAACGGTCGGCTGTCTCCACCAACAGGGCTGGCACCTTCCGTAAACAAACAACACTAATTCGGGCCGGTCCTAGACGAGTTAAATCTAATTTATTAATTTGACTTTATGAGGAACTGGCTATGCTGACAATATGGTATACGACATACTCTCTTAAGATACTCAATTCTTTGTGTTTCTGCAGAGGAAAAACGAATACACATTTTAGCATCTCGTAATTCGGGTAGCCAAGTGCAAAACATTGAACTGGGAGCCTCGTTGAGCTTGCAGGGGTCTGCCCCGCCCCCGCTGCGCCTCCTTTTTTCAGATGGTCCATGAGCTCAAGTCAATACTCACCGCATGAATGTTTACGAATCCCTTTCTGGGGGGGTTATCCTCAAAAAAAAAGATACATATTCATTTTTGTCTTTGGCGACCCAATCTTCAATATACCACAGACGCTTACACGCTCCGGGAAGTCAAGATGACCATGACCGCAGACGCAGCGCAACCAGGAGCATCTGAGGCAGTCTTGCCCCTCAGAGGCCACGGTCCACCAAAGCCAGAGAACGCGTTGCCGTACCGTGACAAAGCGATCGACAGCAACGGACTGCGTCTGCTGACCATCGAGCCGGCCGCAAACGACGACGATCCTGTCGTCTGTACGCTGGTCGAGACGCGGTTCGGCAACAAGCCCAAGTTCCACGCCCTGTCGTACACGTGGGGCCACAAGACGGCCGACGATCCGACCATCACGCTCAACGGGTTTCCGTTTGTCGTGCGACACAACCTCTTTGACGCGCTCACCTTCTTTCGGCGCCAAAACCAGGCGGCGGATGCAGGCCAGCAGTTCTGGATCGATGCAATCTGCATCAACCAGAGCGACGTCGAGGAGCGCAACCGGCAGGTGCGGATCATGGACCAGATCTACTTCCGGGCGACTGAGGTCGTCGTCTGGCTGGGCGAAGCGTACGAGCGCTTTGAGGCGCCCGTGCGACCGGAATCGGGCGTGGAGGGCAACAGCTGGGATGGTATCACCACCGCCAACACCAACAACACCAGCAACGACGGCGTCGGCACCGCCGTGCGCAGTGGACGAAACGCATACGGGCGCCAGTGGGAGCTCTGCGGGCAGCTGCAGGTGGACCCGTACTGGGAGCGCGTCTGGATCTTGCAGGAGATTACCAAGGCGTGGACGCTGCACGTCCACTTTGGCCGGCGGTCGTCGTATACGTGGGACGAGTTTCTCGTGTTTTTGCGCAGCAACACCCGGCGGGAGGACGCCCGCGCCGGGCAGCAGGCCGGCCCCCTGTGGCTGCACGAGAGCCTGCGCGCCAAGGACCAACGGGGCGCGCACACGCTGATTGAGCTGCTGCAGGACCACCGGGCGGCCAAGTGCGCCGACCTGCACGACAAGGTGTACGGGCTGCTGGGCATGGCGACGAACGGCGGCGGGTTCCCCATCGACTACAACAAGTCGCTGTTCGACCTGTGGGTGGACACCATGGTCTTTTTGAACGGAAAGCGGCTCTTGACGGCGGAGCACAACGTGGTCTTTGTCGGGCAGCTGGTCCGGGAGATCCTGCAGGTCGCGGACAGCGATCTTCGCCTGCCGGCCCTGGGCGCCGGTGGCGATGCGGCCCATGCCACCTACGTCGAGCAGATTGACGCGCGCGACCGCGTCGACATGGCGACGGAGAAGCGCCACGTTCTGGACCGGCTGACACGCCCGGCCCCCACGCATCCCCAGGCCTACCACCACCACGCGACCGTGCTGGGCCAGATCCTGCTGGTGGGCCCCTCGACCGAAAGCATCGTGGCCGAGCCGGGCACGCTGTCGATGTGGACCGGGTTCATTGACGACCTGTACGACGCAGGCCAGGTCAAGGACGCGCACATGGAGAGCAACAATCTCATCCGCGTGCTTCTCGGTGCAGACGAGGCCCAGATGGCGGCCGCGTGCGTGTCCGTGCCGTCGACCGTCTTGTTTGCCCCCGAGACGTTTCCGGTGGAAGCCCGTGAGTTCAAGGCAGCAGACGTGCCCGGGGCAGCCGCGCTGGCGGAGACCGATGGCACAGAGGAGTCGTCGTCGTCGTCGCCATCGTCGTTGTCTGCGGCCCCCAAGCTATACTATCTCGAGGCCATCACGGGCGCGACACGCCACAAAATGGGCGTGGCGGCCGGGCTGGTGAAGGCGGGCGACATCGTCTGCGAGGTCGGGCCGCTGAGGCTGCTTGTTCGGCTGTTTCGCGAGGGCCCGTTGGCCGGCCGGGCGTGCGTTGTTGGCACGGCGCTCACGACGGAGGACGTTTGCCGCCACAACGCGCACGCGTACTCTGCACAAAACATGCGCATCATCGATCGGTATGCCGACATTTACCTTGGCAAGGAGGCGCTGTACGTCATTTCTGGATTGGCGAGTCGCCATCCGGGGTCTGGTTCCTGAAGCGGGTGCATCCTGCCGGTGAGCAGATTGGTAATCAGTATGTTTGTTAGTCGTGCATCTCCACATTCTTCGGTGATGGGGTGTTGAACCGGGGGAGAGACGTTTGTAAACAACAGAAGGCTTATTAATTTCAGATTTTATTTGTCTGTTTCTTTCTTTTTTATTTTCGGTTTTTTTTGGTCACCGTTTTACGTCTCGTACCCCGCCCAATCCTTGCCGCTTTACGCATTATAAGTGGACTTGAACAAGCGTCCCAGACGGACTTTGTTGAACGACTCACCCCAACGATTTTCTTTTGCAGACAACACGCACCAGAATGGACGGAGAAACACGCACATACCTGGCTGGCTCGCCCAGTGGCGCCCTGCAGCGCCGGACGGCCCGAATTGCGCTCGGCGCGCTTGAGGTGCTGGTCCGCATCACCCATTCGGGCGTCTGCGGCACCGACGCACACGACCGCACGGCATCCTGCGGCCTCGGCCACGAAGGCGTCGGCGTCGTCCACCGTGTCGGGAGCGAAGTGACGGCTGTGCAGGTCGGCCAGCGCGTTGGTCTCACGTAGGTGGAGGTTGATCTGTGCTCGGTATTTCGTTCCGGTCGTCAGTACTAACGGCCGCGCAGCTTCCAAACTCATGTAAGCACCATGGCACGATTGATCGACCAGCAGGCAGACGACATCTGACACAAAACGCGACAACACGACAGGCCTGCGGGTCCTGCGCCGAATGCATCGCCGGCTACCGCCAGTACTGCCACAAGTCCGTCGGCCAAAAGTACGGCGCCGAGGAGCACGGCACGTTTTGCGACTACGCCGTCCGCCACCAGGACTTTGTCAACCCGATCCCCGACGGCCTGCCCTCTCACTACGCGGCGCCGCTCGTCTGCGCGGGCATTACCGTCTACGAGGCGCTGCGGGCGGCCGACGTCACGGCCCGCGACCGCGTGGGCGTCGTCGGCCTCGGCGGCCTGGGCCACTGCGCGGTGCTCTACGCCAGGGCCATGGGCTGCGCCGTGTCGGTGTTTTCGGCGAGCGACACGAAGCGGGCGGACGCGCTGGCCATGGGTGCGTCGGCGTTTCATGTGCTGGACACGACGACGACCGCGGACGCGGCCGCCACGCCACCGCCACTGGCGCTCGATGTGTCCTCCAAGGTGGACGTCCTGCTTCTGTGCGGCGGCGCCGTCACCGACTTTGGCGTGTACGTTGCACCCCTCTTTGCGAGATCGCCTCTACAGCGAGTCTTGGTACGACGCTCAATGCTGACAAACAGTCTCCTGCCTCTTCTCGCACGCCGCGCCCGGGTCGTGCCGGTTGTCATACAGACAAAGGACATTACCGTGCCGTGCGTTCCTCTCGATTGCCCGGTAAGAACATACATGACACGGCACACAGCACTAACCATTCGCGTTGCAGATACATGCCGTTCATTTTGCCGGGCATGAAGATTATGTACGTTGCTGCATGCCGTCCTCAGCATCGTTGATGTCCACTAACCCTCCCCTCCAGCTTCAGCTTAGGCGCCACGAGACAAAACGAGCAGGACGCTCTCAAGTTTGCGGCGCGCCACAATATCCAGCCGTGGATCCAAGAGTATCCCATGTCCGAAGAGGGGCTGACCGAGGCCTTTGCGGCGTTGGCCGACGGCACGATGCGGTACCGTGCGGTGCTGAGCAAAGAGCTGGGCAATGCGTTTTCTGCGTAGGGCGGTCGTCCCGGGGCGAGCTGACGTCGTGCCGGCTAGCTCAGATAGAAACAGCAATACAAACCACAGTAAACGGGTACACAAGACCACACCAATTTATGTCCTTCCGTGACCACGCGTCCCGACGTCCGCCCCGTCGGCGGCCAGAAAGTCGAAATCGACACCGTCGTGGGCCTGCGTGACGCTCCGCTCGTACAGCCCGCGGTAGCCGCGCGTGGGTTGGCGGCGCACGTCGGCCGGGCCGCGGCGGGGCAGGGCGCCGTCGAGGCGCAGGCGGCGGTCGCGCAGGCGCTGCTGGAGGACGGCGTCGCCGACGTCGAGGTGGAGGCGGCGCTGGGCGACGTCGCACTCGATCCAGTCGCCGGTCTCGACGACGCCCAGGACGCTCGCGGGCAGCGCGGCCTCGGGGGCAATGTGCAGCACGATGCTGCCGCCGGCGGTGCCGGACATGCGCCCGTCGGAGAGGCGCAGCATGTCCTGGACGCCGCGGGCGGCGAGCTTGCGGGGGATGGGCACGAGGCCGGCCTCGGGCATGCCGGGGCTGGCAAAGCCAATGGGCCCGATGCCCTGGAGGACGAGCACCGAGTCGGCGTCGACGTCGAGGGCCGGGTCGTCGATGCGGCGCGCGAGGTCCTGCGGGCCGGCAAAGACGACGGCGCGCCCGCGGTGCTGCAGCAGCCGGCGGTCCTTGCTGGCGCTGGCCTTGAGGACGGCGCCGTCGGGCGCGAGGTTGCCACGCAGGACGACGAGGCTGGAGGCCGGGTACAGGGGGTCGTCGAGGGGGCGGATGATTTGCGCAGAGAGGGGAAACGGCTTGAAATGTTCGGCGTCGAGGGCAGCCCCCAAGGTCTCGCCCGTGATGGTCAGCGCGTCGAGCCGCAGCAGCGGGCGCAGGCGCTCGAGCAGCGCCGGGACGCCGCCGGCATTGTGCAGGTCGGTCATGTAGTTGCTGCCGCTGGGCTTGAGGTCCACGAGCAGCGGCGTCTGGCGGCCAATGTCGTCGAGCCGCTGCAGGGTCACGGTGCCGCGGACGGCCGGGTGGCGGTTGGCAATGGCCAGCAGGTGCACGATGCCGTTGGTGGAGCCGCCGATGGCCTGGAGGACGGTGAGCGCGTTGTGGAACGAGGCCTCGGACAGGACGGTCTGGGGCGTGCGCTGGGCCCGCGCGGCGTCGACGGCGTTCTTGCCCGTCAGCTCGGCGATGCGCAGGCGCGCGCTGGACACGGCCGGCGCCGTGGCCCCGCCACGCAGGGGGATCATGCCGAGCGCCGCCGTGATGCAGGCCATGGTGCTCGCCGTGCCCATGACGCCGCACGTGCCGGCCGTCGGCGCCAGCTCCTCGCTGAGCGCCGCCACGTCTTCGATGGCCAGCGCGCCGCCGCGGTACGCCGCCCAGTTGCTGCGGCAGTCCGTGCAGGCGCCGATGCGCTCGCCGCGGAACGACCCGGGCATCATGGGCCCCGTGATGAGCGGCAGCACCGGCTTGTTGGCCGAGATGCCGCCCATCAGCTGCGCCGGCACCGTCTTGTCGCAGCCGCCAATGACGATGCACGCGTCCACGGGCTGCGCGCGGATCATCTCCTCCGTGTCCATGGCCATGAGGTTGCGCAGAAACATGCTCGTCGGCGACGAAAACGACTCGTGCACGCTGATGGTCGGGAAGTCAATGGCCAGGCCGCCCGCCAGCTGCACGCCGCGCTTGGCGGCCTCGACCAGCTGCGGCACATTGGCGTGGCACGGGTTGAAGCCCGAGAACGTGTTGACGATGCCCACAATCGGCCGGCTCAGCGCGTCCTCGCTGTAGCCCAGCGCCTTGATAAACACCTTGCGCAGGAACAGCGCAAAGTGCGGGTCGCCGTAGTCGGGCAGGCCCTGGCGCATGCCCGTGACCGGCTGGATGGGCCGGTCAAGGAGGTAGTCGGCATGCGGGGGGGCTGTTTCGGTTGTTTCCACTGTTTCGGCCTTGTCGGCGACGTTCTGCTCGGGTTGTGAGCTGGCCATGACGGGCGACGGAGATGTGTGGTGGACGAGGAAGGGTTTCGGTTTGTATGTTGTCGAGCTCGTCCAGATAGCGTGCTACGGTGCTATGGTGCTAGGTGCCGCCCACTAACACGATGGCGCTATTGGTGCCCTGAATTGCAACTGCGAGACTACTGTGCCGTTGTCGCTCGAATCCCCGCCCGCAAGCTGTTCGGCCGCTGAAACTGCAGTGGATTCAGTGGCGGAGTGGACCATCTGCCCCATAGCGTTGGCACACAATCGCATTTCTCCGCGATGCGGCATCGATCTCGGCTGCCAATTGCCCGTCCACCGAAGTTTCAATCCACGGCCTGGATGTGTGTGCTATTTGTATATTTGTATATTTGTGTATTTATATTATTTGTCTGTGGACACGTACCCACCCCAGCACGTCCTACGGCCACCATCGCCCATCGCTTCTCTGCGCTGCTCTCTAGTCACGATCGTCTCCGTCGGTGTTCGCCCGCCGGCCCTTGCTTGTCCTCAGCAGGCCCGCGCGCGCATCCACCAGCGGACTGGCCCACTGCGCCGTGCCGTCCTTGGCCGCTTGGGTTCCCCGAAACGACGTCGCACCCAGCCCCGTCGGCTGGTAGTTGATGTAGATGGACTCCCAGTGCCGCGCGGGCACCTCGTACGCCTCGTGCATGATGCTAAAGAGATGGCCGACCGTCGACGCCTTGCCCGTCACCACCGTGCTCCAGTAGTCCCACGCCTCGCGGTGCACGCCGCCCGCCGCGTGCGCGTACCGGTGCAGGCCCGCGTAGCTGCGAAAGTAGATCTGGACCATGACTTCGTTGGACGTGCCGCGGTCGTTGGCCAGGAAGCTGCGCGACCCGAGATAGCCAAAGCCTTCATCTCCGTCGTCGTTCTCGTCCTCCTCCGCACTGCGCGCCTCGAGGTCGGCAATCATGCGGTCGAAGTAGCCGCCAATCGTCAGAAAGTACGGGTGCAGCGCGCCCAGGGCGTGGTTGCTGCGGGCGGCCAGCTGGATGACGGCCACGGTCTGCTGGGACGGGGCCGTGCTGCCCGGAAACTGCGCCGAGACCTTGCCGTCGACCACGCCGGCCATGGCCGGATTCGCCCGGACGCTGCCCCAGATCAGCAGCGTGTCGATGATCTGCGCGGCGAGGTAGACGGCCGGCGGCAGGACGGCCCATTGGAACGGGGCCAGGGCGACGAGGAGCGACTGCAGCACGGCGCCGAGGGCGATCCACGTCGACACGCCAATGGCGTCGCGGAGGATCTAGACATGTCAGGTTGGCGGTGACAGAAGCAAAGAGTAGGGACCGACGCACGTTGAGCTTGCTGGGGCCGGACCAGTATTGCGACTTGGGCCGCGTCGCGGTCGGCGGGAGCATTGCTTGAAAGACGGCCATGATTCGGTTGTGGTTTGCGAAAACCGTGTCTGTGAAACGACACTTTGCAGCGGGGCCTGCCATTGTATGTGTTCTTTCTCGTATATTTCGTATTCAGTAGATTGATCGACGGTGGGAGGGCATCAGCCCGCATGCATACAAAACAGGACTCTGTGCCACCCATCTTCCAAACTAAATAAATTCACGCAGACAAAAAAAATGCAAGTAAATAAAAAAGAGGATAACCCTCCGTCCTCTTCACTCTACCCATATCAAAACACCAATGTCCAGACCCCCGCGGCCAGCAGCACGCAGAGCACATACGAAACAGGGCCCGTTGGCTCGACGAACAACGGCACTTTTGCCGTTCTCCGAGCACCAGGCCCTCGCGAGGACCTCCGCGCCTGTGCCCGTCGCATTGATCGTCAGGACATCGTCCGGCCCGAGGTCGTCGCCCGTGTGGTCCTTGAGCTGCTCGGCGGACCAGATGTTTTTCTGGAAGCTCGGCAGGTCGCGCAGGTGGACGGGGTGCGGTCCATCGCGGCACGGCGGCGGGGTGACAAAGACGGGGTTTGTGTAGAGCCGGTACGTCACGGGGCCCTGGTTGTTGTCGATGGTGAACGTGATGCTGGCTCGGTACTCCGTCTCCATGAGCACGTCCTTGTCGGCCAGCGCGCCGCGCGCTGCCCGTTCCGCCGCTTCCGCCTCGAGCGGCAGGGCCTTTAGTTCGATGGCGGTCGTCTCGCACGTACTCATGTCACGGACCGGCGGCTCCGGCACAATCCAGTTGCTGGCGTCGCGGATTTCCGCCATATACGGCTCCATCTCCTCCGAAGGGCGCATCTGCGGCATTCCGTCGGCAGTGGCTGCGACAGCGCTGTTGTCGGAATTGTTTGTCGCCAACGCAATGTGCCGGGCCTTGATCTGGGCATAGCATGGACTGACGGCGGCCTTGACGTCAGCTTTGTCCGCTGCCATGGACGGAACGAAGGCGACCTTGGGGCACGGCCCAATCCAGCCGCAGAGGGATGCGACGCCGGGGAGACAGCCCAGCACGCGGCCAAGCACCGTTCGCACGCGCCAATACGAGCGGCTGGGCAGCACCACACCGCAGTCAAAATCCGGGCTGATGCCCATCTGCGCCTTGACCGTCGGGGTGCAGAGCACCAGCGCGGCCATAATTGTAAACGCAAACCACTTGCCGGGCAGCATCATGCCGTACAGCCAGTCGTGCAGGTGGATGTTGATAATCTCCCCGCCGCGCATATTGCTGTACACGTCCTCCGCGGTGCCTCTCACCTCTGCCATGTGTGGCCACTTCATGCGCCGAGCAAACAACAGCAGGCCGTCCACCTGCCGTTCGTGCACCAGCGAATGCAGCTGCACCGTCTTGCCAAAGATGTCCCAGTCCTGGTCGAGATATTTGCTGCGCAAGAGATGCTGTTTTTCCTCGTCTTTTTCGTCGCTGATGGCGCGGATGGCGCGGGTGATGTCGTCCTGCGCGGCTTTGAGCCCCTCCCGCATGTTCACGGAGGCGCCGTTGCCTGCCAGCGCCAGGGCGTTTTCGTAGGCCAGCTTCGCCCGCTTGGCACGGCCCATTTCGAGCCAGGTCATGCCCAGGCGGGACCACGCCTTTGCATAGGTCGCGTCGAAACAGGTCGCCGCGTACGCCTCGTGCTCTGCTTCTTCCAGCTTTTTGAGCTTCAGCAGAGCGGCTGAATTGTTGCAGCGGTACACGGCGTTGGCGTTGTCAATGGCAATGGCCTCGCCGTACAAGTCCGCCGCCTTCTGGTACTCGTTGTTTTTGAGTGCCTCGTTGCCCCTGTTTTTCAGCTCGTCCGCCTTGTTCTTTTCTGCTTCTGTCTGGGGCCGTTTCACACCACGGAAGTCCGGATTCGCATCCTGGAGAACAATTTGGACGTTTTTGAGCCACAGGTCCGACACGATCAAGGACGCCAGGACACGGGGCGTGAATCCCGAATGGGAGGATGCGTCGTCGGTGATCTTGAGGCGAGCATCCAATTCCCAGGCGACGATGATCTGCCGTAGAAATCCCCAGAGCCCAAGATGGCCCTCTGTGTCGGGTTCCATGGCCCTGTGGAGCTGGACACTGGATGTTGTATTGAAGTCGGCAAAGATGTCGTCGCGATTCAGCAGGCTGTAGAGGTCGCCGATGATGTCGCGGCTGCGGTGTTGCGTGGCGTTTTGGTCATAGTAGGCGAAACTCACCGGACGTCAGCCAAAGAAGACAAAATAACAATAACAAAAATAACAACAATGGCACAACAGCCTAGCAACAGAGCAACTCACTTCACGGAGCGGCCAACCACGTCTTTGAGATTCAGCTCCTCCTCTGTCGGGTTCCAGCCGAATTTGCTCCGGTTTTCCTGCACTTCATGCAGCCGTCGCAAGATTGTGCTCGCCGAAAGCACAGGAAGCTGTGCATAGCTCACCAAAATGGTCTCGCGCACCCTTGTTTTCTCAAAGTCCCAGCATTCCAGGCCATAGCCTTCGACTGTCACGGTGCCCGGCTGGATGTTCTCGTAGTTGCTGTGGCTCTCGGTGTCGAAGAGGATGTAGTCTTCGTCGTCAAAGGTTTCGTATTCGCGACGCGCTTTTTTCATAAACTTGGTTTTCTTGTAGGACTCTAAATATGTTACTATTGTTTGTTCGGAAGGGGAAGGTGAAGACAGCGTGGTGGCAGTTCACGTACTGAAGGCGTCATGCACAGCAGACGAAGCTATTCCCTTGTCCTGCACATCAAAGCGAGAGATTCTCTCACTGCGACCACTCCAGTGCACGTTCGCGGAGACGTGGGCAAAGCCAGAGTAGATGCCGGTGACCAGTGCACCAGAAGCCTTCTTTTCCATGAACAGCTGGATGTCCTTGAGTCGGGATGTCCACTCGTCGGCCTCCGGCGGACCCGCTTCTGCACTGGAAGCTATTGCCTCCGATTGTTCTTGTGTGTTGGGATCCTTTTGCTCTCTGCTTTCATCTGCCGCCTTAGGGTCATGGTCACTGTTCGTCCTGGGGATAAGTTCGGTCCGCGCCGACACCGTGGCGCCCAGCGATTCGAGGCGGATGCTGGCCAGCTCGGACAGATCACCGTGATCGCTGGCCATGGCCTCCTGGAGAAGCTGTAGATCATTGATCTCCACGGCGGTATTGATGTCGTGTGTCATGACTTGTGTAACTTGGGACTTGGCGCCGGGAAACAAGCTTTCTAAGCTGTCGTTGAATCCCCGCAGCTCCGTGATCAAGACGGTAAATCGCTTGCGGTCACGCACGGCCCACAGGGTCTTGCCTTTGATCGTCGTGCCTGCTTGTCGCTCTTGTGCCATGCGGCGTATGCCTGCGTAGGCTCGTTTAAAGACGCGGGTCAAGTCACGCGACTGCTGCACCACTGCGAGCGCGCCCTCGGCCTGCGGTGTGAGTTGCTGCGCCGGCTGCAGGCCATACTGATCGTGCAGTCGGTCGATGTTGTCGAAGCAATGCTGGATGCAGCCGAGAATGGCATATACAGCACTCCGTATTTCGTCTCGAGACAGGCGCGCGTCGGGAGGCGGTTGGCTCTCGTCTGCGGCAGGTCGCTGGATGCCGCCTAGGCCGACTGCATCGCCCCAGCAGACCAGACGCACGCGCTCCACTTCAAACTTGATCGCCAGAAGCTCATACTCGAGCCCGTAGTGTCGCGCAGAGTCGACAGCATCATAGATCTGCACACACGTTTCCCACAGCGCAGCAACGCCAAGAAGGAGGCCGGTGATTTCTGCCATCTAGAGATACGTGAGCACTACGGACTAGCGGGTCATAGTTGGACTCTTGAAGTAACGTGAGAAAGGCACAGGTTTGCTTTTGGTACAGGTCGTAGTTCGAATAGCAGCCGATATATTCCGTCAAAGTCATCGTCTTTTGCAAAGGCCGTATTCGCAAACTCAGCCTTGTTGTTCAGCCCATACCCCGCTTGACAGCCTCAAGCATAAACGCACAGCCCCCCACGTAGCGAAAGGCGGATTTATGAATGATGATTTCGCCTGGTCGACGGCCAGATGCCAGTGACAGGTTGTCATTGGCCGAAAGGTTAATTTCTGGGTGTAGTGATAAAATGTGACGGCTGAACGGGCGTTGTGCTCCATCAGCCCCGGTGCTTACATAGGTGACCAGGTACGAGGTCGATATACACGGGCGGAGTGGGTGCAATCGATGATGAAAATATTGCGGACGAGGACATTGAAGACGCGAAGGACAAAGACGAAAACATGGTCCACGGGGGTATGGAAGACAGGGTTATCGATGACGAGGACGACGATGCTGACTTTGAAGGGCGGCTGACACGGGCGGTCATAGGAGTCGTGATGGTAAATGTCGCGGCCAACACACGGAGCAGACTTTGAGATTTTATTTGGAATGGCGGATTTATTCTCCTGAAAGAAGAAAAGAACCACGTCCGTGGGAGAAGAGTATAGGCGATCGAGCGTGGATGAAAAACGATTCGAGATCGAAAATAGCTTAAAACAGGAATTTAGACGCAAAAATGACGCTGATAAAGTTGGTTTAATGAGAAATATGATTCTCAAAGGTATATTTGTAATACAAAGATTTTTTTTTAAAAAAAAGCACCTTGCAACGTCTAGTGAAGATGGAAATTGTTTGTTTCATAGAATAGTACCAACTGCTTGGTTAGCGTAATAATTCATAACATCTGCGTATATGTGGCTTACACGTGGATAACTGGCAGAGATCAGGAGAACTTAAGTAACTCGGATAATTATGACTGAAATAAAATTGAACGTGAGACTGCCTGTTTGGAGTCTTGGCCAGTGCAGAATAAATTTGCATGTACCACGTACAAACAGTAGTCACGGCATCGCATGTATGTTGCGCTCCGTACGGTCGCACGGCATCTTCATCATACTACGGTCCTATGGATTGACCGTCCCCAGGTTATCTCTCCGCTTCTCTGCCATTTACATATTAATCACCGTGTCCCAGTCGGGCAGGAACTGGATGTCGGCCATGAACAGGTCCAGCGACGAAAACGGGTCCTGGTTGCCGTCCGGGACCAGGCCGGCCGATGGCAGAGACGCATCCGCTGGGGGCATCTGCGTGTCCTCCCTGTCGCGGTCTGCCGTCACCTGCACGTAGGACGCCACTAGGGCATTGTTTGTCTTTGCCGTCTGTGCATTCTGGCTGCTGACGTCGTCGTTGTGCGCCTGCTCGCGCACGAGCGCGGCTTGCTGGCGCAGTCGATGCAGGTAGCTCCAGATGCTGCCGTCGTCTGCGGGGCCGCCGGTGGACGCATCGCTGCTGTCGGGCCGTCCGTGCAGACGCAGCCCGCTGGGGAACAGCTCGTCCACGAGCGCCCATGCCGTCGCCTGGCGCTGCTCTGCTGTGTTGGCGCGGCCGCCGCAGAGACAGAGGCAGCGCAGCACGTACGCCAGCGCATACCACTGCGTGTACATGTTGAAGAACCAGCCGTAGTGCGCGGCGCGGCTGTCGCGGAGCAGGGTGCGGCTGCAGGCGAGCGTCTCGCAGGCCAGGGCAAACGACTGCGCCTCGAGCGGCGACGCGTACGATGCCGCGTCCACATCGGACGTGCCGCCGAAGCGCTTGAGCAGAATCTCCTCGCGCAGCTGCAGCACAAACTCCATCTTCTTGCAGGCCGTCTCCATGTGCGTGGTGGCGATGCGCGGCAGGTCGGTCGGCCGGCCCGTGTCCGGCGACACGCCAAAATGGACGTGCATGTACCGCCCGGCGTCGCGGATGGACTCGTGGCGCGCGCGGATGCGGCGGATGGCGCCGGCGACGTCGATGGGGGCCGACGAGGCACCGTGCACACCGCCATCGCCATTGCCATTGCCATCGCCATGGCCATCCTCCGCCGACACCCCCGGCGTGGAGCCCGACTGGCGCTCCAGCGTCTCCATCAGCGGATGCATCCGCCGGCAGGCTTCCGTCTGCAGCAGGAAAAAGGACATGTCCGTCCACCCCGTGGACGCCGCCGGCAGCGACGCCATGGCCGGGTAGAGCTGCGCATCGTTGACGTTGCGCGGCACGCGCAGCTCCCAGTTGGTGACGGCAATCGTCGGCTGCAGGCCCTGGTCCTCGGGCGCGCGCGAGTCGAGGATGCACAGGTGCCACCACAGCCGCAGGCGCATTTCCGTCTCAAAGGGGCTCAGCTTGAGATGGCTGCCGTCGCGGTGGAGGCCCATGGACTGCGCCAGGCGGATGGCGAGGCCGTTCAAAATCCACACACTGCGGCCGACCTCGTGCACTCGCAGGCAGGTCTGCCGTGTTAGACGGTGGGATGACATAAGTAGCAAAAAAAGAAAGAGAGAGAGAGAGAGACCTACCGCGTAAATGGCCAGGGCTTGTATGCATTGAATGTCCGGCTGGTCAATGACGCGACGGACCGTGAGGAGTGCGTCCAAAGCCGCCTTGAACTGGGACAGCAGGGCACTTGTCTCCTCGGCTGGTCGGGGGGCGTCGCCGTTGTCCTCCTCGTCGCCGTCGTCGCTGCACATGGACGTCACGGCGGCGTAGTAGATGGCAAACGTCAACGCCAGGGTCGATGCGGCCGCCGATGCGGGATCGAGGATCGTCTGCACGACCGTCGACTGCAGCGTCGGTATGTGCAAGATCTTGAGCACGGGGTCGACGTGCTTGACATAGACGCTCCAGAGCTGCAGTGCGAGCTGCGCATGGGGATAGAGGGCGAGTACGTCGGCGTTGTCTCCCGGGTTGTGGTCGTGATGCGGTCGTCGTTGTGTTGGAGACGGCGTTTCGTTTTGCTTAGCTTGCAACTGCGACGCCGGTGTGTTGTATGTTGATGCCAAAGTCTTTACAGGAGCATGGGCTGTCAGTAAGTTGGAAGATTGTGTCTGATGCCAGTTTGTGTATTCTGCTTCGCCACTCACATTCACATGTCCGCTCTGCGGCGTCTGTCCCGTGCTTGGTGTGCCAACAAAGGTCAGTGCTCGTTCGTCGAGTTCGTCACGCAAGAGGATTTCCCACGTGGTCGACAGCGCTTGTGGGTTCTGTTGACTTTGGCCCCGGTTGTGTTGGCTAGGCTGTGTCCGCTCAGAACGCGGAGACAGTTGCGGCAGTGCGTTGCGTGGCTTATCGATCGGATGTGGCGGCGATGTCTCTCGGATGCTTTTCGCACTGGATGGCAGCATCCGACTTGCTAATGGCACTACAGCCGACCCTGTGCCGTCGGTCTGGCCGCCTGGCCTCTCGCCCGATGCTTCGCCCGTTTGTTCCAGCAGCCGCGTCAGCAACACCTCCACACGCCCGAGCCGGTTGGCGATGCTCTGCAGAGTCGTGCCCTTCTTCACGGGTGTGCCGTCCGCATCGGTCGTTTCCCTGGTCGGGTACACGCAGCTAACGCCATGCTTTTCGCAGTTGCTGCACGGCACAGCCCGGTCACAGCGGACCTTGCGCTGATAGCAGGCGGTGCAGGATCGTGACGCGAGTTTCTGGGGTGGGTACGGGGCGCTGGCCGAAGGGTGTTTTTCTTTTTCTGTTGTCTCTTTCATTTTGCTTATTTTTGTTTATTTTTGCTGTGACGCAGCCAGGCTCAGTGTCGGCGCCGAACGGTCCTAGAGGGGGATGATGGAGGTTGTTCATAAGAGGTCGGGGATTTCGGCGCCGGGCAGCCGAGAGGGATTATATTAAGGCGATCATAAAAGTGGGGCCACTCAAGGCATCTTTACTGTGTATGTGAGGGACTCGCCCCACTTTTCCCGTTCCATCCGATTTCGTGTAAGCCGGACGCTCGGCGCCGCTGTCGGCCGGTGGTTGTTTACAAATGCATGCAGCAGACGCGAGATACGTTGCAGAAAGGGTAGTCCGGACAAGATGGATGCTCTGTATATGCGAGTGTGTGGTGGTATATATCTGTCGAACTCTGTTCGTCTCGACAAATGCACGGCATCGGATCATCACAAAGACAACAAATGAACCGTGACACAGACGACATCATTCGTCCAAAGGCCAGACCACTGTACTTTCATCACAACCGATACTCTCCCACCCGGACCGACCCCGCGCCACAATGTCCGAGACGACCACGGCCGAAAAGGCCATCGACCAAGGCAATGCCAGCTCCGAGTCGGCATCGTTTGTCGACGTCGAACGCAACGTCCCAGCTCCCCAGGATGCCGTTGCAAGTGCCGTTGCAAGCACCGTTTCCATGTCCGCTGCCAATAAAGGCACAAAAACAAGCTTCAGTATATGGTCCAAGATTTACTACACGTCCATCCCCTGCTTCCTGGCCTATCTCATGTGAGTAACGTGCGGTTGCAACCCCGCAGCCTTGCCATCCTATTGTACTGCCATGCTAACAACACCAGCACCTTCTCAGCCTCCGTCGTCGCGCCCGCCACCACCACGTTCATGGCCGAATTCCACGTCAGCCGCACCGTCGCCCTCTTGAGCGGCACCGTCTACCTCCTCGGCCTGTCCTTTGGCCCCATGTTCCTGGCGCCCATTTCGGAGCTCGTCGGCCGCCGCTGGCTGTATGTCCTGACGTCGGCCAGCATCGTCGTGTTTGCCGCCGGCGCCGGCGCGTGCCACACGTTCACCGGGTTCCTCGTCTGCCGCTTCCTGTGCGGCTTCTTTGGCTCGAGCGGCATCGCCATTGGCGCGGGCACCATCTTTGACGTCTGGGGCCTCACCAAGGCGCGCGGCCTGGCCACCCTGCTGTTCATCTACGGCCCCTTTATGGGCCCGTCCATGGGCCCGCTCGCCGGCGCCTACATTATGCACGAGCATGGCGGCGACTGGCGCTGGACGCAGTGGCTGATTGCCCTGCTGGGCGCGCCCATTTTTGTGCTGATTCTGTTTATGAAGGAGACGTCGACGACGCGGGTCCACGGGGGTGGCCACCACCACAACAACAACGACAAGAAAAGCTGGCTGGGCGTCGCCGGCCAGGCCGTGTCCCTCTTGCAGGCGGCCGTCGTGCGCTCGACCACGATGCTGACCACCGAGGCCATTGCCTTTTCCATTACGCTGTACACCGGCTACGCCTATGCCGTCGTCTTTAGCTTCTTTGCCAGCGGCTCCTACGTCTTTCTAGTGGACTACGGCTTCGACGAGCGCCAGGTCGGCCTAGTCTTTCTCAGCGTCTTTGTCGGCTACGTGCTGGCGGCCGTGCTGCATATTGTCGTCGAGAAGACGCTCTACGCCCGCGCCGAGCGGCTTGCCCCCGCCGGCCAGCGCCCGGCGCCCGAGCACCGCCTCTACTCGGCCATGGCTGGCAGCATCTTTTTGCCCATCGGTCTCTTCTGGTACGCCTGGTCCTCGCGCCCGGGCGGTGGCAACTGGGCCGTCGTCGCCGCCAGCGGCATTCCGTTTGGCATTGGCGCGTTTGTCTTGTTTGTGAGTCGAACGTCGAACCCTCTCTCGCCGGTTGGAAAGTCACACGCTAACATCTCCTCCCCAGCTGTCCTCCATTATGTACTTGGTCGAATCGTACGGTGCCAGCGCCTCCGCATCCGCGCTCGCCGCCAACGGGTCCATCCGCTACATGCTGGGTGCCGTCTTTCCCCTGTTTACCATCCAAATGTACGAGACACTCGGCGTGCACTGGGCCGGCAGCGTCTTTGCCTTTTTGTCGCTGGCCCTGCTGCCCATCCCGTGGCTGCTGTTCAAGTATGGCCACAAGCTGCGCCAGAACAGTCGCTTTGTTCCTGCGACTGCCGCGACGACCCCGGCCACGACGGCCCCGGCCACGACCGCGTAATTCGGCGACCATTACGTTCCATGTCGTCTCACATCGCGTCCCTTGTCAACGTCTTAGATCTCTTATGTTTATAGTTTTTGTACGGTCCTCATACTACTTCGTTAATTCGCTGTACTCGGCGTCCTATTTTTAAATTCTTCCTTATTTAGTTTGATTTTATAGATTTACCAAACTTCAAACAATTTTACGTTTTGTGTCATTCGCGTACTTGTTTACGATGTATATGTATCAGCAATAAACGGAATTACTACCAGCGCGATACTGGTCGTCATCTTGAGTAACCGTCCAGCCTGCGATAAGAATTTCTGTCTGGCCTAGTCGACATTACCGTTTCTATTCTCTAGTGTCGTATGGCACCGTTCGGCGTTGGAGCCGCCCCGGACACAAATGTTGTGCAAAGAAATACTAGTGTCAATGGCCGGAGCACGCCATGGTGGGGCGATCATGGTCCTATACGGCCGCTCCTACCCGACGCGGATCGATAGCTCTCGCGTGTTGCGCCAGGCATCACGTGGTCGACTTCCGACCCGTTGAACATCTGCTGAACTACTTCTCCCAAGACTCGCAAAACACACGCAACCAGGTCATGCTTCGTCTCTCGCGGCGCCTGCACAACCCTCACCATCTGGCTCTCCAATGGCGAGCGACAGCAAGCTCGAGGTCAAGCGCGTGGCCGTCATCGGCGCAGGCGCATGCGGTCTGGCGGCCGCCAAGTAGGTCACGACTGGCTTCTGTCTATATCGACTCAATACTCGCGTATGCTCGCGGCCACTGCTGACAGTCTCAGATACCTGCAAGCCGAAAAGGTATTCTCGAAAATCGAGGTCTTTGACCAGCGCGCGTCCGCTGGTGGCCTGTGGAACTACACGCCGCTACACGTCGTCGACAGCGGCTTTGCCATTCCGCACATCAAGCCGTCTGACCGGCCAGACACGCTGGTGCAGGGTGACAATGTCAATGACAATGACAATGACGCCGATGCCGATACAGCGCCCCTTGTCGTCGTCTCGCCCGTCTACGACCAACTGGAGACCAACATCCCGCACACGCTCATGAACTACAGCGACCAGCCCTTCCCGCAAGGCACCGCCTTGTTCCCGCCGCACGCCGTCGTCCGGCAGTATCTACACACAGCTGCCGAGAGCGTCGCTCCACTGCTGTCGCTCGCCACACAGGTGCTGGATGTGCGCCGGCGAGACACCGACGGGGGCCGTCCGGCCGTCTGGGACGTCGAGGTCCAGCATGTGCCCAGCGGCACAAGACGAACCGTCGAGTTTGACGCTGTCGTAGTGGCGAACGGCCACTACAACGACCCGTATGTGCCCGACATTCGCGGGCTGGCCGCCTTCAACGAGGCCCATCCGGGCGTCGTGACACATTCCAAGTTCTACCGGCGACCGGATCCGTTTGCGGGCAAAAAGGTCCTTGTGGTGGGCAACTCGGCGTCGGGCATCGACCTGAGCGCACAGATTGCCGCCGTAGCCCGGTCGCCCGTCCTCGTCTCCGAAAAAGAAAGGCCCAACCCGAGCACGCCCAGCACGCCCGCCCTCGCGCCCGCAGACGGCGCTCCGCCCCCCACGCACAACGTCCCCGAGATTGTCGAGTTCCAGCCTGCCCAGCGCGCCGTCCGCTTTGCCGACGGTGTCGTCGAGACCGACATCGATGCCGTCGTCTTTTGCACCGGCTACTTTTACTCGTTTCCCTTCCTCCGCAGCCTGGCGCCGCCGGTGGCGGTGGCGGACGGCTCGCACGTCCCCGATCTCTACGAACACGTCCTCGCCCTCCACCACCCGACGCTCGCCTTCCTGGGCATTCCGCAGCGCATCGTGCCGTTCCCCGTCGCCGAGGCCCAGAGCGCCTGGGTCGCCCGCCTCTTCTCGGGCCGCCTGCCCCTGCCCTCCCGCGACACGATGCAGCAGTGGCTGGACGCTCTTGTCGCCGAGCGCGGCGTCGGCAAGCAGCTGCACAATCTGTCCTTCCCCCGAGACGTGGCGTACATCAACAATCTGCACGACCGCAGCCTGGCCGCGACGCCCCATCCGTCGTTGCTGCCAAACAACGGCGTCGGCAGGCGGCCGCCGTACTGGGGACCCGAACAGGCCTGGGCACGCGAGCGATTCCCCATGATCAAGCTGGCGGCGCGGGCGCTGGGCGAGAAACGGCTCGAGGTGCAGACGCTGGAGCAGCTCGGGTTTGACTACAAGGCCTGGGCGGCGTCCATGGAGGCCGAGCCGTCGAAGGACGAGGAAGATGGAAAAGCGGACGCGCCATGAAGTTGTGCAGAGATCAGGAAGACATCATATCACGGCAATGTAAAATAGAGGTACAAGTAGACATGATTTAGAATGTCGGAGCATCCGCACAAAGTAAGATGACATCACCAGAGCACGAAGCCTGGACCAAATCCCTGGCGCCGTCCGAACCCGAGCTTCGAGTTAATTTGCATTTGCATTATGCGGCGCAGAGTCGGGTTTTCACGACGCCCAGCTGCAAATTCCGTGCATCAGTCGTCATCCCCACTGTAGGCAGCAGCAACGGGCGCTACGGAACGTCCGGTTTTTACCTCCCACTTATCACCGAGCTTTGGCCAAGCGCCATTCAGACGCCAGCCAAAAACACACAAATAATGCCACACAACAGCACCTCGCTTTGAACAGCATCAGCTCGGACATAAGGCCAGAGTGGAGTACACGGCCCGGCCGTTGCCCCATCGAAACCTCCCACGCTTCTTCTCTGCGATGTCTCCTGTCTCGCTTTTGCTTCAATTCGAACAGCCAAGCGCCGACCTCCGCCACACTCTTTCCTTCTTCTGCCGTGTCGACATCCTTCTTTCGTGAGGTGGAACGGCGTGCGACATATATCTCCTCTGCGCCCCTCGTGTTGACCTGCGCCATATCTGCATGCCGCCAACCACCATCCGCTCGCCATCATGGCCGCATCCTCTATGTCTTCGCCATCTGTCACTGCGACAACGCGGCTCACGACTGGCCGTAACAGCACCAGCAATAGTCTCAGCAGCAGCTATTCCAGCGACGACAGCTTCCTGCACCGAACCAACAGTGCCCTCGACGACGACAACGACCGTCACGATGACGACAATCTTTCGTCCAACTTTTACTCCGTCCCCCACAACCTCACCAGCTTTCTCGACCACCGACCGCTCGCATGGCGGATGAGCCTGCCGTTGGCACACGACCTGACACAAGCCCGCGACCTCAAAGACTCGTCTCTACACTACACCCCCTCCCTCCCGCAGTCCCCTCGCTCCCACTCCCACTCCCACTCCCGCGGCCGCCGGCCACGCGAGGATACGCTCGACCGCCTCCGCTACGACATGGCCGACTTTGTCAAGGCCACCGTCTGGGCCAACCACGACACCGTCCGGCTGCGGCCCTCCACGTGCGCCAAACACGCCAAACATGCCGGCGAGGGCGGCCCGCCCAGCAAAGGCATCTTTGTCGACGGCGGCCTCGACCTGCCCCGCTGGCTGCTGCCCACCCGCGGCGAGCACCTGCATCTGCACGCCGACGGCAGCGCGCACATGATCCTGTCGCTGGCCGATGCCACCGCGGCCGTCCAGTGTGGCTGGGCCGAACGGCTGCCCGTCCTCCAGGATTTGGTGGATGGCGGCAGCGGCGGCCACGAAGCCGTCCAGTACGTGGCGGTACATGCGCCCCAGAGCGCGGCAGAACTGCCCGACTGGAAGCGGCTGGTGCTGGCGAGCGTGCGGTTCTGCACATACACACAGCGGGAGCTGAGCATCCGGCGGCCGGAGCGATTATGAGGGGAGGCGATGTTGAGGATGCGTTTTGACATTTAGCGTTCATATAGCACTGCAGCGGATTTGGAAGGCGTCTTTGGGAAGTCGCTACTCATGGGACGGGCGTTTTATCTGGCACACCATTTATCATGTTACTTTACTCTGCTGATCTGGGATTCATGGCCTCTCAACTTACAATCGAATTGCATTTACGGTCTTTGTTTATCTCAAGTAACTGCACAGTAGCATCTTTCTCGGCACGTAGCGGCTCTACGGCAAACAGTACGAAATGACACGGTGGACATATTGCAGGCGACAATGTTCACATTCCCATCAAGAATCATATTTACACTTTGGCCATCCACCCTCGTGTCTCAACCAGCCCCGCGAACCGCTTAGCTGCACTGGTACGAGCTGATGCGGTCCTTGAATCTCTTGTGCAACTCCGGTACCGAGCCGGAATCCGTGAAGCTGCGACCCGTGCAGCCGGCGTCACTCTTTTTGTCAGCATGCCGGTTTCCATTGGCATTGGGGGGCGATGATTTTCCCACGTACGTGTAAAAGGTGCACTGGTCGGCACCGTGGAAGCTGATGGACCGGATGCGGTCGTTGAGCGCAGCAGGGACGTTGTCTGGTCATTAGCAGCTGCGAGGACTTGTTCAGCACGGCAAATCGATCAACGTACTGCACTCATCACGCTCGGCCGACTCGATGATGTCGCAGTCTTGAAAGTTTTCGATGCGGCAAAAGGAGATTTCCAAGCGACGACGGCGATCTGCGTCCGCCACGGCAGCCGTAGACTCGTCAGTCGGTGCCGGCATGGCAAAGGCAACAGCCACAAGAGCGAGGAGAGCAGCAGCAAACTTCATTTTGACAAATGGTCAAGCTTGTTTTTTGAGTTTAAAAAATTATGAGTGTGGCAAGGGTGGTTCTACGGTATGCCTTCTACATTTCTCCATTAGTCGCCATCATGGTAGCTTATATACACGATGCCATCGCGGTGCCAAGCTTCTATTGCGGCGTAGATGCTCTCCAAGGTCGGACAACGTCACCTCCAAGCCGGTTCAATCCTCTGATGGCTGAAGCGTGCATCCTGGTGGCCGCGTAAGAGCGACCATGGCAATATACAAATGGCACGGGGTGTTCCTTATGTGTGTAAGTCTAGTGTATGCCTTTCAAAGAATATCAGTACGTGTAAACAAGGATACAATATGCGCCACCTTGGGGCGGGTTCAATCCTCAAGCACACAGATGAGACAACCCCATTGCCAATTTCGACCAACGCTCATGTTGCTTACCGGAGCTTACGCTGTGCTCACAAGCATCCTTCTCGTCTGTCGGGATGGCCGGTCCTCTTAGGAAAGGATGCTCGGCAGAGAGTCCAGAATGGCCGCCGAGATGGGATTGTTTTGAAATTCAACATGCCCTCGTAAAATGGCCGAGCATAAGCTTCCGGAGGGGAATGCTTATTGGAAAGTGCTCCGCCGCAAGCCAAGTGGTGGTTCGCCACCCTACGGATGTGGTGTAAATGAACTCTGTAAATGATCCACGAAAACCTGGTCCACATGGTCAATACAATATACCCACTGGCGCACCTCGCCTGCCCATTGTCCGTGTTCTACAGCGCAGCCGAGTCTGTACTTGTGCGGCGCCTACCGGCTATTATGGCCACCCCGAATTCCTATCGGCATCCACAGTTTGGCTTGCGCCGAGCCTCTAATTGTTTTGTTTCTATTTTGAGCACTCTGTTGGTTCGTACAGCGTTGACAGAGAAAATGAGGAAATACAGGAGAGCATACGATGAACTGCCGACACAAAGTAGTGCAACGGCCGTATCCGTGGGTCCTGCAAGCCCTTCCTTAAACATGTTTGATTACTAGGGTTTGTTTTATTTCTCGCTCGGTGAATTCAATAATTAGAAGTCGTGGGCATCATGCAATTGAGAGAGCTACGGGGAAATGCTCCTCACATCCTGCATGTTGTCCGAACGAGTGCGCCTGAATATTCCGAGAGTCAGTGTTAGTCACAGGTAGGTTACATTACAAGACTGTATTATTTGGATATTTATTCGTTGTGAATATTTGAGAACAGCGCAGTAAATGATGCAGAATTGTGTATTTTCTGACTTAATAAGCGTTTTATTTCCAATACTCTTATTTATTTCCTTTTTGTTTAATACAAAATGGTGCCGCCATTATTCGAACTTGTTTTGAAATTGAAACGTAGGATGAAAACCCGAAATAAGGAACATTTATGCGATTTTTTTTGTGAAATAAAATTAAGTAATAAAGGGAAAAACATCGAAGCAGGAAACGGCTGGGATGGTGTCAGATTCCCAGTTGTTTTGATCTAAACCTCATGATGTTTTTCAAACTTGAGCCTCCACTAAAAGGAGCTTGTACGGCACACAAAGGTTCAACATTGCTCCCTTCCATCGCGGCTACTGAAGGCGTGTTCCTGGGACCTGGAACCATCATCGTCTTCAAACTTCATTTTAGCTTGCAAAGGAGGGGAAACCCAACAACGTTGTCCCCGCCACCGTCCGTTGTTAACGGAGTTTACGTCGACATACGGCCGCCCGCTAATTGACGCAACTGAACCAAACAATGGGGCGAAGCTACTGAAGGCACGTCATCCTCCGCTGAACGGAGAGAGTTTCAAGTCATTCCCAGGACTATTTAACGCCTCTCTGCTCGCCGTTGTGTCGTTTTGGAATTCTCTCCTCGCCATTCGCAAATAGGGCAAAGAATTGAACCCGCAGTTCGACACTACGCCGAGACACAGACCAAGAGCGTTTCAAACGTCACGCAAGCACCTACCTGCCTTCTCCCCCATGGCGAAAGCACGCATCATCCTGGGTCTGATGACCTTTGGCCCCGACGCAGACAAGGGCGCCCGTGTTACCGATATCGAGGACTTCAAGAAGGCGCTCGATGTCTTCCAGGGCTACGGCTACGACGAGGTCGACACGGCCCGCATCTACGTCGGCGGCCTGCAGGAGGGCTACACGCGCCAGGCCGGCTGGAAGGAGCGCGGCCTGTCGCTGGCCACCAAGGTCTACCCCGTCACCCCGGGCATCCACAAGCCTGCTACGCTTACCGAGTACTTTGAGACGAGTCTGAAGGAGCTGGGTTCGGACAGTGTCGATGTAAGCAAAGGGCATCGCGACCGGGGTTGTGATGCGTTTCACGAGGACCTGCATGCTGACATCCTTCCAGATCTTCTACCTCCATGCTGCTGACCGCAGTGTTCCGTTTGCCGAGACCCTCGAGGCCGTCGACAAGCTGCACAAGGCAGGCAAGTTCAAGCGCCTGGGCCTGAGCAACTTCACTGCCTTTGAGGTCGCCGAGATCGCCCTCACGGCCAAGTACAACGGCTGGGTGCGTCCTTCGGTCTACCAGGGCATGTACAACGTCATCCTGCGCAGCATCGAAGCCGAGCTGATCCCCGCCTGCCGCCGCTACGGCCTCGACCTTGTCGTCTACAACCCCATTGCCGGCGGTCTGCTGTCCGGCAAGGTGGCCAGCACCGACGCAAAGGACATCCCCACCGAGGGCCGGTACTCGGACAAGTTCCTCAATGGCGCCGCACGTGCGCGCTACTGGCGCAACGGCACCTTTGCGGCTGTGGACGCCATGCGCGAGACGGCGGCCAAGCACGGCATCTCCATGATTGAGATTGCGCTGCGCTGGCTGGTGCACCACAGCGCCCTCGATGTGTACGGCAAGCAGTTCCACGACGGCATCATCATTGGTGCGTCGAGCCTCGCGCACCTCGAGTCGAACCTCAAGGACCTGGCCAAGGACCCGCTGCCCCAGGAGATCCTGGACGAGGTGGACGACGCGTGGCGGCTGGCCAAGGTGGACACGTCGCCGTACTGGCACCTGGATCTCAAGTACACGTACGACACGCAGGAGGAGCTCTTTGGTGAAGGCAAGAAGTAGAGGTCGTCCAGATACGTTGGCAATGTCGGGTCACAGTCCGCAATGTCGAAAGGTAATGAAAAACAAGAACCGTACTATTGATTGTTTGTCGGTGCTTCGTCCTAATCTAAGCACGCCTGAAACGCCAGTAGAATGTCAATGCAAAGACAGGTGAAAAACAGTGACAATGGAAGCAAAACACAAATACACAAGACAAGCCCCCCCAGAGTACATAGTACACCACGCACACACGCTTAGACGCCCATGGCCTTCTTGGCGGCCGCCTTCTGCTTCTTCAGCTTCTCTTTGCTCGCAGCAATCTGCTTGTCCAGGCCGCTGTCGTTGCTCTCCGGCACCGCCTTGGCCTTCTTGGCCGGGCGGCTGGCCTCCTTGGGCGCTGCATCCGTCGCTTTGCCCTTCTTGGAAGCCGTCTTCGCCTCGGCCGCCGCCTCGGTCGCCGCCTCGGCGTCCGCGGCACCGTCCGCCACGGCCTTGCGCTTCTTGCCCACGTTGGCCTTCTCCTTCTTTGCCGCCTGCCGCTCCTCGTACGCCTTGAGCTGCGCCGAGCCCGTCTTGAGCACGTCCTTGCTGCCCTCGAGCCACAGCTCGTCCGTCTGCCAGATCGGCACCGCCATCGTGCGCGGGCCCTTTATGAAAATCGACTTGACGTTGCTCCACCGCTGCGGCACGTACTTGCCCACCACCTCGCGCGCCACCGTCTCGATGTTGGCCGCCACGTGCGCCGCCGGCCACCCGGCCAGCCCCACCTTGACCGACGTGCTCTCCGACGCCGCCAGGTGCACCACGGCCGCGCCCGTCGCCTTTTGGATCTCGGCTGCAATCTGTGCCGGCGTGCGCGCGCCCGCTTTGGCCGCCGCCACCGCCGCCGCCTGGTCCTCGGCCTGCAGCGCCGCGTCGCCCTCGACCGTCGCCGCGGCCGCCTTCTTGGGCTTCTTGGGCGCCTTGACGCGCTTGCCGTCGGCGCCGCGCGGGCGGCGCTTGGCCAGCACCACGGGCACGGGGCGCTTCGCCGTGGTCTTGTAAAAGGTCTTGCCGAGGACCTTGGGCAGCCGGTTGATGATGCGGTCGTCGCCCAAGAAGAGGTCGTGCTCGGCAAACAGCTTGCGCTGCGCCTCGTACGACTTGAACTTCTTGCCCAGGTGGTTGACGTCAATCACGCGCGTGATGCGCTTGCGCAGGGCGGCCGGGAAGGCCGCGTCGGCCACAATGTCCTTGTAGGCGCGCTGCGGGTCGGCCGTGATGAGGCAGATGGTGGCGTCGTCGTCGCTGTTGAGCGCATGGGGCACGGTGATGGTATGGGGCTGCAGCCGGTTGGTGTCGATGATGTGGCGCTTGGTGCTGATGGTGAGCCAGATGGGCGTCTCGCCGGCGCCCGCGGCCGCGCCGTCCTCCTCGCCGTCGTCCGCAAGCAGGTTACGCTTGCCCGTCTGGGCGACCTCGTCGGCGGCGGACGTCTTAATGTACGCCAGGAGCGCCTTGGTAGCCGCCAGCGCCTATTGGTTTCGGAGGTCAGTATTGTCACATTGTCACAATCGTCTCTTGAACCCCACGACCTGCTGTTTGTTCCTGTGGTCTTCTTCTTTTCGTCGGTCTCCTCGAGCCGTCGTTCGTACCTGGGCAGAGTCGACCTGGGACGCCGGGAGCGTGTCCGCTCTTGTGACTGCTTTTGATTCGGACATGTTTGCGAGAAGCGAGTGTGGTGTCTGTTGCTCAATGCACCCGTCTATCGTCGCTGTTCGTCAGAAAATTTGAGACGGGCGAGAGTTTGGATACAAACGTCAAGAAGCTCTGCGTTTTCCTTACTTTTTTTAAAGTGGGGCCCGCAGAAAAGCAAGCAGAAGAAAAACCTGCCATTCGTTTTTCTGCCAGGCGGTGTGGGAACTTTTTCTGCCTGTAAATACTGCCGGAAAGCGGTGACCTCTAGGCCCCTGAGCAGCCTCGTCTAGGTGGGTCGTCCAGCTCACTCACAGCGGCCATTGACCGAAGCGGAAGAAGGCGGTCTCGGTGCCTTCGAGATGGCGCTCCACGCGACCGTTTAGTTCCGCAATACGTGATCCTCTGAGACACGACGGAGCCAGGCTGCCAGGAATGGAAGTTAAATTGAAAGCACCCCCTTCTTTTTATACAAAGTATTTCGTACAGTTCCCCCTTTCGCTCTCAAAGATCACCACTACAGGCCATTGCGTGCTTCTGGAAGACCAAAGACGGCTGCAGCGATATCGGCTAAAGTGATGTTGCACACATGTACATACGCGATGTATCTTACTGTTTACTTACGCGTGCCACCATCGTGCCTTCCCATGCTTGACAATGAATCTGTAGCCAAAAAGAAAGAGCGCGGGATGCACTTTCCTTTCTATTCTTATTCTCTACAGGAAAAATGACACAAACCACCAAGTAGTAGTTATAGACCTGCAGATTGACGTGCAATGTCTTACCTTGCACTCGAGGGACAAGATATTTTAATATAGGTGAACAGCTCGAGACCGCCCTCTGCTACCGATCGGCCACCAAAGTGACATGACGGCGAAAGACGGGCCATTCAGAACGCGACAGGGCAGCGTGCATCGGGTCAGGGCGGCTAAAAGGGGCTTTTCGGCGTGCTCTCCAAGAGAATCAGATGGCCACGGGCAGGTGGGGTCGAGACGCGCTCCGCTCCTGCTTCAAACAGCCATGCGCGCTTTCGTTGGCTTAACGCAGTGTATATTTGGCAAGAACATAAATTGTAAACCATGGGAAAGAGCAAAGAAGCCTTGCCAGTTATAATAAGTCAAAAGAGACAGACATATCCTTGCTGCAAAGCAACAGAAAGGCGAGGAGCAAAGAGTGTTCACCCACACTGTGATACACGCGACGCAGTGAACAGTATGTTTACCCGCTTACACGCTTTCCTGACGAGATGGGGACGTCTGTCTGGACAGGACCAGGACAGCTGTGTTTCAGCGGTACGCGGTGCGCTGGGGCATTCTCGTGTAAACGACATGGAGCGCTAAGCGTTAGTGGATAGACGCCTAAAGCGACGCGTCCGATGCCCTGTAAAACACCGCAACCCCGCCCTGAAATTCCAAACGCCACAGCCCTGCTACTGCCCATGCGCCTTCCGCACTGGAGACGCCGCGCCAAAACGCCAACGCGCTTTCCTCATCGGGCTGTAACGAGCACCTTTGCGCGTTGTTCCCACTCCACAGGGAAATAACGACTGACCGCGTCTCAAATAGCGAAACCTCCCTTCTCATATTTTCTCAGTCCTCCTTCCGCACCCAAGAATCGACCTGGCCGACCATTCTGGCCCTTCTTTGGACGACCGTTTCTATTTTCTGTCTTTGGCATTCGAGAACAAAGCATCTTGCCTCTCACGATCTCTCCCGCCTCTCACTTCAACCACCAGTCTCCGGCAGCAACTCCCAGTCTCAACTCAACTTACACGCAACAGACGCGGTGCAGTTCCGAACGCACAACCACGAACATTCCACGACAACAAAAAATCCCCACCAAAACCCTCCGTAAACGCGACCACATTTCGACATATTAATTTTTTCTTCGTGGCCAACCTAAGACTTCTCTCTCTGCTCCACTGGCTCTCTGCACATCTTCTCTTCCTCTTTCCAGTCTGTCCCTTCCTTTGATATCATCCTGCTGTTTGCCTCCTCGTCCTGCCTCTCCCACCTGGTCATGCCACGGCCGATTCGGTGACCTCGCATCATATCTGCCGTGACCTTGCCTCGCTTCCTTCCCCCCCAATGGACTCTCCTCTTGGGAGCAAGGCCCCAGAGCCTGCTCTCCCCCAGGTCGCCGGCGTCAAGCGTCCGGCGCCTTCTCTGCTGCCCGCCTTTGAACCTCTCTCCTCATCACCAGGCCTGCCGCGTCTGATCAAGAAGGCCCGTAACAACGCGTCCGGTCTGAACGCGCAAAATGCGTTTGCAAAGTATCCCACGCCTGTGCCAACGTCCAGCACGGGCATCATGTCCTCTTCTCCACCAGCACGCGTCGTCGGCGGCCGTCCCACCCTGCAACGGACCTTGTCAGCAGCCTCGGAACGCACGCCCCTGTGTGCCGTCCCATCCATTGAGCTCAACGAGAACGGCGAGACACTTCTCATGGGCCGCTCCAGCAACTCGTCACACTACCAGCTGTCCGCCAACCGCCTGATCAGCCGCGTCCATGCCAAGGCACGATTCATTCCCTCCATGGGCCCGCTCGAGCCAAACAAGGTAGAGATTGTGTGCTGCGGGTGGAACGGTCTGAAGCTGCACTGCCAGGGCCGGACATGGGACCTCAGCAAGGGCGACACGTTTACCAGTGAGACCGAGAGCGCCGAGCTCATGATGGATGTGCAGGACGCGCGTGTCCGCATCCAGTGGCCCAAGAAGAACGGTGCCGACGCACTGGCGAACCTGTCCGACTCCTCCTGGGACTCGCCGCGGTCGGCGCGCGTCGCCAGTCGACATAGCAACAGCAACCGGGGCGGTGCAACATCGGGTGATGCCCCTGGTGGCTCTGCCTTGCAGTCCAGCCCGCTCCGCCGTGCTGCACGGATTGCTTCGCCCGAAAGCCCGACGCCGGCCGGCGTCCCTGTCTCTGGCGCCAGCCTGCAGGCCCTGCTGTCTCAGCACATGGGCAGCGACGACGAAGATGACGACAGCGGCGCGGCCATCCAAATTTACGAGGATGCTAGCGGCGACGAGCCGGACCTGCCCAAGCAGGATGCACGGGCGGGCGCGAGCTTTGCGACCGAGCTGGCGGACAGCTTCTCGAGTGACTTGAGTGATATCCACACGGACGACGACGCCAACGACAGCAGCCAAAACGACGACGTTGACGATCCTGACGAGGAGAACGATCCAATTGTGCACTCGTTTGGTCCCTTTGGTGCCAACCTCTCCGACCGCCTCGCCTCGTTCTCGACAAACAGCCCCAAAGTCGGCCGCCGGCCGCTGAGCCGCATCCCCTCCGCCGACGGCTCCATCACATCGTTTGACTCTGGTGAAGTCGCGGCCGCGGACGACTCGATCCACGCCAAGAACGCCGCACCCTCCTCCTCCCAGCGGCCGACGACGCCGACCGCATCTGGCATCCCGCTCGCGGATCCCAACCGCTCCGCAGAAGGCGTCGGTCTCGGTATCTCGGTCGAGCCCAAGAGCCCGAACCCTACCCAGGACGAGGCTTCGGCTGCGGTCGAGATCAGCAAGAACGTCGACGTCGAGACGGTCCGGAATCACTTGATCAACCAGCTCGCCTTTTCGCGCCTGTCGTCGAGTCCCTTGTCGACCATTATGAACAACCTGCCGGCCGAGGAGCGGCGCGACCTAACGATCGATGCGCTCCGGTTCATCATTGAGGGCACGCCGTGTGTCGGTGTGATCAAGCGGCAGGGAAAGGACGCCGCCGGCAAGGCGCTGGAGAGCGAGTACTACTACGTCTCCGACATGGACGATGACATGTCGCGGCGGTCGGTTGTCGACAACCTGCGGAAACCGAGCCTGCGGAATTGCCGGAAGCAGCACAAGGTACGTTTTGGCGGTGGAAGTGTGAGAAGGTGTTTGGGGGATGAAGTTGCGTGACGGTTGTTGATGTGAGGTTGAAAATGTGGGGTCAATGTGGCGGTTCTGACTAACACGGTTTTCTCCCTACAGCAATATTACTGGAAGCGCCCACGGACGCCATAGTCGGAACATGTTTTCGACAAGAAACGATAACAACGACAAAATCACAAACCTGCTTTTTCTTCTCAAGGTACATTCTTTTGTTTCTCTAATACCGACTCTGTTGTGAAAACTATACCCTTTGTTTTGCACCTTTGTCGCCGTGGGAGAACTGCTTCTGTTTGCTTCATGTTGCATAGCCTGAGGCGTCTTTGTGTTTGCATTTTAGTTATTCATTCTGTCTTTCTCTCTTCGGCGGCCATTTCGTGTCACGTTCTGTCGTAACGTATATGTATATTCTATATTTTTCACACTTTGTCGGCCTTGACATGCATAGGCAGGCTGGGACAGGATGAGCAGGAGAGGCTGTACTCTAGAATGGGATATTGGACGACAATGGAACAGGGTCCATTGTGATGAATGCCTTCAAATAAACAATATTGACAGAATGTCTCCGCTCTGAGATGTCTTTGTGAGATGTCGAAGCACCTTTTTCGTTCAAGCCCTTAACTATTCTGAAGTCGGGTAATTGCACAGACGAATTTATATTTGGCCTGATAAACATGGTTCATACCATCTCGTTTTCTTTTGGTGTCTGTAGTATAGTTCTTGGGGTATCGATTTATAATTTCGAATATGCATATTTATTTTAATATTATCAGTATTAAACGCTTATTGAGAACAAAACTCTTTTTAAATCCACAGCATGATGCGAAGTCAGTTCCTTCTGAATCCAAAATAGCGATAAAATAAAAAATAATAATAGACTTCTTGTAAACATTCATCATACTGCAAAATTCTTTCCGTAAAATTCTTTCCAAATAAGCGCTGCATCCCCTGCTTACACTCATACTCCCCGAGAACCAGCAAGAGGCTATTCCATGGCCTGACAACATAGACGTCTTACACCCCCTTTGTTTGGCGCAGATCCCCATCTGTCACCAACGGAGACGAGCAAGGCCACGAGCTGGGAGAGAAGACACCTCGGACGCCTGCAACCCAGCAGGCGGCTGGTCTGGCGTGGGCTCTGTCGAAGACCGCCATTCCGCAATCCATGGTTGTGCGGCTAGCACGCTTCCTACGAGCGATGAAAGCAATGTTGAATAATCCGTGCTCGCTGGTGCCTGCATCGGCCTGTACACTGGTTGCAGTGATACAATGTTGTTCTTCTTGCGCTCTACTTACTTCAAACGGTTTGGCATTACAAAGCAAAATACAGCCGATTACTTTTACAGTCGTAACTACACAAGACTTCCTGCCATTGTGAACTGCTTTTGCGCAAATATGGGGCCGCTGTTGCTCAAGTTCGACGGAGCTATCTCCTACGGACTACGAATTACTTGTGTGAGTTTCGACTTCGCGGCAAGGTAAACGTACACTGTGCAACACGTAGCTCCACCGGAAGCGAGTGGAAGGAAAAGGAGAAGCGGCTGCTGCTAGGTCGGTGGAGAGCAGAGAGCCACGTTTTGTTGCGTAGCGCGAGCGCTGGGTGAAGACTTGGCTAAAAGAGAGTGATGTGCGACTCCATTTACTTCTCACAACTCAAAACATCTCCACATCCATTTCAGCTTCGGTTTCGGTAGGATATTGCTGTAAGGCTTGGTTGACGATATCCACCCACCAGCTTGGCGTAGTGCGGCCGCCAAAGAGAGCTTTTCTATATTCCCACCACTCGGGCCAAAAGCCCGCCATCTCCCAGTCGATAATGCCGGTGACATCGCCTGTTCTGGGATCGACAAAGATATGTTCCCATGACAAATCTGCATGGGCAAACACGATCGTGTGGTTGTCAGGAAACTGGGTGCGATACTTGTCTGCCAGCTGCGGATTGGGGCATTTTCGGATTGGGGCAACAAGGAAATCGTGAAATTCAGCTGTGGTTTTAAAGGGACCACAAGGAAACAAGCTGTTCAGCCTATGGTCGTATGCGGTGCCGCCAGCGCAGGACCCAATCCACCCAGGCTCAGGCGGACGGATCGAATGTAGCTGCTCAATATATGACTTGAGCTGGTGAATGGTTTGCGTACGGATGTTGTCGCTCATTGCCGGCCATGCCTGGTCGAGTTGGATCCCGTGTAATCGCTCCATACGGAACCAGGCCTCCTTGTTGTCCGCGTCGAAATGGTATTCGAGCACGCGTGGCACGGGGATGGACGTATGGCCACGTACATACGCCATTGCCTCGATCTCTCTTCGAAGTCTGGATGCTACGCCGCTCTTCTTGACCGTCTTTTGGCTCTCATGCGCAACTCGAATGAAGTGCGATTTGCCACTTGATGCCTCGTCGTTTCTGGCCATTGTCAGGATATCAGGGAGGTAGTGGTAGGGATCCGGCGAGTTGGTTGAATGAAGATGCACACTCTTGACTAGGGGAGAAATCACTGCTCGAGACAAGCTGAAGGGCGAAACCCCTTAACTGGCTGCGTCTACAGTGTTAATACACAGTAAAGAATTAGCTACCGTACAGTACCGTAATGCGTTTCAAGTCAGCATGTAGAGAAGTTCACTGAATTGGGAGCCGTCCCAGAACGAGGACCCATCAGCTCGCGTTAGTAGGGCCCTAGAGATGTCCATAGCGAACGACACGCATATGTGGAAACGAGGAAATGGGGGCGGATGCTCTCCGCGAGAGCGCATCGGATGCACATTCTCGTCACAAGCTGCAAACCAAAACGACGCCAACGCTCCAAGTCGTCTTGCAGAACAATGTGTGCTCGGGCATGTCTTTGTCGTTACCTGGACGGACAGTGTTCGAAAGCAGTGTGGACGCTGCAGAGACGCATACTGTCCTGCCAATCTCGAGGAAGATCACAAGGGCCGAGCGGACCTGAGCTTGTAGAGCCGTCGGCAGCCAGCCAGCCGAACGGTGAGAGTGCCGCCTGCCGCCTGCTACCACACCAGCAGCACGACAAACACTATGCGCGCATCGTGCACGCTGCCGCATCTCGATATACGTTTCCGTACAATGACGTCACCCCGACAGGCGGGCCGGACCAATCTGGTGCAGCCGCAAGCAGCAGCCCTGGGCGCCTTACTGTCTACATTGGTGGGCTGTGTCACGTGTGATCCATAAGGATCCACACGTGACTTGTCCCCCTCCCAACGGATATGCCATCCGTTAGGGAAAAGGGGGGAAGATATCATAGATTAGTCGATCCGAAGGATCTTAAATAGATTGAAAACAATCAAGTTATTTTTAATCATTATTCTATGACAATGGTAGTAACTCCGTTGCGATAGCCTTAACTAGTAAGAAATTTTCTTTACACTAACGTTTACACGTACTATTATATAACCTATAAAAACAACTCCTTAAAAGAAATTTAAATAACTTTCGTTACCTTTATACGGGAGGTTTATAAAACTTTCTCCTTTCGTTCGGAGGAAGTCTTATTTCTCGAATCCTTACTCTTTATTTATCCTTTAACTTTTAATTATAATTAAATTACTCGAACCTTCTCTTTAATAATAACTATCCGTTATTAACGAAGAGTTAAAGACCCGGATTTAATACTACTACCACCTTTTTAAACACCTTTACTTTTAATCGACCTCGTTATTTCCACACCCTCCTTTATTATCACTTTATCGTCTTACTTTTAATAATCTATCGTCACCCTTTTTCGTAGACTCGTTTTAGTCACTTTAGTAGTGTAAATTATTTTTAATCCGGATTAAGTACCGTTTCTTTCGACTATAAGTACTATTCCTTTACCTTTTTTATCGGTAATTATCCGTTATAAATCTATATAAATAAACCCTTATACCGTCCTTAAAGTACTACGGTTTATCGACTTTAATATTATAACTCTTTAATTAGTTATCCCCGGTTTATCCGGATAATATACTTTTAATACGGGCCCGGTCTTTATTCGAACCGTTAATAAATAAGTTACTAATATTATTAATCCGACTAGTAATAACATTCCCGTTATCCTTCGTAATATATCTACCGTAAAATATATTTAACTTTAAAAGTATATATTTTCGGTAATTAATATAACACCACCCGTTAATCTATTAAACGGCCGTTATTTAAAAAACGATAATATTTATCTACTTAAATCTTTTAAGAATACCCGTTATCGATCGTCGTTACTACACGATAACCCCTAGTATTTTAAACCTAAACGGATCGGTTTTTTTAATTTATCCCGTAACGATCTTAACTAAACCGGTTTTATTATCGATAGTAAAACATTTGTTTATACGAATATTTTTAACTTTACTAATAAACTTTAATATATAACTTTACGTTACTTAAAAGTATCCGTGTTAAACACTTAAAGATAATACTTTATTAGTTCCGTATAATAATGGTTTGGTTGTATCCTTACGGACACTAAACGTATCTTTTTAAAGAATCTATCTTTTAACGAAATCTATATCGTATTTTAAGACAGATTTAAAGTTGACGTAGTTACGGTTAACTACTTCCTTCGTTCCGTCCGTTTCTCGGTTAACGATATAATCCGTAGTCGTAATTTACTTGTCTTCCTTAACTCCGTTATAATAAACGTTAAAGTTTACGGTATATTTAACTTTAACGTTATAATTTACGTTTACGGAGTTATAAACAACCACTTTTAGTCGGTAGTTCTTAAACTAACCGAACTTACTACCGTAGATTAATATATATTAATCTTACGTAAAAGAACGTCCGTTATTTAAACTATCGTTTAACGACTTAATTACGAACGTACTTACCGTACTCGTAATTAAAACAGGATAACTCGTAGTATATACCGTCCCTAAAAATATAACGACGCTACTAAACCCTTTAATAAAACCTATAACCGTACGGATAATAAATAATACTTTTATAAAAACTACGACCGTACCGATAATAATTCACCTTTCGATAAAAACCGTAAAAAGGCCGTTAATAATTAACGTAAAAACACCTTTTAAAAGGACAAATATAAACCTATTAAAGACTATAGTAATCCTCCCGTTAAAGTATTTAATATTAATAATATCTTTAACGAGTTAAACTATAACGACGACGAGGACGACAAGTCTTCCGTCACCACACTTTAACAAGAATAACTCGACGAAGAAGCCGATATAATTATACTAACCGTACTACCCTTAACCGTTATATCCGTAACCTATCGTTAATACTTACGAGTATTTAATAACCGTAATAAACTTCACCAACACCTCCGTAATAACCACAACCAGCCATCGTAAACGGTAAAAAACTAACACCTAGTAAACGATAATTTTTAAACGCGGATTTTTAAACCGTGAATTTTGGTACAAATCCCTCACCGGTTCTAAATAGTTATAATAACACGGATATTCTACGAAATCCCTTTACAGTAACACTATATACCTACTTTAAAATTTAAAAAAAATGGAAAAAACCAATAATCATTTATTCGAACGTATCCACGTTTACGGATAAAAAATAAGAATATAACTATTCTTACTTAATCTATTTTATACACTCCTCTCCGGACACGGTAGGCGTGCCTATTATTAAAGACACCGGTTGTTCTTAATCTCTCGTTAACTTAGTTTAAGTGACGGACAACTACCTACGTTTACTTATCCACTATATTAAATAACCGTTACGGGTTAAAGGGATTAGTAATACTCGTTACTTTACACACGATTACGTTATCCTTCCCTTTTTATTACGAGACTACGATACTTATAATAACTAACCAGTATTCACGTCTTTTAACCGTCGTGTTTTTCTAGTTTAAACGTTAACACTTAAACTACTTATCGGTAATAATATTATAGTACCCGAATAGTTTTATATTAATTACTACGATATACGTATTATTATACATTTATATTATACTATTATAAACTTTACTATCGAACGTTTATAATAATAAACCAACCTAATAGTTAAAACGGTTAAACGAATACTTATTCCTTTACACTTATTTACCGCTCTTCTTATTTAGTTTAAAATAAAAGTCTACTATAATTCCCTACTATTTACTCTAACGAAATCCTTCCCTTTATCTACTTTTATTTTCTTAACCAATTCCAAAACTACCGTCTTACCGGTATACAACCATTTAACCGTACCTATTTTACTCCACACTAACCAAAGACTCGACCGTCTCTCCTTATTAATAATAAATTATAGATTTCTCCCGTTATCCGACAATGTTACGGAAACCGTAACACTAACTATCTTCTACGCCGACACCGGTCCTACTTTACCCACGTTAAAACCATCCATAATAAACATAATCACCTATTAATCAAGAGTAACTATCTTTAATAACCTTAAATATCTTTAACGTACTACACGGTTACTTAAACTTTTTAATAAATACGTTACGGTTTTCTAAGACACTGGTTTTGTCGATAATCTATTAAAATAATAGACTAAAGTTCACCTTAAAACCGATTAGTAATAATTAATCCTTAAATATACCCGTACTTATCCGTTAAACTTTAAATTTAAACAAGTCGTCGAAAACACTCTAGTAAAACTAATAAAGGACGGTAAAATCGAGCCTATAACGAAATCTACACTATTATCCTTCCCGGTCTTCGTCGTTTACCGTAAGATAAACGACACTAATAAAAGACGTATAGTTATTAACATCCGTAACTTAAATCGAATAACCTTACCCGATACTTACCTTATAAAAACACAAAACGAAATCCTTTAAGGTGTGGTAGAACGAGATACTAAGTTTATCTTTATTTTTAATGTTAAATCCTTTTATTACTAATAGTGTGTCCACCCGTCGTTACGATAAGTATTTATAATTAACACTTATGTCGGTTAATACACCTTTAAATGTCTTATTATAAGTTATAAAGGTAGTAATGTTTATATTTAAAGATAAATAAATACTTTCTTACGTAACATCGACGGTGTAAACGTTTATTACGACGACGTTATTTAAACGGATTACACTTTCCACTAATATTATAATAACTTACGTAGATTTCTATAGTTATGTATCGATAAAAACATCACTATCGACGTTATTAAAAACCTTTTTAACATTTCCTAGTTTAGAAATCTTAGGCCGTTACTTAAATCGATATATTATAACGACCACTATAGAAAAAATCGTTACGATTACCAACCTTAGTTTTCTAATAACGTTTAAACTTCTCGAAACTTTTATAGGTATAGTTATATAACTACGAACTAACGTCGTACGTTTTATTATTCGTATAACACTATTATAAAACCGTAAAACCTAACTTTTTAAGACTTTACCGGAGTATAAATTTAAATAAGTCAGACAAAAGTTTACTTAAACCATCCAAATTTAACCGATAAAAGAGGTACTTTAAGCCTTTTAAGACGTTAAGAAAGTTATTATTAATAATAATCCCACTTACTATATTAATCTTAAACGACCACTTTTTCTCGACGTAGATTCCTTCGGTGACGGTATTAGTGTTAAACTATACTATATTATCTTAACTTACTTACTATTACCCGACACTAAAACATTTTAAGTCCCTTAAAAAACGATATAGACTATCGTATTCTTTTTTAAAACCCTTTCCACTACCGAAAAGAATTACTAACTAACCGAACTTGAAATCTTTAGTGTCGTTTAAACGTTAAAGAAAACTAGGTACTAAATCGACGTATATTAATACTCGTTTATTAATATCGTTACAAATCACATATTTATCCTCGGACTACATATATAAACCAATATCACTAGTTTTACCGTAACCAGTATCTAAAATAAACGGATTATCCGTACTATAGAATTTTTATCTTTATTTAAACTCCGCTTCTTTCACCACGTAAGAAAAGATTACACTATCCTAAATACTTTATCTCGTTTACCTCGTATAAATTAAACGACACTAATAAATACATCCGGTAGTCTCGACTTCGTTAACGATAATATTAATATTCTTTAAGTAGTACACGAAGTTCGTATTAAACGGGATAATACCCCTTCGGTTATCGAGGCGTTTACCGTTTTAACGGTTTTCCTCTCTCCGGATTTTCGTACCCGAATTATTCACGGTTATCACTAAAACCTTTACTTCTTTAAAGTTTTAAATATAATCCGTTAAAACCGTACGTTTAGTTTTAACGTAGTACAAATTTTATATTATATACGAAAGGATCTTATTTACTACTAATACCGCGTTCTTTTACTACGATTATGTATCTTTAAAGTTTGTATTACGGATATCTTTAAAACAACCTACGATAACCATTATTCGGGTATTAACGCTTTACTACTAGTTATCCGGTAATTTCATATCCTACACGTGTAACGGCTTTTCTTTAAGTTTATCGAAGGATACTATTAATACCGTATTAACTAAACTTAATACTATAAACTATATAAGTTACTTTAACCGTTACTAATTTTAAATATCTTATATAATAGTATCTTTATTAATTTTATATTCGGTCTCCCTTTCTCGGACTAAAATTACGATACTTTATTAGTCGTAGTCGACCGTTTTATTAAATAAACCCTTTTATTACCCGGTTAGGTTATAAATATAACCGTCACTTAAGGAACTATCTTAATTATATATTTATTTTTATTAAACTAAGGTATTTTTAAAGAAATTATTTCCGACCGTGACTTAAAATTCCTTTCCGATCTTTAAACAACCATTTAAGTACGGTTATAAACCAAACTATTTTATTTAATAATATACCACCTTTAATTCGACGGTTAAACGAAACGTACTATTTAAACCACTTAAACTTTCCTTCGTTACGTATTATAATCGTTTCCGGATATAACTAAATAGGTTTATTATCTTTTAAATATTTAATTCTAGTATAATTAACGTTATTACTTATTTATTAACACTTTATTAAATTAAACTATCTTAGGTTTTTAACTTAACGACCCGACTTAACTTTTATAAATAAACTAGGAACCGTTAAATATACCTCTTTTACGAATCTTTCTTTAAAACGTACTAGTTGTTATAACTATATCGGTTAAACGGTATTTCGATAAACGTTACACACTAAAATTCTTCTTACTTAACGATTACGTTTACTTTAAATTATACTACGGTATTAATTAACCCGTAACCGTATAATTAAATAAGTTTCGTTTACGGTAGACCGGTCCCTTCCGAATTATTAAAAGAGTCGGTCGGTTTATTTATCGTCTTTTTTTTCCTATATCGTAGTAAATTTACGACGTCGTTTTAGTCTCCCACTTTACTTTAACTCACCTCGATACTTTCGAACGTTAATTACTAGTAGTAACTTAGTTATTATATAATTAACCCGGTACTATTATCCGTATATAAATTTAACGTAGTACTCTTTTAACGTTTATTTAATACTACGGTTTAAGACCCGAGTTCGATATATAGATTTTTATAAAACATTTACCTTTAAATATATTTATAATTAATTTTAATATCCTTAATGATTACTATTATACTTTTTAACTTTTTATTACCTTCTTTTTACTTATTTAGTAATTAGTATTTTATACTCTTTTTCTTCGTAGATTTTAACCACGTTTTTTATACTACAACTTTATATCCTTCGTTATACCGACAACTATAACCCCGAAACTATCACGATTAACCGTAGCCGATTACGAGTTACGTATACACGATCTTTTTACTAGTATTAAAAAGGGAGATAATATATACGTTTTATATATTTAATAAACCGGCTTTTTTATCGTTAAAACTTTATAGTTAAATAAACCACTTATATAAACTCTTTTTTATAAACGGTTTTTAAACGTCGTCGACCGACCCTTTAAATAATCCTATTTAGTGGATTATTTTACTATTAACACGTACGGCGTCCCGAAAGAAATCCTCGTCGTTTTTAAACGAAACTTAAAATTTAAACGGTTTAACTATCTTACGTTCCTCGAAAGGATCGCCGATATATTAATCACTTACACCGTTCTTATAAATTAATCCTTAAATACTATAATTACTTATATAACTATATACACAACTACCCACTTAATTACTTATAAACGCCGTCGTTTAATTATATCGGAATCCGTGATTTTAATAATCGGACTAATAAACGACTTTTAATTAAATGTAAGTCGTAAAACCCTTTATAAAGACCGTATAAATATCTTAAGATATATTCGTTAATTTACTACCTTATTTTACCTTAACCTTATATTTACGGAAATCTAAACTATTAACGACGTATAAGTTAGTATTAACGACGTTTTTAAACTTATTATTAAAGATACTAACCATATTATTATAAAACTCCGTATACGGTATAAAGTTACCGAAGAAATTAAAGTCCTCGTTAACTTCGACGAAAAGGATAATTTATACCCTTTCTTTAAAAATAGGAACCTTTTTCGAAAACCACCTTTTACTTTATACGAGTCTTTTCTTTTTATAAATAGTACCTTCGACGACGAAGAAGATAGTGAGATAAACGTTTCACTTAAGGAAGATAATATAATAAACGACTTATCTAAGGAAAACGGCGATATAAACGCCTTACTTAAAATAATAACGAGAGACATCTTTACTTAAATAGATTTAACAGGAACTATTAATCTTTAAATAACAATACTCTTATATAAAAAAAAAAAAGGAATATAAAAGGAAAGATTCACGTTAATTTTCTACTAACGTTGATTTTCCGTTATTTTATAAACACGTTAATTTTCCACTATTTTACTACGATATCGCTTTATTTCGCCACGTTACTTTTTATAAGAATTTATTCCTAGTTGTCGAGACGACAGTATTCCTCCCCGGGCCACTGTCACGTATGATCCATAAGGATCCACACGTGACTTGTCCCCCTCCCAACGGATATGCCATCCGTTGGGGAAAAGGGGGGAAGATATCATAGATTAGTCGATCCGAAGGATCTTAGATAGATTGAAAACAATCAAGCTATTTTCAATCATCATTCCATGACAGGCTGGGTGGCAGCGTGGAGAGTAGGAACGCGGCAACCACGCGTGTTTCAACAATCAACTTACCAACATACGGGAGATGGCACGCGAGGGACGCAACCGATCGACGGTCGGCGGCAGAGACGTGCACTCCGGCCCTCAACGTTTGCACCAAGATAGTCAAAGCGAGACAAGATCAGGATACATCTTGCCAATTTGTCCGTCAGGCGGACTTGCCGCTTTGCCTGCCTCCGTTCCTCGTCTACCCCCGGTGGCTTTTATTGAGAAGACATTTCCAATCCCGTCCCGTCTGCAAATGCGCCAATGGTCCAATGGTGGTGTATTGTGTATTGCCTCGCAAGTTTTACCTAAAATGTTTAGCGACCGACTTCAGTGGGGCACCTCCGTGCCTCGGTGCTCGATGCCGTGGGATTGCTTGTTCCTTTGTACCAGAGAGACATCCTAAAGCATGTGCATGGAACTAGGTTAGGCGGGCGTGTACTAAATTCAGCAGCTCCCTTCCAAGCTCTTTCCGCGCTCGACAGTTTTACGGCGCACTTCCCCAGAGTCGACGACTTTACGACGAATCCTCCATCGACCACTTGTTTGCTGTATCTGTTTCGTCTAACACTTCTGCGTCTTCATCTTGGACTTGGCATCTCGTCGTCGCGTCTTTTGTTGTGTCTGTTTTACGAACTAGACACAGCCTACGACGGCCTCACACAAAACACACGACACAATGGGCGCCGTCGTGCTTCGCGAAGGACAAAAGTCCGTCCTGATCACAGGGCAAGTTCTTTCTCGAGCATCTTTAGGAAACGATACGGTGAGAGATGGAGGGCTTGCGACTGAGACGCCTGTACACTAACACCTGCCAGCTGCACGCCTGGCGGCATCGGCCATGCGATCGCCGAGGAGTTCCACGCAAAAGGTTCGAATCCTCGTCTGCTGCCACCGTCCGACGCCCACAAGCACAACTAACCAACGCGCCAACAACAGGCCTCTTTGTCATTGCGTCTGCGCGCCGGCCCGAGGTGCTCAAGGATCTTGCCGCCAAGGGCATTGCGACGGTGCAGCTCGACGTGACCAACGCGGACTCCATTGCCGCGTGCAAGGAGGAGGTGTCGAAGCTGACGGGCGACAAGCTGGACTTTCTCGTCAACAACGCGTAAGCCTCCAGACACCATACCACATCCGACTCGTGTTCCCCGCTAACTGTGCCAGCGGCCGTACGCACACCGTGCCGGCGACGGACCTCGACGTCGACGAGATCCGCGCGACGTTTGAGACCAACGTGTTTGGCGTCATGGCCATGTGCAAGGCCTTTGTGACGCTGCTCATCAGCGCCCGGGGCCTCATCATCAACATCGCCTCGCTCTCCGCCGCCGTCCCCTACGTGTTCGGCGCGTCCTACTGCGCCTCCAAGGGCGCCGTCGTGTCGTACTCGCGCTGCCTGCGCCAGGAGCTGCGCCCCTTTGGCGTCCGCGTCACCGTCGTCATGGCCGGCACCGTGCGCTCCAACATTGCCAACAACGTGCTGCCCCTGGTCCCCGGGTCGCTCTACGAGCCCGTGGCCGACCTCTACGCCAGGCGCCAGGTCTACAGCCAGACCAACAACACCATGGACACGGGCGCGTTTGCGCGCCAGGTCGTGGGCAACGCGCTGCGGCCCGAGGTGCCGCTGCTGCTGCGCGCGTGGTTCGGCCGGCGGGACTGGTTCTGGTGCGGCGGCATGTCCACGATTGTGTGGCTGGGCACGATCCTGGGCGAGTGGCTGTCGGACAGCGGCGCGTGGCGGACGTTTGGTCTGCAGCGGCTCAAGGACATTGTGGACGCGCGACGGAAGCAGGCGGTTGCCGACGCGAAGACGAAGTAGCCGTGGAGTGTACGACGTGTGAAGGAGATGGTGTGTACCCGGGTTGTTTCCCATTCTGCGGCCCTCGTGCGTCCGTTTTGTCTGTTGACGCTTGCCCTTCCCTCCTGCTCTGACTCTCCTTGTCGCCAGGCCGTCTTTACGGCCTCTTGTACTTGTATACACTGTAAATATCGTTACTTGAGAATTCAATCGCCTGGCCCATCTTGTACTAGTAAAAGAAGCACGGCATCCACACTTGAAGCCATTTGGCAAACAGAGCAGAGGTGTGGCTGCAGCACACGTTCCTTATGCAGCTCCTTCACAGTGAGATTACATATGCAGTGCGACCGTGCCAGGGCTGCATCGTGGTGTGCGATAGGCCAGTCCGCCAGGCTCCAGTAGCGAGGGCATGCACGTATCTCATTGTGTCTCAAAGCGGACACCTGCATGCAACGAGCCAAGCCGACGTGCAAACGAACACCGGCTGGACAAGAACACCCATCAGTGGTTCTTGGCCTTACGACGTGATATAAACCCGTTGAGAGCTCGTCCTATCCGACAGGTGGAATGCAATGGGTTTTCCTCTTGCCTGGCAGAAGCAGTTTGTCCAACCAAAGAAAGCTGCCCGTCCGGACACTCTTATCGCCACGCACCTCTTTCGTGATCCCCCCCCAATTTGGCCAGCAATGCCTTCCAGCACCTCGGGCACGCAGGATGCGCACAGCGTCGCGGCCCGTGATCAACTGCACGAGCCGCACTTTTGGACGCTGCCGCCCTGGTTCCACTGCCACATCCAGACGCACGCGGGCACGACCATCTTTTGGCTGCCCATCGACTCCGAGGAGGGCCGCGTCTACGCGCAGCTGACAACGGACGCGGCGCGGCTGCCGTACATTATCACGCACAGCACGGAAATCTGGCACACGACAATGCCCGAGGGCCTGTACTTTTACGACGAGCCGGCCAACACGCGGTACTGCATCCGGCGGCACACGGCCGCGTTTGACGGTCTGTTGCGGCTCGGACTGCCCGACGGCAGCATCCTGTGGCCCGAGGGGTCGCCACAGTGGGAGGCGGTGGCGCAGTACTACCGGGACTTGGGCAAGAACTTGGGGGCGATTCACGCGGACAGGGGGCGCTACTGATCCACGGGACACGGGACACGGGACACGGGACACGGGACACGGGACACGGGACACGGGCACACTATATGCAAGGGAGAGATCCTAGTCATGTCATTCTAGCCGAGTCATACACAGAAAGGAGGTTACGAAGACGAAGTAAGCGCTATCCAGATCGAAAGGAACAGGGAGATCAACTCCAGGACAAACATGAACAAGTAGTACGACAGATTGAAAGCGTTCTCCAGCGTCGGGCCCGGCACGTACGGCTGCACCATTCTGTACATCCGCCGGCCCACCCACAGCGCGGCCCGGGCCATCCTCCAGAGTCCCTTCGCGGCGGCTCGTGACGTCCTCTAGAGCTCGACCAAGGCCTCGAGCAGCGCCTCCTCGGCGAGGGCGGGGATGGGGAGCGGCGGGACCGGCAGCGTCGACGCCGACTTTGACGTCGTCTTCGGAGGGCGGCGCGCGCCGGGGAACTTCTTGTTGTAGGGCCCGTAGAATTCGGAAAACGCAGCCTGCAGGTCCTCGGCGCGCAGCCGCATGTGCTCGCCCGGGACGGTGCGGAAGTGCAGGCCGCCCCTGTCGTCGATGGCCTTGAGACCCAGCCAGTCCTCCTTGTAGAGCGCGCGCGCGCGCAGCGGGGTGACCTCGGTGCCGTTGACCTCGGCGAACCAGGCCGACTCCTTGGGAATGGCGGTGGTGTCGTTTTCAAACAGGTACATGGCAAAGTTGGCGAGCTGGGCCAGGTTGTCGCGGTACTGGGGGTTGCGCGCGCCGGGGCGCTCGTTGTTGATGTCGGCCAGGAAGTTGGACTTGTCGAGGTACTGGGCGTACGCCGCCGCCGTCGACGGGTCGCGGTAGTACTGCGCCGGCACCACGCGGCCCTGCACAAAGCCCGACCACGTGTTGCCGTGCAGCAGGGCCATGGCCGCGCGGCACACAACGTCCGTGCTGGCGCACTCGACAAACTCGGAGATGCCGTTGTGCTGCGCGCCAAACGTCACGAGCGACCGCACCGGCGGCCGGTTGCAGCGCTCCACGTACGCCCGCAGAAACTGCCCGCCCTGGCTGAAGCCCAGCGCGTCCAGCGCCGGCGCCGTCGACAGGATCGGGTCCGCCGCAATGTCCGCGCACACCTGCGCCACCTGCTCCGTCACGTTGCCCATGAACGTCGCCGACCGGTCGCTGCCGGCGCTGTCGCCCAGATGCGCAAAGTAGACGAGCGTGCCCGGGTTGACCTCTTCGGCGAGCGCACCGACCTCGCGCAGCCCCTCGGCCGCAAAGTTGTCGCCGAGGCCTGCCCGTGCATGTCAGCGTTGTTCCGATGGAAGGGGGGGAAGGGCCAGCAGCGAGCTGTGGAGAGAGCCTTACCATGCCAGATAATCAACGGCAGCGGCGTGTCGTCGTCTTCGTCGTAGTTCGCCGTCTTGGCATTCGTCGCAGCCGCCAGGGCCAGCGAGCCGAACGTCAGCAGCAGCTTGATGTGTCGGAAAAGCGCCATCGTCGATGACTCGTAGGTGGGAGATGAGAGTTCGTAGGACGTGCGGATGCGGAGTTGCGAGAGAAAAGATGGGAAGATGACGATGGCGATAAGAGCTTAGGCAGCTGTTTATCTATTTACAAAGTACCAGCAGGGGGCAGTTGGCTCGGGCAACGCTGATCCTCAGCAGGGCGAACCCAGCCGCATTGGGACATCACGTGATGCGTCGAGCACGTGGCTGAAACAACGTGTGACGAGGACCGTGGCTGTTTTGAAGCATTTGGTGAACAGCTTTGCGTGTTTTGCAGCTGAAAGCAGCCGTCGAAACGCAAAAAACGGGATGAGGCCAGCAGTGTTGAGATATTCCCTTTTCCCTTGTCGCCGTGGCCTCCGCTTGACTCACGCGGGCGTGGGCGCCAGGCTGTGTCCACTGTAACTATTTGCCCTGTAACAGAAAAAACAGTGGAGCGCTAACATGGAAGCGTACAGAAGGCTGCGGCAACCCTTGAGTGGCGGCACGGCTGTGACGCAACCGTCCACCCCACTAACGCCGATCTGCACACTGGACCTGCAGCGTTTAAATGCGGTCAATTTTGACATTTCAAACTTCGACGCAGACGACACATTTACATAAGCCTGCCCCTACCTCAACATCAATATCTTAGATCCCAGTTGCCGAATGACAAGACCATAATCGACGGCGACCTCTCGACGTCCTCGACATCGTGACATCCTCGACATCCTGACATATTCGACATCCTGACATTCTCTCGACCATCACCTCCTCCAACCCCCTCCCCGATATGAGCAGACCACAGGGGCGACCACGCGGTCCCCCACCCGCGGGCCTCAAAGGCTTTGGAAGCGTGGACGCGGCCAAGCCGGGCGGTGCGTCGCTTGGCAAGGGCGGCTTCGGCGGCTTCGAGACGGCCCGGAGCAAGAGCGGCCTGGCGTACGTCGCCGAGCGGGCGGACCTGTCGGCCATTTCGGATGCGCACGCCGTCGTCTCGTTCAAGAACCTCGCCAAGAAGGACAGCACAACCAAGGCGCGGGCGCTCGAGGAGCTGCTGGCCCACGCACAAGCACACCCGTACTCGAGCGGCGGCGGCGGCGGCGTGGAGGACGCGATCCTGGAGGCGTGGGTGCAGTGCTACCCGCGGCTGTCGATTGACGATGCGCGGCGGGTGCGCGAGCTCGCCCACACGGTGCAGCTGGCCCTCATGCAGTCGGCGCGCAAGCGCATGGAGCGGCTCGTTCCCAAAGTGGCCAGTGCGTGGCTGGCCGGCACGTACGACCGCGACCGCGCCGTGGCGAAGGCGGCGGCCGACGGCCTGGCCTCGTTCCTGACGACCGACGACAAGACCACCGTGTTCTGGCGGCGTCTGCAGCCGCACATTCTGCAGGACGCGACGGCCGCCATGCAGGAAACGCCCGCCACGCTGAGCGACCTGCGCTCGACGACCCACGACGACGCCGACCTCAAGTACCACCGCGTGCTCTACAGCAGCCTGTCCCTCGTGCTGGCACTGCTGCGGACGCTGTCCGTCGCCGACACCGCGGGCCTGGCGCACGCCTACACACAATTCTTCGCCGTCGAGGCCCTCTGGAGCCGTGCCGCCTTGTCGCCCGACAGCCACGTGCGGCGCGTGACGTACGAGCTGCTTCTGGCGTGCCTCGAGACGCGGCCGGACCTGCTCGAAGCGCCGGCGCAGCTGGCGCGGCTCACCAAGCTGCTGACACAAGACGCGCCCAAGACGAGCCAGGCAGGGTCCGTGGTGGACTACCTGCGGGTCCTGCAGACGCTGACCGAGGCACACCCCGGGATCTGGGCCGACGGCGGCCACCCGTTCACGCGCCTGCGGCCGCTGATCGAGAAGGGCTCGCAAGGCACGGCCGCGTCGCCCGCCGCACCGTCGCGCAACTTCTGGACACAACTCGACGCCCTGTTTGCCTCGATGTCGCCACGAGACATTGCCGCAGAAGCAGCGTCGTCCGTCCTGGCCTCGTTTCGCAAGGGCCTGTCGAGTCGCGACGAGCCGCAGAGCAATGCCATTGACGGCTGGACGGCCTACCTGTCCATGGTGCGACGGCTGGTGGACGTTGTCACGCCGGACGAGGCACGCGTAGCTCTGGTCGAGGCCAACGTCTTCCCGTTGCTGGACCGCTTCCTGGGCCCGCCGCCGACGGACAGTGTCGGCACAGTGTGGGCGACGGGTGCGCACCTCCCCGTCCTGACCCGCGCATCCCTCCTGGTGGCGCGACCGGCATACGCAGACATTGTCGCCTCGGCGCGGAGTGAGTGGGCACGGCTCGCCAGCGACTTTGCCGGCCGCATGGCCAACTCGCTGCCCGAGGTGTCCAAGGCGTTCACGGCGTCGCAGCAGGCCATTGCCGGCGAGGGCGACCGGTGGTTCGCGCTGGTCGCCGACATCCACCGGTCTGTGCAGCAGGTCGAGGCGCGGCAGTCCACCGCCGACGGCGCCGCGGCCAACCTCGTGGAGCACGTCCTCGAGCAGCCGACGCTGTCGCTCCTGCAGAGCGCCGTCGACCTCTTGACCAAGCGCAACTTCAAGCCCTTTGGCGCCGCGCAGCTGGTCCGTGCCGCCTTCTCGCTCGCGCCTCATGTATTGCAGGCCAACGAGACGGGCACAGCCGTGATCGAGTCTCTCTTCCCCGTCGACGACGCCGAGCAGCTCTCTCTCGTCGTCGCCTCGCCCTCCGCACCGGCCCTTCTCTCGTGCCTCCGGTCCATGGCCACCATCCCCGCGTTCCACGACCAGTACACACGCATCTACGCCTCCATCCTCTCTCTCTTGCTGGCCAACAAGGACGCCGAGCCCGACACCACGGCCAGCAGCATTGCCCTGCTCATCTCGGACGCGTCCGATGCCGCTCTCGCCACCAGTCGGCGCAACAGCGACCTGCAAGAGTATCTCGGTGGCGCCTGCTTTGCGACGGCCCAGGGCCAGCTGTCGAGCTGGGACCTCTTCCACGCCGTGTCGGCATCGAACGCGCTGTCGCCGGCCACGGCAAAGAAGCTTGCCGCGGCTCTTGTTCGCTCTCTCGGCGGCGGCGACACCTCCAACCCAGCCGGTGTCCTCACGGCCCTCGAGACGATGGCCACCAAGTCACCCGAGCTGCTCGCCGACGACGAGGAGCTGCACCTGGAGCTCGTCACCAAGCTGCTGGGCATGATGGAGGTCCACGACACGGCTCTCTCTGCCAAGGTGCACGCTCTGCGCGCGCTTGTCGACGGCAGCAGCAGCAGCAGCAACAGCACCAGCCGTACCCATACCGGTGAGGGCGACGCCAAGGGCGCCCAGTCCACGCGCCTCATCAAGATTGTCCAGGACAACCTCGACAGCGCCGGGCCCAACTCGCTCGAAATCGACACGCTTGTCGAGCAGGCCGCCAGCATCGCCAAGGCACCCAGCGTCACCGACGAGGACAAGGAGAACCTGTTCCCCAATACCAACATCTGGATGCAAGCCATGCAGGCCTTTTTGGCCCCTGGCAGCACCGGCGGCCTGAACCTGAACCCATCGCTGTCGCTGACGAGCAACGTCGGAGGAGCGTACCTGCTTGTGCCCTCGTCCGGCCAGCGGGCACACGCCCAAAGACAACGACCGGCCGTCCACCGCGACCGCCACGGCCGCTCCGTCCCGGCGCGCATGGCTGCGTACGCGACGCAATTGCTGGCAACAGTGGTGGACGACGACAGCGTGGCCCTTGCGGCGCTCCCGCAGGAATTCCAGGTCGAGCTGCTGTATCTCCTGTACCTCGTGGCCGAGCTGGGCTCGGACCAAGTGGCCCTCTCCGACGCCCACAGCCTGTGGGGCGACCTCACCGATCCGTTTGTGCTCGCCGCCGCCGAGGACGCCATTGCCGCCATCCGGTCCACACTGGCCGGCGTTCTGCGGGCTGGCCGCTCTAACTCGTCGGCCTCGCCACTCTCGGACGCGCTCGTGGCCGCCATGCTCCAGCAGACGCAACAACCGACCGCCCTCGCCGTGTACACGACCCGGGCCCTGAGCGGTCTGCTGCAGACGCGCATGGAGGGCCGCACCTTTTCTGCCGCGGTCGACGAGGCGTACGTGGTGAAGCAGAACCTTTGGAAGACTGGTGCAGGCACCGGAACGACCCTCGGCGCACTGGCCTTTTTGTCCGGCTACGGCGAGGTGTTGGTGGCCTCCCCGTCCGTGTCCAACTTTTGCAACCGCCTCATCAGCCACGTCGCCGGCGCCGACCCGCGCGCCAGCCACGCCAAGGCCCAGTCAACGCTCGAGACGCTCGTCCTGCTCAATGCGTGCATGGCTGTCTACGAGGTGGGCGCGCTGCCGACGGCCAGCAACCGGCTGATGTTTGCCGTGAAGCAGATTACGTCTTGGTTTGGTCGGGGCGACGACGGCGACGACGACGACGACAACAAAGAGGACGCGGCTCTCGACCCCCGCATCGCCGCCGAGAGCTGCCGCGCCCTGCAGCGCCTCTTGCCCTGCATCAAGGACATGTATGGCCCGCACTGGGAGCGCAGCATCAAGTACAGCATTGGCTTGTGGGACCAAGCCGCGGCCGTTGCGTCGGCACCGTCGTCGGCACCGTCGTCGGCACCCTCGTCGGCGCTGGACGAACACCTGCCCTACGTCTACGCGTCTCTGAAGCTGATGGGTGCCCTCGACGCACTGGACGAGCCCAACGACGATCTCGAGGACACGCTGGCCCTGTTTTCCGAGGCCAAGTGGACAGGCTTGCGCCGTCTGTTGCTCGCCCTGGCGCATCGCCGTCCGAGTGCTGCTGCTGCTGCTGCTACGAGCTCAACACGCACACAGCCCCAGATCGTCGTGGATGCCCTGCTGTGCCGCATGGCCAGCAAGACGCCCCTCCACCTCTTGACGGCCGACTCGGCGGATCTCTACACGCTTGTTGCCTCCGACTCGCGCGACATCCAGGCCGCCGGCTACGGCTTTCTGCACCGCGCCCTGCCGGCCCAGCAGGAAGAGCTTTCGTTCAACACCATCCTCGAAAAGAAGGAGGCCCGCCTGCCCGACGAGCTGCTGTCGCTGCTGCTCGGCGCGCCCACCCTCGAGGCGTATCCGGACGACGTCCTCGCGACCTTCCCGACGCCCGTCCGCGGCTACCTGCTGGCCTGGCGCCTCGTCTTTGACGCCTTTAGCACCGCGTCCGCCAAGGTGCGCAGCGACTACGCGGCGCACCTCGGCAGCAGCAGCCACGTGGCCGCCCTCTTGGACTTTATCTTTGACGTGCTCGGCCACTCGGCCGCCCGGCCGCTGAACCTGGACAAGGAAGGCCTGGCGGACCGCGCCAGCATTGCCGCGTACGACCTGGCGGCGGCCGAGGCCTCGCGGTCGGACGAGGCGCACATGCACCAGCTGCTCGTGCACCTGTACTACCTGGTGCTCAAGTACGTGCCGGGCCTGTTCAAGGCGTGGTACACGGCCTGCCGCACCAAGCAGACGACGGTCGCCGTCGAGGCCTGGACGGCCAAGTACGTGTCGGCCCTCGTGGTCGAGGAGGTGCTCGACGACGTGGCCGCGTGGGCCGCGTCGTCCGAGGGGCGGGGCGGGGCCTCCGGCTCTGCCGCCGGCGACGACGACCACGACATGACGATCAAGACCAACAAGCGCGCCCGCGAAGTCGTCGCCGGCTACGAGGTCGACGAGCTCACGCTGTCCATTGCGCTGCGCCTGCCGGCCAACTACCCGATTGACAACGTCGCCGTCGTCGGCCTCAACCGCGTGGCCGTCGACGAGAAAAAGTGGCAGAGCTGGCTCATGATCACGCAGGGCGTCATTGCCTTTGCCAACGGCAGCCTCGTCGAGGGCCTGGCCGCGTTCCAGCGCAACGTGCTCGGCGCCCTCCAGGGCCACACCGAGTGCGCCATCTGCTACAGCATCATCTCGGTCGAGAAGCGCGTGCCCGAGAAGCGCTGCGGCACCTGCAAGAACATGTTCCACCGGTCGTGCCTCTACAAGTGGTTCCTGTCGAGCAACCAGAACTCGTGTCCGCTGTGCCGGAACCCCATCAGCTTCCTGGGGTCCGAGAAGTTTAAGCGGCGGGATGTGGAGTACTGAGGGAGTGTAAGACGATGCACCTGTCACATTTGCACAGGCGTTTAGGGACCGGTATAACAAGGAGTTGGTATTCTCGCTATATTTCTTTTGGGCATTGATATATACTAGTATTTAGAAAGTAGACATATTGCAGGAATGCAAAAATAAGAGGCGTGAAAGGCCTCTTTTAGTTAAAAAAAATATGATAATAAACAATTACAATCAAGCCGACTCATCAATTGAACAACAGATATAGCTAATCCCATACTTTCAATCACAACAAGAGGACGTCTCACACGTCACACACGAAATCATATTGACCCGAATGCTGCGATCAAACGTCCTATGCGCTGCGCAACCCCAGAAGGCCATTCATACACGTCACTCTGCCACACACAGGTCTGCTACACCTCTCCTGTTGACACCCACCGCCGCCGCTACAACTTCCCGTTCGCCTTGAGCGCCCTCTCCCCGTCCACCAGCACGCACCATCCTTCGTCGCCGCGGCCGCCCTCGCCCGCCACGACGTCGGTAAAGTGGCCCTTGGCCGTCGCGTACTTGACCACGTCGTCGTCCCACGTGCCGGGCTGCAGCCACACGGCGCCGATGCCCAGCTTCTGTGCGTCCTGCAGGACCTGGAGCGTCACGGGCGGCGGCGTAATGACAGACAGGCCCGTCTCGTGCGGGTGCGGCAGCGCCGCGATGTTGGGCAGCGTGGCGTGGGCGATGCGGTCGACGGAGATGGACGGCGCCGTGGGGTTGATGGGCGTGGCCGGCAGGTCATGGCGGGCATACCAAGCAAAGACTGGCCGTGTTAGCAGATCCAGGAGGAGGCAGCCAGCCCGATGGAGGGTGGAGGGGGCCGAGCACAGAGAACGCACTCTTGTAGCCAAACTTGGCCTGGTTGGTGGAGGCGCCGACGACGGCAAAGTAGGGCTTTGCGAAGAAGGCGCGGGCGTTGGCCTCGGTGGCGGATATGGGGAGAGGCATTGTGCAGCGGGGTGGTGAGACGGAAAGACGTTAAGATGTGAAGATGTGCAGAGCTGGTGTTGAACAGAGGAAGGGCGATGTAGATGAGATAAGGTGCGGTTGATAGGCAAGCCGAGATCTCCCTCGATGGCGGTGGTGAAATCCGCGGCAGCGATTAGTTGCTCGCTGGCGGCGGCCGTCGGTGTTAGTGGCGCATTGGGAGGCACCTGACAAATCTGGGACGAGCGGGCGTCGTGTACTGGCACAATATTCGCCTGATATTTTTTTCAAATATTTTGATCCTTATATCTGCTTTTTCTATTATTAATAAATGTTTCTTTAGATCAGTAGTCCTTCTGCTGGTGCTTGGAGGTTTGTTTGTTCAGGTGGCCACCTCTGTTCAGATGTACGGCACACCAGCTCAACACAATGCTGTTCCTGAGCTGGACTTGCATGTTTCGGAGCGCCCTGTCCGTGTTGAGCATCGTGTTTTACATCACATCAGCTCTTCCGCCCTTTTGCTCTTCCGTTGCTGCCGGGCGCGTTCCGATCGCTTTCCACCGTTCTCAGCTGTAAGCTCCGAGCTCTCGTTTCCGGCCCCACTTTTGTGACCAGCCTGCCGTCCGCTAAATGCGCTGTAGTTTAGCGTAGCTTTCCCCTCTAGACGGGCCGAGGAGACGCAGCACAATGGCGTGACAGCCGTTGGCAGCTGCAATTGGTATCGTCTGAACGTTACAGCGTTGTAAAACATGGCGGATTTTCTCCTGATTTTTGTTTCTCGTTTTCGACGCTTATTAAGTACGTCACCTCCCAATTCACCGACATATGTCAATGTGGCCCGTGGCCGCCGCAGTATTTCTCATCTGTTCCTGCCTTATTCGTAGCGAGCCGAGCGAGCTTAGCTTCCCGCCAGCACCTTCCAAATCAATTCTGAAGCTGCGCAAAGCAATGCCCAAACGACCAAAGAATGCAGCTCCGCAGCCAATGGAACATGTGCCTCGTGACAGAAGTGGAGCCCCAATGCGCGAAAGCGAGACCCGCTGGGCCCACAATTTCCTTACTGTGTACACAGACCACCCCAGAGCCTCTCTCTCTCGTTGTGGACACTTGGGCTGCGCTTTCCCCTTCCAGTGTTCCCGGTCGCTGAAGCAGCCCCCTTGGACCTTGGACCAGCCACCCATCGTTGCTCCTTCCCAACTCCTAAGCCCCTAGCCGGTCGAAGCTTCCCGCGAATTGCATTGTGGAAATTATTTGGGAAACCCAAAAGCACGGAGCAACCGCATCGTCCGGGAACAAGCATCGCCCTCTCCAGACTCTCACGATTCGACGTCTTCTCGCCTCGCCTCTCCTTTACCCAGCCGTTTTGTCAACCCACACACCCGCGTTCCTTTGCTGCCTTTGACGAATCGACGACGAACAAGTGCCGTTTCAATAGACGACGCGACGGTGCGTACGTGGCTAACGATAGTCGCTGCCGTTGCGATTCCGGCGTTTCCTGGCGCAATTGGCCATTGTCGTTCCTTTTTTTGTCATTTTTGTTTGGTCTCGCCAGCAGCCCAGACCATGGTCCGCCGTCTGGCTGCTGTGCTGCTTGCTCTGCTCTAGACCACATTCATTATTCGACCCGTCTCTGCCATTGTCATCTTGATACCCCTTTTGATCCCGGACACATCCTCCGACTCACCGCCGAGCTTTCGACGATTCAATTTCCGTCACGACAACACACACACATACACTCTACCACCTCAGCACGGCAGACACAATGTCCGACACGTTGCAAGCTCTCCAGCGGACGGAGTATGCGGGCGTGCTGGTAAGATAGCTCCTTATGGTTCCGACCCCCGAGATGCGAATCGATCCAGCGCATTCGGCCGTGACCGGCCGTGATCGTCCGTTGGCTCTCAGCGCACAAACGCCAGAGTCTCGGCACCTGGATTGCTAACATACCCTTCTCCTAGCCGTATCTCCATCCCGCGCAGGCCGTGCAGGTCCTGCAGGAGCGCATCCGTCGCATCAGCAAGGTCAACACCGAGATTGCCGATTTCCTCGCGGTACGACGTGACTTGTCCCCTCTCCCACGGTCCTTCGTCTTGCCTACAGCACGCATTGGCTGTCCTGCCAGCCATTGCCGTACTCGCCCTCGCAGCATACGCTAACGTGTTATATTAGGAGCGGCGACGGGTTGAGGAGCAATATGTTGCGGGCCTCAAGAAGCTCGTCGGCTTTAAAGTGCCTGCGAGCAGTGCCGAGCTTGGGTATGCGGACGCCTCTACTCCCACCCCATTCTTGCGATTCTTGTTGTTTCACGCTGGCTCAAGTCTAACACACACAACAGCGTCTTCCAGCCGTCCTGGGATAGCCTCCTCCGAACCATTGAATCCACCGCCAACTCGCACCAACAGCTCAGCAGGAACATTGGCAATAACGTTGAGTCCCCTCTGCGCAACTTCCAGGCCAAAGACGAGGTCACCCACCTCTCCACCATGGCTACCAACCTCCATAGCATGGCCAAGGAGCTCGACGACGCGCAGAGCCAAGTCGAAAAGCTCACCAAGAAGGGCGGCAAGGCCAACGCAGGCAAGGTCGACGCGGCGACCCAGCGCCTGGACGGCGCCAACCAGCAGTGGGAGAACCAGGCGCCCTTTATCTTTGAGAGCCTCCAGGCCCTCGACGAGTCCCGTGTCAACCATCTGCGCGATCTGTTGACCCAGCTGGGCACACACGAGGTCGACTTGGCGACCACGACGCAGTCCAGCAACGAGAGCCTGCTGGGCCTCATCCTGGACATCAAGACCGACGACGAGATTACCAACTTTTCCCAGCGCATCATCGATGGCCGTCCCCGCGTCGGCCGCTTTGCCAGCATGCAGGCCCACCAGTCGAGCATCGCCGCCTCTGCCTCGGGGTCTGCAGCGCAGCCGCAACAGCAACAACAACAGCAACAGCAGGGCGACTTGTTGGGTGCTAGCGCACAGCAGGAGACCCCGGCCACGCAAGCTCAAGATACGTTGCAGGCAACACGCCCGGAGACACCACCTACCACCGCCGGCGGCGCATCCGCCGTCTCCGGTACATCCGCAGTATCCTCCCCCGTCGCACCCCGGCCGTCCACGACGGCTCGCAGCACGGCTGGCTCAACGTCCACGGGCGCAGGAGCCGCAGCGGCTGGGAGCATACCACCGCCAGCACCACCCTCGCGCGAGGCCACTGGGTTCCGAGACCTCCCACCGCCTCCACCCGCCGAAAAGGAAAAGGAGAAGCCAGAAAAGTCAGAAAAGCCGGAAAAGCCGGAAAAGCCAGAAAAGAACCTCCGCAGCCGCATTGGCACCATGCTGGGCCGCCGTCGCCAGAGCATCCACGGTGGCTTTGGACAGCTGATGGGCTCCAAGAACTCGGGCCCCTTCAACCGCATTAGTGTCAGCAGCCACGGCCAGTCTATTTCACCCCGCGCTTCCTACAACAACCTGTCCGATACACACGCCACCAGCCGCCTCGGCTCCGTGGCTGAGGCATCCGACCGGCCGACCGCCTCCAGAGACGGCACTGCCAACACGAACGGTACCGGCTTGGGCGGGGTGGGCGTCGCCGACAGCAGCACCCTGAGCAACATGACGGTCAACGATATATTCGGTGTGCCGCCACCGCCTGGCCCGCCGCCGTCGCAGCAGAAGACGACGGGCAACGAGCCCGCGCGAGACGCCGAGGGCTACTCGCTGCCTTTGGCTACCAACGACCCGATTTCGCAGGCTCAGCGCGACGCGGCGGCCGCCGGCGCCGGTACCGGTGAGCCGCTCGGCGATGGCACTGGCGAGGACCGGGCGTTCCAGGTGAACATCCAGAAGGAGCCTGTGCAGGAAGAGGACCCGCTGGCGAAGAGGGCGGCGCTGTCCAACATGGCGAGTACGCTTTCGCAGGCCATGCCGAGCCGTAGGGGTGGCACCGTGCGCGGCCGTCGCGATGTGCGAAATACCATTTACGTGCCACAGACGTCCGTCCCAGAGTCCTTGGCCGGAGCATCCCCGTCGGCCGGCGGCAGTACGCCGTCCTCGCTGCCCAATCTCCCCGGTGTGTCGCGCAGCTCGACCTTTGCCTCCCTGGGCTCCACGGCCACGCCGACCAGGCCACCCGCTGTGTCCGCGCTCGCATCCGAGTCAAGCCTGGGCGGCGGCGGCGGCGCGTCGGACACGCAGTCTGTCCGCTCCACCACGTCGCTCAGTGCCATGGCCAACCTCAAGCACGTCGACTCGGACGGCCCCGGCCTGCACGCGTCCATCATCGAGTCTGTGTCCGCCAGCTTCGAGAACGGCGAGGTTGCGTCGGCTAAGATCGCCGGTGAGATTGCCTTCTCGTACACGGCGCCGCCTGCCAGCCCGTCGACGCCGCCCACCGCCACCACGACGATCCGCATCAACAACTTCCCGCTGCTCGAGTCGATTGGTCCGAACCGCATCTTCGTGCAGAATACATCGAGCCCCGACCAGTTCACCCTCGACACGAGCCACCTGCAGAGCAAGGCCGCTGCCGCCTTTACGTTCCGCGCCCACGCCGAAAACCCCAAGTCGCTGGCCGCCCACTGCCCGCTGGCCATCAAGCCCGTGTGGAAGCCCATGGACGACCAGCTCCGACTGATGTTCCAGTACCGCCTCAACCCCAACTCCCGTCTGGCCGCCTCCGGCCAGCCTGTCGTGCTGCGCAACGTCGTCTTCTTCGCTACGTACGAGGGCCGTGCCAGCGCCATTGCGTCCAAGCCATCCGGCACCCACGTGAAAGACCGGCATCTGGTGTACTGGCGCCTGCCGTCCGTGACCCTGACGGCCGCCTGGTCCAAGATTGCCTGCGCCATCCGCGTCGAGGCCGGTGGCGCCGTGCCGCAGCCGGGCAACGTGGAGGCGCGGTGGGAGTATGCTGTGCCGGCGGCTGCGACGGACGCCGACACCGACGAGAGCAGCATCACCATCAGCCAGCTGCAGCCTGCAACCACCAGCACGCTCGAGGAAGAGGACGAGGAGCAGGATCCCTTTGCGGACGACTCGTTGCCGTCGCCCAATACGACGAATGGTGCGGGTGCGGGCACGGGCGCGCCGGTCTGGACCGATGTGCCCTTGGCACGGCAGATTGTCAGCGGCAGCAAGTACGAGGGCAAGTAAAGAAGGGGCGGCCTGTCTGTTGGTGCTTTGCTTCTGCTTTGTGCTGTTTCCTTTGCTTTCTCTTTCTCTTTCTGCTTTCTGCTTCCATTGTTACCCTTATCCAGCTCTTGCATTGTGTGACCATTCATAACTTGTTTTTCAATGGTACAAAGAAAATCCATCCTCACCAAAACATTCCTCCATCCCCTCCCAAAGTATATCTTCTCACGCACATTCCTGCCTCGCTTTCTTCCTTTTTTTGTTTTATCTTGCCTTCTTGTTCTTGTTCACATTGTCGGCTTCATCGTTTTTGTACTTTGATTTCCACTGCTTGGTTTGCCCGCATCCCCTGTCCATATTGTATGTCTGTTGTATTGCGCCAAGTCTCTCTCTGTTACTCTTTTTTTTTTGTATAGTTGTGTTAGTCTCAGCCTATCCTCGTTATCCGAGGTCCCTCACCTTAACCGTAAATCAATAATGTTTTTAATGCACGTGCCGTATGTTGACGGTGATAATGAGAAAGTATCGCGATCCTGAGATCATGCTCCGTATATTGACTGAACATATGAAATGAATATAGATACAATGCAGGTGTCACGGAAATCACGGACATAAACAAAACAAGCCAATGCCATGCCGTGCCGTGCCATGCTATACCAACCCCCGGCCGGTTCGCTTCGCCCGAAACATGACGCCATTCAACAAAACATGCAATTATCAGTTACCCTCCCACTTGTGTCCTATCGTCCCGTCGTCACGGTCGACGTCCGCGTCTGCTCTTCGCAAAACTCGAGCGTCAGGGCCGCCAAGAACCCGGGGATGCAGCCCTTCTCCCGCACCCAGAACCGGATCTGGTCGTCGATCCGCTGTGCAAACGCGCTCCGCGGGCCGCCGCCGACCTTCATGGTGCCCCGCTCGCCGTCAAAGACGATGCTGTTTTCGTTCTCGTCGGCACTGAGGCTCGGGTAGTACACGCTCTCGACGCGCATCTTGCCGTTGGGAATGAAGGTGACGTGCCAGCCCAGGGTGCTCTCGACGGCCTCCTTGAACTCGGCCGACTTGGCCGCCCAGACCTCCTTGAGCCGGCGGCTGGCCTTTTGCGCGGACGCCGTCTCGGCCTGCGCGTCGGCGATCTCGCGCTGGGCGGCGGCGAGCACCGACATGGGGACGGTCGTAAACGGGGGCGCTGTCGTCGACGGTGGAGGGAGGGCCGACAGGGGCGCCCGTGCACCGCTCTTGTGCGCTTTCTGAGCAGCCGCGCCAGCGGCATGGCTGTGGCTCTGGATGTGGGTGAGCAGCTCGGCGTTCTCCTGTTTCAGGGCCGCGAGCGTGGACCGCTTGACGGCCTCAAAGTCGGACGTCGGGTTGGACCGCAGCGCGAGCACGCGCACCCCGGCCGCCTGCTTCTCGGCCGCGAGCTGCTCTCGGGTGACGGCCAGCTCCGTCTCGAGCACGCGGTGCGCCGTCTGGGCCGCGGACAGCTCGTCCTGCAGCTTGCGCGTCTTGCGCACCAGCTGGCCGACCTGGGCGTCTTCGTCGCTGCCCGCCGTGCCGTTCGCACCACTGCCGCTGCCGCCGTCGGGCCACGACCGCTTGGTGCCGGCGATCTGGGCAGCGGCCGCAGCAGGCCCACCAGACGCCTCGAGCGACGCAAGGTCCCTGTGCAGGCCCTCGGCCTCGGCGCGGTACTTGTCGACGAGCTCCTCCAGCTGCTGGATGCGGTCGGCCTTTTGCTGGTCAAATTGGCCTGGGTGGAAGGTCATGTCCTCTGCGTCGAACGCCTTGAGCTGGGCGCGCAGGTACTCGACTTCCTTGACGGCAAGGGCGCGCTGGCGCTCGAGACGGGCCCGAAGCTTGGTTTCGTTGGCGTTGGTGCTGGCAGGCGCAATTGTGGGCGTGCCAAGCGAGGGTGTGCCGTCGCCTCCAGAAGACGCACGCGCTGCCTTGAGGCGCTCCACCTCGGCAGCCAGCTCCTTCTTCTGCATCTCCAGTGCGCGGATGTCGGCATCCCGCTGGGCCAACTCGGGCTCCAGCGCGCCAATCTTCTCCGTCAGCTCGGCCGTGCGGTACCGCGCCTCCATCAACGCCTTGGCCACGGCCTCGGGCGAGTCAAACTCGCTCGACGACGCGCCGTCCATGCTGTGTTCGGTTTCCGTCTGCAGGTACGCCGCCCAGGCCCGCCGTTCGGTCTCGAGCCGCTGCCGCTGCATGCGCTCTTCGTGGAGCTCCTGCTCGAGGGCGCGCGCGCTCTCCAGCTTCCGCAGCAGCGACCGCTTCTCCTCCTCGACGATCTCGACCGCCTTGTGCGCCTGCCGCAAGTGCCGCAGCTCGGTCAGCTGGTCGCGGTTGGTGGCCTCGAGGGCGCGGATGTGGTTGACCTGGTCCTTGAGCTCACGCCGGATGATCTCCATGGTCGCTGCGTCGCCCGTCTGGGCTTTGAGCCGCAGCACCTCGGCCTCGAGCTGGCCCGTCTGGGCATCGCGCGCGACCAGCTGCTGCTGGGCCTGCTGCAGGGCCGCGTCGCGGGCCGCGGCCTCCTGCNCGGNTCCTGCAGGCGGCGCTGCGCCGTCGCCAGCTGCTCCTGGAGGTCCACGGCCCGCCGCTCGCCCATGCGCGCCGCGTCTTCCTTGGCCGCGCTCAGGTCGTCGAGCTGCTCCTGCAGGGCCCGCGCCTCGTCCTGCGCCGCCCGCACCTTCTGCTCGAGGTCCCGCTGCCGCGCGTCCTGGTCGCCGCGCGCCGCCTCCAGCTCCTCGTGCAGCGCGGCCATCTTGCGGTCGGCCGCGCCGCGCTCGGCCTCGGCCGCCTGCCGCTGCTTGAAGTCGTCCTCGGCCTTGCGCCGCGCGTCCCTCAGCTCCGTGTCGTGCTGCAGCCGCGCCATTTCCTTTTCCTGCTCAAACGTGTTGACTTGGTACTGCAGCGTGCCCACCTCGGCCTTGAGCTCTTCGATGCGCCGCCGCTGCAGCTCGTACTCTTCGGCATCGGGCGGCGCCATGTTTTCCTTGCTGCTCTCGTGCGAGGTGGCCCGGTACGACGAGGTCGGGGCGCCGACCGACTGGGTGTCGGGAATGGCGCTGTGTCTGGACGAGGGCCGTGAGGGTGTGTTTTGTTGGTGTTGTTGACGTTGTTGGTGTTGTTGATGTTGTGGGGCGCGCTGTTGCTGTTGAGGCGTGGTGCGTTGCTGCGTGGGTCGTGACAGACCCAGCCTCTCTCGCGCCGACTGCGTCGTGCCGTGTGCTCTCGCGAGTCCGCTGCTGCTGGCTGTCCGTGAATGCGCTCGGCTGCCGCTGCCGTCGCCGTTGACGCCGCCTGGCGCGACCGGCTGTCGTCCGCTCCCTCCTGGTCCGCCGACGGGACTCATCTTTCGTTTGTTGACCGGACGCGTGTCTCCCACCTCGTGGACGTGTCGTCGTGTTGTTGGACGCCGGCGTGGTGCGGTGTGGGCGCAAAGTAACAGCGAGTGACTGGGCTGTGTTGAAAGTGATGATCAAAACGCGTCTAGAGCGCCTGCAGCTAACAAGAGGGAAGCCCTTCCGCGTGCGGCCCAGTACGAAGCGACCCATAATTCTGTATGAACCTGGTCACGTGTCACTGTTTTCAGTGGGCAAAAGACAAAGAGTACATCAAATCTCGGCCGGTTGCATTCACTCTGTTGGATGGATATCATGTTTGGAATTGAAGTCATTAGACGTCTCTGGGAACGGTCACTGTGTTTTCTGTATGCTCCCAGTCTTTTCCTCCAGTTGCGTGCACAATGCAGAAGTTGACGAAACTGGATGCACTCAAATAATAAATGCTCCACTGAGCGACTAAATGCACTAAGACGCTAGCTGTCTTCTGCTGTGTTTTCTAGGCGAGGGGCTGTTTGAGGCTGTGTATATAGCGGGCAGAATGCTTACAAGTGGAACCTCGCAGCTTCACACAAAAAAGCTCCCTTCTCTGGCGCTATTCGATGCTCGGATTCTCGGTTCGCCCTGTCGCTCTCTCGCTCACTCCCCACTATGGCGTATGGCTTGACTTTTGGCAAACCTGTTGCAGCTGAGGCAGCTCCCGACCGCTGTTGACTTTGACGCTCCTGGACATCCTCTTCTCCTGCCTCTGTGCGAATAGCTTCATTTCCGGCATAGCACAGCCAGCGACGAAATCGACATCTGCCATCATGCGCTCCGCGACGGCAGGGCTGCGCGTCTTGGTCTGTTCCCTTGGCATTATCTCGTGGCAGCTTAAGGCTGCGACGTCTTCGTGGCTTGTGTCTTGTGTCTCCATTGTCCTGCTAACGTCTATCCGCAGAACGCCGGTGCCAATGCCGCGCCATTGCGGAATTCCCGTTTCCCGTGCCTCTGCGACCCGCGCCTTGTCAACAACAGCTCCGTCCTCCGCCGGCCACGGCACGGCCATATCCCCATCTACCCCCGATTCACACATGTCCGCCTTGCCTCGAACGCATCACGAGACGCCACTCCTCCCCAGAGCGAAGACCGTGCGGAAGCCGCTGTTCCATCCTCTTCTTCCTCTTCTTCCTCTTCTTCCTCGACCACCCCGACGTCCCCGACTTCCTCCACACCCACAGCCTCAACATCGTCCTCGAGTACACCGCCGTCGTCTGCCGAGGACTGGGAAGAGAACCCCAACTTCAACATTGAAAAGTTCTCGGAGCTGCCGCACACCAATTTCGGCGTGAACCAGCACATGATCATCAACGACGAGTTCAAGGAAGCGCTGCGGCAGATTCTGTGGCAGTTCCGCGCGCCCATCCGCTATGCCTTTGCGTACGGGTCGGGCGTCTTCCCCCAGAGCGCGCTCAACGGCCGCGTGCCCACCGAGGCCGAGATCAAGGCCATCCACCCCAAAGCGCCCTTGGCCGTGCAGCGCGCCCAGGACGGCTCGCCCAAGATGATTGACTTTATCTTTGGCGTCACCTTCACGCAGCACTGGCACAGCCTCAACCTGCACCAGCACCGCGACCACTACAGCGCGCTGGGGGCGCTCGGCTCGGGCGCCGTGTCGTACGTCCAGGACAGCGTGGGCGCGGGCGTCTACTTCAATCCGTACGTGGTCGTCAACGGCATCCTCGTCAAGTACGGCGTCGTCAACCTCGACACGCTCTGCGCCGACCTGAGCGAGTGGCAGACGCTGTACCTGGCCGGCCGCCTGCACAAGCCCGTCAAGATCCTGCGCGACGACGCGCGCGTCCGCCTCGCCAACCAGATCAACCTGCTGTCGGCGCTGCGCACGGCCCTGCTGCTGCTGCCGCCCGCGTTTACCGAGCGCGAGCTCTACAGCACCATCGCCGCCATCTCGTACCTGGGCGACCCGCGCATGCGCCTGCCCACCGAGAACCCGCACAAGGTCGCCAACATTGTCGACCACAACATGAGCAACTTCCGCCGCCTCTACGCGCCGCTCATCGACACCCTGCCCAACGCCCAGTTCAACGACAGCCGCTGCACCCAGCGCGGCTGGCTCGACGACGCCGACGCCAACCTGCAGCTCGCCCAGGACATGGACCCCGTGCGCCGCGGCAACATGGTGCGCCGCCTGCCCAAGGCGTTCCGCGAGCGCCTGTACTTTCAGTACCAGAAGCAGCTTGCCATCCCGCGCGGCGAGTTCGACCGCATGATGGCCCGGACGCGCGACGAGGACGACGCGGCCGCCGGCGGCGGGTTCCGGCGCCAGCAGGCGACCGACTTTGAGCGGCGCATCGTCGACGACGACGACCCGGCCACGCTGCGCAAACACGTGCGCCACGTCATCCGGCAGACCATCAACTGGCCGAGCACGTCGCAGAGCCTCAAGGGCGTGCTGACGTCCGGCGTGGGTCGGTCGCTGCGGTACATGGGCGAGAAGATGGCCAAGTTCCGGCAGGGCAGGAAGACGGCGGACGAGCCAGAGGCGAACACAGCGTCCAAGCCCGCGTCTGCAGACGGTGCGTCCGAGACGTCGACAGAGAAGTCGACCGATGCACCTTCGGAGACTTCCAAGGACTCGGAAAAGAAGGGGTAGCCTGCCCTCACGACCAAAGCCTGTACATATCGGCAGCTCAACCGCTGCCATGACTGTCATTCGTTTTTCTTTTTTTAATGTTCCCTTTTGTACACCCGGCAAACTGCACCGCACAAAGCATCAACACGGCGCACCAGTGCACCAATGCACGATTTCTTTTGTTGACAGAGGGGAAAGACGGACGGCATCCTACACGGAGCGAGGCATGGCGGGGAATCCTGTTCCTATACATTCAGAGTAGGCTATGGTAGCGACTACAACATTTGCTTTTTCAAAATACAAAAGCCCGCCCCCTTGTTTTTTTTTTTTTTTTTTTTTACTTGCCCACCCACCACTCGCGGTGCAGCTTGTTCATGCCCCGCTGCAGCGCCACGACCGCCGCGCTCATGTGGTCCTCGTACGCAAACTCTTGCAGCCACACGTCGGCAAAGTGCTCCGTCTTTTGCAGCCGCGCCGCCATGGCCCGCGTGTTTGTGCACATGTGCTTCTCCGCCAAAAAGTCCTGCCGTTCCTTGAACGTCGCGTCCGTGTCGTCCGGCTTGGGGAGCACGTCGAGCTCTTCGCCCGTGCCCGAGTTGAGGTACAGCACGGGCTTTTGCCGCCCGTCGGCCGCCGCGGGCGGTGGTTGGCCGAGGAACGCGGCTTCTTGCTCCGCCACAATCGACGCGTCGTTGAACCAAATCGACGGGCTCGCCGCCATGTAGACGTCAAACAGCCCCGGGCTCGTAAACAGCGCGTACAGCGTGAACAGCCCGCCAAACGAGTGGCCCGACAGCACGCGCGTCGCCAGCCGGTCCCACGCGGGCAGCGACGGCAGCAGCTCGCGCGACAGCAGCGGGATGATGACGTCGACCAGGGTCGCGTGGAACGTCGCCGCGCCGCCCAGCTTCATGTACACGGGGTGGCCGTCGCCGTCCGTCACCTCGCGGCCGTCCGCGTCCTTGACGGGCCATTGCGGCAGGCCCTTCTTGGCGGGCGGCGTGAGGTCAAACGACCGCCGCGCGGGCACGTACACCGTCTCCGTCTCCGCGTCGGGGTAGCCGATGGCGACGATGATGGACTTTCTCTTGGCCTCATACTGCTGCCGCCGCGCAATGTCGGTGGCCGACAGAAAGTACGCATTGCCGTCGAGGACGAAAATGACGGGGACGGCCGCCACGTCCTCCGCAGCGTCTTTGGGCGTGCCGTCGGCGTGCCAGTCGAGCGGCCACGAGACCATCACCTGGAAAGGGCCATGCTCGGTGTCGATGACCGTCTGGCGTGTGTTGGGCACGCTGTGCGTCGCGACCGTAGCTTTTGTCATGGCGGAATGGGGAGACGGTAGAGTTGGAAATGTGACGGTAAGCGTGGGGGACGACGTACACTTTTACAGATACGTACAGATGGGCATCATTTGGTTTTTGTACGAATTGGTCGGTGCTGATCGAAGAAAGACTGTGCAACCCAAACATCACACATAGGCTCTCTGAGCGTCGGTCGTGGGGCGTTAAGCGTTCCCTGGCCAGGCTGCATGGGCTTGGAATCCCCTGAAGCTTAGTCCCTGCGCGTCCGTTTAGTGCTATAGAGGATGCCCTGGCTGCTGCTTTGCCACGCAGCAGTATCGGGCGGGCGGCAAGCGCAATGTGCATCTTGTTCGATGAAGATCATAAGAGTCAGCTTACTAGATCACAACGTACGTCGCAAACACGAGAAACGGTGCATTCTGGATGTTGAACTATTAGATGTCAATTGTTATGATATCGGTGGTAATTCGTGGAGTAAGAGCCTCAGTTGGCTGTTAGTGACCGTTGCCGCACTTGAAAGGGTTGTCATCCAAATGGCAACATATGTCTATTGCCAGATCTTACAGTGAAGGGCAAAAGCAGTTTAGTTATCGTGACGATGTATGAAGTATCTGAACAGGAAATATCTGAACAGGAAATATCTGAACAGGGCCGATCAAACGACTTGTCCTGCTTGATGTACGTCCTCGTAAAAACTCTTGGACCTCGTTGCACTATCACAATGTTAAGGGCTTATTTCGTTCTTTGTTATTTTGCTTTATTTTATTTTTTACTTTGGCTTTAATAATTTTTAAATTAAATTCAAACGAAGCATTTTAACAATGTTTACATATTTCCATTTTCGATACTTTCGCAAAAACAACGGTAAATTTACAAACGACAAGACGACAAACAAGAACGAATAAACAACATGTTACAAAACGAACGTCGATTCTCTTACTCGAAAGAGCCAAAAAGAAAGGGTGTGATCGATCTCGGGATCGAACCGAGGACCTACGCCGTGTTAAGGCGTCGTCATAACCAACTAGACCAATCGACCTATGAGGGGAATTTGATGTCAAAACCGGACGCCGGTAGCGTATATGATGGTGGTGACGGTGGGGGATGGCGAGAGATTTTACGGGCATTCGAAGATCCTCGGAGTCCTAGACGTGTTGGGAAGCCATCGTGGAGAACGATTTTGAACGCTACGCTCCGAGTGGCTGCAATTTATGGGGCCTTTTCTACGGTGTAATTCCTCTGTGTGAATCGCCACTCACGACACCAACAGAACGGGTACCAACGAATCGTCCTATCTTTGTTTCGTTGTCTGTTGCGGCCTGGTGGTTTACTAAGTACCTCATTCTTGACACGCTCTAGTGAACAATGGAAAATCCTGGGAAAGCGTCACGGCATATATATGCACGATCGGAGCACAGGGATAGAATTTGTATGCATGTTGAGAATATGTTGAGAAAAAGTGCAAGTCGTGTCAATTCGCTGATAAAAGTAGAACGCAGAAAAAGAGTCTAGCATGCAGACAAAATGCAATGCGCGGTATAATGATGCCGTTGCTCATGGTTCCCTGATCAAACAAGGGGAAAACCAGTCAAAAAGCCAAACCCAAAATTGTCCTCCCATAAAAATAAAAAAATAAAAAATCCAGTCCCAAAGTAAAGTAGTCGCGGCAGCGACAAAAAAGTTGTAGAAACGAAAAGAGAAATCCAACGCCAAGGTCTCAGACCAGCGATACAAGTAAATCAAACAAAAGTCATCGTCATGCCCTCTAGTCGACTGCTCCTTCTTACTCGTCCATGGAGTCGGCCTGGACGCGCTTGACAACATCGACGACCATGGGGAACAGCGCCTCGCTCTCAGTCAGGCCGCACACGGTGCGGACGACCGCCTCGGGCTTCTCCGCGGCCATGATCTTGCCGAGCTCAAAGGACTCGTCGTCGCCCTCGACGTTCTGGAAGCGGAACGCCATCTCGGCAGCCTCGAGCAGGTACGTGCAGCGCTCGCCCTTGCTGGCCAGCTCGGCGGCGGGGCCGATGAAGCGCTCCTTGCGCGACAGCTTGCGCAGGGGCGCGCGGCCGACGCGCTCGACGGCGTCCTCGAGGTGGGGGTTGCTGATGCGCGAGACGATCTTGCGGACGTAGGCCTCTTGGACGTCGCGGTCAATGCCGTGCTTCTCGGTGATGAGGTTGGCCGTCTCCTCCAGCGCGCGGTGCACGTGGTGGTGGATGTGGCGGTCCTGCAGGGCGTCGTGGACAGTGCGCTTCTTACGGTTGTAGCCGTGGTAGGCGGCGGTGGCGTGGCCCGTGTTGACCGTGTACAGCTTGCGCTCAATGTAGGGCTCGAGGTTGTCGACCCACTGGACGCCCTTGATGGCAGGCGGTTCGCGGGGCGCAAACGGCTGGCGCTCGACAATCCACTCAAAGAACTTCTCGAGCTTGACGCTCAGCCCGGCATCGGCGTCCTGGGCGGGCACGATGCGGTCAATGGCGGAGTTGGCGTAGCGGGCACGGGTGTCGTGGTCGGCCAGGCGCTCCTCGGGGGTGGCTTTCCGGATGAAGTCGGCCAGGGTGTCGGTGGCGCCAATGGCGTTCTCGCAGGCAATGACGGCCATGGGCGTGGGGTGGGCCTCGACATCGCGCTGCTCCAGACCCTTGGCGATGACGGGCGCGATGAAGCGCAGGATGTTGGGGCCGACCGAGCAGGTGACGAGGTCGGCGGACGCAATCTCTTCTATTAACTCAGCCTCGTGTGTCTTGGAGTTGATGGCGCGGTAGTTGGTGATGGTGCTCTCGGAGGTGCCGTCCGAGCCGACCTCGTAGACGTTGTAGGACTTGTTGTCGTTGAGCTGGTTGATGATGTCGTCGTTGACATCGGCAAAGACGACCTCGTAGCCCGAGTTGTGGAGGAAGCAAGCAACAAAGCCGCGACCAATGTTACCGGCACCGAAGTGCACAGCCTTTTTGGAGTACGTTGAGCTATTTGACGCCATTGTGAAGTTGAGTGGGTGAGAGTGGGAGAGAAATGAGGTGATGTCGGTGATGGTGGTTGGTGAGAGGCTGTTGATAATGAGCTAGAGATGATGTAGAGATAATCTGGGGAGTATGGAGAACGATCGTCTAGATGTTCTGATGTAGATATTGGAGGATGGAGAGGAATGGTTTGAATCTGTTGATGATTTGAGAATGGAGAGAGAATGGACAAAACAAAACCAGAAAGGGGGCGAGACGAGTATCTTTATACACAAAGAGGCAAAGACGAGGCAGGAGCGATGGGGCCGGCCACGACGTTGTACCGTGCAGAGCAAGAGCGATCCAGCATGATACGGACGTACTCCGTACCAGGAAGGCACTAACAGGCCAGGGCGAGCCGTGTTTAGTGCCAAACGCAGGAGAACAAGGAAAACACACCAGGATAATTACGTCGTGAAAAAAGTGGGTTTTCAAAACAGACGACGACGTAATAGGGGAGGAGCGACGCAGCACAAGGCAAAAGACGGAAGGAAGCAATTGCGAGGAGAAAACGTGCGCCAATCTGGTGTAAGTATCTTCACCCAGTTCCCGAAAAGGAAGGGGAGAGAAGAGGACGGGAACTGGCAGCAGAGAAGTGCGGGCAAAATTACAGAGCATGCGCCGCTGAGGGGCGCTGTATCCGGCCTGCAGGAATAGCGCTGTTCCGGCGTGTTTCGAGCAGCAGGCTAGTGCGTGTTGCGGCCTCATACTGTGGCTAGCGGATCTCTGGTCGGTGGCTACGAGGCCGAAAGGGACAGTGTGGCGACAGTGTGGATAGCATTGCAGCGCCTGCCGAACCATTTGAGCGCATTCTTGACAGCATTGCCACACACCAAATTTGGGCCTTGGCGACACGGAGAGGAGCGCGAGGAGGACTAGAAGAGGGGCTGCTGGGTGGATCCCCCTGTAAAGTCCCCATCTTTCGTCACTGCCCCTCGCTGAGCGTGTATCATCTCACTGGGCTAACGGGACAATTACAGTGACATACGAGCGCAGGGACCCACAAAGGGCCCCGCTAGTAAACCGCCCATAACCCACTGTTTCGTCCTTTTCAGGCCACTTCCAGTGCCCCGTTACAGCCAGTTGCCCTGCACCTCGCCATATCGCTCACTTTGTCCAGCGCAAGTCAACTAGTGACATGCGCCGTGATTGGGTTTCTTGCACCGAAGGATCCACTATGATCCACTCCTTGTCTCTTTTTCTTCCGCCCTGCCCTAAACTCGAGCCTCTGTTGGGCGTCCTCCTTTTCAGCGACCCCACCCGCTATCTTTTCGTTGAAACGGCGCTGTTGCCTTTCGGTTTTCCACGAGAAGGCATTGCGTCATAGTGTACTTTACACCTAGGAATGACGGAGTCGGCGAAGACATGAGCAACGGAACTGTCTGCAAATGGGGAAACAATGATGCTTTTCGCATGCACTAGAGAAACAAGATCGCCACGACTCACGATAATGACGAGCCGTTTGTCAACAGAAGCGGCCCTTTTGATTCGCCTTTTGATTTTTTTGTTGCCCCATGCGTGCGGGTGTGAGTGGGCTCGGCGGTTTTCTGGTTTCCGTTTTCGGTTGCTGTTTTTTTCTTTCGTTTGTATCGTCGTCGTGTGAATTTGTGAGAGCCATGAGCCAGAGAATGGGACTGTGCCTCGCAATCCGGGCCGTCTGGCCCATGTGGCCCTTGCTGTGGATGGAAGAATGGCAACCTCGTGAACAGCAATATCAAATGCGAAAACCAAACGGCATCCCGCTTTGTTTCATTAAAAGCGACTTGACAGAGCGTGAAAAGCCTCACGTACGATGCTTTCCTATCAGGTCTTTGCTGCGTTACTCGCTGGCCTTTCCTACTGTGCTTTGTTTTTATATTGCGGCCCTCTGTCTGCTCGTCTCTCCACCAGTCGTCCACTTCTGTGGTGGCTGTTCATCTACTTTGACGATCGCGCGTTCTTTGATAAATATCCTTGCTCTCACTGTGGGTGTCTTGGGCATCGCATGGACAACGTCAACCTCGTATTACATGCCCAGGAACGGGGCTTTCCACTGCAATGTTCTTTGAAGGCCATACAGGATTGAATGCCAAGCCAGAGACGTACCTTTCGCGATGGTTTACGGCTTGCCTTTTCACAGCCCACAATCTACAAACAATGTTGTACACGTAGTACATGACGGGACACGGAGTACACACCTCTCTTTACGATACAACCGAGCCGAGTGGATCTTGGCAGACGGAACGAACGGCAGAGCCGGCAGTGACGTCGAGCCGGAGCAGCAACGAGTGAAAAGCGTCTCTTTTGCTCGAGTTGTACAGAGAGCCCCGACGCCATTGAGCACTTGCTTGTCTCCTTGTCTGCAGGCAAGCCAGGTTTTTTATTTTCGATCGACTGTTTCTTTCTCGCTTTCAAACCCCTTTCGCGTGTTTGTCCTCCGGGAGCGTCGATCCTTTTTCTCACTCTTTTGTCGCGGCGGCTGGACGATAAGAACAACTCACAGCGAGTAAGAAACCCTGTATTTCTTCCCGTTTTTGGGAGGCAGATGCTTGTTGGTCCGGGTGGATTCAGCGGAATGTTGGCCCTGTTTTCGCTGGCTTGTTGGGCTCCTGCGAAAGCCTTGCGTCTTGGCACCATGCCAGCTAATTCGCGCTGCGTCTGAGTGGTAGACTAGCGGAGCATGTCGGCGAAACGTTGCGATGTTGCTTGACGAGCTTGGCCTGCTGAAAGCCTACGAAGTATGACGAAAGAAACACACCTTGATCGGCGGTGCCGTTGTTTTGTTCCGAAGACGCTGGGACGTTGGCAGACGAGTGATGACAGAGGCGGCCAAGGGGAGGCAAAGGAAGTGTGCGTCTGCCCGCTGAAATGCCCGCTTGAATAGAGTATCAACGCCCCTGAAACTGTTGACTTTGGGCCCTGAAACGAGTCCCGGTTCCTGTGTTGTTCCTGTCTCACTCACCACTCACTGCGTCACAGCCACGACGACAAGTTAATTTACACAAACTTGATTTTTATTTCGGTCCTACCACCGCAGCCCACCACAGAGATCCATCGCGGTGAGCTGCCAACATGGAAAAACAACGTTGGATGCGAGAAGATATCACCACGCAGCGTCGATCTCTCGTTTGTTTCGTAGTTCTTTCTCTCTGTATCCAAGTCACTTCACATGCCGGATTGTGTCCGTGGATTTTCATATCGCGTTGTGGTTTCGAACTACGGCATTTCCGCACAATAAAAAAACATGTGCTTTTCACGGGACTCGACATGGACGGCACGAAATCTGCGCCCTGCACGACAGCAAAACAGCACGACATGGCATGTGCCTTTTGCAGGGAAGCGGAGACAGTGATCGCCCTTGCAGCGTTTTCTTTTGCGTTTCTTTAATTTCTCGCCTTGGAAATACAACCCGTTTTCTACGTACTCCGCAAATAAGGTCCTGCAGTTGATATGTCCTTTCGGAGACGGCATGCGTGGCGAAGAAACGGAACAAGGACAACATAGAAGTCAAAGGAAAATAAAGAACAGAAAACTTTAGAGACCGTTGCAACATACCGAGTAGACCTGACCCAAAAAAGATCCAGAAAAGGCCCGGAAAAGACCCAGAGAAAACGGATGAGCCCGTCTGGATCGACATGGAGACAGTACGGAGAAGACAAGAACAAAGCACGCATACGTGCAGGATGGCATACAAAAGGCTCATCAGGATGCGAAGCAACGACACACTGTGGATTTTCTGTGGATTTTCTATGGACTACCCATGATTTTCGCCAGGATGCTTTGGAACCGGGAATATCAGAATATCAAGCCGACAATCTGGCCGCGTTTTTACTTCTCTAATTTTTTTTTTAAAAAAAAACGCGCCTTTGTCCATTCTTCCCCGTTGTTTGTGGGATATTTACTTGGATTAGTAGGCGCTTTCCTTGGTGCTTTCTGGCCCAGCCACGAAACAGTCATCGAAATTCGAAACTCACACTGCCGTACTGCTACTGTCGATACAGACCTGAAAGTTATCCGGCTTTCCCAATCTGGGCTATCTCGTCGTGTGTCCAACATCCATCGTGCCGTGCCTCGTCCCGAAAACGGCTCGACCACAGGTTGTTTAGCCTACTTTGAACCGGGCAACAGTCACACCTTTTTTATTTCGCGTTACTCTTGTGTCATTTTTGACTCCGCCCTGCCAAGGAATATGGCGGACAATGCAGGCAAATACTCCGTCACTGGAGGTATTTACAGTTTCTCCTTTTGCCGCGGCGTTTCTCAACCCTTCCTTCCACGCTTCGCCACATTTTGCACTTTACTGTCTCGACCACGAATTCACTGCTCGTGCTTCACTCCCTGTTCCGTTTTGAACACCTGCAGCTGCACATGCAAGTAATGCCTTTTTTTTTTTTTCTATCCGCCGTCTTTCCGTGCCGCTGCTGCGGCTATGTGGGAGAGAGGACTCCATTTAGGAGCGCCGGCTCACTTTCAACCCTTTGAGCAGCCTCTTCCCTTTTCATACGCCGGCCTCCTCCACCTATGAAAACTCCGCATTCCTTGTATTCCTCTTATCTTTTTATCTAAGCGGCGCAGCGTCGTTGCATCCTGACACGGCAGCAGGAGGCCTGTCACTGTATTTGGCCGCCGGTTGCGGTGTAATACGTGCGCACATGCTCTATCTATCCGCTGTTTGCCCGTGTCAGTGTCCAAATTGTGGGGCCGGCATCGCCCGAATCGTTTGTCTGCCTGTAAAATCAACATTTGTTGGGGAAGTAGAATGCGTCTCTTGCGGAGGACATTGTACGGAGTTCGGCTACATCTGTCTACTTAACAGACGATTTTGCTTTCTGGAGAAACGCCAGGTACTCGGGCACAGGATTATGAGACCGGGCGACAATTATAGAAAATATAAGAACAGGGCCAGAGCAGAGACGTATACGTTGGACCAATGAATGCCGTCAAAATAGGGATGGATGAAAGTCAACCGCTCCATACTACCCCAGAAAAACCTCCACGACGAGGAAATCAGGGCGCGCGGAGATGTAGATCCATATGGCATGTTGAACAAGAGGTACTCTCGGTACTTATTGTTCGAGTAGGTGGCCGGGGTTGAGGAAAAACTCACAAATTGTATCCTGCAGGTGTACCGATCTGCTTCTGCTCGTTCCCTCGTTGCCTCCGTCTCGTAAACGTTAACGACGTGGCCATCGTTGTCAACCTGCGGTGTCCCCTAACCCGGCTATTACAGTTCTCGTGGCATCATGCACCTGGGCATTGGGCCTATATAGTTCCTCTATGGTTGCCCACTACAATAGATATATACAAGTCTGCTTCTGACGTGGTGCTGGAAATCGACAGGTTGTGCCTTGCGCGATCGGGAGACCAAAAATGGCAACCCTATCGCTTGCGAATGGTCCCTCTATTTGGCCAGTGAAATGTTTTCCTCTATATGTACATTGCTTGTATCTCGACAAGGACCTCATCGGTTTTCTTTCGAGTGTGCAACATGGCTTGGACTAGAACGAGATTTCAATGTAGCTCGTATGGACAAATAACGAAGTGAGAGGGAAAGGGCCTGATACATTTTCCTGCATCGACCGACTGACTATTTTATTTCCACCTTGTGAGAGTTGTTAACAGCCCTTAACAGCTGGACAATCTCAGATTCTTGTTCCTGTTTCCTGTTTCCTGTTTCATGCAATTTATTATTTGGTGCGTGCAAAATGGAAATAAACAGGATGAGCAGCTCCGGCATCGATGTTGTTCTGTCTCATCTCCTCATATGTCCACCTCGACGACGTTCCCCTCACACATGAAATGCAAGTCAATATGCATGGCGTACTTCCTCTGTCGTTTGCTGTATCCTATTAGCAAACTTACCCTTCCCATCTTTCACCATCTCCACCCGCACCCTCCCTCGTCTCGTCCTTGGAGGTTGTGTGTGGTGGTGGTGGCTCAAGGCCGAAAGAAAGTCTTGGCATATGTCATCGGTGGGTCCCTTGCGAGGGTCCCCTCTCCATGACCCGCAGACCCCTTCTTGGAAATAAGGCCGCACTCCAAAACAACAACGCAGTAGTGACGCCTGGCGAACGAAGACAGGCGACAAAAGTACGAAACGACCGGGGGTCCCTGCTTTAGGGTCCCTTTTTTCTTGGCTCCGCTCTTTTCGTGCGTTGATCCAACACAGTCCAAGAAAGTTGTGCCGTGCATGAAAGTCCCTCTCTCAGTGAGGTACTTTCGTACTGTTGTTTGATGTGTGTCCAGTCGGTGCCGTCGCTACTCGTAGTCCCGGCAGCTCGGCAACACGTTTACAAATGTCCTTTCTGCCGCCGTTGCAAAAAGAACATAAGACGGCCGGAGGAGGACACGGAGACCACCCGATGTGGCCGTCCATATGCCTCATACAGTACATTTCCTGCGAGCCAAGAGAAGACACGTGCATGGATGATGTATGATGGCGTTGCCAAAGGATTTTTGCAAATGATAAAATAATATGGAGATCGGTAAAGAGATTAAGGAGACTCGTTCGAACAGCACAAACGATAAGCTTTGGTGCTTTGCTAAGGAGCAACAGACGTGTGAGGACGAGCAAGCTAGGACGTAGGCATTCCCTGACCGTCTTGCGTGATATAATATGTCGTCAAGGGGCTCAGAGATGTTTTCGTTAACGAGGTCTTTGGAGTTGACACACTCGTGAAGATATTCCTTTGCTATTCCAACAAGTACGCTGTATTTAGTCTATTCATCTTTGGTCCTCATTTCTCTGTTCCTTCTACCTCCACCTCTGTTGCTCAAGGGTCTGCTTTGCCTTTTGGTCCATTGTTTGTTTATTCTGGCCTTCTTTATTCGTAGCTCACCGTTTGCAAACCTTCATCACTAGTATAAAATAAAAAAACCACGTGCTTCTTTATACGTCACAATGAACAGACGGAACAACAAAAATACAAGCCTTGCCCAGACGCGGGATCGAACCGCGGACCTCCTGCTTACTAGGCAGGCGCAGCTACCACTGTGCTACCCGGGCCACTCTAGAGTAGCTGCTGACCCTTGAAGAGTTTATATGTGGAGACGACTTCCACTTGGAAAACAAGATGGGAAACAGTTTGACGAAGCACAACAGGGTTCGCGAACTCAACTTCATAAAAGCAGATACGAGCTGTCTTTGGAATTATTCGTGCATGTCTTCCACCGGTTCCTGTCCTTTCTTTGCGCAATCTACAACTACCCTTTTGCCACGGCATCTAAATGGTTACAGTCTACATCGCCATATGATTACGGATTTCATTACTTGAATATGTGTGCCGGCTCTTTTGTCAATTTTGGCTGCCACAGTCCACCCTGGCACTTGACCTGCATATGCCTCACCTGCAAACCCTCAAGTACGCCCATCTACGTCACAGCCGGTGTGTTTCCGTGTAGCACTTCTTTTTCACCCAGTTCCATCGACAAAGAAGAAGAACATTGGATTCCACTTCACATATGCTTCGTCGTCAAATCGCCGTCTTTCTGCCGTTTAAAGCACCGCCTGGAGTCGGCATTGCGTGAGATGAATCGGACGCTAAGCATTTCTGGATCTCCGCTGCCACCTTCTCAAAGCAGTTGGTAGGCAATTTTTGCCGAGCCTCGAGACAAAAATCTCACGGGATCAGCAGGCTGCACCCCGCCGCACGGAGCTACTGTCGTCACGACAAGAACGGCCGGAGACTCTGTCCTTAAAAGAACAATTCGCGACACTGACAAACCACTGGAGCGTCACATACTCGCAAATCCACGACAAAAGCATCACGAACTGCAACAAAGCAGACCCCACCATGGCGACTGTTGCAATCGCAGAGTCTACGTTCCAATACGAGGAGCAGTCCTTGGAGAACGATTGCCTCAAGGTCGACATCTTTGACGTGAGTCGTTTCTGCCATTCCCCCTCGGCTCTGTCGCAGCATACCATGCATGGCCCGGTCTCTGACAAAGCCCTCAGCCCGCCAAATACGGCGCCCGTTTCCTGGAACTCGTCCAGAAATACCCCGAAACATTCACGTATGTCGCCTTCCCGGTCCTCCATTCCGTCGACGAGCTGTTGACAGAGGTCTACAACCCCATTGCCTCCTCGCCGGCCGACTGCTTGTGGGCCATCATCGACAAGACACGCCCCGCCGGCGCCAACCACGACAACCTGGCCGGCGCGTTCTCGCTCATAGACGTCAAGAAGGCCGAAGGCACGGCCGAAATGGGCGGCATCCTGTTCCCGCCCTTTCATCGGTCGCACGTCGCGTCCAACACCGTGGGGCTGATTTTGCAGTATTTGCTGGACCCGCCGTCCCAGCGCGGTCTCGGGCTGCGCCGTGTGGTGTGGCATGCCAACGCGAACAACAAGCCGTCGCGGCGTGTGGCGGAGCGCATGGGCTTTACCCTCGAGGGCATTCTGCGGTGGCAGCGGACGTTTGCGCCGAACCGCGATTGTCAGGCGGGGCCAGGCGTTGCGCTGCCGACGGCCGCCCTGGCGGCACGGAACGGGACCAAGCCAGAAGACGAAGCGCCCGGGCGGCATACGGCCGTGTACTCCATTGTGTGGGATGAATGGGAGGAGAAGCGACCACATGTAGTGGCCCAGATGGGGCTCCGGAAGTGACGGACGATGCACGGCCACTCCAACACGTGGAAAACTATTTGCTGTTGCGGCGACATGTGCCAACTGCGGAAGTCTTCGCGTCTCTGGATTATCAAAGCGGTCCGCGTCGATGGGGGGCAGAGGCCTCGTCTGTGCTTCGCTGTGGCCAACGGCCACATATCTGGGTGAAATTTGATATATGAACGAAAACGACAGATATAAGTAATTAGTTCAAGAAATCGAAAATAAGAGATAGTAGCTGAGACGATCAAAGGATTGTTTACAAAGTATTAGCGTTATGGCCAGAGAGCCGGAGTTGTAAGTTCTGACGTTCCCTCTGCTCAAGGTTCATCGGAACAACGCATCCACGGAGAGATGCTCCTTGAACATTTCAAGAGACATGAAAGGCAGTCGGAGCGGATAAAGATGAAAGGTGAATACTGCTTTGATCCACTCCGCAGTGTACGACGACGGCCTGGTAAGAAAGTGGTCTCGTCCGCCACTTGCCATATTGCAGCATTTGCCGGCAATGTACATGAACGGGCCGGTACCAGAGCAGACAGGGTATATATGGCAAGTCGTTAAGAGATTTTAAGACGATATCGCAAAGCGATATACCTGGTTACGGCCATATGGACCAAACGCGTGGAAGAACACCTGACCGTGGGCAAACAACTGGGCAGGCCACAACAAAGGTAGAGACTGTGACTGAAAGATAGCAAAGAATAGGTGTTTTGATATAAGAATAAAACCAGCCAGGTGGAGGGCTGTGAGTGAATAGCGAGCATATGAATTGCAACGAATATTCATGTATCATTTAGATTTTGCATCGTTTGCAAAAAGTGAGAGTTGATTTGTACATCAGAATTCTATTTGGCTTCCCTTTTCAACATTGTGTTTAATTGACGATGGCTCCGCGGATCTTGAGGTACAATCACTGACGGCAGTACAACCACGTTGTCCGCCTACCAACCAGGCGCAGTGGGACGAACGAATGTCCTATATATACACTTTGAGAATGAAGCTGTTTACGATTATGAGGATCCCCGCAACGTCACGCCGATTTGGTGGCGGTTCCTGCCGCTAGTCCCCTGTCTGGGTACACTTAAAAAGCGAGTAGGCGTTTTGGGGGCACGACGATAGAGGTCACATGGTCACGCAATTCATCCCTCCAGCGTCACCATCTTAAACCCCGAATTCAGTCTATGAGGAGCAGTTCCGGACGTCGTATTCTGCACCTCTCCAAAACACGGAACTGGGCTGGTCAGTTCAAGCGTCTACGACGACAATGGCAGACAACTATTACGACCTGGGCGACTACGCATTGCCCGTGAGCACCACCTCGGCCGATGCACAGCTCTGGTTCAACCGCGGCCTGCGCTGGGCCTTTGCGTTCAACCACGAAGAGGCTGTGCGCTGCTTCCGCAAGGCCACCGACCACGACCCGCGCTGCGTCATGGCCTACTGGGGCATTGCATATGCGCGCGGGCCCAACTACAACAAGGCGTGGGTGCGGTTCGACCGATCCGATCTGCAGCGCGCATTTGCAGAGGCCATCGAGGCACTGGCGCATGCCGTCGCGCTCCAAGAGCAAGGGGCCCCCAGCACGCCCCGTGAGAAGGCCGTGGTCGAGGCGCTTCGGCAGCGGTTCCCAGACGACCCGGCAGCCCCGGCCTCGTTCACGCCGGACACGCTGGGGCAGCTTGACGAACGATATGTCGTGGCCATGCGCAGCGTGTACAAGGCGTTCCCAGACGACCTCGAGGTGGCCGGACTCTTGACGGAGGCGCTCATGTGCGTCAGCCCGCGCCGCTTGTGGGATCTGAGCACGGGCGAGCCGTTGTACCACACGACGGAAGCGCGGGCCGTGCTGGAACCGGCACTGGCCAAAGCACCGGCGCATCCCATGTTTTGCCATTTGTACATTCACCTGATGGAGATGTCGCCGTTTCCTGAAATTGCGCTGCCGGCGGCCAATACGCTGCGCACGCTGATGCCGCAGGGCTCGCACATGCTGCACATGCCGACGCACATTGACGCCGCCGTCGGCGACTACCAAAACGTCGTCGACTCGAACCACCGGGCCATGGTGGCGGACGACTTTTACTTTGCGCAGCAGTCGGCCACGTCATCGTCGTCGCCGCCGCCCGTCCTGTACCACCTGTACCGCATCCACAACGTCTATGTCAAGTGCTACGGCGCCATCATCTCGGGCCAGTCCCAGGCCGCCATCGACGCAGCCACGACCATCCAGACGCTCATCACCCCGGCGCTGCTGAGCATCAAGAGCCCGCCCATGGCCGACTGGGTCGAGAGCATTGCGGGCGCTATGGCGCACGCGCTGATCCGGTTTGGCCGCTGGGAGGCGGTCTTGCAGTGGCCGCTGCCGGCTGACGAGGACCTGTTTACGTCGACGGCGGCCATGGTCTACTACGCACGGGGCATTGCCTATGCCGTCACCGGTCGCATCGCCGAGGCAGAGGAGGCCCAGACGAAATTTGAGGCGGCCCGGCTGCGGGTCCCGCCCACGCGGCTCAACGCCCTCCCCGTACTGGAAAAGGACGTATTGCTCGTGGCACAGGCCATGTTGGCTGGCGAGCTCGCCTACCGCAAGGGCCGTGTCGACGATGCGTTTCAGCACCTGCGAGCCGCGGTCGCGGCCGAGGACCGGCTCCCGTACAGCGACCCGCCGTCCTGGATGCAACCGGCGCGGCACGCCCTCGGCGCGCTGCTGCTCGAGCAGGGCCGCACCGACGAGGCCGAGCAGGTCTACCGAGACGACCTGGGGTTCGGCAACCTGCCGCGCCGCAAGGCCCGCATCAACAACGTCTGGGCCCTGCACGGCCTCTGCGAGTGCCTGGAAAAGAACGGCAAGACGGAGCAGCTCGCCATGTTGCGCATCCAACGGGACACGGCCCTGGCACTGGCCGACATTCCGCTGCACGCGTCATGCTATTGCCGGCTGACGGCATTTCCCGAGGGCGAGCACGCGGGGGCAGCGAAACACTGCTGCTGATACATAGCTAACGAATCTAAGTCTGATCATTATACTCCAAACTGTAGCTGAAATGCACCAACTATGAACTATAAAATGGTTTTCTGTGCTACAACACGGCATCCGATGCCGCCTATGCGGTGGTATGCCTCGGCCTCTGTCTTCACCACATGGACATGGTGGGAGCCCACGTCCATGTGCGAGGCCATTTGAAGCACCCCGGCCGGGTCGACAATGATGACGTTGGTCGTGCTAGCCAGCCGGCGGATGTTTTCGTGGATGAGCCGCCGGGCCACGTCGTTGAGAGAGTACGTGTTGCGGAAGGAAAAGAGGGCGGCACAGATGTGTGCATGCGCGCTTTCCTCGCCCAGGCCTTGGTCGCCACTCTCCTCGCGGGACTGCACGATCTCCTTCATAATGGCCCGCGTCAGCCGCTCGGCGCCCGCAAAACGCACGGCGCCGCGCAGCTCAAACACGGCCACCTGCTGCTGGCCGGCGTGCGGCTGGTTGGCGCCGCCGGCCACCGTCGTCGTCCATGAGCGCACGCTGGCCCGGCCGATCTGGCTCATGTCCATCATGTGGAAGCCCATGTCGTGCGACAGCTGCTTGCACATGGCCACGCCGCGCACGCTGTTGCCCCGCTCGTCCAGGCGCGGCGAGAAGACGGCCAGGCCCAGCTGGCCGGGGAGCGCGCCAATGATGCCGCCGGAGACGCCGCTCTTGGCCGGGATGCCGACGTTGGAGAGCCAGTCGCCCGACGAGTTGTACATGCCGCACGTGGTCATGACCGACAGCACCTGGCGCACGCTGTCCTGCGGCATGATGCGCTCGCCCGTCAGCGGATGCACGCCGGCGTTGGCCAGCGTGCCCGCCATCATGGCCAGGTCGCGCACGTTGACGTTGATGGAGCACTGGCGGATGTAGCCTCGGACGGCGTCCTGCGGGTCGCAGCCAATCATGCCGGCCGCCTTCAGCATGTAGCCGATGCCCATGTTGCGGTTGGCGTCCTTGAGCTCCGCCTCGTACACGGCCTCGTCGACGTGCAGCGGGCGGCCCGCCAGCTTCGAGAGCGCCTGCACGATGCGGTCCACGCGCTGCTCGACGGTCGCGTCGGCCGCGACCACCAGCGCGTGCGTCGCCACCGCCCCGGCGTTGATCATGGGGTTCATGGGCCGGTTCGTGCCGGCCTCCAGCGACAGCCGATTGAACGCATCGCCCGAGGGCTCCACCCCGACCTTGTCCAGCACGGCGTCCAGGCCCTGGTCCTGGATGGCGAGTGCGTACACAAAGGGCTTGGAGATGGACTGGATGGAGAACTCGACGGCGTCGTCGCCCACCGAGTACACGCTGCCGTCCACCGTCGCAAGCGCCACGGCCGACCGCGACGTGTCGGCTGTGGCGAGCACATCGATGTAGCTGGCCGGCTCGCCCGAGTCGAGCGGGCCGACATTCTCCAGCAAGCGCGCCAGGTAGTCGGGGATGGGAGACTTCATTTCTGATCGTGTCCGTATGGCGGCTGAGGAAAGAAAGAAACGAACGAAAACGGTAGAACGGAGCAAAATAAGAGAAACAGCAACGCCGCTTGAATGGTTCTCGGACGGGCACGGATGAGAGCTGTCTTCTCAAGCCAACCTGTGGTGCAGTGAATCTGGCAGCTGAGTAATTTTATTGGCCAGCAATATATGTCGGGTTGGGCTTAGCGCCATTGGTCTCTAGGCCTTGGCAAGGCAGTAGAGAGTACAATACTTCGTACAACATACTACGAAGCTGTGGCCAACGACAACGGCATCTCGAAGCAGGTAAAAGGAAACTAACGAGGATATAAGCCAAATGTTTTATCACCATCTGGAAGATTTGGAAAGGTGGTCAACAACCATAAGACCGGGGCCCGCAAAATAAGCCTCAAGAATAGGTTGCTGCTAACAAGGAGAGCAATATGGAAATGTTGACAGTAATTGATAAATTTCATATTATTTTCTTAAAAATAAACAAACCACAGCATAGCATTGGTCTCGTCAGCTGTCTAAAACGAGCTCAACTTATTCGTTTAGGCATGTGGTTGATGAGTGGCTTTTCACACGTGATCGTCAGTCCAAAGTTACACAGCCTTGCGTTGCTCCTCACATCCGTTCCTTCCGTCTTTGGACATGGTGACAACCTTAGGTAATCATCGAGAATGGTACTGTGCTTTCGAGCATTGAAAATATTTTGACACCCACAAATAGACATTTTACAATCTTTCTATCCTATCGTCCCAGCCTCAATAAACTTTGTCAACAATGTCTACCTCTCGCCGATCGCGCATGCTTCCGAGCGCAGCCACAGGAGTCAAACGGAAACAACCACATCCGTCTCCCGGCGTGTCCACCCGCCGCTCCAGCTCTCGCTCGGCAACTGGATCGAACTCCATGTCCACAGCCCTTGTGCCGAGCACAGACAATGTTTCTGATACCGCGTTTCTCGAAAAAGCCAGCGCGCTTCCTGTTGCCGACTCTGCCTTTACAACCGCCGCAGACATCCTGTCCCGCGCATACTCTGCCACAGGCGATGGCTTTGTTGTTGAACCCGTTTCTTTTGCCGAGTATAGGTCTGTTGCTGACGAACGCGACCGGCGCGGCAGCAAGGCACGTCTGTTTTACCTCCACGATGCCCGCTTGCTGATTGTGACGGTGCCAACGATTCATCACGAGATGCTGCACGGCCAATTATACTTCATCTTCACCGGAATGCTTTGGGAAGCAGGCTTGGGCGATGATTGGGTCGGGACCCACGCGACGACCTTCAGGTCTGCTCTGGGAAATACGTCGACTGGTGAGGGTGACTCTGGGGGCCGGCCCAAGTCAGCACGACGCAGTAATACTGAGTGGCCCGTGTTGGTTATGCAGGTTGGGTGGACACAAAGCCTCGCCAGTCTGCGCTGCAAAAAGGACTTCTGGTTTCGCCAGTCCGACCACCAGGTCAAAATCGTCATCCTAGTGAAAGCCTTCCCACTTGGTGGCAGCGGAGACGGAGGTAGTAAGAAGAGAATTTTGATCGAAAACTGGCAGGGACAAAGCCGGCTGCAACGGCCCGGCGCCACGGGGACCAGAGCCCATGCGGCCGCTACTCGTGACAGTGTCTGTCTCCAGATAATTAATATTGTCTGGGCTGGGCCTATGCCGTACGACGAAGCATCTATGTCAGTGCGCCAAGATCCGAACAACTTCAACGTGACTCGCGGGCCGTTGAAGTTGGACTTTTCAAAGCTTTTCTTGCGTCAGCCGATACCCCATACAAACGAGAAGGACATTATCATAAGTGATAGTGAGCTGCAGCACTACGCGACCGTTATGTGGCTGCCCTAGTCCAGGCGGTTTTGCAGCAAATATGACTGGACTTGGACCTGGAAGTTCAAACGCCATTTTGATATTTTGCTATTACAATTCATTTGTTAGAGACCGATTGCGTCATCATGTACTCTGGCTGCATTAGGCATCGTCTCATAGTTTAAATATATATATATATATTTATTTTACTTTTTCTTTTTCGCAAAGAACACGCTGTTGTTGCCGCCCCAGTGGGCGGCTGTCCTAATCAGGAAATGTGGGACCGAAAGTTGTTGCTGATATGCTCTAGGTAGTGCGCGAGCACCACATCGGCATAACCGGTACGACGGCCACGATGGCCACGACGGCCACGACGGCCACGACGGCCACAACGGGCATGCCCTCCACTCTACTCCTTGTGGTACACGACCGCGGCGACCTTGGGCGCCTCCTCACCAAAGACGTCGACGTCCGTGGAAGCAAATTTGCGTGCGGAGATTCCCTTCTCAAAGAGCACGTCGAGCTCGGAAAAGGAGCGACCGCGGGGCTCGGGCAGGCGGAAATACGCCCATACGGTGCTACAGAAGCAGAGGCCGCCCCAGAAGAAGCCGGCCTTGCCGGCCCAGTGCCAAGCGGTTGGGTTGAGCATGTAAGGGATGACCACGCCATTCACGATGCTAAAGATGTTGTAGAGGTTGCGGGCGAGCACAATGGTCTTGTTGCGGACGCGGGTGGCTGGCATTTCCGAAACGAGACTGTAACAGACGGGGCCGACGGTGGAATCGTAGATGAACGTGTAGACGAGCAGCATGGAGCCCGTGGCCCAGGCGGTGGCGACGTTGGCGCTCTGCGTAGTGCCGTCGGCGTTGACGAGGATGGTGCTGGCGCCGGGCGCGAGGCTGATGAAGCCGACAATGAGGAGAAGGACGCAGAGGGTGACGAGGCCACCGACATACAGGGTGCGGCGGCCGAAATGGGACATGAGCACCCAACTGAAGAGCGTGCCGAAGAAGCCGATGCCGTACTGCGCGAGCGACATGTCAAAGGACTTGTCGGTGGCCAGGCCGGCGTTCTCGTAAAAGTACGTGCTGTAGCCCATGAGGCCGGCACCACAGAGGTTCTGCACGGCCCAGGTCAGGCACGAAATCTCGGTGCGACGGAGGTTGGCCCTGGAGAAGCACGACAAGTAGCTTGTGCCTTCGCACAGCTGGGCCTCGAGCGCCGTGGTGTGCACCATCATGGACACGGTCTCGGTGAGGTCGTCGCCCGGGCCGGAGGCCAGGCGGCGCAGCGACGCGGTGGCCGCGGCGAGACGGCCCTTGCGCACAAGCCACCAGGGGCTCTCGGGGGCGAGGGAGACGGCCACAATCAGCGGCGCGGGCCACACCCACTGGACGGCAAAGGGGATGCGGTAGGCCCACTCGTCGGTGCGCGACAGCAGGCCGCGCAGCACGGACGAGCCAACGATCTGGCCAATGACCCAGCAGAGGTTGACGTAGGTGGTCAGGTACGCGCGCAGCACGACGGGGCACACCTCGGAGGCGTACGTGACGGTGACGGTCTGGAACACGCCCAGGGGGATGCCCATGAGGATCTCGCCGGCGATCAGGGCCGGCTTGTTGGGCGCGAAAAACAGGATGAAAATGAAGGCGATGACGGACGACAGCGCGGCCAGCATGGTCTTGCGGTAGCCGAAGCGCTCGGTCACGATGCCCGTGGCCATCAGGCCCAGGATCTGGCCGCAGTTCATGCCGTTGGTCAGGCCTGCTTGCCACGCGGCCGACAGAGCGCGCGTGCCGTCGGGCTGCAGGTCACCGTACCGGTCCTTGAAGGCCGGGTACGCAAAGAAGCTGCCCATCAGCACAACATCGTAGCCTTCCATGATGATGGCGGTCGAGAACAGCACCGACCAGCCAATGGCGTGCGGGTACGTTTTGATGCCGCGCCACAGCGTCATCGAGTGCTCCTTGGCAGTCGCGGCCTGGGCCTCGGCGGACACGTCGGCCATGTGCGCGTCGTCCGGCAGGTGCACGTCATTGTGGGCTTCGTTCTTGGTGTCCATGGTGGGTGGTGGGTGGTGGGTGGTGAGTGGAGGGTAGAGGGTGTCGATCAAGAATAAACCATGGGGACGATGAGAAGGTGATCGAATCGGATGAGGACCATCAAATCATCCTGAGACCGGCGGCGGCCTCGTGTCTTTATGTCTTGCAATCCAGAGCAACCCCAGAATCGACGGTCGAAGCCGTATAGTAGGAGTGTGACATCTTTCTGGTTTCTCTTTCTTTGTTTTCTTTTCTTTTCTTTTCACCTCTTTTCAACCAAAGTTTTTATAGCCGCCCTGCTGTAACCTAGTGCTCATGTTTTCCCTTTTGCCCAACAAAACCGCGCTTCTACAAATCTAGATTCGCCTGCCGGCGTATTACCTCATTCCACCAAGCCACGAGACCAGACACTCGCTGTTGTCTTGGGCGGCTGGCCTGGCCATGTCGCGTTTTCCCGGCTATTTACCACATGCGGTTTACCGCGCAAATGCTAAGCATTTTAGATTGGGGTAGTGACTGCAGTGAATGCGTGGAGGACCAGACCTCCGCGATTTGCGGGACCTCTGACAACTGGGGAAAGAAGACCGCTATTCCCATCCTTGTGGGTGAAAGAGGGGATTCCCTTTTTTCGGGGATTTGGCATAATCATGATGCCGTGGCTGATCCGTCACCTTTGCATCCGACATACGCCCACCGGACAATTACCAGCTTTGCGCATTTTGCCTTGACAAAAACCAAAAAAACAAAACAAAAACAAAAACAAAACCCCCTCCCCCCCCAAAAATGCTGACGTTCAAGCTGAGCCACGACAGCCGTGGAGCGCTGCTGCAGCATCCACCCGGGCCTGCCTGCGACCAGTGTCGCCGCAAGAAGTCTGCGTGCAACCGCCGGAGTCCTTGCCAGGCCTGCGTGCGTCACGACATTGCCTGCTCCTACATGGCCATGCCGAAACAAAGGGGCCGGCGTCCACGGAACCGGCCATTACCGTCAGCGCCTGCTGTCGAGGACGCCGAGCATGAGCCGGCTGCTGCACACACTGTCCACACTGTCCACACTGCCCTCAATACCACACAAAGCCAACAAAGCTTGGACGCACCTGTGCCAGAAGCGACGTCCAGCATGGGCGGCATGGTGGGCGCCATGCCGCCCATGGAACCCCACCATGACCTTCCGGCCCCTCAACAGGACGACATGACGAGCCCTTCGTTTACCGTCTGGACCATGGATTCGGACGCAGCCGGCGACGCACTACCCAGCGGGAACAGCCCCGTCTCGTCGCTGCCGTGGTCCACCGACACCGAATCGTTTGCGTCTGTCGAGCGCACGTCGTCTCCGTCCCGCGCGTTTTGCGTCGAGATGGCGGACTGCGACGCGTGGTTCGCCGGCTGTGAGGGCCCGCCGGTGGCAGCAGCGGTGCCGGATACGACGACAGCGACGACAGTGGTGGGACTGCCGCCGTCGGCGCTGCCGGCACCGTTTGCCGAGATCCGCATGTACGTCGACGTCTTCTTCGAGCAGTTGTATCCCGTATTCCCTGTCATCGACCACAACGAGCTCTACACGCTGCTGCGGCAGACGGAGCGCGGCGAGACGCCCCTGCCGCTGGGCATGTACGCGTGTCTGTGTGCACTGTCTGGTGCCGTGATCGTGCAGCTCAACATGACGAGCAGCGATGCCGACGCCACCGCAAGCCCCTACACGGGTGGCGGTGGCGGTGGCGGCAGCCCCGGTGTCCTCGCCGAGGCGCAGGCGCCCCGGCGTGTCAAGTCGTCGGCCACCCGCTTTATCGGCCTGTGCCAGGAGGCGCGCCGCCAGCAGGACTTTATCGAGCACTGCGATGAGTGGACGGTGCTGACGTCGTTCTTTCTGTTCGCCTACCACGGCAACCTCAATCAGAGCCAATTGTCGTGGTACTACCTGCGCGAGGCCATTGGCTTCCTCCAGGCGCTGAGGCTCGACGAGGAGGACGCGTACTTTGGCCTGTCTATGGCGGTCGCGCAGCGCAAGCGGCGGCTATTTTGGCTTCTTTTCATCACGGAACGGTGGGTCCCTTTTTTGCCACGGAGTGACATACAAACGGACTGAAACAGACGGACCGACATACTAACACCGTCGCAGGGCCTACGCGCTACAGCACCGCCGGCGCGCCGTGCTGCGCCCCGACATTGAGCTGCCCGGCATCTTCGGCTCGCAGGACCCGCGCATCGGCTGCGGCTTCGTCACGCTCGTCAAGCTCTTTTCGTCGGTCAGCGACGCCTTTGTCAAAGCCTGGAGCGGCCAGCCGCTGACTGACTGCGAGCCCTGTCCGCCGGCCGTCTCTAACTCTAAACCGCACCCGCACCACTGTGGCGGCACCACCACCACCACCACCCGCACCAGCAGCACCAGCATCGAGCTGTTCCGCCCCAACGACGTCATGAATGTGCTCTCCATGGCTGAGATCGACGAAACCCAGCGCCTCGACATTCTCATCACCGAGAAGTGGCTCAACGTCCTAATTCACCAGCTGCACAATGGCAGCAGCAGCAGCAGAGCTGGCGGCAACCCACTGCTTCCTGCGTCGTGTAGTTGCGGCGGCGGTAGTAGCATTGCCGCCGTGCAGATAGGCAGCGTCTTTGTCATAGCCAAGAGCGTCGAGCAGCTGATAGCATCTGCAAGCCCCACATCGCTGCGGTGCCACGGCATCGGCATGGTATGTTTTTTTTTCTTTTTCGCCAGACCGACGTTGTACATTCTACGTTGAACATCTACGTTGAACATCTACGTTGAACATTCGCTGACGAACCCACGTCCCAGGAGCAAAAAGTCTCCGATATTGCCAACTGCCTGTGCGAGGCCCTCACGGCCCACCACGCCGGCGACAGCCTGCCCCTGCCCGCCGACAGGGCCATCGCCATCGGCTACCTGAACAGCTTCATGCTGTTTCTCGCGCGCTTCCGTGACCATACCTCAGAGTACTTTGGGCCTCTCGTGCAGCGCGCAGGCTCCATCCTGGGAACGCAGAGCCTTCTCCCGGCACTGCTCTTGCCAGTTGACGTCGACGTTGGGGTCGGCGCCAGCGTCGGGCTCGGGAACGGGACCGTGCCCGGCCTTGTGGAGGCGGACATGAGTGATACGCAGGCGGCTCACAATGGGTTCACGCTGCTGCCGCGGCACGCCAATGAGAGCGAAATGTAAAATTATATTGTCTTCTTTTTGTACCAGTCTTTCTATCCAATCTTCTGTCTGGAATTGCACAGGCATGCCAACGGTTCTTTTCTGTCCCCCCACCCCTATTGTGTCCACGCGATATGCGAGTAGAGAGCATCGCCGAGGCGTGTGCAGCATGCCGGCGTAATATAACGTACAGGTACAGGCAAGGTCCATCGTCAGCTTCATGCCTGACTTTGTGGACTTGTACTCGTACGTGCACTCCGGTGTGGCGTTGTGAACCATATGAAGGAGCCGGGAGGCAGACGAAGCAAAGGACCTCTGCTTTCGGCACAACACTCCTCTTTTCTCACGTCTCACGTGCTGTAGTTGTGCCCGCCGCAGGACGCGGCGGACTCTGATCGGGCCCCGGTCGACGCCCCACAGAACGCCCAACAGCGACCGCTCCGAAAAAGGACCAAGGAGCTTTGCCCTTTTCGGTAATAAGCCGCCAAGCAGCTCAAAAGCGTTGAAACCCAGCCATACGGGGATGTTTTACCCTTTTTTTTCATTTCTGACAAGAAACGTGAATGACTGCTGATTTGGCTAGTCTTTCGTCTGGTGTTTTTCCAAAGAATTCCGAAATTGTTTTTCAAGAAGCCGTTGGCGTAAGAACAAGACCACCATGCCGACCAACGCTGTCTCCGATATCCAGCAGGTGCAAGCCGCCGAGACGGCCGTGGGTAGCGTGCCTGCAACCCGGCACTGGTGGAAAGAGGCCTGCATCTACCAGATCTACCCGGCCTCGTTTTATGACTCCAATGGCGACGGCATCGGCGACATTGCCGGCATCGAGTCCAAGCTGGACTATCTGCAGACGCTGGGCGTCGACGTTGTCTGGCTGTGTCCAGGTAGGTGCATCTGCTGTCCTTCTCTTTACTATGGAGATGCCTTGAAGACGCCATGCTGACCACAACCTAGTGTATACATCGCCCCAGGTCGACATGGGCTACGACATTGCCGACTACCGCACGATCCACGAGCCGTACGGCACGTTGGACGACGTCGACCGTCTGATTGCCGCCCTACACCGGCGCCAGATGAAGCTGGTCATGGACCTGGTGGTGAATCACACGTCGGACCAGGTGCGTGCGCGGATGAGAATGGATGAGAACGGACGAGGACGGACAAGGACGGACAAGGTCGTCTTTGGGTATGATTTCTAACATTTTGTGTCACAGCATGAGTGGTTTAAACAGTCCCGGTCGAGCCGTGACAGCCCCATGCGGGATTGGTACATCTGGCGCAAGCCGTTTTTCGCCGCAGACGGCACTAGACACCCCCCGAACAACTGGGCGTCCATCTTCGGAGGTAAGTCAACGCATTGCTACGTAAAATAACAGGCTGATCGAACCACGACTCACCGTCTTCTAGGAAGCGCGTGGGAGTATGACGAGGCTACCGAGGAGTACTACCTGCGCCTCTTCTGCACGGAGCAGCCCGACCTCAACTGGGAAAACCCCGCCGTCGTCGCCGCCGTCCACGATATCATGACCTTTTGGCTAGACCGCGGCGTCGATGGCTTCCGCATGGACGTCATTAACCTCATCAGCAAGGTGCCTGGCCTGCCCGATGCGCCCATCACCCTGCCCGGCGCCGCCTTCCAGCCCGCCCACGACCACTACGCCAACGGTCCGCGGTTGCACGAATTCCTGCGTGGCCTGCGCGCGATCCTCGACCGCTACAATGCATTTGCCATCGGCGAGATGCCGTGGGCAAAGACGACCGACGAAGTTGTTCTGTCAGTCGCCGAGGACCGGCGGGAGTTGAACATGGTGTTCCAGTTCGATATGTAAGTCTCTCTACGAACCCTGCTACATGGTAAGCTGAGACACAACAAAAGAGGGCCCGCTGGCTAACCCATCCTCCCTCCCCTGATTAGTGTCGACATGGACATGGGCGTCGGGGGAAAGTTCTCGCCGCGGAAATGGACGCTGCAGACGCTCAAGGACATTGTGCAAAAGTGGCAGACGTGCATGCAGGCGCAGGGCGGCTGGAACACGTTGTTCCTCGAGAACCACGACCAGAGCCGGTCGGTATCGCGCTTCACGCCACACCGGCCCGCGCACCGCAGTAGAGCCGCCAAGATGCTGGCTACCTTCATCGGCCTGCAGTCAGGCACGCTGTTCATCTACCAGGGCCAGGAGCTGGGTATGCAGAACCTGCCCAGAGAGTGGCCCATCGAGGAGTACCTAGACGTCGAAACGCAGAGTTTTTACAAAGAGTGAGTCCAACGCTGCCCATTGTTTCATTTTCGACTTGATTTTCATTCTCTACAATGCTCAATTCAATGTTCGTCCACTGATACGCGTAGATTCGTTTCAAAACACGGCGGCGACAAAGCCGGCGTCCAGCAGCTCCTCGACCAAGTTGCCCTCAAGGCGCGCGACCACGCCCGCTCTCCTGTTCAGGTACGTCGCTGGAAAGTATCCCCCGAACATTGTTCTCTTCTTGCCAACTACTGACGCCCATGAGTGGACGGACGAGGCAAACGCCGGTTTCACCACCGGCACGCCCTGGATGCGCGTCAACGACGACTACGGGGAATGCAACGCCCAGCGCCAGCTCAGAGACGCCGACAGCGTCTTTGCCTTCTGGCGCCGCCTCCTGCAGCTGCGCCGCCACCGCCCCGATGTCTTTGTATACGGCCGCTTCGAGATGGTGGACATGTGCCACCCGGCTGTCGTCTGCTACCGCCGCATCAACGCCACGAGTGGCGCCACCGCCACCGTCGTCGCTAACTTTACGGATTACGACCAGCGCTGGGCCATTCCGCCTGAGTTGTGGTCTCTACCGGGCCGGGCCAAGGTTGTCCTGACCAATGTAGGTGCAGGGTCACCGCTTGAGGTCCACGCCCAACCAGACCATACCGTGCTTTTGAAGCCGTTTGAGGCGTTTGTGCTGCTCCAAGAGTCGTCCGCGGTCCCTTCGCGCGTTCCCAAGGGACACCTATAAGAGGAGAACAAATGAAGTAAGATGGACACTTATACACAAACAGATAGAATTTAACACTAATATATTTTTCATCTTACCCATTCTACCTCCTAGTATGTAACTCCATATGGAGAAGCCGCCAAAAATGGCAGGTGTTCCACATGGAAGAAAATCACTATTCTTATCAATTTATTATTACATAAACGTCTTATATATTAATGAATATAAGAATCAGATAACTCTGCGAATTCAGACGTTTGTCAACTCAGTAGATCCACCACTGCTCCCACCCTCACGGAAGGCCCAGCCGTTATTATTAATCAATGCATGATTGGGAACCAAAAAAAGGGCCATGTAGAAGCGAGGCAAATGTGGTTGGTGGCCATCCCGTCACGCGATGAGAACCTTAATGGGGCCAAACTTCAAAAGGTAAATAACCGTAATTGCTACAGGGGATTTCTTTCAGTTGGGTCCGCGGGGGCAAGTGAAGGTGTGGAGGAGAGGGTTGGCTTATGCAGACCTGGCTCTGCGAGTAGAACAGCAAGGGACTCTCAGGAAACGGAATTAACGCTTAACCAGAATTGGTAAATAACCGCAACCACACACTTACTTTTTTTTCGTCCTCACCTCCGCACTGCAAATCCAAAACCAAACATTTTCGTGTACTATGCTTCCCCGTGGGGAAGGCTATGCGGAATCGTTACCGAGGTAGGTCCGACGAAATGCAAAACGAAAATAGTCCAAACGAAAAATAGAGAAAGAAGAGCAAAAAAAAAAAGAAACATGAAACGCGGGGGAAATGGCAACAGACAGCATACATTCAGATCCACGCTTGCTACCGTAGTCGTATTCGCCAAACTCATATAAACGGGCCCTGAGATCCATCGTGTAGACGTTGGCAAGATGTCGCGATAATCGTCAACACTGGAAACCGCAAAATTAAATTTACGGTCCTTGGCACATACAACTCTCCACTGCCGCACAAAATGCCATCTTTTCGCGCTTTGGCAGCCGCCGTCCTTCTGCTCGTCCCGGGCTGCGTCCAAGGGGCGGCCGTCCACTCGAGCCCGTGCAACAGCCACGCTCACGGTGGTGGTCATGGTGGTGGTGGCAGAGGCGGTGGTCAGCGGAACGGCAACGTGACGCACTGCGGCACGGATTTTTGCACGTGGTGGCACACGACCGGTGAGATCAACACGTGGACGCCGGTGAAGCCGGGAAACGTGCGCCAGTCGCACCGCTACTCAGTAGAGGTCGGCCAGGCCGGCGCCAACACCTTCTACGACTCGTTTGTCTACGAGGCCATCCCGCGCAATGGCAACGGCCGCATCTACGCACCGACGGATGCGCCCTACAGCAACACATTGAGCGCCACCGTAGATGACGGAATCTCCATCGAGCCGTCCATTGGGCTCAACATGGCGTGGTCGCAGTTCGAGTACAGCCACGATGTGGACGTGCGCATCACCACCATCGACGGCTCGACGCTGGGCGGCGCCGGCAGCGTGACCATCCGGCCGACGGCAGACAACCTCGCGGTGCGCGACGGCGGCGATGGCAGCGTCATCATCCGCGTGCCAGCAGCAACCAACGGCTACCGCTTCTCCGTGGAGTTTGCCAACGATCTGTACAGCTTTCGGTCCAACGGCTCCGACTACGTGACGTCCGGTGGCAGCGTCGTGGGGGTGGAGCCGACAAACGCGCTGGTCATCTTTGCCAGCCCGTTCCTGGCCGCCAGCGACGTGCCCAGCATGACGGCCGCCAACACGCACACGATGACGCCGGGTCCCATCAACAACGGCGACTGGGGCAACAAGCCCATCCTGTGCTTTCCCCCGGGCGTGTATTACATGAACCAGGACCAGTCTGGCAACGTGGGCCAGCTCGGCTCCAGCCACATGCGCCTGGGCAGCAACACGTACTGGGTGCACTTTGCGCCGGGCGCGTACGTCAAAGGCGCCATCGAGTACGTTACGACCGCGGCCAACTTCTACGCTACCGGCCACGGCGTGTTGTCTGGCGAGAACTACGTGTACCAGGCGAACGCGGCCGAGGACTACGTGGCCATCAAGAGCGACACGACGTCCCTGCGCATGTGGTGGCATAACAACCTCGTGAGTGGCCAGACGTGGACGTGCCAAGGACCAACGATTGCGGCACCGCCGTTCAATACAATGGACTTCAATGGCAACAGCGACATCAGCAGCCGCATCAGCAACTACAAGCAGGTCGGTGCCTTTTTCTTCCAGACCGACGGCCCCGAGATCTATACCAACAGCATCGTGCACGACGTCTTCTGGCACGTCAACGACGACGCTCTCAAAATATACTACTCCGGCGCATCCGTGTCCCGCGCCACCATCTGGAAGGGCCACAACGACCCCATCATTCAGATGGGCTGGACCGTGCGCAGCATCAGCGGCGTCACCATCGACACCCTCAACGTGATCCACACACGCTACAGCAAGTCCGAGACGGTCGTGCCGTCGGCCATCATCGGCGCCTCCCCGTTTTACGAGGACGGCATGACCGTCAACCCGAACGAATCCATCTCCATTTCCGTGTCCAACATTGTCTGCGAGGGCCTGTGTCCCGCGCTTATGCGCATCACGCCGCTGCAGAGCTACACCAACGTCAAGGTTACCAACGTCTCCTTCCCCGACGGCCTGCAGACCAACAGCATTGGCATCGGCGAGAGCCTCATCCCCGCTGCTAGCGGCGTCACCATGGACTTGATCATCTCCAACTGGACCGTCAACGGCACCAAGGTCAACATGTCCAACTTTGGCAGCACCAATCTGGGCCAATTTGACATTGATGTCAGCTACCTGGGTGAGTGGGAGATCGTCTAAGCAGGCGACCTTACGTTCAGCCTTTTGAATAATGTAAGATGAACCGGCCGTCTCAGCCGTCGAAAAATGAAGAGCGGGCTAAGAAAAGTATATATATTCTCTTTTGTCATGACATAAAAAACACTGCCTTTGACTGTTTCCTCGGAATTTTGCAGACATCCGCATTCACGCTCAAAATATTCGGATTCGATTGTCTTTTGCGAACTAAAAACATATTGACAAGATATAATCTGGTTGCTCGTTCTAGGGTTCGGTTCTAGCCACTTGGGTATTATCCTCGTCGGCGGCGTTTATTTGACGAAGTCTGTACGCGGTGCCACCTTCAAGCTGGTTGACACGGGCGCGCAATGCTTCATTCTTCTTGCAACGATTATCCGTAACCACACCGCCATTAAAGCCGTTAAATTCGTGGCTGCTTATTAGTTAAAAAGAGGTAACGTTTATGTTACAAAGAGCACACTCCTTAAGGGAAGAAGCGTAATCCTTGTTGGGTGATTTGGCCAAAGGGGCTTGTTCGTAAGACAGTGATAAGGTGTAACGGTCGAACCTACTCAACACGTCTAACAGGGGTGTTGCCAGGAGTTGTTGGATAGGTAGTCACAATAGAGGCTTAAGAGAGTAAGAATAGTGGTCGAGGGCGAAGATAGGTATGGTATTGTTACAAGACTAAATCTTGCCTCCTCTCTCTTCGGAGAGAGGAGCTGGAAAGTGCCCCTGACAAGCCTCACTTTCCAGGAGAACCAACCACCATACAATTGAGTACAATAATGATACCTAGGCCTAGTGCTTCTGTGATCCGTACCCTACTCTGGAAGAGCCCGTAAGTCGACACTACGTGTCGTGAGCAACTCTAGGGACGTACGGTTGGAAGCCACAGGGATCAATGTCAACACGTGCGTGGACGTCGTGGCCGACGCTGGCAGAAAAGCAGCGAATGAGGCGTTGGTCTGTTATAACAAACTCAGATAAACAACAGAAATGAAGGACTCGGATCTTCTGAGCCACAAACAACGACATCCCGTACACAGAAAACTAGATTGATCACCTAACAGAGCCGCCATGCCTCCAGGGATAGTGCCTTCGTAACACAACCGCTTCGGTCGCTGGGATAGGCTACCAAAATCGAGCCCATTCAAAAGTAAAAACTAACAACTATAAGTAAATAGTACCTCGAAAGGACAAACCCCTCCACTGCAACAGCCGCCAAAAACAGCGGCCTGCGCCAGACAAAAGTGGCGGGCACAACAGCGCTTTCTCGCTTTAGTGTGTAATTAATCGTCTCTGTGTGTTTTTTTGGTGGAGGTGGTATGCTGTTTTACGAAAGCTAACAATAATCAAAGTATCTTCATGGAATGCCTCTCGATACGAAAAGGGCCGAGAAGGGAACAAGATAGCAGACCCACCGGAATCCAGCAGTCAAGGTGCGACGATCCGAGGTTCCGCCACCACGCCATACGAGAGTTTGGTAGAGGCGGGACCAGGTAGATCATCTTCCCTGGAACTGAGGTTGCATTCAATGGGAGAAGCTTATTTCTTGCTGTCGATTTTAACACGTCACATGCTGGCTCATATGGTTCACGACCTGCAAGGCACCTGCAATTGATTTTATGTGCGTGGCTATCTTGTCACAGGCATGGTTTTCGTTTACGAATATTGTATTTTCCATGAGAGGACATTGTGCCCACCACCATTTAGCCACGACAACGACTGGTTTTGACCGGCAATACCGGCCCTGACTTGGAGAGCATCGTACAGCGACCAGCGTCCAGCACTGCCCTCAGCCTAACTCGTTCTGCGCCGGACCGTGACATCCGTTCTGTAGGAGAGATCGTCGGATGGTAGCGCTTTGAAACGTAGTCGAATGTTGACGAAAGAAGACAATTGACATTTCCTTCGACTTCCATTTACCTGATACTCGATCGTTTATAATAATTTCCGACTTTCGTTTATCTCATATTCATTCAAATTTAATAAACCAAACTATCGCTACCCCGTGTCATAATATCGCCTACGTATGATATGATATACAGTCAATGCAACAGTAATCGCGTAACAAACGTAAACAGTTTGTATATCGAAGCTTGGCTCTAGTCTCCAATGCATCGGTATCTGCAATACATTGAATAATGTGGAGGTATGAAATAATTAAGAGTGCACAAAATGAAGTGTAATGTTTATTCTTTCCACGATCTGCCGAAAGGAATCCAAGACGCAAGAGGACGAAACAAGGCATGTGGGCGACGGATCAATTGTGCCTGTATTCCTTGGGCTTGGACGTGTTAATTCGTCGTTGAGAAGAATCTTTCGGTCGGTCGGAAGGCAACTCCACGACCAGATCGGCTTCTTCCCACCAGCGATGTGTTGCCAGGGGGTCTTCTGTGGCGTCGTGGGAAAGTCAGGGCATTGTTCCGCCGAGAGAGGTGGCACTATGGCTGTGCCGGCTCGCAATGAACAGACATGATATGGAGCCACAGCGGAATCAGCAATCAGCGGGCGTGGGGAGCATGCGAGACATGACACCAGACTGCATGGCTACGTCAGATGACAGCCGACAGGAAAAGCGACGGGCCACGTTCGCCTCCCCCAAAGCGGAAGTCCCCAGGTTTTCTGTCGGCTTGTTCCTGTATAGTAGCGTGGTGTTATAGCATGGCGCGCATCAATATAAATTGACAGCGCCGTTATAGGCTGAACCCCAAAAGATAGATGCCCAAAAAAGGCAAGACGAAAGAGGTAAGAGGAAAAGGGGACAACACAAAACTCGGCCTGGCCTCTGGTCAGCCGTGTCGTCTGCAACAGCCGAAACTCGGTTACCATGCCACATTGTTCGACCGATGGCCGAGGGCCCGCCTTCACAAGTCGTTCCTCTGCATCCTGCTTCGCTTCCCTTCTCGGCACATCAATTTGGCAAGCTTTTCAAGCCTTTCCCCAGGTCCCCCCATCCTGCTGCCCCCAACATCCCCAATATCCAAAAGTGACTGTGGTTCGCCAGCATCCAATATGGCGACCGGGGTTTTTTTATCCGTACCTGCCTGGCCTTGGCACAGCATATGATGTCTGGTCGGCATATCCCATCGTCGATCCCAGTGGTGGGAGATCTCGTTGACGGAAAGACACGACCGGGCGACAGAGGGACGAGTGGATCCTCTTCTGCATCCGTCCAACGTGTATCTGTCGACTGTACGGGCCCGGTTGTGCTTTGCATGAATGGTACCATAGTGCCTATGTGTGAAGTAAAATAAGCATGGGCCAAGCCTTGGACCCGATTCGAGTATAGAGTAGCAGTAGCCTCGTGGACTTTGAAAAGTAGATATGCCCTGGCCACGAACGCATGAGCGTCGAAATTCTGACTGATTGCTGGTTCGTTTTGTTCGTTTTGTTCTTTTCCTTCCCCTTTCCTGGTCGGTCTCTTAAGGGCAGAGCACACAGCACCCTCCACGTTCAAAGGGCCAGCCCTGGGAACGAGCCTGCCCTGTCATCTCTCGTTTATACTTGGTTCGTCTTTGCCAATCATATTCATCATGATCTAATTGTATTTCTGCCTTGTTATTCGTCCATCACCGTCGCTATCTCATCGTGTTCCATTTTCCCACACATTATACAGAGTCGATTTGTTTCGTTGTTGCTTGTTTTTCTTTTCTTCGTCGCTCTCCTATCATAGATTCTAGGGTTGCATCGTGCTCAGCCTTCGGGCCGTGACCATGGCGGCACCTCGCGCACACCGTAATGATACAAGCTCCAGCTCCGGCTCCCGCGACGACATCACGCCCGTCGATCAATATACCGAGTTTGTTGATCTCGAGAAGAACCTGAGCGACGCCAACACGCCGTCGTCGCCCACGCCTGCGATCCTCGAGACGGAGCTCTTCTCCGTCAAGTCGTTCCAGGACGACGGCATCACGCTCTTCTCGCCGCACTCGACGCCCGAGTTGGCCCTCGCATGGCCGCCCGGCTGGACGAAGGAGACGGCCGCGGATGCTCCGGACCACGGTCGCCGAGGCAAAGTGCTGTCGAAGCGGCCGCCCGCCAAAGGGTCCACGCCCAAGACGGACTCCAAAACAAAGCCCGCCAAGCCCCAGCCCAATGTGGGCCGTTGGCTGCGCTTCCGGCTCTGGCTCAACACGTACCGCGGCTTCTTTATTTTCGTGACGCTGCTCAACCTCGTCGGCATCGTTCTGGCCGCCACGGGCCACTTTCCGTACGCCGACAACCACCTGGGCGCGCTCGTCCTGGGCAACCTGCTGTGTGCCATTCTCATGCGCAACGAGCTGTTCCTGCGCTGCCTGTACACCCTCTCCATCTACGGCCTGCGGTCCTGGGCGCCCGTGCGCGTCAAGCTGGCCGTCACGTCCGTGCTGCAGCACGTCGGCGGCATCCACAGCGGCTGTGCCCTGTCGGGCGCGGGCTGGCTGCTGTTCAAGGTCGTCGACATTGTGCTGCACCGCGCCGTGCAGCCCGACTCCGTGCTGGCGACAGGCGTCGTCACCAACGTGTGCGTCATGGTGTCCATTCTGAGCGCGTTCCCCTGGGTGCGCAACAACCACCACAACACGTTTGAGCGGTACCACCGGTTCATCGGCTGGCTGGGCCTCGCGGCGACGTGGGTCTTTGTGATTCTGGGCAACACGTACGACCTCAAGCTGGGCGCGTGGCGCGCTGACGCACACTCGCTGCTGACGGCCCAAGAAATGTGGTTCGCCGCCTTCATGACCATCTTGTACGTCCGTTTTGTCGCACAGGATTCCTACGTTCTGTTCATTTATGTGTTCTTGTTTCCCACTAACCACTGTAGCGTCATCATTCCGTGGGTCACCCTCCGCGAGGTCCCCGTCGAGGTCGAGCTGCCGTCGCCCAAAGTGGCCATCCTGCGCTTCGAGCGCGGCATGCAGCAGGGCCTGCTGGGCCGCATCAGCCGCACGTCCCTGATGGAGTACCACGCGTTTGGCATCATCAGCGAGGGCCGCACAGCCGGCCACCACTTTATGATTTGCGGCGTGCAGGGCGACTTCACCAAGGGGCTCGTCAGCGACCCGCCCAAGACGGTCTGGACGCGCGAGCTCAAGTTTGCCGGCGTCGGCCACGCGTCGGCCATGTTCAAGCGCGGCATCCGCATCTGCACGGGCACGGGCATCGGCGCGGCCCTCTCGACCTGCATCCAGAGCAAGAACTGGTTCCTCATCTGGATCGGGTCGGACCAGGAAAAGACGTTTGGGCCGACCATCACGGGGCTGATCCACAAGCACATTGAGCCCGAGCGGATGATCCTGTGGGACTCCAAGAAGCGCGGCGGGCGCCCAAACAGCGTGCAGCTGCTCAAGGACACGTGGACGAGCTTTGGTGCCGAGGTCATCTTCATCACGTCCAACATGCAGGGCAACGATGAGATGATGCAAGGCTGCCGTGAGGGTGAGTCATTTTCTCTTATATGGCCTTTTATTCTTCACTCGTTTTACAAACTGACACAATGACAGCCGGCATGCATGCTTTTGGCACGCTCTGGGACTTCTGAAACGGGGTGTGCACACGACACGGCCAAAGCAGTACTTGTTCTGCTACATGGGGATGGAAGCATTGTTGTTTGCATTTTATCTTGGGACGGAGACCAGCATATAGAGGCTCGAAAGACAGACGAAGCGCTGTGAAAGGTGACTAAGATGGGCGTGGGACGCAGGCAACCAATTCCACATTTGCATTAATATATACATCATGGAATCCATCTGCAACCCAACCAAGCTGGGAGTGTCCATTGGGAGTATCCGTTGGGAATATCCGCCCGTCTATGGCGCCACAAACAAATCACCCAGCCAAACGGCCATGCGTGCCACCATTTCCTTTGTGCAGCTATGCCCTGTATTTTCCTGGACGAGCAGGTCAATGAGAGGTGGCTTGTCGTCGGCATGTCCGGGCACGTACGGCGGCCGCACCACGTCGCTTGTCGGGGCCACGCCGCGGTCTCTTGCCCACGCGGCGGTGTACTTGGCTGGCACAAGCCCGTCGTCGGCGCCGTTGCAGAGCAGAACGGGTGTGTCGGCAGGGAAGGCATGGGCAATCTGCTGGTCTTGCCGGGCCACCAATGCGGCCAGCGCGCGCGGCCAGCGGGCCTGTTGCCGCTCGTCTAGGTCGTCATACGCGTCCCCTGCCGCGTCCGCGGCCTTGTCGTCCGTCAGCCGCCCCACGAGCAGCGACGTCAGATTCGGACACCCGACCACCATGGCATACCCGGCCACCTGCCCCGGCGGGGCCTGTGCCGCCAGCCGCCACGCCGTGTGGGCCCCCAGCGAGACGCCGGCCATGACATGGTGCAGCCGCCGAAACTGGGGGAGGTACACGGGCAGGTAGTCCATGACCAGCCGAAAGTCTTGCACGCCGCCGTCAATCAGCGACAGCAAGTCCATGGCGTGGCGCTCGTTGCCGGCGGCCCACGTCCGGTTGGCGGCCGGGCAGATCTCGCGCTCGCCGTGGTTGCGCATGTCCATGGTGACGGCGATGAGGCCCATCGTCTTCGGCCGCGGATCGGTGCGGTGGCGGTGGAGCAGCTCGTGTGCGATGCCCTCGGTGACGCGGTAGGTGCGGGTTCGGTTGTGCGCGAGGTAGAGGACGGCGACGTCTGTGGCCGTCGCTGCACAGGTGTTTGCTGGCGGCGACGATGACAGGTTGTCGAGTCCGTAGACGTAGATGCGGACGCCACCAATCACCAAGGAGGTTTTGCTGGACCGCGGTGTTGAGTCGGGCAGCGAGAAGCGAGGGTTGAGGCCGGCAGCCTTGTCCCGCAGAAGGCTGTCATCGCCATTTGGTATACCGTTGGTGCCGTCGGTGCCGTCGGTGCCGTCGGTGCCGTTGGTACCGTTGACTCCAGTCACATTGCTGGCTGTTCCATTGCTTGCATTGGTCGCGACCTTGACCGTCTCAACAATGGTGACTGCCATGATGCCGTCCCAAGACTGCTTGCCGCTGTACGGCTGACGTGTGCAAGGATAAAACTTCAAGTGCAAAGTTGGTCAGGTGCAAGTCTCGTCAAGTGAAGCAAAAGTATGCAGCAGATCGGGCCTCTAGACGCTTGGCTCGGGACCAGGCCGGAGCAGAATGGGCAGTCCGAGCACTGGACCTTGGCATCCACGGCCGGGTAGGCGGCATGTCGTACATGTAGTTTCTTGCAAAGAAAGCCACAATGAAGTGAAGGATAATACGACGGATTTGCGTTGCATTTGGCCTGTAAGCTGCAGTGCACACAAAATTGCCGTATTTGCCGGTGTGCAGTGTCGGCAATTAGTGGCAAACTTTGGGGGCACTCGACTTATATGTATTTACCGAATCGGTAATTAGTGGATTTTCCGTGGTCAACAAAGACAACGGCAACGCTATTTGTGTGGTTCTGATCCTGTTGCGACGTTGAACCGTGTCTCCTTGTGTTATTTTCCCTGCTATCTACACAGTATTTACATATCGTGTGTGCTAGTATCCAGTTTTCCTCCCCATTACCCCGGCTCTGTCCACCTGTCATCTCCCGTGCGCCCCCAGCTTTCCCCGGATCATCGGCATACTTACCTCCTACGGCAACCTTCCCTTCACAAGTCTGTCAATGTGTGCTTGGCAAAAAAGTCCAGAATCATGGGCGTCGCGTTGAAGCTCGTGGGTGCTTGGCCGGCATTTTGGTTGTCGGCGTTCGGCTGCGTGCTCGGCCAGTCGTGACCATTGACCCTGTCGTAGACCAGGTTGACCAGGCCTTTCTGGGTCCCACGGCTGAACTCGTAGATGACCGTGTCCTGGGCGTACGGCACCGTGTGGTTGCTCGCTCCCAAGTTCTCCCGCGCCGCCCACGACTGGATCCAGTGCGGCACCGACGGCAGACACGCCTTCTTTCGCTCGCCGCCGCCGTACGCAATGACGGTGTCCGCGCCGCCGTGGAACGCCAGGAGGGGAATGTCGCGGCGCGCATTGTTGCAGGGGATCGCGACCGTGTCGGCGTCGCAGGGCAGCGTGTCCACGTAGTAGGCACCCGACACGGGGGCAAAGGCGGCAATCCGCGCGGACAGACCGGCATCGCAGGCCAGCACGTTGCAGAACCCGGCGCCGTCCGACTTGCCGGTGACCATGATGCGCCGCGTGTCCACACAGTATTGTCGGGACACGTGGTCGAGCAGGTCGCTCGTAAACTGCACATCGTCCACGGTGACGCCCGGCACGCCCTGCCAAAAGTTGTTGATGCCCTGCGGATAGACCACAATGGAGTCGGTGTTGAACTCGGGCAGCGTCAGATTGTCGAGCTCCAGCTGCTGCAGAGCGGTCTTGGTGCCCCCGTGGAACGACAGGATGACCTGTGTGGGCTTTTTGTTTTCGTAGTTGGGCGGCACAAACACCAGGTAGTTGCGGTCCAGGCCATTGCTGGTGATGCTGGCGTTGGTGACAGCACCGCGAGACTGGCCGTACGGGAGGGCCTTGTGGCAGCCGGTGACTGCTTTGGTGGTGCACGGTGATGCAGTGGCCATCGACAAGACGCCGACCAGACAGGCAACCATTTGCAGGGAAAGGGTGAACATGGTGATGAGCAGATGTGCAAAGAGCGTGTCAACAATAAAAGAAAGCCGTGAATACGCAAGGGCACTCGGCTGGTTTCGATTCTCTTTACATGTTCACAGTCAGACAGACGAGCTGGCGATGCATGCCAATAAATACGTTAGCTATGCAGCATCAGCGTGCAGAACCAGCAGGCTGTGCGTATTGCTGCAGATTCTCGTCTTATTTTAATTAGTTTTAATTTTTTTTATAAACATTCAATCCTAATCTTACTCCACGTCAGATTCCCCGCACCCAAGTACTACCAGGATACGAGCATTAGACGTGGAGTCCGTGTGCGCAGGTAGAGATCATAATTACCGAAGAGGCATATTTGAGTCTGAGCATTGGATTTGCCGTATGAGCACGGTGCGCTTACCGCAGACATACATTGCGAAATATTCCGTCGTAGGAGTTTATTTTATAAACCAGAGTATACGTTCAGGTCTGTCGCCATCGTTTAAAACGACTGGGTGCCAAAGTAGAAGATGGTACGATGCCATGTGATAGACGGACGGGCCACGGGAGTTGAGCATCAACCGTACCTGTGATGATGGTGGCCGTGATGGCCGCCAGCCTCCAGCAGAGCTGTTTGTCAGAGGGGAGCATGGGCAGAGTTGGAGGATGAGGGGAAAATGCCTATCAAACCGAGACTAATCAGGCTCGAGCCCGAGTTCCAAGCAATCGGGTTGAACGACACGGCCCAGAACGGCCGGATGGCGTACGACGTCGGGTCAAGGTCTTTGTTGCCCTATTTTTTGGTGCCTTCTGCTGTTCACGACATATGCTCTCCAGGGTCCGCAGAGCCTTGTCGATTTTCGTAAAAACGAACATGATGGCTGCTACGGTGAGAATCAGGTAAGTGTTGTGCTATGCTGCCGTTCTCGATGCACGGTGCAGTACGGCGACAGAGTACATCGGGCAGCTCCCTCTGCTAAGCACACAACTATAGTTTGCGGCATCCTCTCAACGGCATGTGGGCAACTCGCAGGCACATTTGCTTGCTGCCGGCGTAGCTGGTCTCTCTTATGTCGGACTGTACAGGCGGCCAAAGTTGGGAAATGAATCAACAGCAAAGCACAACGAGTGAGGAAGCCACACCAACGGTAAAAACAAAGAAACAATGGCGGACAAAAAAGGAATGAAAGTCAAAGTAAGAAATAACACACAGAGAAAAAATAGGCGTGCTCCAGACGGTAGCTACAGAAAGAAGCTCTTATCTCTGTTGGGCGTCAGTGTCTCATCGGATTGCCGCTTACGGCTTATCATTTGCATCGCCGATACGGTCCAATCCAACACCCCGGCCTCGGTGACATCCTGCACTCTGGGGTGGCCACGTCCTTTGTGCGTACTTTTCTTGTCAATCTCTGCGTATGATCGTCCCGTCTGAATCGTCTACAGACGCCCACCATCGTCTATCTTGTCTACATCAACTACCACATCACAGCACATCATGGCCGCATCACACAACCCCGACGGAAGTGCCGCCTCCCTCGACGCCGCCAGCATTGATCCCCTCCGCGACACACAGTACGACTTCCCCCGCGACCACGTCGGCTACGGCCGCGACCCGCCCAACCCGCGGTGGCCCAACGGCGCCAAGATTGCCGTCTCCTTTGTTATTAATTACGAAGAGGGCGCCGAGCGCAGCGTGCAAAACGGCGATGCCCAGTCCGAGTCCCGCGCCTGGGAGCATTCGGACAGCAAGCCCCCCCAGGTCGGCGCCCGCTCCCTGAATTCGGAAAGCGAATACGACTATGGCTCACGCGTCGGCGTGTGGCGGCTGCTGGCATGCTTCGAGGCGCACCAGATGCCGGTGACGGCGTTTGCGGTCGGGCAGGCGCTGGAAAAGAACCCGGCGGTGGCCGCCGCGTTCGGCCAAAACGGGCATGAGATTGCATCGCACGGGTACCGGTGGGTGACGTACCATGGGATGACGCCGGCGCTCGAAAAGGCGTACGTGGAGCGGCAGCTCGCGTCCTTGAAAGCGAGCACGGGCCAGTACCCCGTTGGCTGGTACTACGGCGCACTCTCGCCCTGGTCCAAGGCCATCATCCACGCGGTCTACCAAGAACAGGGCCTTCCCTTGCTGTACGAAAGCGACAGCTACTGCGACGATCTGCCGTACTGGGTGGACGTCCCGGCCGAGAAGGACGTTGCCGACCCGCAAGGCATGCTCATGGTTCCGTATTCGTAAGTCCGGAAGCAGCTCGCCTTCGCATCTATCCGACTGTCCGAGTTGGGTTGGCATCAATCGTTACCGCAACTGACATCGACAGCTACGACTGCAACGACGGCAAGTACCACACTGCGTCCGGCTGGAGCGCGCCCTCCGACTTTGAGGCGTATCTCAAGGCCGCCTTTGACGTCCTCTACGCAGAAGGCGAGCGCGGCGCTCCCAAAATGATGTCCATCGGCCTGCACTGCCGCATCAGCGGAAAGGCCGGCAGGTTTGCAGCGGTCCGCAACTTCGTCGAGTACATCTCTGCGAAACCGGACGTCTGGGTCACCACGCGCAGGGACATTGCCAAGCACTGGCGAGACACGTTTCCGTACAAAAGAGGGACATTGTAAGGATGAGGCATTATTGAGCAGTAAGCAATATAGCAATAGCATATCTACTCCGTAAGGGCTGCCTTTTGGGAATGGCCGAATTGGGAGTACGTCAACGGCGTGGCCGAGGAAGACTTCCAGTTCTACCCACCGTGCTCCAATAACGAAAGGCCGATAAACAACCGTGGCATCGTCCCGCCCTCCTTCATCGCGACACAACGCCGTACCAGATCAGACCCATCACAGCGCCCGCGAGAATCGTCACAGGCGGACTCAGCCCGTACCAGCGTCCAAACACAAAGCTCGTCACCGCCACCACCAGCCACCAGGGGTCGTCCCCAAGACTCTCGCCCTGCTGGGCCGACTGATTCAAGTAGCCGGCCTGCCAGATGCGGTACACGGCCGTGTAGATGAGACCGACCGCCCCGGCATTGACGCCGCGCAGCATGGCCTTGACAATGCGCCGGCTGCGAATCGCGCTCCAGACACCCATGGTCCCGTGCACGAGCATCATACCCGGGGCAAAAATGCCCAGCCACGCAACGACAGCGCCCAGGACCGAGCTGGCCCCGGCATTGATCGCCGTCAAGCTGCCGAGAAACACGGCAAAGTTGAAATTGGGCCCCGGCATCGCCTGGATGATGGCGAGGCCGACCAGAAAGTCCCGCTGGCTGACCCAGCCCTCGGCGACCACGTACTCGCGCAGCAGCGGGATCACGACGGGGCCGCCGCCAAAGATGATGGTGCCGGCAAGGCACATGTTGGCAAAGAGGCGGTAGAGGAGCGGCGGGGCGGCGAGGGTGCCGCGCAGGACGACCACCACCAAGAACATTGTGAAAAACGCGGCAATGAGGGCGGCGCCCGTCCGCCAGGAGACGTTGATGCGAAGCGGTTCGGGGATCACGCGCGGCTCGTCGTCTCTCGTCGAGGCCAGCAGGCCCGGCTGCGATCCGCTCCGCTGTGTCGCCTGCGGCGATGGGATGGTGGTGATGGTGTCATCACCGCCTCCAGCAGACGGAGTGTTTGCCGGCGGCTCGTTCGGACTCTGATTCTGCGCCTCGCCCAGTTCCGTTGCTCCCGTCTCGGGCTCTGGATGTGCTTCGCCGTCGCGCCGCCGCCAAAACGTCGCCACGTGCACGATGGCCTTGACGGGCTTGTGCAGCCAGCGGAGGTCGTATGTCAACGTTGCCAATCCGGAGGCAATCATGAGGACGGGAAAGTACCACAGGGCATTGTACAGCGTCCCCGCCGAAGCCGTGAAGAACACGAGCAGCCGGGTGAGCTCGTCGGTGATGGCCTTGGTCGCCAGCTCGACGGTGGCGAGGGCAATCACGCCGACGACCGCCGCGTTGATGCCCGACAAAAGGGCATAGACGATCCCGGGAAGACTCTGGTTGATGTTGGCGACGCCGAGGGACAGACCGAACATGGCCAAGGCGCCCGGCAGGCTGCATATTTCGTGAGCAACACACTCCAACACAGAGATGATAAGACTTGGCAACATAGCCCTGGGTGAGATGCATACTTCCACATGATGAAGCCAAGAATCGCTATGGGGGTGCCTTGGTGGACGAGGTTAATGCAGTAGAGCATCTTCGTGCTGGCCGGCCCGGACAGGGCCTGCGCGACGCTGAAGAGCTCTTGGTACTGGAAGAAAGGCTATATCAGCTACTGTATAGGACATCAAAAAATGAGGGAACGATGCGCGCTGTCACTTACAAATTGCTCGTCGATCCATTGCTCCTTGCGCACAAACTTGTCGCGAAACTGCGACCCAGAAATAACAGTGTCAGTACACCTGCAGAAACGAATGAGATGTGTCGTAGTTCGTCGTCCGTCTTTCCTTCTTACAATCTTGAAATGCGCGGGCGGACCGCCGAACGATGTGAATCCCAGGTGCCAGTTCACGCGAAGGAATTCGCGCAGCGCTTCTGGAGACAAGCCCCGGGGCATGCGGCTCTGCCACGTCCGTATCGCCATCCTGGCAGTCTGTTGGCGGTTGGGACGATCTTGACCGGTTGTCCTCGTCGAGTGTTGTTACTGGGAAGGACGTATTTATTTGCCCGGCTTGTAAATGTCGACTGTACTAGCTATTTTGTCGTCATGGCTTGGCCTCTTGGCCTTCTTGGTTATCTCCGCCTGGTTTTTCAGGCCAACATGCGCCTCGTGGATTCACTAACTTGTTCCGTGCATCCTTTGCTTTCAGAGCAGAGAAAATGCTTCATCGGATACACGACTATTATCCAAAGAGTTGATAGACAGCGGGCGACCAAAAAGACATTGCGTGAATTAAGTACGATGAGAATAAACTCCCAATGGATGCATCCAGTGAGATTTAGATATATCAGCAAGTGTACGGGAAGGGCTAGCGGGTGCGCAAACTCTCAGATTAATATAAACAGACTCTTGCACCGACTTGTCCATGCTCAATGTTCTTCCGTCTTTCCTTCTTGTCTCTACAAGACATACCGGAAGTCCTCGTTCTGCTTGTCCGTCAGGTCCTCGTCAATCGTGTGCCGCCGCACACCGCCCGCCATGGCCAGCCGGTCCCGCCTGCGGTTCTCGAGGCGCAGCAGAATGTAGGCGACGATGGCGATGACCACGACGCAGACGAGGCAAATAAAGCTGCCCAGGAAGCCTGCATGGTACAGCGGGCCCGGCGACGCGCCGAAGATGAGGGGCCCGATAATGTTGCCGATGCAGTAGCCCAGGAACGTGGATGCACTGACGGTCGCCTTTTTGGTGTGCCCGGACGTGTTGGAGGCCGCCAGCGACACGGCCTGGCCGCCGGCCGCGACTTGCACGGCCAGCAAGAAGACGCCGGCAAACAGAAAGCCGCGGTTGCTGCGCGGCCCGAACCAGCAAAACAGCGTGCCCGTGATCGAGACGAGGGCCAGAGCGACAATGATGACGTGGCGCAGGCCCAGCCAGCGGCGCGTGACGTAGCCGGCCAGCAGAATGGAGAGGGCCGTGATGGCGCCAATGGGGCTGGTGAGGGCGAGCGACGCGAAATGGTCAAAGCCAAAGCCGTTGATGACAATGGTGCCGAACGTGCCGATGGCGCCCGACGGCACGCCCGTCAGCAGGATGATGAGGGCGCTGCTGTACGTCTTGTAGTCCAAAAAGGCCTCGCGGAACTGAGCGGCATTGAACTGCCGGCTGACGGTGCCGGCGTTGTTGCGGGCGAGCCGGCGCACGGCCAGGGCTTTTTCGTCGTCGCGGAGCCGCGCGCAGTTGAGCGGCGTGTCGGGCAAGAAGACGGCGAGGACAAACGACCACGCGACCGTCACGGCGCCAACGATCAGGAACATGTACTTCCACGGCTCGTGGAGGGCGCCGTGCACGCCGTGCCCGATGCCGTAGTTGATGAGCGGCGACAGCATCGTGGCCATGCCGACGCACGAGTACCACAGACTGGTGCGCAGGGCCTGCTCCTCGCGCGTCCACCAGAACGTGACGAGCACCGTAAAGGCCGGCGCGACGGCCGCCTCCATGATGCCCAGGAACAGACGCGCCACCATGATGCCCGCATAGTTGGAGCACGCGCTCGTGGCCATGACAATGGCGCCCCAGGCGAGGACGGACAGCGAGATGACGCGCGTGACGCCGAAGCGCTGCGTCAGGTACATTTGCGGGTAGGTGCCGATCAGGTAGCCGACATAGAACATCATGCTGGCGTTGGCGTACTTTTGGTTGTTGGTGATGGGGGTGCCTGTTTCGGTGTAGCCGACAATTGTCGTGAGACCGAGATCCGCATTAAAGTCAAACTGCGTGGCCGCGCTCATGATGCCCTTGTCGTAGCTCTGCAGAAAATATGTGACCATCATGAGAGGCATGATCCTGGCAAGTTAGCGTGGGCAGTGACAGCGATACGGGATGCATCAGCGGTGGCCTACCAAAAGTCAATCTTGCGGACGAAACGACGCTCCTCCTCAGGCGAGAAAAGCTCCGAGTCGAGGGCCTCCTCTTTGGCGTTGGCGGACTCGACCATCACGACAGGATCGGGCTTTGTGTCCGGCGTGTGCATCGTGTTGATGGTGGTAGGTGTGCAGTGGGATCCAGAGGAAGGTCGACAAAGGCAAAGAGGCAACGTGACAGCTCTGCGAGACTCAAGGTCTAATGTGCCGTGTCGTGTTATAGAGATCACGAGGTGGCCGTGTACTTATAGCTGCCGAGGTGCGGCAGGTGCAGCTCCGGGAAGGTGCAACCCACTCGGCAAATAAAGAGGGTAAGAAGAAAGAAACAGGAAGGAGCCAGCCAAGCACGGTAGACAGACACAAGTCCCGTCTGTGAGTCTGCGCGATCCCTCGTGTGACGCTGCGGGGTGTGCAACCCCGGACAAAGCCAGACGGGGACATGATGTGGACTCGGGCAGAATGGGATCGACAGCGAAAAAATGAACATCAAGAAAGGCACCAAGATCAAAAAGCAAGAAATCGTGGAGAACGCGGGGAGACGCTAGGGACTTGGCGGTAGCGGCTTCACTGGGGCACTGTTGTTAATTGCCGAATTTGCCGTAAATGGCCCCGGGCGCTCCTTCTTCAAATATGCCGAATGGCCCGCCATCTCCCTGAGTTTTAATACCTTTCCACAATTTACCGACAACGACCACAAGATCTGACTGCATGAGCTCAATGACCATGGATTCTGGCCCACCTACGCCCCGGGTGCGCGCAAGATCGCGTGTGGCCTGCGTGACGTGCAACCGCCGCAAGGTGCGCTGCAATGTGGCGCAGACTGGGCCGCCGTGCACCAACTGTCGGGACGGCAGTGTCGAGTGCGTCACAGTGCCTCGAAAGAAGCACAAACCAAGACGGTCGCGAGCGGCTCCGCTGGCGCCAGCCGTCAAGCCCGGTGTGACGGTGCCTCGCTCGCCGCCGGAGAGAGCACCTACCCTGGGGCCGTCTGGCGAGGCATCTCCCTCCCGTCTGACCCCCGAAGCGGACGGCCGGCTGCCCGACGACGATGCCACATCGTACATTGGCGACAACAGAGGGCCTCGCCAGTCGGTCTATGAGCTGTGTCATCCACAAACGCCACAGGATGCACGGCTGCCGGATGTTGCTGAAGGGCGAGACAACGGGGAGAGCAACCGTGCCAGCAGTCTGTGGGCGGCCCACGAGCTTGCCTATCTCCGCCACGAGGGCGCATTCCAGACATTGCCACCGGATCTGAGCGATGGCCTCGTGCGGGTCTACTTTGAGCACGTCCACTTCTTCATGCCCATCCTGGACGCCGCCGATGTGCTCAGGGCGCACACGCGCCATGGCGCTGCCGGACTGCATCCCCTGCTCTGCTGGAGCATGTGTCTGGCGGCGGCCAACTTCGTCTCCGACGACGTGCTCGCCAAAACCGGCTATGCGTCCCGCAAGGCCATGAAGCAGGCCATGTACGCGCGGGCCAAGTGCCTGTACGACCTGGACCGGTCGACGGACAAGGTGACGCTGATCCAGGCGGTGCTGCTCATGGGCTTTTGGTACACGGACGCCTACGACCACACGGGCGCCTGGCACTGGGTGGGGATTGCCATCAGCCTGGCGCAGTCGTTGGGGTTTCATCGAAAGCCGACGCGACGTGGACGCGAGGACGGTGGCGACAAAAACCATGCCCGCCGGGCCAGCCTCGTCCGCCGTATCTGGTGGACCTGTCTGGTGCGGGATCGCTGGGTGGCTCTTGCCAAGGGACGGCCGATGCGCATACACGACGAAGACTGCGACGTGCCACGCCCCGTGCTCGACGACTTTTCCGGCGACCTGGACGCGGCTGCCAGCCCGGCGTTCCAGCATCTTGTGCCGGCTGGGGGTGCCGAGACCGCGGCATCCCTCGCCCGCATGTGGCTGCGTCTCGTCACGATCAGCGCCCTGCTCGGCCGCATTGTGCGCGCCCACTACCGCGTGCAAGGTCTGCCGCCGTCGCTCGAGGACATGGACGCCTTTGAAAAGGAGCTTCGGGCCTGCGGGCCGTCGGATGCTGCAGCTGCAGACGACCCCGAGATGGCCGACCATCTCCGTCTCCATGCCAAGCACGTCGACCTCTTTTACAATGCCACCGCGGCCATCTTGTACCGGCCGTATCTCTTGCAGGCCCCAGCGTCCTTGCCTCGTGGTGCCAGTCCGGCATGGCAGCGAGACGTCGCCCGTCGTGCGCGTGCCGCCGCCGCCCGCACCAACGACACCCTCAACACCCTCATCGAGCTCGACGCCATCCACCAGCTCAAGCCCATGACCATCACAGCGCTCGTGCCTGCCATGCAGATCCACCTGTTTGATTTCTGCAAGGCAGCCACGCCGCTGCTGCGCAGCCTCGGCAAGAACAAGCTGGGGCTGTGTCTGCTGGTGCTTTCTCACATCCGGCGAACCTATTGGAGCGCGAGCGTGATCCACCGTCTGTTTTCACGGGCCCAGCAAATCTTGCAGCAGGGAGCGCCTGCGACGTCGGTGGCAGCTGAGGAAGTGGCGGACAGGCGCCCGACGGCAACAGAGACGGCACCAAAAATGCTGCCCGAGCCACGGCAACGAGAACAAAACATGCGAGAGAGATCACCTACAACCACGACCACACAACCCATCTGCTATGAGACACAACAGCATCCGCCTCCACACCAAGACGACACCATGCACAGTCACAGCAGCTACGACGCTGGAATGCCCACGCCAACACCCACCGTCACGCCAACATCGTCTGCCCAGCCCTTTGCGCAGCACTTCGTGCCCAGCCTGCACCAGAGCTTGCCACCGAGTCTACCGCACACACAACACATCCCGTCCAGTCTCCCACATCCACAACAGCAGCCTGCCCTTTCCCTACAACAGCCGGACGCCGGCTGGTGGGACGAGCCTGCCACGTTTTGGAACGTCGACCTGCTGCTGAGTCCCGGCTTTGCTCTCTCCGACGACGTTTACCAGACTCTGTTTGAAACCTACAGCGATGGCAGTCACAATGCGAACGCAACCAACACGGGCTCGAATGGGATGAGCATGGTGTATATGCAATGATGGGGACGACGAAAAATGATGTATGAATGACGGTGTGAAATTGTAGTCCATTTATTGGCCGAGTTTGTAGTTTGTCAATCACAACAAATTATCCCAACAATGGCAAATGGATATATCTGCAGCGTATTCATGTTCGAAAATGCTTTACACCATGACTCTCTTCTAGTTGTATAGTTTGACCTTCTCAAATACATCATAATTTGAACTCACATTCCCTTCTTGTCTGCCGTGGAATAACCACTTAACGCAGGGCTGACTTCGCGTTCCAGGGCGTGCATCCGCTAGCCCCGCCACCTTTAGTGGACGTCCAGTCCCAGGCACCACAATTTTGGGGCTTTAATTTCCTGGTCTCACTTGACCTCATGTCAACATCATAGCAACGCGCTTCGCAATTGTCGTCGAATTACCGTTTCGCACGTTACTTCATCTCCCGACAGAATACGCCGCCATCATGCCGCTCTCACAAACCACCCGCGACCGCATCTGGCTGGTCTGGTTCTGCCTCCAGATTCCCGTCATTCTTTGTAGGTCGCCCATCCCGCGTATACAAACTACCGCTCTGTCCACACAGCTGACACCTTAGGCGTCGATGCCGTCGACACCTACCCTGCCTGGCTGTGCGCCGACCCGGGCGCACCGCTGCACTTCTTGCACACGTTCCGGCAGTGGTATGTGACGACGTACAACGACCCGTTGATGGACTGGACGCCGGCCTCGGGCGCGGCCGTGGGCGCCGGCGGCCCTTGGATGACGCTGTTTCTGTGGATCGAGATAGCGGCGACGCTCCCCATTGTGCTTTACTCGGTGTACCGGTTTACGCGGTTGGCAACGGCCACGTCAACGGCAACGGCACCGTCCCACGCAGCGGCGTCCACCACGGGCCCGTGGGAGCTTCTGTTTCTTGTCTACGCATTCGAAACCGCGCTGACGACGGCCGTGTGCATCCACGACGTCGGGTACTGGAGCCCGGCCGTCTACTCGGAGGCGGACAAGAACGTGTTCCGCTACCAGCTGTTTGGGCCATACTTTGCCATGCGTGAGTTGCTTCGTCCCTACGTGCCTACGTCATTACGTCAGTCCGCTCACACAATGCAGCCGCACTCCTCTTTGTCGACATGTACAGTCGGTTGTTGGCCCGCTTCAACGTCGACAGCACCAAAAAGACACAGTAGTTGAAACAGTGAAGAAGGTGATACTTGGTAAAGGTCTAGAGATGTTACAGTAATTAAGACCAAAGTACAATACACGAAACCAAGGCAATCCAAATTAGCACCCGCTTGAACGCCCAAGGTCATCAAACAGACAAATTGACAGTGACAACAGACAAAAGACACGCAACTGTTCAACTGTTGTCCCCTCCCCCTAATCCAACGCCCGCTTCGGCACCATGCCCCAGCCGTTGCCCACTCCGCTGCCGCCCGTGCCAATGCCGTACCCCAGCGGCGTCGCCCCGCCCAGGCTCCGGCCCTTGAGCCGCTTCGGCAGCACCGTCCCGAAAAAGTAGACGGCCGACACAATGAGGCCGGCCAGAAACGACACCAGGCTGTAAAACACCGTGCTCGGCCCAATGTGGCTGCCCATGCCGCTCCACTCCACGCGCCCCTCCGTCTTGGGCAGGTGCGGCGTCGGGAACCACCGCACCGAAAACGACAGCGGCAGCGGGTCCCCGATAATGAGCCGCCGCGAGTGCTCCGCCGCCGCCGTGGTGCGCCCGCCCGTCGACCGCACCTCGCCGCTGGCGCCGTCCTGGACGTTGTGGCCCAGCGGGCTCGTGCTGTAGGCGACGCCCGAGTCGATGACGCCCGAGTCGTGCGGGTGGATGTGGTGCTTGGGCGTGCTGTGCAGCAGCACGTTGAGGTGCGACGCAATGTGCAGGTGGCTCATCTGCAGGGTGCCGGCGAGCGCAAACACGAGGGGCACGTACTCGGGCGCGTACGGGCGCTCGCCCATGGTCTCAATGTGCGGCGGCGGCCGGTTGGCGAGGCGGCACATGAGCGGCGCGTCGGCGTGCAGATAGAACTCGAGCAGGTGGAAGAAGGGGTCGGTGACGAGCGGGATCGTGCAGTTGACCTCGCCCTCGATGCCGTAGTGAAACTCGAGCGGCTTCTGCGTCTCGTTGCACACGGGGAACGGCACCCACTGGATCTCGTTGTTGGCCAGCTGGATGTGTTCGCCCGTCTCGGCGCTGCGGTTCATGCACTCGACATGGATGGCGTCGCCGTAGTGGTACGACGGGAGGTTGAGCTCCACGGCCGCGACAGAGGGCGCCAGGAGCAGAGCCGGCAGCAGCACCGAGGCTAGCCGTAGTTGTCGCGTCATTGTGTGTGTGTGGAAAAGAGGAGGGTGTTGTCGGAGACAAAGGAAGTTGGACCGGAGCCGTCGCGATGCGCCAGGGATTGGGATGTTCCCGTCGCAAAGAATCTCGTCGCGCGTTGGACCGTCCGCTTTGGACGTGCAGCCGAAGAGATGGTCGCTGTCAGGGGTCGAGTGGTTAGTTGCCAAACGGTCGCCTCCCACGTTCCAATCGCGCGTCGTCGTGGAAGCTTCGCAAAAATGGTCTTGTCGTCAGAAGCAACAATCGCAAATCGTAACGGGAAAGCAGCGCCAATGGAGAAGATGCCACCTTCCCTCCTTTTCTTGGCTTTCGAGGTCACTAGTCGCAAAATGTCTACAGTAGTCTAGCTTCAGACAAAAAGTCCCTGGAGATGCATGTGGTCACTGCGACTTAATTGGCTAGAATTGGCTAGCTTAGGAGGCTGCAGAATTGGAGCTGCAGAGTTGGAGCTGTCCCCTATTTTTTGCCTTTTGGGGGTAACCTCTGGCTTTAATGGTTGAACCACATTGTGGCTAGTGACAAAGGCTAATCAGACTGAACCATCGACCTCCTGAATGTCAACAGAAAACGACGTCGATTCTCTGCGTGTTGGTCATTTCATCATTGTTATCACTTTCGACACTTCTCTATAGTTTTGCGGTTGAGTTTGTTAAAGTACTACCCTTTATTTATGTGGACGAAGATGCCTTTTAAAGGAAAAGAAATGAAATGAAAAAAAATAAAAAAAATAAATCATAAAGTCAAAACAGTGTAAGTGAACAACAGTCTTTATTACCGTGGCAGTATTTCATTTTCAATACTGTCATCGCTTCTAATAAAAATACGTCTTATTTTAGAACAAATTTATTCTACAGTAACAGTCTCAGTGCTAGGTATTGTATCCATTATGTTAACGTGCCATTTCTTTATGCATCTCCAACGCAAACCTCAAATGAAATATTCAAACTGGATAAGTCGGTCTCCACCAAATCATACGGCAACAATTAAATGGAAATATATATGAAACAGATGCAAGCCATGCAGATATGCGCCCAACTCCACAGGCCCCAAAAACTCAAATAGAAAGGCGCGGAAATAGGGCTGGTTCGTCGGACAGGGAATAACGCACAGCGTTGCTGCCCCTACGCCTTCCTGGTCACCGTCACTGGCACCTCCTTCCGTGTCACCACGCCCGCGTGGTAAATGTATTTGTCGGCATCGCCGGCCCGCGTCACCGACGGGGTAAACGTGTACCCAGCCAGCAGTTGCTGCACCATGATGCAAATGGCCTCTTGGACGTACCACTGCCCCGGGCAGATGCGCGGTCCTTGCAGACCAAACGAGATGTTGCGGACACTGCCAATGGCCGGGCTGCTGTCGACAAAGCGGTCGGCGCGGTACTGGGCGGCATCGGGGCCAAAGCTGGCCGTCTGGCGGTGGGTGTACCAGGTGGAGAGCGTGGCGACCTTGCCGGGCGGGAGACGGACGGACGGATCCGAGCGCAGCGGCAGGGGCTTGGTGGCGGCAATGATGCGAGCGGGGCCCGTGATGGTGCCGCACAGTCGGATGGACTCGAGAACAGCGCTGCGGAGGAGGGCCCAAGGCGTACCGGACGTGCCACCTCCAGGGGCAGCACTGGCCGAGCCGTTGGTCTTGCCATTGGCCTTACCGTTGGCGGCCTGGGCGGCAAACGAGAACGTGTCGAGGGTCTCGAGGGGGGCATCCTTCAACGACGCCGCCACCTGGTCCGCCAGGCCCGGTTCGTTGATCAGGTCCAGCAGCGTCGACGTCACGCTGACCTGCAGGTTGCGCAGGCCGATCCAGACGGAAATGGCCACCAGGTTGGACGCCAAATGGTCGTCGTCGACGGCTTCCAAAATAAACGGCATAAAGTCGAGCAGGCCGCCTTGGCCGTTGCCGTCCTGGCTGGAGGCCGGGTCGGCACGGCGGCGTTGGATGATGGGCAAGAAGATCTTGCTAAACTCCTTGTAGCTGCGGTTGATCTGGATCTGCGGGATGAAGCTGAGGAACGAAGGGAGCACACTCGACAGCTGCATGACAGTGTCGACGGTGGTATTGAACTTGAGAAACAGGTCAATGAGCTCGGGGTGCTGGTCGGCGTCGGCGCCAAGCATGCAGCGCGCGCTGACACTCGTGCTGAAACGGTCCATCCAGCTGCTCAGCGTCTGGTGCACGACAGGGCGACCATCGCTCGGTGCCAGCTGGTTGTCCCGCAGGTAGCGCTCGGCAGCGGCTGCGATGGTGGGACCGAACTGGCGGACGGTGTCCGGGTTGCCCAGGTGCGTGCGGATGAGGGTGGCGTGCAGGTTGATGGAGAAGACGTCTTTCCCCAAGAAGATGGGTGCGCCGAGGCCGGCAAAGAACTTGTCAAGGTTGAAGTGCACGCCGTACGGGTTGTCGTCGAGCATCATTTGCAAGTCCGCCGGCTGTGACAGAAGATAATGCGTCTGCGGGCCGAGGTGCATGCCGAAGGCGTTGGACGGGCCGGCACGGCTGCCCAGTTTCTGGAGGCCTTTGAGAAGCACAGCCTTGGCGTCTTTTTGAAAGGCATAGCCTTCGCCTAGGATCGGCCAGCCATAGAGAACCCGCGGGAAACCGTCCTCGCGGTCTGTGGCGTACCGGATCAGGTAAACGGAGGCAGCAACGGCCAGGACCGTAGCAAGAATCGAAACGTAGTGCGCTTTGACGAGAGACAGCGTCACCTCGGTCGCCGTGGACGCAATCACGGCCAAGTTGACCTTGGTCGGCGGCTGGACGCACAAGACCGGGTTCGTCTTGGGGTCGGCCGGGAAGAGCGGGTGCTGTTGCAGGCACTTGATGTCGGTGTTCTCCGTGACGATGCGCCACAGCAAATTCTGCCCATGAGCCTGGAAGTCGAGCTCCTCCATCCAAAAGTCGTCATAGAAGCGGAAGTTGGGGAAGCCTTCCTTGGCGACGGGTTTCCAGAGCAGGTCTTCGAGCGCATTGCTGGGGTGGCAGTCCCACGGCTTGTCGACGAGCCAGCAGCGCATAGCGGCATAGCCCACGGAAAAGCGGTCGGCGTTGCCCATGCTGATCAAGTTGAAGAGGCTGACAATCAGCGACGACTTGGGCACGGACGTGGCCGGGAACATGGTCTCGTCGAGCTGGCAGCCGACGACGAGATCGACCTCGTCGGGCGACGTGTACAGCGTCTTGAGGGCGGCCAGATGCTCCGGGTTGGTGGTAAAGTCCTCGAAGCGCTCCCGGATGGGCACAGGGACGTCCGGCTTCTGGGCGTTGTACGCGCGGAAGTAGTTGTTGAACGTGGGCAGGCCCTGCTCCCGCTCGTGCACAATGGACCACGTCACAATGTCAAAGGGGCTGCCGCGGTACTTGCCGGCGGACCGGAACGACTCGTCGACGCCGCTCTTGAAGTTGGGAATGGTCGTCGAGACCACGCCGCGCAGAATGTTCTCGAGACCGGCACCAATGAAGCCCTTTGCGTCGAAGCCCGTGTCGAACAGGCTCTGGTTGTGCAGCGTGGTGCCGCCGGCATCGACAATGGGGAACTCGTTGATAATAAACTCGTGGAAGCGGTACACGACAGCCATCTCCGCACTCACAACGGTGGGGCGTCCGGCCTTCATGGCCAGCGGCCAGGGGTACGTGTTGGCGGGGTTCATCTGCAGCCAGTCTTCGCCATGGATCTCCCGGAAGAGGGGGAAACCGTCGTCCTGCGGCCACGGCATGTCCTTTTCAAAGTACGCCATCTGGTACGAGTTGCCAATGAGCTGGAACTTGGCCGACATGAGCAGGCGCGTCGTCTGGTACAACTGCTCGTCGTCCATGTCCGGCCGCTTGTCCGCCAGGATGCCGGCCAGCCGGTTGTGCTCGCGCAGGAGCAGGCTGTGCACGGCCAGCATCACCCAGTCCTCGTTGGTGCGTGGGTCACCGCCGGCAAAGAGCGAGGCCGGATCCATACCCGGGGGGCTCCGCACGGGCACGCCGATGGTGTCGAACGGCAGGTAGGACGTCTTCTTGCTCTCAGGGGCCTTCCATGTGGTGCCGCCAAGGACTTCCTGCGTCTTGAGACGGCCGCCCTGCTTGGTGCGCAGCGCCTCGCCCACGGAACGCGTGCTGCCGTACAATGAGGAGACGTCGATCCACGTCGTCGCGTGGTTCATGTTCTCGCGCGGGTTTTGCGGCGAGGTGCCCGTGCCGGGCGCGGCGGCGGCACGCCAGACGCGCAGCGTCGTGTTCGGCGCAAACTCGGTCTCGTCGGGCGGCATCGCGACGTCGACAAACTCGGTGGACGAGTCCTGGGACCAGGTCACGTCGTGAATGATAAACTCGATAAGACCCAGCAGGAGCGGCGTGTGCTCGTAGTAGATTGTGGAGTTGCGCCGGAAGAAGGCATTGCTGACGGCGCGGGCGTTGGGGCCCTCGCGGGGCGCCGCGATGCCGTCGGCGTAGTAGTGCTGGTCAAAGTCGCGCGACTTGGCCTGGCCGTAGCGGCCCTGGCCCGCTTCGCCGGCCTTGAGCCAGTTGCACGAGCCGTCGTAGGTGCGGTACCACCAGTTGGCCTTGTCGGTGATGCACGTCTCGTCGAGCTCGAAGCCGAGGTGCTTGAAGAGCTGCGTGGCCTCCAGAGCATCCCAGTGGTGCGGTGCGCCACGGCCGGTGTGTGGTTTGGACGGTGCATGGACGCGATCTTGGGTCCCGGCCGACTGCCGATCGGTCAGGTTCAGACTGTCCTGGATCGTCTGGAAAGAGGCATTCCTGGGCACCTGACCGCCGAGGAAGTAGTCTTTGAGCCCATCGCCGGCGCGGCCGTGCTTGACAATATCGTGAAACCAGTTCGAAAAGTGGTTGCCGGCCTTTTCATCACGGTGCGCTGGCCTGCGGCGGTCGGCAACAAAGTCGCCGTATTTGTTCTGTGTGGCATGGTAGCGCGTGTCGAGTGCCGTCACAGTCGACGACGACAATGTCAATGCCAGCAATGCCAAAGTGGCATGCATGGTGGGCAAGTGAAGGGCGGAACAAACTGAAAAGATAAGCGAAATGGGCAAACGGTTCTGGGTGACCCCTTGACCTTTAGTTCGGCAGGTACGTGACAGCTGATTAGGCGCGGAAGGAACGAAAGGAAGAGGATGAAAAATAAAAAGTACCAAACAAACAGAGCAAGTCCGTGCAATGCGAGAAGGAAGGAGCGAGGGAGGCAGGATATAAACATAAACGGAAAGTGGACCTTTCCAGCCCCATGGCGAGAACGTGATGAGTCGGGAAGGAACGACAGACGGGAGGAGGGTCAGGCGAGGGGCAGAACCGACGAGGACTGCTCAGCTCTGCCTCATCCTGTCACCAGGCCCCATCTCACAGATGTCCCATGTACCAAGAGCCAAGACATAACGAGGCCGTAAGGGGCACGAGGGGAGGGCGGAGGGCGGAGGGAGGGGGCGAATGGTGAGAGTGAGAACGGAGTCCTGTCGGGAGAAGTGGAGGGAGCGTTTTTCATTGGCCCACGGCCAGTGCGGCTGTGAATAGGAAAGTAGAAATGGGAACGAGACGTGCCAGAAAGGAAGCACTGATACGACGTTGGAAAGGCAGAGATGGGGTGGGACAGGGTCCGCGTGGGCTGGCATGGGTGTGGGAGGGACGGAGAACAACAATAAGAATGGGGGTGTGTGTAACGACGGCCGGTGGGATGCCTGGAATTAGCAAAGTAATATTGGCTGTCATATGTTACGAGGCTGCTTGTGTCGTCTCTGTTTGGTAATTTAGTCTTGTGGCATTTTTGGTTTCTGGACGGGTGAGGTCCTTTCCGCCTGCAACGTCTTGATGCACATTGAGTTTTCTTGCATATGCATTGCTATTCCGTGACAGCCATCAGCCGTGAGAGGAGGAGGCAGAGGGTCGGAGTGTTCTGTCTCAAAAAGATGTTGACAATTGTCGGGGGGGCGACTGGTGAACGACATCTAAAAACAATAAAACGAAGTGAAGCATGGTGGCTTATGGGGTATGAGAAACACCTTATCCCCTGTTCTCTCCCTAGACAACAGAAAACAGGTCGTACCAACTGCAAATCAAAATGAATGATATTCCGTACGAGCAGGGACAGTCGAAAAGAAGAGGGAACCTGGAACGGACACCACAAAAAGGGAGACAGCAACCACAGGACAGAGACGCCACGAAAAAGCCCAAGGGTGGACGTCCCCATATTGAAAGACACGCAATGTCGTTTGCTGTCACGCAAAACGGGCCGTAGAGTGGAGGGGCGTGGAGCGAAGTGGAGGTGGACGCAGGGGCCCTGGCCGTCGTGGTATTATTGTTGGAGGATCACGGACAGAAGCGGACAGTCCCGTTTTTGTTTTGGGTGCCATTTTCGTCAACGACAACCCAGCAGTCATTGATCTGTGGTCGCAGTATGCTGGGACGGCGAATTGCATCGTAGGTGTCTAGCGAGGCAATTCTGGAATTTACTTTTCTTTTCCTGCCTTTGCCAGTCACTTTTTTGTGTTTGTTTCATCACTTTTTTGTGTTTGTTTCCACCGCCATGTTACACGTCAATTTGACGGGACGAAATCTGCTGTCTTGGGCCCTCAGACCTGCTCAGTACCATTCCCTTTTCGTCGTCTCGTTCCCAGCTGAAGGGAGAGAAAACGGAAGGCTGCAGAATGTATGCCTTTGCGGCGTCGTGAGGAACCCGAGAAAAAAAAAGAAAAGAAAAGAAGAAAAAAAAACCGTTACCAGAGCAGCGGAAGTAGAAGAAAGGAAACGAAAAAAGAGATGAGCAGTCAGCACATAAGCATAGGGCTGACCAACCAGAGCGCAGAGGTTCCAAAATCGACAAGCACATCCTTCCTTCCCGAAGGCTTCGAGCCTCACTACGCTGTGAGATTTTAGGAACGCAAAAGTACACCCCCCCCCCCCCCTTGCGGCATCCGCCCATCCTTCAAAGCCACCCACTATCCACGCCTCGGACGGTTTTCAATGCGACGTTGTGATGGGCACAAGTCGGCCCGCGCCTGGCCAGAGGAGGTATGTCTCTGGACATGTTCAGAAAACCCCTTTATTTGGGGGTATCTGCGTCGCCTTCCTACCAGACAATTTTTATCTGTCATGTTCCGTTGACACGAGGAGATACAAACCCCACGTAAAATACGCTGTACTCGTTTTCATACCATAAAGAGTCACAAGCCGCCTTTCGCGGCAATGGGCAGCAGGCTTGGGGTTGCACTCTCGGGATTCACGGGACTGCTCTTTGGGTTGCCGTATCCCCCACGTAGTCGTCGTGCTCGGCATCCGTTCTGCGCCCAAGTCCATTGTGTTCTTGTTACTCGCGATTGCTCACAATCCCACACAGCACAAGGTGCCGCCTCGGGCATTTTCTCACAGGTTGCTGATCGATTGTCGGCGATGCCGTTGTATGTGAGATTCTCTTCAAATGTATTGTGCGCAACACGAAAACAGGACCCGGAGTCTGCTTGGCGCACGACAAACATATTAAGACTGGATAGCATTTTGTGGTCCCTATAATTGTGTGCGTTCCAGCGCCCCTTGTCCTTTGTCGTCCATCCATTGCTGTCCCTTGTTTTCTCCTTGTGGTGTTCCCACCCAAATTGCCTTGTTACGAATTACTCAATACGGTTGGCCAATCTGCACAGCCCTGTCACCCCTGTTCCTGTCATCCGGATCCCGCGAAACAGTGCTACACATACACAGTATAATGCACGCAGCGCGCCAACCTCCAAATCTAGAAACAATGGGCAGAGCCCAGAAAGTCGAAAGCGAGAACAGGGGAGCCGACCGAGGCTAAAGAACCAACAAGTGCCTGTCAAATACTCTCATATCGCCTATTACGAGTTCACCAGCGGGAAAATGACGTACAGAATATGGAGCGATTGTGGCTATTCATCTGCTGTATTTGGCCCTTTGCCAAAGCACAGCCTTGCAGGATGGAGAAGCAAGGCCGTGTGACCTCCTTTGGAAGCCAGCCACACACGCGCTCCCCCCCCTTCTACTCATCCGGTTTACGCCGTATTTCGACATATCCATCTGAGGCACCAGAAGAGCGTCGACATTAAAGGCATTGTGGCCCTGCCACGGAAGATGCCAAATCGGGAAGTGTAAGAACGTCAGCGACGTTACATCTTGTCCGTACGCCTTAGATAGTACTCAGTCGTCGAGTATTCATTACGCCTCCAGTTCTCTGTGCCCATAAACAACCTGTCAAATGACTGGTCAAAGAAGTGGTCAAAAATTCTATGCAGTGATATCATTAATCGATGTATTTCATAGACTATCTGAAAAAAAAAGGGGGACTATCTCAATCTCGTCTTCGATTCGTTGGTATCATGTTGCACATCGCTCCCACATCCGTCCCTTAGATCTGCTTCCGCAAGCCGGTGCGGCTGTCCACGGTCGGGTCCAGGCGATTGGCCATGTCCGACTTGTGGGGGCCAGCGGTGGTCTGGACACCAGCGCCACCGACACCGGCTCTACCGACACCGGCACCACCGACGCCGGCACCCCCGACGCCACCGACACTGTGGTTGTTATACGCGGCCGTGGTCGCGCCCGGGTGAGCGGCATGGGGCGTGTGGTGGTTGTGGTGGTGGGCCACGCCGGCCGCGGCGGCGGCACCGACACCACCGGCGACGGCGGGCGACACGTTGTGCTTGTGCTGCGCGGTGTGGGCTGCGGCCGTCTTGGACAGGTCGCTGTCGACCGAGGGGTCGAGCTTGTTCATGATGTCGTGTCTGTGGGGGCCGGCGGTGTTGGGAGCAGGGCCGGTGGCGGTGGTCTGGGTGGCCGGGATGTGGGTGGCCGGGTTGACGCCGCCGCCGAGGTGGTGGTGATGGCCGGTGGTGCCCGTTGTGGCGCCGGTGGCCGTGGTCTGGTTATCGGGATGAAGGAGACCCATGATGGCGGTTGTGATGTTGGAACGTGAAAGAGGAGTTGAAAGTTGGTTGTTCTTATTTGCTATTCGTCGGATGATGGACGTGTATGAAGATGAAGTTGAAAATGAAAACAATAGCGAGCCCAAAGAGTGAACGACCTTTTCTTATATATATGTCTGCGATGAGAACTTGGCCCAACGTAAAGAAGGCGACGGCTTCGATGAGATCATCAGGAATCCCTTGACCAAGAACGTTTTCGTGGCAATGGCCAGTCCAGACAACGAACGGCCAAGCTCAAACAAGCTGCCTCCTTGGTTCATTCTACTAGCTACGGCTGAATTCTCCGCACGCGTCACGGCATCTACCAAGAGCATATCGTTCTTGGAGGCCGTCCTTATGACGTCTGCGATTCTGCGAGGCAAATCCCGATCTGGAGGGTCGAGTTGTACAAAATACATTCTGCCGTGTCAGACAGGGGCACTAAGACTGGCAGAAGGGGTAACCAAAGACCCCAAAGACCCCTGCCTGCAGCATCATTGTTATGTAATAATATCATTGTCCGTTGAAAATAGGCAGGCGAACAAAAGGGGAATGGATAAACATAAGACGTGTGGGGACATTCATGTTGAAAACGTGTTTCCTTGCATAAAAAAGGAAACGAACTGACGCCCGAGACGCCATTGACCGAACGGTATGCCATCTCCAACATCCTTCGAATGGTTTCCACTATCCACTATCCACTAAACCCACCGTCGACGTCGTTGACGTTTTCCTTTTCGTTGACAGTGGCCCCTGGCGGTTGCTGTTAGTGGATGCTAGTGGATACCCTGAAACGTGGGTGGCAAGTCATGACGTGCTGCACCCCACAATTTTGGTGTCGTTTAGCCGTCATTGGCCAAGGCTTGACCAACAAAAGCAACAAGAGCAACTTTCAAGATTCCAGGACGGAGGGACGGCACGGAGGGACGCTGACGGTATCGCGATACCGGCCCGGAGTGGTACGTCCACCTAGTCACCCAGGCGAGGCTAAGCGAGCCAAGCTCGAGATCTCGTGAGCTCGCGTCGTGTGATGTTCACCTTCTTCCCAAGAAGGAACGCTGGTTGCGATGTACATGAGGCTTTTACTATTGTATTCCGTAATGTCTGTCGTGAAAAGGGATCATAAACGTCGTGGACATTGTACAGTACTCATGCCGTCTTCTCCTTCTTCCACAGATCCCGCCACATCTCCTTGAGTCCGTAGTGCGGCTTCTTATTATCGTACACCCGCACGGACCCTGTGCTGCCCTCGCCAACAAACCGCTCCAGCACCCGCCGCCCCATGGTCTCGCTCGTGGCGTCCGGGTTGGGTGTGGGCGGCCGGGCCGCACGTTCACGGATCGTCTCGGCCAGCGTGGGCGCCACGTCCGCAAAGCACGCCAGAAGCTCGCGGTCCAGCGAAAAGTAGGGCTTCTTGGCCAGCTCGGGCGCCATCAAGTTGTAGGACCGGGTCAAGGCATTGAGGTCGCGGATCGCGAGCTCCATGTACGCGCGCTCGGCGGCTTCCCACTGGGGATCACGCAAGGGGCGGGTCAAGTCGCCGACCGTCGCATCGGCGGGCGTGGGTGTGGGTGTGGCTTCGGCTTCGGCTTCGGCTTCGGCTTCGGCTATGGCTGTGTTGGCTGCGTTGGTGGCCGTGGCAGGCTCCGCGCCCTTGCCGGCCTGCGCCATCACTGCATCGTCGGTGTGGTTGGTCGCCACCGCCATCTTGTCCACGTCCCGCCGCCGCGGGTTGTGCACCTGCTCGGCCGCCGCGTATCGCTCGGCCGCCGCCATTTGGTCCTGCAGCGACCCGCCCCGGCTGGCCAGCGACCGCGCCGCATGCCGCCGCCAGTCCGTCCGCAGCTGCATCCGAAACGACCGCGCCGACCGCACGAGCTCCTGTTGCTTCTCGATCCACGGCGGCACAATCTCCTGCCGCTGGATCATCTTGTTCATAATGTATTCGGTCGTATCAATAAACGGGTTGTCGGCACGCGCATCCCGCGCCACGTTTGTCCCCCGCGGAATGTCGCGGAACTGCCCGCGCGCAATGGCGTCCTCGATGCGCTCGTTGGCCAGCGCGGCCAGGCCGGTAAACGTGTTGGGCATGTTGGCCGCGCCGGCCCCTGCGCCAAACCGCTCGCGCAGCTCTTTTCGAAAGGCGGCGCGCTGCTTCTCGTCGGCGTCTGCATCGACGCTCCCGTTCTCATTCTGCTGGTCCTTTGCCCTTGTCTTGTCGCCCATGCCCATGCCAGCGTACACCGTGGCCTTGTCGCGCGCGTTGGCCGCCCGCTGGCCCGGAGTCTGAGACGGCGGTCGCCGCAGCCGCAGGTCCACAACAACTGGGTTCGGTATGGACGGTTTCCCGCGCAGGCTCGGCGGCAGCGGCTTTCGTGCATCGTCGAGCATGCGCAGGATCGTGTCTTCCGGTGCCTCGTCGCCGGTCCAGTGCTGCGCCGCCGCCAGGCCACGCGTGCCGGCACCCGTCCGGCTGGCCGACCCGAGTGTCTGTGCGTCCAGTCCAGCAGCAGCAATGGTGCGGCTGTGCTCAGTCCGGAACTCGGCGTCGGCAATCTTGTCGAACAGGCGGTTCTTGAGCTCTTCGCTGAAGCCGGCTTCTTCGACGGCACGCCGCCCAGCACGGCCACCGGTCAAAAGGGCATCTTCCGTTGCTTCTTCGAGCCGTCTTGACATGGCACTTGACTCCTTCTTCTCGGCCGTCTGACTCAAAGGCTGTTTCGGGCTGTTTGTTGTCGAGTATGGCCGTGCTTGTCCAGTCATTGGTGGTCGTGGGGGCCGAAGAGGCCGCGCCGGCCGCAGAAGCGCAGCGCGTACGCAGTGCTGACACACGAATCGTGGTGTCGACATGGCGGATTGCCGTCGACAAAGCATCGCATGGCTGCAGTAGTCAAGTAGGAAAGAGAGCGTAAAGAGAGACACCTCACATCGTCCGCCGATGTTGATACAAAATTCGCCTTTACCGGAGTTAGCAGCGTATCACTCTCTCTCCAGCGGACGGTTACGGCGCTGAAATGTGCTCCACCCTTCTAAAGCTGTTTTTCGCTGATGGCACTAGCGCCGTTGCTCTGTATTAGTCATTTCAATTAAACAAAAACAGACGCGCGACGCGTCTTCTCACAGTTGGCGGGCGAGGGGTTGTTTTTTCTACAATTTACAACGGCCAGCAGACGTCACCCAAGGCAAGTGGATTAGAAACCTGACAGGACATCCGGCTGTCCTACTTTCTCGACCACCGACACAACACACACGCACAATGCCTGCCGCACGAGACGACACCGCGGCCGTCGAGCCAGCGCCGGCGCCGGTTGCAGCCAAAAACGGCAGCGAGGCACAGGCACAGACACAGTCACAGACACAGACACAGCAGACAGAGGCACCACCTGCCGAGGGCAACAAGGAAGAAGACCAGTACCTCGACCTCGTCCGCGAGATCCTGGAGACGGGCGAGCACCGCCCCGACCGCACGGGCACCGGCACCTACTCCGTCTTTGCCCCGCGGCCGCTCAAGTTTGCGCTGCATCGGCGAGACGAGGCCTCGGGCGACGTCGTGCCCGTCCTGCCGCTCCTCACCACGAAGCGTGTCTTTACGCGCGCGGTCATTGAGGAGCTGCTGTGGTTCGTGCGCGGTGAGACGACGTCGACGACACTGGCCGCAAAGGGCGTCAAGATCTGGGACGGCAACGGGTCGCGCGCCTTTCTGGACCAGATGGGCTTCACGGACCGGGAGGACGGCGACCTGGGCCCCGTCTACGGTTTCCAGTGGCGCCACTTTGGCGCCGCGTACCAGGACCCGCACACCGACTATGCGGGCCAGGGCGTCGACCAGCTGGCCGAGGTGGTGCGCAAGCTCAAGGAGACGCCGTTTGACCGGCGCATTCTCCTGTCGGCCTGGAACCCGCGCGACCTGCCGCAGATGGTGCTGCCGCCCTGCCACATGTTTGCCCAGTTTTATGTGTCGTACCCGGACGCGCCCCGGCGACGGAGCACGTCTACAACAGCGGCAGCCCACCCGCCGCCGCCTTTGGCACCGTCAACCGCGTCGACCGCGTCGACCCCGTCGGTCGGCCACCTCCACTGCCAGCTGTACCAGCGCTCCTGCGACATGGGCCTCGGCGTGCCCTTCAACATCGCCTCGTACGCGCTCCTGACCCACATGCTGGCGCGCGTCTGCGGCCTCGTGCCCGGCTCGCTGACGCACGTCATGGGCGACGCGCACGTCTACGTCGACCACGTCGACGCGTTGGAGACGCAGCTGGCGCGCGTGCCCCGGGCGTTCCCGACGCTGACGATCCGCAACGACGGCAGCAGCATTGACGGCTGGCAGCTCGAGGACTTTGTGATTGAGGGGTACAACCCGTACAAGGCGATTGCGATGAAGATGTCCGTGTAGGCCCGTGGATTGGTACATTGTGGTTTTGGTTGGCGAAACACAGCACGAGCGTGTCTGATTATCTGCTTGTATTTTGTATTGTCATGCCGCACGGTCCGTGTACACGCACGGATGTCCTACTGTATACAATTTGTTTAGAATTAGGATTATGAAACGATAAAGTCGTCTAAGTGGGCAAATAGAATAGCAATCCATGTATGGGGGTATCTTGTATGAAAAAGTGTGCCAAACAAAAAGGTCATGACGAGTAAGAATAGATACAGGAAGGAAGAGGGGGAAATGGAAACCAGGAATAAAAAACGCCTAACGCATTGAAATGGTCTGCATTGCATCATCAAACAACCAGTCCAACAGGAGGACGTCGTCGCTACGCCGCTAATGTCGGTTCCGAACAGCCTCCTCCTTTTCCCAGATGGCCAGCGCGCTCGTCGCCGCCATCACCGACCACCGCTCGCCCAGCGCCCCCGTCAGTCCGGTGCCCACATAGGCAAACTTGAGCTGCTTGGTCATGCTCATCCGCGCGTCCGAGTACATAGCCACGACCTCGCGTCCGTCGGACGACACAAAGCCAGGGGCCGGCTGCGCCCGGGGTGCGCCAGGCAGGGGCGCCGTGCTCATCCGCACCAGCTTCCACCCCTCACGCCCGCCGCCAAGCGCCGCCACGGCATTGCCGTAGCTGTGGCGCCACTCAAAGGTCTCGCGGTGGACGTTGCGCGGGTCGGTGCCGACCTCCATGGTGAAGGTATAAAAGTGCGACCAGCCCAGCACGATGTCGAGGCGCACGGCCGTGGATCCGCCCCGGTACGTCAGGGGCGGTGGGAGCGTGATGGACATGTGGTCCGACATGGGGACATAGTCGACCGCCGCCAGCAAGGGCGACGTCTCCGGGTTGGGCCCGTTGTGCAGGGCGATGACGGGATTCGACATTTGCCACAGGGGCCGCATGCGCACGGCGTACAAGGGCGTCTGCTGGTGCTCGCCCAAAAAGTACACGCGCGAATAGTTGTCGCCATACAGGTTGAATGCGGCTGGAAACTGGCGGCCCGTCGGAACAGAGCCGGGGGCCGGGCGTCGGCCAGGACCGCTGGCACCGTTGTTGCTGCTGCTGCTGCTGCCACCGCCGCCGCCCGCACTCGTCGCTGGTCGCGGTTGTCCGGGCTTGCCGCCAAACGTACCGCCGGCTGCTTGTTGGTAGCCGGGTAGATGGCTCGAGCTGACACTGCCAAAGCCACCGGCCACGGCGGGCCGCGACGAGCCTGCACCAAGGCTCCCGCTGCTCAGCCGCGCGTTCGCGTTGGTACTGCTCCCCGCGCTTGTGCGGCGTCCACCGTTTGCGCCCAGGTGGCCATTCGAGGCGGCCGGTCGTAATGGGTGGCCGCTGGGTACAGCGAGGTTGTTGCTGTTGTGGACCATCGACGGTGACGGGCCAGCGCCCGGTGACGGGGCGGCGCCGGGTGATGGGGCACTGCCCGGCGAAGGACCTGCTCCGGGCACCGGGGGTACCGGCCTACTAAAGGAGGCTGGCGAGATGCCAGTGGCTTCTTCGTAGGACGGCGGCGGTGCGTCTGGAGGGATGTCGAGGAGGGGATCGCTCGGGGGAGCGAGATGGCCCGCAGAAGAAGGACTCAAAAGGAGGGGCGTCGACGGCGTCTGGTTGATGGTACTTGCATCGCGGCTATAGCTGATGGGGCTGGAGACTGCACGGCTGCCCATGGTGTCGCCGGGCCCTGACGACCCCTTCGACCGGGCTTCGGGGGGCCGGTCCATTGGGAGGGATGGAGGGGGGAATGTCGGTGGAAAGACCTTGTTCGGTAAAGCTCGCGTCGAAATATGCAGACAAAGTATATCGTAAGTGCTGCCGATGACGTCGGCTGACTCGGTGGTCGTCGGGGAGTCGATATGACGCGGACAACAGCGTCCAAACCGAGTCACGGCGCGCGTACGGATGATTTAAAAAGATGCAAAGAAACAACCGTCGAGAGTTGGCGCAATAAAGGAGCTGTTTTCCTCTCAGACAAGAAAGGTGGTGCTGAAGGAGGAATGTTGGCGTCAGGCGTCTGTCTTGTGTGAATGGGCCCAGACAGTCGTTGGCAGCGAACCCCGGACAATGACAAAGAATGCTCAAGAGAAAAAGGGGGATGGGAATAAAGCAGCAGAACAATCAATGGACGGGGACTTGCCAAAGGGCCAACTGTGGGAGTGGAAGGGGGAAATAGGAATACGATGGTCAAATTAGAGGCGGCGATGAAAAATAGCTGAAAATCAGCTCACTCGTGAAAGACAATGTGGCCAGGCAAGAGCAGCCCACCGACAGGGCGTGCAGCCGGGGGCGAAGCGGGCCCACACCTGCCACGGAATTGGCCTTTGGGCGCGTAGTCGGGGTTATGGTTGGTGGCGGTAGTGGCATCGGCGCGCGGGATTTACAGTGGCTATAGGCCCATTTTGCACTAGAACGAAGGAAACACAGCAAACACATAAGTTACATAATACAGTGGCCGTACGTCATCGGATGGCTGCCACAGCCACAGGGCTGAGCATCCTGGTCTTGTCTGTACGTACTGAATTGCAATTCCCAGAAGATTTCGAGAGTTCTAGGCGCCGTGTGTCGTGCTCTGAAAAGCTTCTGACAGTCGCTTATTGCTCTTTTGCGTCTCGAGAGCACCCAGCCTTGTCCAGTTCTGCCTCTTCCGATCGGCGCTCTAGTCGCCCAAGTAATCTGCGAGACAGCACACGATACCGGACTTTGGCCAGGCATGTCAGTATCGTCAAACTTCGTAGCATCTCAGCCTCTTCATCTCCCTTCCCCACTCAGCTCACCAAGGTTGGTTAGTCGAGTTCTAGCCGGTGGACAAACTGCCTCTTCTGTGGAGGCATTACGCGTCGTTTTGTTTTGTTTCGATCCTTGTTTCATTATTATTCGTTATTCGTCCTCTTATCGTGGCCTCATAGTCGTTGCTCGTCCTCCCGGGGTCTCTCGGGCGTCTAAACTCAACAGTAATCATGATCGCCGCCTCGTTGTGTTGCTGTTGCTCTTGCTCTTCTTCCGGCAGACCGTTGCGAGTAAGTGGGTCTGGTGGCCAGGCCTAGCCAGGGGTTGCGGGCGCCCTCTTGCAACGCTACAGCTATCATTCGTACTCTCCCCCGAACCCCAATCAACCCCATTCCAAGCTGCCGGAGCCGTGTTGTCCGGCCCAACGACATTGGCGTCTGCCTGGTGAACCGCATGCCTTCATCCCACAGCCACTGCCCAACACGGCCAGCAGTTGTCCATGCATGGCCTTTTTGCAGAGGGACAGATAAGTCCTCTGGAAAGGTAAGATTACTTTTAGCACGGCCAAGGCATGGCATGCCAGCGATTTTTGCTTTGTTTTGAAGATTATTACATGAAACACCGCATAACTTGCTCGGTAGTGGCAGGCTTCTCTTATGGTGCGCCCTGCGTTTTCAAGCCAGGATACAAAAATAGACCAGGAAGAGGCTCACGTTTCTCAAGGCAGGGCTGACTGAGCTGGGCCGGGCGAACAAGGCACACAGGGTGATAGAGGGGGATGTTGATATCAAGTCGTACAGAATAACACCATTGCTGTACTGCTCCCGTACTCGTGGATATATGGCGTAGGGTAATATATGATGAACGCGGATCTTCAATTGTATTGAAAGTGGAATATTCAAGGTAATTTTATGGTCTAGTTAATATCTTCATATTGAAAAGTGTATTCTTGAAGCATTGTTAATTTGTGTTGTCTTGATTTTGCATGATAAATCAATAAATGTACACTTGACAAAAAACCTTCACATAAAAATTGGAATTCGACACTTCAGCTTTCCAAAAACGAAAAAGTACATAAATACCAAAGCTGTCTGACCCAATGTACCCTCCGGTGGAGAGCAACGAACCGGAAATCATCCGTGCCATGCAATTTTACAACGGATGCTGCCGTAGTACAAAAATTCTACGAAATTTGGAGTTACCGGATGTTGCTAGATCTGTCGTAGTATCCAATTGTACGTCTTCCAAACAACGGCAACTGTCTGTGAAAACCAAGTCCCGGATATCATGAAATGTCCAAAGCAATTCGCTTCAATGTGCCCCATGCGCCCAATACCACCAACGAATCTCGGTTTTCTTTCAGCCGTGCTTCCACGCCAAGTATATGCCTCCTCGCTATGCCTCCTCTCTAGTCCTCCAAGTCCGGGTCGACGGCCGTCCCGAGATCGCGCGCCTCCAAGAAACTCCGGCCAAGCAGGTCGTCCGGTAGGTAGTCTTGCCGCACGCGTCCGTTCACATAGTTGGGGTTGTACTTGTACTCCTTTCCATAGCCGAGGTCCTTCATGAGGCGTGTGGGTGCATTGCGCAGGTGGATGGGGATGGGCAGCGAGGCGACGCCTGGCTCGCGCAGCGCCGCAAACGCATTGTTGAGCCCGCGGTAGGCGCGGGTGCTCTTGGGCGCCAGCGCCAGGGCCACGGCACAGTGGGCCAGCGGGATGCGGGCCTCGGGCATGCCAATCTGCTGGGTGGCCGTGTAGGCCGCCGTGGCGAGCGGCAGCAGCGAGCTGTCGGCGAGCCCCACGTCCTCGGAGGCGATGACGACCATGCGGCGGGCGACGAACAGGGGGTCCTCGCCGGACTGCAGCATGCGCGCCAGGTAGTAGAGGGTGGCGTCCGGGTCGGAGCCGCGCACCGACTTGTGGAACGCCGAAATGGTGTCGTAGTGCTGGTCGCCGGCGCGGTCGTAGACGAGCGTCTTGGTGAGCGCGGCCTTGAGGTCGTCCTTGGTCAAGGCTTTGCCGGGGTCGTTGGTGGGCCGCGCCGCAATGGACAGGGCCAGCTCGAGCAGGTTGAGCGCCGTGCGGGCGTCGCCGTCCGAAAAGGCCGCCAGGTACGCCAGCAGCTCGTGGTCGATGAGCGGCGACAGGGCCGCGCCTAAGCCGTTTGGTTTGGTTTGTGATGCGTTGGGTGTGCTGTCGCTGTCTGTGTGTGCACGCGTGTCGTCTTGCGTCTCGCCCCCAGCCTCGCCCACAGCCTCGCCCACACGCACGCCCGTCTCTTCCAGCACGGCGCGCGCCAGGATCCGCTGCACGTCCTCCTTTGTCAACGACGCCAGCGTAAACGTCCGGCAGCGCGACAGCAGGGCGTTCACGACCCGAAACGACGGGTTTTCCGTGGTGGCGCCAATCAGCGTGATCGTGCCGGCCTCGACCGGCTTGAGGAACACGTCCTGCTGCGCCTTGCTGAACCGATGGATCTCGTCGCAGAACAAGATGGTCTTGCGTCCGGTGAGGGACAGCTCGTTGGCGGCGTCCTGGAACAGCTTCTTGCACTCGGCCACGCCGCCGCTGCTGGTGGCGTTCATCTCGACAAAGCGGCTGCCGACGCGCTGGGCGATGCAGCGCGCAATGGTGGTCTTGCCCGTGCCCGATCCCCCCCACAGAATCATGGACGGCACACGGTCGGACTCGATGAGCGCACGCAGCACCCCGTTGGGCCCGACCAGCTCCTGCCCACAGACGTCGTCCAAGGACTGCGGCCGCATGCGTTCGGCCAGCGGTGCTGCCCGCTGGGTGCGTGAGCGTTTGGCGGACGGCAGTGCCGCTTGTGCCGAGGACGGCGGCGGAGCCGCTCCGTTCGTTGGGGCTGCCTCCCCATTTGTATGTATCCTGCCGTCTCCGTCGTCGCCTCTGTCTCCATCTGGTTGTGGTGGCGAGCTCTGCCCTGGGCCCTCCTCAAACGTGCGCTTCTTTGACCCGCCGGCTGCGCCCTGTGTTGTGATTGGCAAGGTAAACGTCGCCCCGGTGCTCTTTGTGCCCTGCGAGGCACTCGGCGTGCTGTGTGTCCCGCTCGCACCGTTTGTGACGGCGGAGGTGCTCTGCTGTCGTTTCGCGGCGGGTGTCTGGAAAAAGGACGAGGCCGACCGCTTCTGCTGCGAGCTCGATCCGAGGGACGGTGAGCTCGGCGGCGGTCTTGGTCGTTTTGTGCTGCCTTCAGCCGTCCCTGTGCCATTCGCTTCGTCGGCACCCTCCTCCACGACATGCGTTGCACAGCCGGCGTCGAGGTGGGCGTTGATATCAGATGGTCGTACATGTTTGCTGCAGATCGGACAGTCGACGACGGCCGTCTGGCCGGCAGGCCGCGCGAACATGTTTGACAAAACGTCGTTGGACAAAGACCAAACGAGGCCGGCAGGTATATGGAGATGTCGTGGAAGATGCTTGACTTTTACGAGGTGCAAGGAATGCAATGTTGTTGACAGGCGTGCTTAATTGGAGTTTCACTGTCTATCCTGGAAGACGCGTTTGTTACAGAAGAACGAGGCAGCGCCACACGCGGCAACACACGCTAAGCTACAGGGGGCGAGGGGCCCTGGACTTTGGACTTTAGTGGCCCAAAGAAGCCCATACTAAAAATACATGGGCGAATCGAGCATGAGAAAGTCGCCACTGCATCATTGCCTGTCGTCGTTTAGGTTCGTTTTGGGTTTACGATGGAGACTAATATGATACTCGGAGCACGACTGTTTCGTGTCATTACGCTGCCTCATTGTTGCCAAGGATACAGAGACTTGTCTCATCTGATGTGTAGACTGGATGATACGAAACTCGTGTAAAAGGGAAAAGACCATGCATTCTATGGAAATGTACAGGGGAAAAGATGTGTATAGGTCATGTATTCATTAGGCAGGTCCGATGCGCGTGTTCCATTCGGTGCGGTCCATGGACCTCTGATCTTACACCATAAACGACTCGCCGCAGCCACATTCCTCCTTGATGTTGGGGTTCCGGAACACAAACCGCTGGTTCAGCTTGTCCTCGACCCAGTCCATCTCGGTGCCGATGATGCTAAAGAGCGCCTTGCTGTCCACCAGCACATGCACGCCGTCCTGCTCCACCATCTCGTCAAAGGCGCCCGGCTTCTCGACGTACTCCAGGTTGTAGGACAGGCCGCTGCACCCGCGGTTGCGCACGCCAATCTTGAGGAGCTTCGGGTCCGGCCCCTCGAGCAGCTCGCGGACCTGGTCGACGGCGGCGGGCGTCAGGCGCATGGCGGCCTTGCGCGGCGTGCGCAGCCGGGAGGGGCGTTTCTTGGGGGCACCGGTCGTTGGTGTGGTCGACGGGGATGCTGCAGCGGCGGACGCGGCGGCGCTTGTGGTGCTTGTGGTGCTTGTCTCCTTTGGCTCTGCCTGTTTCGCTTCCGTCGCGGCCGACTGTGCCTCATCCACTGGCATATTCAGTGCCTCCTTGGCCGTCGGCGCAGGCGAGTCGACTGGCACGACAGGCGACGGCGGCGGCGGTGGTCGCATAGTCATGGGCGATGTGGGCTCAGTGTAGAGGGAGTAGCGTGTGTAGGGAGTTGTGGACGATGCGGTCTTGGGGTTTGTCGCTGAAGATGTTGTCGAGGAGTTCGATGTCGCCTCTGCCTGCGCAAATGGCGGGGGTCGCTGGGCGGCCGCGGTGCTGGACAGGTAGCGGCGGCGCTGATGCGCGGGACCAGGCGATACCATGCTGCTGCGGCCAAGCGAGAACAGGTGCTGCTGTGGCTGCAGCTGTTGCGGCTGCAATTGCCGCCGTGGGTGATGCTGGCGCAGCTGTCGGACGAGGCCCTGCCGGCAGAAAAGGCAGGCCGACTCGGCCGACTGTCGTGGGAGGAGGGCGTTCATGTTGGATGGACGGTGGAAGGCGTTGCGGTAAACGAACAGGAAATGAAGAAAGAAGAAAAGAAGAAGGAGTCGCTGTGAAGGTGTGACGGCTTGTACGAAAGCAATGGGTGGATTGGCGGTCGTGGAGGAAGTTGGATTTCTAAGAAAATGGGTTCGAAGAAATGGGTCTAGTTGGTTACGTCGAGGAAAAGGGTCGTTCCTTCCCCCGGCTTTTCCAGGGCCGCATGTGGAAAATGGGGCGACAACTGGACAGTGCGAGGCCATTTGTGGTCTGACGGCGCTGGTTACTGTGTATGGGCCCACTTTGACCGGGCCAATGACAGGCGCCGCAATGGTCAAAAACAGGCGCCCCGCAAATAAGCGGTGGTTCTGCTAGGCCGACGCTGGCTGGTAATTACGAGCGGACTTTACAGCAGCCAAAAAGCACAACACAATTGAGCTGAACATACAATGGCCTCACAGCATACTGACAAAGATGCACGTATTGTACAAGACAAATTCAGTTCTATGTACGACTTGAGAATTGGATGGATGAGAAAAGGACAGGAATATAGCAATTGCAGCCGTTGCTCGTCTGCTTTTGTATACCACAAAAACGCCCACAAAACGCCAGTGCTCTCGTGTCCCAGGGAAGTAACAATATCATGACAACTCTTACGACAAAACCCGTTTCCATCAACCCTGTGCTTCCACCTTGTGCTTGACATCGGTCACGACCGTTCGTGCCACCTTCTTCAGCAGCGTCCGCTCGTCGGCCTCGCGGTACCTTTCCCAGCTGTCGAGGCCAGCCGTGGCCTGGATGCTCAGCGTCTCGTACCCTTGCCTGATGACCTCGGCCACCTGGAGACTTGTGAGCGGCGACGATGACGACGACGACGACGACGACACACCTTTGATGCGACTCCCCTTGCCGCCCTTGGCGCCCTCGGCCAGCAACTGCTTGTAGTGGGCGTTGACGCTCAGGAGGGTGTCGATGCTGTTGGTCGCAGGGCGGCCGGCAGCGGCGGCGGTGGCGGCGGCGGCGGCGGTTGCATTTGCATTTGCACCACGAGGGCCACCCAGCTGGTACGTGTCCCGAAACTTTTCCAGGACCTCGCCCGTCTCGACCACTTTGTAAAAGAGGTCGTCGTACGAGGCCGGGGTGGGCAGAAATGCCTCGCCGGCCGACAAGCCCAGTGCCAGCAGATTGACGACGTGGTCGACGAGGGTGTCGAGCTGGGGCGTCGCCGAGGTCGCTCCAGCAGCAGAGCTGCCGGGCGCCGTCGTGGCCGAGGCGGGACCCCGCAGGTCGGCCGCGTAGGTCGTCAGGAAGCGCACGAGGCCCAGCAGCGCACGAAACAGCTGCGGCCAGTGCGCGTACGCCAGCCGCGTCCGTGTGCGCGAGAGGTGCGCTACCAGACGCAGCAGTATGCCGACGAGCAGCGTGTACAGTCCGACGTCCAAACGCCGGCGCAGGTTGTGCGTGATGCCGTCGACCATGGCGTCGAGGATGCTGGCGGCCAGCGGGCGGCCGGTCTTGACGAGCGGCAGATGGGGCGCGCGCTGGCGGCACAGGCGCACGGTCACGCGGGCGTTGTCGTCGTTGCTGCAGAGCCGCTTGCAGAGAGCCGGGTCCTCGACGAGCAGCCGGAAGACCATGAGGCTGAGGTGCGCATACAGCGTGGCGCGGGGCGAGCGGTGGGCGTGCTGGAGAAGATACGAAGTGAGGGAGACGAAGCTGGAGATGGGTGGCTCTGTCGAGTGAGGGTGTTGCGACGGTGCTTGTGGCGGTGCCGCGTCCTTTGCGTCCCTTTCATCTTTTGCCGCTTGAGGGACGGGCTGTGCGCCGAGAGTGACGAGATTGAAGCAGAACAGTTTGTTTGCGTGCGTAAAATCGTATGTCGCCAGCAGTACGGCGGCGTCGTCGCCCGGCAGCTCCGCGAACAGCTTCTTGGCCGTCTCGGCGTCGTACACGGGCTTGGCCGGCGTCTTGCTGCTGCCGCCCAAGCCAATCATGCCCAGAGTGCTGGACAGCGTCCAGCCCTCGGGCAGGTCATCCTGGATGTCAATGTACTGCGCCCGCAAGCCACGGCAGGCGTCGCCCACGCCCCACAGAATGGTATGGATGGCTTTCTCGTTCACAAAGTCGTTGAGTCGTAGCTGGTAGGGATTCTGGAACTCGAATTTGTTGTAATTGGCGAGCAGGCCGACAAGGATGAATGGAGAGACGGATGCAGTAGGTGAGTCCAGGATGACCTGTAACCGTGTTAGTACGTGAGGGGAAAAAAAGAAGAAAAAAGGCGGGATGAAGGGACCTGGAAGGCGCATACCTTTATTAATGACGGAAACAAGTCACGCTGGATAAAGTAGGTCAAAAGAGTCGTCTGGTAGGCGCCTGCGGTCACGGCCAGCGCAACGTCGACGGCATAGCGTCGGATCACAGGTGTGGGGCCATGCCGCAGGAGCTGGTCCAGTGCGGCCACAAAGTCGGACAGCACAGCGTCCACGCGGTCGAGTCCGGAAAGCAGGTCAATCACATCCGACGACGGGTTGCTGTACTTTTTGGCGAGGGCGGCCGACAGGAACGTCGCCAGCGTTGCCAGTGTATTTTCCGTGGCAGACGAGGAGAAGGACGATGTCGTGGTCGACGGCGGCGGCGACGTCGCGGCTCCGTTCTTGCTGCTTGACCGACTGCTCAAAGCCGAACTGCCACCGTTGATGCGGCCGGGCACGCGACCGGCCGAGCCGTTCCTCCGGTGGCCATTTGCTCCCACACCGTTGCTGTGGCTACTGCTTGTCGTGCCGCGGCCGGCGAGCAGTACGGCTACGGCGCGCGCAAACAGCTGCCGCGTCTGGGCTTCGAGGGCAAGGAGGGCATCGGCGGTCAGGGCATCGAGCCGTTCGCGGAGGGCGCCGCGGTCCGGCCGCAGAAGGAAAAACTCGGCCCAGAAGCCTTCGCCGGGGATGTGGTCCGGGTGGTCGAGCAGCTCGTCGTACAGCTGGACGATCTTGGGCTGGAAGGCATCCGGACGCGGCTGTTGCGTGAGCGGGGACTGCTCCATCGGGGGTGATCGTGCAGCTGAAGCGGAGGAGGAGGTGGAGGAGGAGGTCTTTGGTTGTGGATCGGGGAGTTCAAGTACGGTCAAGATGGCGATGTCGTGGTGCCCAGGGGTGTATGGATGGGTGACGAGGGACAAGTCGCGTGTTGTCTTCAAAGTCGTGAGTGCCGTGCTCGCCAATTTGTCTCGAGAATAGGGCCTGGTCCGTCATGCAGCCTGGTCGTCGTGTTTCGATTTGCTATTTCCCATGCAACGCTTCCCCTATCTGGAGATTCGAAAAGAGGGCCCGCGCCGCCAATACAGGAAGTCGAGATGCGTAGAGACAAGTATACAGGTGTTCTGTGGAGCAGGAAGAGAGAATGCGGTAGAGTGTTGCCTGCCGTCAATCGTCGACGGGCGTAGTTGGAAGCTGTTTGCAAACAGCGCAAAACAATTAGTACGGAGGAAATACGGGATGGAGAATACGCCAGTCGTGAGGCTGAGGCAACAGAAACGGTTGCACATTCCACGCCCCGTGGACTGGGTCACAGCTCGAGGATCCCTGTAGCATGTGCCCTGGATACCGCTGTCGACTTCCTAGGCTAGCGGACCCTGGTGTTCAAACTGCTCACCCCTATTTTGTCTTCCCCCTACGACGCACTAAAATGGACTTACGTGTCCACCCCAATGCCCCTTGGAGGTGCTCTTTCTGCACTGGTTTTAGCGGCGTGTAGGCTTGAAGAGCAAGTCGCCAAGTGTGGTTGTATTCAGAGCCGGAATTGGTAATTGGACAGTGAAAGTTATTGTTACTCAGAACGACTACGGAATACTGGATTTGCACCATCATCAATATTTAATAGTGTACACTACAATGGTTCAGAAATCGGATGCGATACGCCTAGATGCAATAGAATTTTATAGACAATATTGTAGACTAGGCCCGGACAAGCGGGACACTGTGAGTTAGGCACGCAGATAGAAGTCGACAAAATGCAGTAATCAATTCGGCTGCCGTACGAGACTACAGCACCTGGCACTATGGAGCGCCCCCAGGAGATACATGACGCTATCGGAAAGTCTGACGATAAAGGTAAGATGTAAGGATAAACCACAATAACGATGCAGTGTCGTAGACGTCGTTAAACAGGCGCATACTCGGCCCGGTCCCAAGAAGGAGACAATGAAAATGAGCAGACAAGAAGAGGAATGCGGCACAACAAAGAACATATAATCGACGTCGCGGTCGACGCCGTCGGAGAACAGATGCATTACACACCCCAACTGCCGCGCCGTTCCCGCACGCCCCAGGCCAGCGGACTGATGCTGTTGAGGTCGGGGTGCTGGCGGGCCCACTCGTAAATGTAAATCTTGAGCGCACGCCAGCGCGGGTAGCTGTCGTGGTTGTAGCTGCTATGACTGCCGTTGCTGCTGCTGTTGTTGCTGCTGCTGCTGCTGCCGTCGGGAGGGGGACTACCGTCGCTATCCGAAGACGTGGCAGACGCTGCCGCCAAGGCCGCCGCGCGGTCGTCGTCGTCGAGAGAGATGTGGCCCTTGGCCGAGGAGCCGCGAGCAAAGACGGGCCGTTGTCCCCCATCCCCACTGCCTTGACTGCCGTCACCGCCGTCGCTGCTGCTCCCGCTCAGATCGTCCTGCGACAGCTCGTCCACCGGGATGCGCGAGATCTTGGACAGCTCGTCGTCGTAGGACCACGCCATGGACGGGTACCCGAGCGACAGGTAGTTGTAGACCTGCGTCACAAACCTGTCGGTAAACTCGGCGGCGATGCTCTCCTCGAGCTCGGCGGCGGCCTTTTCCTGCCGTAGACGCTCGTCGAGGCCGACCAGCATGTGGAGTCCTCTCGGCTCGGCGTGCGTGGTCTTGCCGTGGAGGCCGTGGAGACCATGCAGCCCATGCAGACTGTGCAGGCCATGGAGGCCGGGACCCTGGTGACCATGCGACGACTGCGTGCCGTCGATGTGGGATGGCTCCTCATACATGGTGTCCAGGTCGCCGCTCACTGCGCTCTGGCTAAAGGCGCGGGCAAATGGGTCGCCGGGGCTGCTGGGCGGGAAGGGGGTTTCGAGGAGAGCAGGCCGCTCCAGGGGGACAACGGCTTGCGTCTTGTCGCTGGCGATGCAAAGACCGTTCCACAGACCATGCTGTCCAGCGGGCTTGGTGGAACTGCTTTGGCCACCGTTGGCGGCGTTCCCTTGTCCTCCTTGGCCCTGCCCCTCGTCCTGGTGCGACGACTTTTCCATGACGTCGTTGATGGACCACAAGAACTCAGGCTCCAGCTTGGTCTGCTTCGGCGACGCACACTTGGGGAACACCAGCTCCTTGCCCAGCATGGGCGGCGACTTCTTTCGCAGCCTGTGCACGTCGCGCTCCGATGCAAACAGGTCGCGGTTGCGGTAGCCAGCATAGGCGTTGCGTCCCCGGAAGCTGGTCTCGGTCGGAATCTGGGTGGCTGTGTCGGGTGTGACCCGGACCTCTGTGGTTGTGGCAGCTGGGACAGAGAGAGCGGACGGAGCAGACGGAGCAGACGGAGCAGATGTGTGAGCAACGCCCGTGGCCGCGTTTCCAGCGGATGCGGTCGATATATACGGCATAGATGTCTCACCAATTGGACGCGTCGTGGGCGTGGCGCTTTGCCGTAATAAATCCTCGTCGTCATCCTCGTCGACATCGCCCTCGGCTTCCCGCAGCTTGCGGGCGTAAGCCGGGATGCCCCGGAAGCCCTCGTTAATACCGGGCAGTTCCAGCGGCTCCTCAGGAATGTAGGGCATAAACGTCTCGCCAATGGGATGAATGGCGGAGTCTTGCGTCGCTTGGCGCGCCGTGGTCGTCCAGATGGGGTCGGTCGGGGGGCTTTCGATGCTCATCTGGTCCAAATCAAAGGTGGAAATGCGGTCGAGCTGTGTGGGCCGCGGAACCGACACGGCACGGGCATGCGCATTGTCAGGCGTGGCCGGCGCCGCAGCCTCGCTTCCTGGTGCGATGTACGGCGAACCTGACGTAAAAGAGGCCCCGCGCACCTTGGTCAGCTGCTCGTGGTGCTCCTGCATCTCGCGCAGCGCCCAGCCCACGTCTTCCGTGTACGAATCACGACGTGTGCGGCGAGTAGTGGTGCGCAAGTGGACGTGCGGGCCAGGTCCTGTCGCTTCGCGGCTGCGGCCCTGACCTTCGGAGCTGTCGTCGTCGTCGGAGCCTTCGCGGATCACGAAATGCTCGGCACCACCGGCACGGGCGCGGCTGTTGGGGAAGGCTGCCAGGGCGGCCTCTTCGAGCAGCCGCTTTTCGGCCTCGCGGGCCAGCATCTCAAAGACATGAGCAGCGGTCTCCTCGTCGCAGGACTCACGACGGGCCAGGGACTGGACCTTGCGGTGCTTCTTTCGGGCCTTGGGGGCATAGATGTGGTTGTGGTAGGGCGTAATGTCGGTCTTGTCGGTGGGCCGGGTGGCAGGGCCAATGTCACCGATGCGGCGGGAGCGGCGCGACGACTCGATGAGTTGCGGGGCAAAACGACGCGGCTTGGCTCGCGCCGGAAGACGGCTGGGGTCCAATGTCCACAATGTTGGCGGCGGTGCTTCGGACTGGGGAGATGGAGACGGTGTGAGCTCGGCGGTCGGAGCGGTAGGGACGGCCGGAGCAGCCTGCGAAACGTTCTTGCGGAAACGCTCAAAGGTGGTCTCGATGGGGACAGGGGCAAACCGGCGGCGGGCCGGCTGCCCCGTGCTGGTCGGTGTCCCACTCATGGAGGGGGAGTGTGTACGATTGAGACAGATCGGATAACTATGGTATTCCTAGGGTTGCAAGTAAAAAAGGGGAAACGGAAAGATGCTTGTTGAAGCCCACGTCGACAAAAGCGAGGAGAGAGACGACTGTATTGTCGAGACCAGGCGGCAGAAGGGGCGATTGCGTCGAGGCGAGTAGGTGAGGCAAAGGTGTGGACAATGCAGCCAGGAAACGAGCGTGGGGGTGACCGATTACCGATCTCGAATTTGATGGGGGAAAGGACAAGGGAGAGGACAAGACTTGGATCGTCGGTGGGGAATCAGAGCAGAGGCATGGTTTTTCAGATGAGCCTGTTGTTTGTGTCGCGCCTGTTACTTGTGCTGTTTCCGCTGTCTCTTGTTTTTGATCTTCTGTTCCTCTGTAATGCTGTGTGCTGTGTGCCGTGCGCCGTGCGCGCGTGCTTCCCCAGACTTGCGATGAGACAACAGTTGCTGCGTCGTCTTCGTACTGTGTTCGCCGATCAAGGACTCGAGTCGCAGTACTTCTGGCAAAGTCTCTCTGCGCGCCTGTTCTTCGAACACAGACTCTCTGTGCTCGGCCAGGGATGTCGTGGACGGTGATCAAAGGACCAGGGGAGGGGCGTGTCGTCGAGGAACCGGGAGATGGGGGACAGAGTGCCAAAGACGCTGTGGGACGGACTCGGTGCGGGAGGAGACGAAAGATAAAGAGGACGTCGTCGCAGACTCAAGACGGCCGACCTTGGAAAAGGGGTGCAAAGGCGTCCGAAGATGCAGTACACCTCGAGCAAACGGCTCCGCTACTCCATGCTACTCCATGATGTCGGATTGTTCTCGTGGGCAGTCGGGGACGTCTGGCTGGTGGAGGCCTGAGGTGAGGAAAAGCAGAGTGTGGAGCGGGTTCTCCCCGTTTGGTTCACGATCCCCTCAAATAGGCGGTCAGCTGGCGTGAGGAGCATGCAGAGCATGCAGAAAGAGGAAAAGGCAAAAGGACACGAAATTGGCTGCTTTCAAATGCAATGCGCTAGCCGCACGTCAGCAAAGTCCACGATAGTTTTCTTGGGAAGCGAAAATTTAGTAGGAAGGCGCGAACTGGACTACGGTCGCCCACCAACTCGTCTTCGTTCGCTCTTTCTTCCTTGGTGTCAGGGGATGCCGCCAAAAGCAACGCTTGCGGAAGTAGCGTCGCGAGGCACCTGCCAATGTGAAGAAGAAGAACAAAGCAAGACTGAGGCAGGAGCGCAAAGGGGGGCAAGAGCGAACGAGATAGGCGGGTGTTCTAGAGTTTCGCCTCCCACTATGAAAGCCACAGCGGGCGGCCCTCGTGTTCGCCGCCCGCCACGGGCACAGTGTCAGTTCAGTTGGGGCCTTCTCTTTCCTTCGCCGACACCGCCGGTGCCCCCACTGTAGGCTGGTATGGCATGCATCGTGACTCACCCAAGGAAAGTCAGTTGACCTTGCGTTGCACAGTCTGTAGATGCTTCACCATCTGCATCTGCACAGTGCAAACCAACAAATCTCACCATCTCATGTCACTCTTTCATCTGTCAACCTTAGTCTCTAGGCCAGGAACATACTAAGCCTTCTCCATATGAAGGAACAAAGCCCAATGCCGGCTCGTTGCAATCGCCGACAAGAAAAGGACGAGATGGAGAACCAGATGAGAGAAATACATGATAAGAGGCGTGCTGGCCTGCAGATGCAAGGCGCCTGGTGTCGCCCATGTTTACAGGGAGCCAGTTTGCATATTATTTATCTTGGTAAGAAACGATCATTAACGTCGATTCGCGACAGCAGCCAGCGACACTTCGCTGCAAGTTTTCCGTCTGGAATGTTGCCTGGCATCACGCCAGGTTCACCGAAATTATCACATCCCTAGCCAACAGCAAAGGATTACGCCTTGGGCACAACACCTACCCAAACCCAGCCAACGAGCCGACCTTGGTTCACCTACTTTGGGCACGTTGGCTGGTTGGTTCGATGCAATGGGCTGTCCTTTTAGTCAATGTGGAATGGCCTCATCATGACAAAATGAAAGAAAAAGAAAGTAAAACCATGGATCTCCAACACCAAAACAACCACTTTTGTCCATTCCTTTGATTACTCCCGCACGGGAAACGATGGAACCTCTGCCCCGGTAAACTACTCCTGTCGTTCCTTGTCAAGGTTCGCGGGGAAGAATCCGTTGCCAGATGGCATGCTAGTGCCTGGTCTGGGACTTTCCTAGCTTTGCTTTCCTCATTGACAACATCGACGAGCGGTGTACGATGTAGATGGATTCTGTGGATTTCAAGACCGTTCTATGCACTAACACTGCGCCTAGCCGCCTATGATCCTGCACCGTATGCAATACTAAGCAGGACAAATTGAAGAAGTAAGCACGACAGACGAAACATAAAGATCCGTGGCGGAACTGGAAAGAGCAGGTAACGCCATCGAAAGCTCATCGACCGTAACCATTCTTACAAGCTTCCTTCCTCAAGTAGAGCCGCACGTGGCAGTTGACTTGCACGGCCCCTGTTCCGAGCACCGACGAAGATGTGGAGTTCAGGAGCGGTGCAGAATCTTTTGTTCATGGGACACAAACATCCAGCTGTGAGAGGTCGGCGCCTCAGTCAGTCTACCATTCGTCTACGAATCCTGCATGCAAAGGACATGCACGCCCTGCTGTCTAACGATTGGCATTGTCGTTTTTTTTCTTGGTTTTGTCATAAAACCTTGTGCCTCTCTTTAACAAGGAACGAAATCAACCTCTTGCCGACTTCAGTTGTCGCATGCCGATCGGCAAGGAGGCGGTGAAGAAGTACAACGCATACAGTGGTGTGAAACACGACATCGTGAGGGAAGAATTGAAAAATAAGACGATACACACATGTTGTATGTTGCCATGCTGTACATGGTCACCTTTTTTAAATTAAAATATTGGGAAAGGTCATAATTTCGTCGAATTTATTTTGATATTGTTACATCTATTTATTCGTTTATTCATCTCTTCCGTTTATATTTTTAAAATAAATGTTATCGTTTTCTTAAAAAAATTGCCCGACTAACGCAAGGAAAACACAATAATTTATTCAGCAAGAGTGAACTGTCGCCTGCAAAGTAATTGGATTTGTTTTCTCTAGGATCTGTAAGCACAACTGCATTACACGATACTGTACAGTCTCCAATCTCACTGCAAGTTTATCCTCTATCGTTTTTCTTCTATCAACACGGTGCTGGATACCTACACTGCTTTTACCCACGATATCATCACACATGCAGTCTTATTTCGAGCCGAGAGACAAAGATGATATGATTTGGTTCCTCGGGATTCTTGATAAGGTATGCCGGAATCGTCCGTTCTAGCCTCTAGACCGGAAAGCCTATCGAGTTATCAAGATTATTGCCTGACGTTGCAATGGCAGGCCAGTCCCAAGATAAGAAGAAGGCTGCAGACAACACTGTTACGCCTGCTTATCTAGATCCATAGTCGATCGCCAAACCGAGTTCGCACAAGCCACAGCCTCCCATCTCTGTGCGTACCAATTCGCTATTTACCGCTTCCCACCATATCCCCGAGGCACCCTGTGCACTTACAAAGATAAAACTAGCAGCCTCGGCTCTATGTCAATAGCATATCCGTCTTGACATTCTGTGACCTGTTGCTAATCAAGTATTGATTGATATCTTACAAGGGAACGTGTGGTCGGCCTGGCCACTGTCAAATCGGAGTTTGTGTGACAGGAACGACCGCGTGGTTGATCGCCCCGAGCCTCAGCTAGCCTCCCGCTTCGCGTCCACCCGTGTCAGTCTCTCTTGCCCAAGAAAACACTGTCTGCTCAAGCAAGATATCGGCATTGTAAGTACATTGTACCTACCTTGGCTCTACGGTGCATTTATTTCAACATTTTGCGATGGTTGCGAAGATCACATGAGCGTCTTCAAATCGCACCGGCCGTAAAGGATTCCCCAATGTCGTTGAACACGCCAAATCTTACTTCTGTACAAGGAACAAGTCCTATGCGAACCCAGCAATCGTGAAAGAGAAGGACGACGAAGGCGGGGAACACATAAGATTGCCCGTTTTACCGTTGTGTATAGTTTTTTTTTCAGTATTCCAGGCTTTCGGTAAGTGAAGATTTTTTGGACCTTTTACCAGGATGTAGGTGATGGTGAAACAGACGGCGCAAAACCGACAAAATGGGCTGTCACTTCTAGAGGGTACCGGGGATCCTGAACATATTTGCCAAGCGCAGACAGAGGGCCGCTTTTCCCTCTGGAGCCCCCAAAAACCACAAAGATCGCGAAACAGAAAGCCGATTGTGGTGAGTGTCTGATCTTGGTTTTATTTGCTCGACCGGGTTGGCTGCAACGTCAGCACTCAGCAGCGCCGCACGACGACGAACAAGGGTTGCACCGGGACCAAAAAATGCAATATATCGATGACGCTATGCAATCCACGAACAAGGAACGCGTCCTGGCCTGGCTGCGCGAAGGACGTATGCTGATGTGCGTCGCAACACAGACAGAATCCTTTCACGGCGTAGTACTTTTGAGTATGGAGAACTAAATTACCAAGTATTTTCGGTTGATACGAGTCCAGTTGGATGTGAAGTCGTCTATGAGCGGTAATTACCTGGCTCCTGGGTTGGCACCTTCTCGTTTTGATTGGGTTCACGACGTCTCCTTCCTCGTCACGCAAAACAAGGCAAAGTAGGAAGGCCCAGGGCCCCCAACCTGCAGCAATACCTAACTGGGCTTCCTTGAATCTCGCCCCGTCGTTCCCTGGTTTCTACTTTTCAGCCGGGACGAACACTCCGCCACTCTGCCCTGGTAATTACTGCCAATATCCATTGGGGACTTTCTAGTTGGAGCACACTGCCCTTCATCTTAAACGCGACTGGTGTAATCGGTTTCTGAGTACTCTGTCAATACATTGTAAATGGAAGGAACACTCATGCTTTGAAGTGCCGGGCATCGCTCCTGCCTCCTGGTAGGTTACGTGGTAAATGGAAAGAGCA